ACCATCATCTGCATGCCAACAAATCAGTGCTTGTCGGACCGGGGGCCTGACATTTCTCTGGCTGCGCTGGATGGGATTGGGGATGGGGGATTGGGGACTGGCAGACTGAGACTGACTGAACACATGCCCCGTCGTCCACATCGCATAGCCAAACGAAGTTCCCTGCGCATCGACGTCCAAACGATTTGACCCAGGGCCTGGGGAGATCCTTTAATGTTTTCTGCTGTCTGGTGACCCCACTTCCGACGACCTACGACGGGACTTGGGGGGACGGGGTGCCGCTCTCAGCTCCCTCGCGCGCCCTCACCCTCGCTCTCCACCAGCCAGTGCAGGTGGGCAAGTGGGCAGTGGGCAGTGGGCAGCACCTTAATATTGGCTTGGTTCCGTGCCAGGGCCCAGTCCGTCCAGCCTGTCCAGCCAGTCTCACCATTGGGAGGGCCAGCTCCAGTTCGGTCGGGGCTCCATCCATCCATCCTGCGGCTACTTGGGTCTTGCCTGCGTGTGCGTGCTAGATTGCCCATCTGGAAGTACTACTCCATACCTGCCCCAGATACACACCTACTGGCTCGACAAGTCCTGTCGCTACAAGCCAACCGCCAACCGCCAACCGCCAACGGAAAGCAGAGCGGCAGGCCAAGCCCGTTATGAGCTGCATGCGCGTCGGCGTCTGAACTTGGGTGACGACAGCCTGAAAGGGGCCCTCTCTGCCAACCACGTCCGCCGAGCGGCGACGCACTCCAGCACGCGCGAAGGTTCATTGGAAGGCAACCCAGATCAACCTACCGCCCACCTGGATATCGGGGCACACTGACCGGCCAGCGAACTTTGCGACAGCGTACCCTGAATTGAAGCCTGAATGTCCAGGGTGATGTCCAGGCCGCCCGACCCGTTCCAGAATGGAGGCCGGCAATCGTGACCACGAGGACCGTCTCGCTGGACTGCTGCAATCCCAGTCGCCGACCCGACGGCCTCTCCCTCAACTCGATATCCTCCACTCGCCATACCATCTGCCCTACTCGGATCCCTCTGGCCCTGGTTCCAGCTCCAGGGGCGACGCTGAACCCTTGGAGTGCCTGCCCTACGAGCATACCGATAGCCACAGCGGCGCCGGCCAAGTGCCCTTGCAATTGCACTCGGCCGCCCTTGCTTCCTATGCCGCAAACAATCGCCAGGCCGCGAATGCAAATGCGAATGGCCTCGTCGACCCGGGCGACTTCTACAGGACCTACCGTGCCGTCATCAACGCGTCCGCCGAAAACCCAACCACGACCAGCGACTACGGCGAATTGATGGCGTCGACTTCCACCCTCTCACCGGCGCAGAGGCAGAACCCCAACGCCTCGTCGCTCCGATCGAACAGCAATGGCACGACGCCAAAGCATCCCGCCGTAGCCTCCGCCGCGAGGACCGGCCTCAGAACTACACCACGGTCAGTATCCGCGCCCATTCACCCCCAGAGTGACGCCAGGGGTGGTGCCGCAACGTCAGGACCTGCAGCTTACGGCAGCAGGCAACCTAGTGTGAAAGATCTCAAGAAGCGATTCGACCACAATGCCACAGCGCAGGCTGGCAACGGCAACGCAGCCATGGCTGCCCGTAAGACGACCCCACGCATGTCAGCCCGGGAACCCTCGTCCGCAGTCTCACCTACACCCGCAAACTATCGTGGAGTCGGCAGCGCGAACGCTTCTTCGTCTCCTTATTCAGCCTCGAGGACTTCGTCCGGGGCGAGGACTCCATCTGCGACACGTTCGACGCAGAGGTCACGGTTCAGCGCCGAAGATCAGGTTTCCAATAATTCGCAATCCTTTGCCAGTCGCATAGCCAAACCCCGGACTGGTCATGGTCTGTCCTCCAAATCCATGAGCAACCTCTCTCCGACGTCACCCGTGGGCGCCTCGTCTGTTCCACCACTTCCTCGGATGGAAAAGAGCAGCGTAGATTCTCCCGGCAAAAGTCTTCTTTTTGGCGAAATATTACCTGGCGAGAATGACGCTGGCCTCGCTGGGTTCGGGATTGATAGCGCCCGCCCGAGACGGACGTCAGAATCTAACCTTCGTAACCCGGCTGGCCTGCACCATCGAAGCCTCTCACATGCTGATGCAGAACCAGCCTCCCCAACAGACTGGTACCGCAGCGCCCACGCACCTGGCGAATCGAGCAGATCACCGACCAAACCGCACAAGTCCCACAACAGATCGCGAAGTGACTTGGCAGGATCTAAACCTACCCCGACGCAGCTCAGGACACCCCTATCATCCAGGAAACAGGCAACTCCCACCCCTGACTTGGGTCCTTCACCTGCGACCTCCAGACTCCCGGTATCCGTTCGGAAGAACAGCCCATCGTCGTCATCGGCGAGCCCCCCGTTCTCCCGCTCTAACTCTCCGTCCACTGCCAAACGCCCCCCAACACGGACACAGGGCAGAATACATAAGCCGCCGCCAATATCTACATCCAGTGCAAGGGCGCGGACACCCACTAGCGGCCCTACCGGGAAACGACCGCCAGGAACCATCACCCCTAATGGCAACACACGGTTGAATGCCTATATTTCGGCTCCTCCGCCTAAACTGTCTCCGCCGCTGCGAAGTTCCCGGCCACGTCAACCTGTTTCATCCGCCACCACCGCTAGCTCGAGGATGAAGGCTGTTGAAAGGGGGAGATCGCCTGCCAAACACGATAGCCGAACCGGCAAGCCGGAAACACAGCGGAGAAGGAAGATCTCAATGGGCCCGATAGACTTTGACGCTCGTCGTGAACAAATAAAACTCTCGTATACCAAGAGTATTCGGGAAACTGAAGCCAAGGCCGCTGCTAGAAGGCGGGCAGCCGCGGAGAAGGAGAGGCAAAGGCGCGAAGAGGAGGCTATTGCGGCCCAGGCTGCCTTGGCTGCTGCAGAAAATCAACGCCAGGACGAAGAGGGTATTGAACAACATGGCGCAAATTCAGACATTGATGCAGATGCGCCAGAGTCTGAAATGCACCAACATGAAGAGCACGAACAGCCTGAACAACCGACTCTAACACTGAATACCGGCATCAGTCTGGATTCGCCTACTCTGGGGATGCCGGGCAGCTTCCCACCCTTGGGTTCCCCGGATATGCATGATGAAGCACCACCTTCAGCGGTGTCAGATACTACAGAGTTTGATGCCGAGCCTCAAACCGAGCCCCCTTCTCAACAAACCCAGCAGGCGGTGGTTCTAGGATATGACGGTCCCGCAGCGGAAGCACAACCCGTAGACGCCACCACCACCACCCCTGCGGAGTATAAGTCTCCTTTCGACGAATCCCCCGTAGATGGAAATGCAACAATCCCAATATCGTTGGAGGTATTACCGCCACAGGTTCAAGAGCCCACTTTGGACTCGGGGAGGGAATCATTGATTCCAGGGCCTGACCAGGACGAATACACACCACAACCATATGCCGCCCCCTCATATGAGACAACGGTAACCATCATTGGCCGAAATGCTGATTTCACTTCGACGCCCAAGGGAATGGACCAAGTTTCTTCCTCCTGCGACGCTGAATCTGCAGAAGTAGAACCACAACAAGAACCTGCGAACGAAGCAAGGGCGCCTAGTCCAAGTCCAAATACCTCGGGCGGCCGGGAAGCATCCTCTGGTGACGAGTGTAGCGACCATGATGCCGGCCTTCGAAAGCTAGAAGAGTTCTACATCGGTCCCAATGTAGCGGAGTCGGCTGCACGCCTTCGTGAGTCGACATCCAAAGCCCCACCCCGGCATGCCCGGACGTGGTCGATGGAACAGAATGAGCAAGCTCCGCAAGAGCCTCGTTTCTCGACAGAGACTAGAAGAACCATCGAGACGAGGCCGAGTCTGAACGTCCCCAGAGCTTCTTACTCTGCAAATCGTGCTAGCCACAACACAGTTTGGACAGATTATTCGGTTGAAAGTCGAGAAGACTTTCCAGATTTCTCGGTCAAATTGCAGAGACGAGACTCTGCATACCGCGAGAATGATTCTGTATCAGAGGCAGGGTCCCGGATCCACTCTAGTCGCCACGACCGGAACTCTAGGACTTACCCTTCCAGCCCGGAGTCATCACCTCACGGGAGCTATAGGAGTCCGAGAGTGACTGGCGAGAGTCAACTTCGATCTGCGGCACACCAACTCCCGGAACTTGACACCGGCGGAGGCTTTGTCGTGGACTACATCACTCGCAAGAACAGCACAGCTTTTGCCGTCCCTGTACTACCAGATCATTCTCCTCCGCCGCCACCAGAAGAAGCGGCTTTCCCTGACTTGAGCTCTGCGCCGCCAAGCGAATACTTCAACGATACCAGACCTAGCAGCTATCTCCATGGAACTCAGGATGGCCACAGCACATTCTCCGTGTCAAGGCCGCAAAGCGAGAGTTTTGACTTGCCTGGCTCGACCCCACACTCGGTCGACCAGGCTTCCCTTGACATATCTGAGGGCCACACGTCCACCAGGACACGTATGGACAGCCAAACAACTCTTGCGGACAGCATCGACCAAGATAATTCAGCAGGTCTTTCGGCCAAGGAGAGGAAGAGGTTGTTCACTCGACTCGAGACGGTAAAGGAATTGATCGATACAGAGGCCTTCTTCATCCGAGACATGAACATTGTTGAAGAGATCTACAAGGGGACCGCAGAAGCTTGCCCGCAGCTTGACGATAACACCATCAAACTCATATTCCGGAACACAGACCAGATCATCACCTTCCACACAGCCTTCCTTGCCGAATTGAAGGAAGGAGTATCCAGCGTATATGTACCCAAAGTACATCGATCCATGATCCCAAAGGATGCATCCAGTGTCTCGGATGGCACTCTCGGATCTGTACCAGCTGTCGGCCATTTGGATGACGGGAAAGACAGAGAAACCTCACTAGGTCCAATCTTCAAGCGGAACATGGATAAAATGAAAACTGTGCACGAGACTTTCCTCAAGAACAGCGATCATGCAGCAAAACGACTGATACAGATCCAGGAGGATCCGACTGTAAAGGTTTGGCTCAACGAATGCAACGAAGTTGCCCGAGATTTGACTAAAGCCTGGAATTTGGATTCACTCCTGATCAAGCCCATGCAACGGATCACGAAGTATCCAAATCTACTGGTTCAGCTGCTACATGAGACCCCAGCCGATCACCCTGACCGACCTGCTCTTGAGTCTGCCAAGTCCGCTCTAGAAGATGCAATTGAGGAGATAAACAAGACGAAGAAGAATTTTGAGCTGGTTGGGCAGATCGTTGGCAGAAAACGAAAAGATTCTGACGTCAGAGGGTTCGCAAGAGCCTTTGGCAAGCGCGTCGACAAATTGCAGGCAACCAACAATCGACCTTCTGAAGATGCTGAGTACGCTAAGCTCCACGAGAAGTTCGGCGATGATTACCTTCGTCTGCAAGTGGTCTTGAGGGATGTCGAATTTTACACTCGGCAGGTCACTGCCTATGTTCACGAGTTCCTCCAATACCTGTCGTCAATGGAGCTTGTCATGCGTCTGCAACCTTCACCGCACCCCGAATTGGAAAGCAAATGGGTACGCTTCAACGTGTCTATGAGAGATATCGAGAAGGTGGCCCTAGAGCAACATGTAAGTCTCCTCTCCTCCTCAGTGGTGTAGAAAGAGTACTAATAAGCCAAAAGCTCTCTCAAGTTCGAAAGCATGTCATTGAGCCATTTGAGCATGTCATCAAAGCGTACAGCAACCCGTCTTTGGCCATGAAAAAGCGTGCCAAGCGCAGAGTAGACTACGAAAAGTCGGTACAACTCAAGAAAGCTGGCAAGAAACTGGACAAGCAACTCACCGAGTGTGTGGAGCAATATGACGCTCTCAACGAAGCGCTCAAGAAGGAATTGCCAAAGCTTTCCGCGCTCACCGAAAAGATTGGCAATATATGCCTCGGAAACTTTGTCAATATCCAAACTCAGTGGTTCTCTATCTGGAAGGAGAAGGTCAAGGTTGTCCTCGACAACCAGCAAATTCCAGAGATACCGGATATCATCTCCAACTTTCAGCGAGACTACAGTTTCCAAGAAGAGCAGATGCAGTCGATCTCTATCCTGAATCCTACATCGACACCTCGGGTTTCTCAGTCAACCAGCATTGACGATTCTCAAAGGCTTCGTCCGAGGCCGTCCGAACTCTCAAGCCTCCGCCGCGGGCGAGGACTGTCAGTAAACAGTGATGTCGCTCCCAGCTTGCCGACGCCCGACTTTGTTAAGCGCAACAGTGGGCAGTTCACCGTGTCTCCCTCGGTAAATTCAGTCCCGAGTCCACACCAGTTCTATTACCGGGACTATTACGCCGGCATCAATAGCACCACCCCCGCAGGCTCTGGAACGCCTAACACACCAGAAGCTTCTGGCCGCGCTCCAGCATCGGGGTCTCTCCGGCCAGGAACGGGGCAAAGCTACGACTCAGGAGGCATGCCCAGGCGGAGTACTGACAGCGGCCAAACAAGACGGTACTCAAATTCTGTTTACCCCACATCTGGGTACCAGTCACCGCCAGAACCTTCCCAGAACCAAAGGTATTCCGGTCTTTTCCACTCGGCGCTACCCCTGTCCGATGCTCCAGAGAAGAGCGTACGGCAGTCCAGGGCATCATCCCGTGCTTCTTCTCGTGAGAGACCCCCTATCGACGGATACAACGTTTTGTGGCTCGCAGCCTCTCTTTTCGAGTTCAACATTGAAACTACCAAGCATGAAGCAGGGTACCCTTACCTAACGTACCAAGCTGGCGAAGTGAGCCCACTCTTAAACGGCGTTGTGGAAGTCAGCTAACGCAAGACAGATTTTCGATGTTATCGCCGAGAAGGGCGAGCTGTGGTTGGCCAAGAACCAAGATGATCCAAAAAACCTTGTTGGTTGGCTATGGTCCAAACATTTTGCTAAACTTGCAGATGATTGAGACTCGGCCAGCTAACTACGCGCACAACACCCGCATTTCATTAAGACGCTAGAAGTTCGCTTCTTATTCTTTGCCAAAACGGCGGCAGTCGTGCGAGACTGCCTTTTACATCCTTCTAGAAGTTGGAGTCCTCCGTGACTACTTTCGAAGACTTCAGTGTACAAAATTCGTTATCCGAACCAGCCGGAGTCGGCGCCATCTACTTTGTTGATTTTCCACTTCGGGCGAGGCGTAGGCGCACCGAGGCTTTTGAGCTTTCATTTCCAAAATTAAATCAGGGGCGGGCATATAATGTACGAGCGGACGTCGTGACGGAATCATGATATTACCAAGCCAAGCACGAACATGGAAAGAGGAAAGACAGGGATCTCAGCAATGGACAAAAAGAACTGTTTTGTTTCTTCTGGTGGCTATTACATTTACATTTGATTCTCCAGCCTGTTCCGGCTTCGCCACCTAGTTCTTCCAGATCCGGGAGAGGGGAGCGTTAGCACAGAGCGGCAGTTTTCCTTCTCACTTACCATTTCAGCCCATTTTGTTCTGGCATGATACCTACGTTGAGAGTACCATACTGGACAAGCCACTACAGGCACTACTTTTATTGTTTTCCTGCTACGACATTGGGTTCCTCGACCGGCTTTCAGGCTGTGATGGATGATGGATTGGCGGGGCATCTGGGGAGGGCAAAGCTTTGGATGTTTGATCATACAAACATGACGGACCCGGGCTATTGTTGGTTTCGTGGAGATCTGATCAGCCAGGAGATTTGGGGTTTGCCCAAGCGATCAGGCATGACATGGTAGAAATCCATAGTTAATGAATGATCTGTGGTCCAAACCCTGGTTTGTGTGATACGAACTGTCTGGTTCCATTAACCCTGGCAATGCAAAAGTCATGGTTTGCGGAAATCTCATCGCGCTCTATGTGACGCTATTGCGACCAACGCCACAAGCAAGTGGACAAATTGGGAGAGCGCGAAGATGCCTCTCCTCTGCAAAAAGTGCGAGCCGAAGCCCCGAGGAGACCAAAGCTGCGGGAGCCCGCATCGCCGTTTGCGTTCTCCGCCCATAGACTGTCGAGGAATCTATTCAAGTACCGTAATAGACACAACAACAAGCACGAATCCCGGATCACTGACCAATCTCCTTCTCACCTTCCTCTGACTGAAGCGTATGAGCCCGAAACGAGCGCTTCCCTAGCCGAGCGGTAGCAGAACCATTGACTATTGATTATTGACTACATGACATACGTACCGAGCGGTTCGATTCCTGCACACAGGACCTGACGCTCCTGCTCCAGCCACCGCGCTGAGACTACAGCCTCTGCCGCTGCATACTACAGCCCCTGCGCCGCTATACCCGCTACTGCTCGGTTGCGCCGGTCTGATCCAACCTTTTTTGATCTTTTTCTTTTTCTTTTTCTTCTCTATTTCATCTTACCTTCTCAGAACTGCGTGGCCACGTAGCAGAGTCCAACAAGGTTGTCAGGAAGGGAAGGGGACGGCCGAATCTCGAATTTTGCTACACCCCAGCACCTGCATGCAGACGCGGTCCTCGTGACCCACATCTATAGAGAAAAAAAAGGGGTCACACCGCAATTGCCGTGCTCTGCTTGTCGTGGGTATGAACAATGAGCGGTGCGTCTATGTTTGTGGAAGTCATGTCATCTGTGGGGTTCAGTTGCTTGCTTCTTTCCTTATAGGGAACCAGTTTGTCGTCTACTGCAGTTTCGTGTAAGGGTTTATATAATTGATAGAAATGATGAATAGTTCATGATCTGGATTGGCTACTCAGGGTTGCCAGCAACGCAAGGTCTGTTTGCTCAGTGACGCATGGGGTCTTGATGGTCCGATGCTGCCAATGCAGTCATGATCCGTTCAGTGCAGAGTTCTGGTTGTCAGTTACCTAGGATTAAGCAATATTTGCCAGTAGTATCAGAGATGCCTGTTCCTGTCTGGCGCAATGGCCTCGGCACTGCTTTGCACAGCGTGTGACCATGTGTCTCTGAGGATGTCTTGAAAAACCATGGCGTGCCATTCTCCCCAGCAGATCCCGTGCTCGCGTTGAGGCAGATCCGAGGTTCCGGATGCTGAGAAGACATCTACATCTTTGCTGTAGAGCCAAAGACAGCGCCGAGTCACACAGCGCTGGTCTTCAAGGTCGTACTTTGCGTGATAGGTGCTTCACCGGTTGGTTGCTAATAAGGCTGCCTGCAAAATTGCTGCCCGATGCTTCAGCTCGGTCGGTTCTCGAGGCATGTTGATAGTGAGCCCGTATAAGACACATCCCGTGTTTCATTCGCTTTATAGTTAATTATGATAAGCAGGTAACGATGGTCTGTGACAAACCTAGGAGAATTAGACATATGCTGCTCCAAAGGTTCCAGTGATCGAATCTTGCACGTTGGCATCATACTTGGCGAGTCGCTTCCCAACCCCGTACGTTGTTAGGCGGGCAGCGGAAACGGGGTACAAGGCGGAAAACGATCATCAGCGGCTGGTCCCTCCTCCACCCTTGGCGACGCGAGCATGGGAGGGATTTGCAACGCTCATGCGGGCAGCTGGGGATGCTATGCATCTGGGTAGCATGCATATCTGCGCAGGCCGTCGGCGGCGCGCGGAAAGCGAGTCCACAGGCGTCGACTCGATATGCATGCTTAAGCTACTGTCTGGTCATCGACACGCATAGCTAGGTACACAACGCTTTGTGACGACGTTGACACCTCGCGTGCACTGTGGGCTGATCAGCACAGGGGGGAAAATGCAACCCTTGAAGCGCATGGATCACTCCAGACGGAATGTGGAGTGAGCAGCACACTTCCTCGCCGACTTCCCGTATCAAACTGTATTTGGAATCTCCGTGTCAACGCATAATGATTTCCGAGCTGCATCCCCTTGCAATGCCAACTGCGACGTACAAGAAGGACATGGACAAAAGCGCGTGGCGCGACACACATCGGCCTCTGGAGCATTGTTTGGTGGTTGCATTGTAGGTACTTACGTCAGGTATTCGTGGAGTTGGCATCCAATGCGGGCGCACGTCGGTGAGGCTCTGAAACCCCAAATTCGGAGCAACGACTCGGGCTCAGGGATCGCTTGCCTGCTCCCGACACCAGATTGGGATCTTGGCCTCGGAAGAATCTGGGCCCATGGAATGTGACGAGTAATTTCGATCTCTTGGAGTTGGGAAATTTCTCGGCTTGCATTTGGCTGGTAGCGGTTCATCAGGCTGCGGGACACAACCTCAGTAGAGAAATTACCAGTGCTGTTCCGGCGCCCACAGGTGGGCCGGTCTCCCAAAAGTAGAACCGATAGGGACGGGAAATTGGGACAAATACAGGACCGTTACCTTGTCATACCCCATGGCGCCAGGAGAAGTGGAAAAGAACAGGCTTGGGCGGGCTGCGAAATGCAACCGCATTTTGGTCAGGATGCTACCTTGCCGTGCTCAGGCATCCCTGAACCATGCCTAGACCGACCAGTCGGGGTCGGTCCAGAGCCCTGGATTTTGCTTTGTGGCAGGTCTCGTGGGATCTGCAGATTTTGACAGCGGCATTCGGGATACCCGTGAGGAAAGCCAGCGGAAGGAATCGTCCCAAGTCTTCTTTTCGTACGAAGGCATGACTGACGGGGGTCTTGAAGCGACTATCTCTGGCCAAGTAGCTGGTCTTAGCGAATACCGCAATAGTCCGGGCTGGGGCCTGTCGATAACTAATCTGGAAGTCGGCCTATAATTCAGTGTGATGATTGGTGGTTAGTCTCCGGCCTAGCGTCTGCTGTCAAGGCCACTAAGCCGGATGGTACATGTCGGTAGAGCGGGATCGACGAGGCACGGAACTACTTGCCATGCATGGGTGTGTTGTATGTGTGGGATATATCTGACGATGGGAGCAGTCAGATGCAAGCAATGGGCGATCACACTCATGAACAAAGTGTTCAAGCAAACCAGGTTACCCCCAGTGGGCGTGTGTAGCCTCCATCACTGTGGTGCGAGTGGTGGCTGCGGGGCGGACTATGCCGAACAATTCAGAATCAGACGTGGTTATTTGTTGCGATATTATATGGCGCTCACGCTGTCGGCCTCCTGGAAGCCCGGCGCTCGAGCTTGCCAAAAAAGACAGGTACATGCCTCATGCGAACGAGACCAACTGGGCCCATCAGAAGTGTGAGGCTTTTACTGACCGGTGTGTTGCGCAGGCGCTCCTAAGCAAAGCACGCGATGGGGCGTCCCTATAGCCTAGTCGAAGTTATAGTCACCTGCCGAGCCATACGTTGCGAAGAGGCTCCGAGGGTAGTCAAGCAAGTAGAAGCCGCATGGAGAGAGTCTGCAGGGACTTTCAAACTCGGTTAACGATTGCGACGTCCCTACTTCAGCTTGTGCCAGGTCAAACCGGACTCCCGTCTGCTCTCTAGGAGGCTTGTGGACGCGGCGCTCGTGCCAAACGACGGCAAGGGAGATTACCTAAAGCAGTATATGTCCATCTTGGTGGACTCATCAAGCGGCCTTGGCCCCAATCCTTCTCACCGAGAGCGAAGGGCAGAAGCTCTCCTGCTGCAGGACCATGTCCGATTGGGAACAGGCCGTCAGGCGTTCGGCAGACCGAAGGGGGGTAGGAGGGATCTATCTTGGCTATGTACAGGGATCTACACAGCTAGCAAGTAGCGCGTCCTGCCAGGGATTCAAGCCTTCAAGGTTGAGCTGCTAACTAAAGGTGGGTGCCAGGCCTGCTAGGCCTGCTAGAGAACGGCGGAACGAGCGCTGCACCGGCCCAGGTTCTCCACCCCAGCCCCCACAGCCCACTGAGCGGCACCCTGGCAGCTTTGGGCTGGTGGACGGCTCTTGGTGCCCTTTGGAGCAATAAAGTTGCGCCTCCCCCAACCTAGTTCGTGTCTTACCTCTGCTCCATATCGGAGACATCTCGCGCGCGCCGTTGTAATAATCCAAGACTCCCATCGCCAGATCTTGACTGCTCCCTGCCGCGCACTACCCGCTTGATATACCGTTGGCAAGGCTGCGACCTGGAGAGAGCGAGCATCCGCGGTGCCCGCCCCTGAGCCATCTGGCGCTCCCGTTCTGGTGGCAAGAGCATTTACCTCTGACCGCACATGAGGTTGCGACCTTAAAATCTGGCTCAAAGTGCCGCCCGCCGCGCATAGAGACCTGCCGCCAACACCGGCTGCCCGCGCCTGACCGTGTTCGAGAGACATCGAGAGGCGCCCCTCCTTCCAACCATTCTTCTTTCGCGGTGCCCGGTGCATTCCTCTTCCCTACAGGCTCCAGAGCGAGTCTCGCCATCCGTTTCAGTATAGGACTCGGTGGATATTAATATCTCCGCTGCACGTGGAAGGTTCTGCAGAGAAAGAAGCTTTGCAGGCCCCAAGTCTGGCCAGGCACGCGACTATCTCGGACCGAGTCTTTCGACCAAGTACTGTTCCAGCGCGTGTGAGCCGGAGGACTGGACTCAACAAAGTAAACCTCCACCGCCGCCGCCATGAATCCGTATCCTGCGCCAGTTGCCCATCATCCTCCCCCCCAGCAGCACGGTTTGCCACCTGATGCTGCGGCACCCCCGCCATCACATTATCACCACGGACTCCCGCCTGCTCACGAACAATCCCACCAACTACCGCCAGCCTTGCCTCATCAACACCAGCATCAGCCTTACTATCCAGATCCCAGGGTACCGCCAATGGCCCCACCAAGAGCCGACCATCTGGGCCACCCTCCCTTACCGGGTATCAGGGACCACGCCCCCGAGGTCGGCCAGAGAGAGAACGGGAATGGAGCTACGACTCTGAAGGGGGAAGCTGACACTGAACGTCCTCCGGAGCACCCACCGCCTCCCTCTGTTGAGAAGGACGACGATACGAGAAGATATAAGTGAGTTGTACCTGCTGCATCGGTGTCTCGCGGGTTCTAACTATTCTCCTACAAGACTGGTGTGCGAGCAGCAACCGCAGCGTGCTAGGATGTGTGGCTTCGGTGATAAAGATCGTAGACCCATCACTCCTCCGCCTTGTATACGCCTAATTGTCATCGACAAGGCAACAGGGAAGGAGGTTGATTGCAAGTATGTCGTCGGCCTGCGGCAAGACCACGAACTCGTGCTGACTATATCGCAGCCAAATTGAGCACCAGATGTACGTGCTAGCTGTCGACCTGTGGAATGCCGAAGGAACGAAGGAGTACAACTTGGTGAAGCATTCAACAAACTCACCTTCCATCTCGTCAACGACGAGCACTTCGTTCCGAGAACTGGAGAGCTCAGGACCCGGCCCCTATCCTCAACAACACTATCCGGTTCATATGCCTCCGCGCGAGACTGGCCCTTACGCTGCTCCGCCAACCCCTCACGGTATGCCATACCCCCCGCCCGTGCCTGGATATAGTCAAGAGTACAGCCAGGGTAAGGAGAACACTCGATAAAGTTTTTTCGCCGCAAGATTTCATCCTCTGACATTTTCTTATAGGACAGTACGGCAGCTACAATGGTCAACCTGTGGGCTACGGCGACTTTCATTTCCGACACCAGATGCCTCACAATGTTCCTCAGTTGCCATCGCAGACAGGATATGGCGGCCGTTACCCACAGGACGTGAGAGCAGCGCAACAGCCAAATGGCATGTACACGCGCAATCTTATCGGGAATCTGGTGTCAAGCGCTGCTCGTCTCACCGACCCCAATGACAAGATCGGAATCTGGTTCGTTTTGCAGGACCTCAGCGTAAGAACGGAAGGCTGGTTCCGGTAGGTTCCCCGCCTCCCTACTCATGATTGCCTGCCTGACCGAAAACGTAGATTGCGATTCTCATTCTGCAGTGTTGGTGTGCCGAACACGACAGGTGACACTCAGACCAGCGACCCCCAGAAACCCAACACTGGCAAGACCCCAATTCTTGCACAATGCTTTAGCGAGCCATTCCAAGTATACTCGGCAAAGAAGTTTCCGGGCGTTTGTGAGAGCACTGCGCTCAGCAAGTGCTTTGCTCACCAGGGCATCAAGATCCCGATCCGTAAGGAAGGTCCCGAGGGCAAGAGCAAAAACAAGGGCAGTGATGACGATGACGAGTTTTAATCTCGTGGCGCGCGTGTATCCTGTGGTTGGAAGCGAAGGACTTGGCTGGTGCCGCCACTGGCGGTGTTTGGAGGTATAGTGATCCCATTCACGTTATAGAAGTATTCGTCGACGACTGTATAGTTGCACTAGATACCAAGAGCCGGGGTTTGCTCCCGTTCTGTTTAAATTGGAGCTTTGTTTACTAACAGCGGGCTACTGTGAGAGTACTATATGATCTCTAGTATTATATCTCAAGAGGGATTGAGAACGTGCGGTGATACTCGCAACTGGCAAGTACATTACCACCCCAGGGTCACAAAGGAGTAAGTGAGAGGTGGGACTTAGCCCTCCAAATCGCTCGTCAGGCTACTGCATGTGCGTACGCGCGCGTACGTGGGTATAAATCAAGCGCCGAGGTAGCAGTGAAGGGTTGCGGCTCTTCTGGCAGAATTGATCTACCTAGGTAGCTAGCCAGGTCGGCCCCTCTGGTTCCTCGTAAGGCGCCGCTAGTGACGGTTGACAGCTGCATGCCACCACGTACTAGAGAATAGTTAGATGCTGCGAGACAAGTCGACACCATTCAGCTGAGACATTATGCAAGCAGCCTTGCCGATGTAGACTCCAACTCCACACAACTTGATGTCAGCTTCTGGTTTCATGAATGAAGAAATCGCGGCGGGCGAGATCTGCTTCTGAAGAGTCTACATCCCTTGCACTCTGTTCCAGACAGTCTGACACCGCTGCGAGGGTTTACTGGCCTGTTCTGTACATTGCGAGGGCAAATACGGGGCTTCTGCACTTCCCGTCTTGTACACCCTGCACCACAATGAGACAGAGGTCTTGCGCGGTAGCTGCCGCATCTCCCAATGCGCACAATGCATTTCTTCTGTCGCATTTTCCAGAAGCCTCAGATCTTCAATGCAGATCACCAAGGGGGGCCGACCCGAGGCGCTCAAGCAAATCCTGCGCGCCCGCGAGAAGGGTTCACCGGGTTTCCTGGAGGCCGTCTGATCTTCATGTCCCCGTGCAATGGGGAGCCGTTTGATCGCCCGCGACAACTCGGTTGGACCATCTGGTTCAGGAACCGGGGTCGGACACGATTAGATCGTACGGTCGAGACCCGGGGCGTCAGGTCTCAAAATCTGGGGGAGTTGGCAGGCCAGGGGTGACAGAGAAAAAAAAAACAAAGACTGCATCCTCAGCCTTACACCGTCGGGGCGATCAGGGCGACGACGGGCGAAGATGGGCATTGAGGCATTCGGAGGTGCTCGTCCCTCTACGCTTGGCGACGCTTCATGCATTACGAATTCCATTGACACAACCGCTGAACGCATTACGCATACTGATAAGTATTCACATATCACTGCCTAGGTAGTTCTAGTCAATCTCTCCAATCTTCGATGTACGGAGTTGCAGCAATACCTAGTGCTGGCATCCATCCATCGGATCGGCCCTGTAGAACCTATCGCTGAGTGACGTCAGTCGACTGTGCCAATCCCCCTCGACCGCCCGCAGTCTTGCAGTGGTGTGAGATACCACAGTATAGGAGGATGCAGGCATCGTGAGGCGAGACTCTCTCAGCCCCCGTGGTGGACAATGTCCATTGGTCAGGCTTCAGCGTTCATCAGCTGCAAATCACCACAGTTCATGACACCATCGAGTCATGCTCGAACGCAAAATGGCTTGTGACGGGAGCCTACCGGTGACGTTGGCCGGCGGCGTTTCCATGACTAACAGCAAACACGCCAGACTTTCCCTAGCCTCTCGACGGGCGAGGGGCCCTCCGGTTGCGTGCAAAGGAGCCTTGGTCGCACCTTGTGGAGCGGCACTTCTCCAAAATGATGCAACTAAAGATCTGGCCTTGCCCGTTGCCCTGATACAGGAGCTGCAAGCGTTTCTGGGCGCAAAATTTCTGATGCGGCGCGTGATCGCGCTGGGCCGCCCGCTGTGCCTGGGCGGGCGGTCTTGGGCTTTGGTCTAGGCAAGCCCGATGGTTGACTTTCGCTTCCAAGGCACGTCGCATATGTAGAAGGGATTCCTTATTTATTGACCCGTTCCACAATCTCTCACCTGTCCCCCGACGGCCCTTCGACATTGTGACTTTACCACTGAACTTCTTTGTTGTGACGACCGACACCATTTGTGCGACACCAGTCCTGCGCACTAACACGAAGCTATTGTGAAGCCACCCGAAATTGCACTGCGGCAAAAGATTGAAGAGCGCTCCTGGCAACTCAATCTTTGATTCTTCCCTTCATACCAGCGGAGACTTTGAACTCAGACAACATGACCGGAAACCTTACATCCACCGGCCGCGGAGGCGCTGGCAACATTGGCGATGTTTCCAAGTCGCCACGCATCGAGCCCAAGGACCTCCAGACGCCCACGCTGAAGACCCCCGTTGTGACCACTGGCCGGGGAGGCTCTGGTAACATGACTCCGAACCGGGACCCTGCCGAGACTCGCGCGCTCCAGGACGTTGGCCCGTAAGTTTCCTGCGCCTACGCCTTTCCCCTGCGCTGCGCGCGCAAGACGATATGTGGGATCTCGTGTCTAACGCACTCATCAGTGTCACCCGGCGCCCTAGCGAGGGAGCCACGCACGTTGGCCGTGGAGGTGCCGCCAACGTCGCCAAGCTCAGCGCCGCAGAGATCGAGAAGGCAAAGCAGTCCGGCAGCGCAGTCGAGGACGAGCCTGCTGTCAAGAAGGACGCGAAGGAGGGCAGCAAGAGCCCCAGCCTGGCTGCCAAGGGCAAGGAGTGGCTCCAGAGCTTGGGCAAGAAGGCTTAGAGCGCCTTCACTCCCAAGCGATCGAGGCCTTCCCGGGCGCCGACCGAAGCGGGCGGGAAATAGCCCACGATGCCGGTTTCTGGGGCCCCGTGCCGACGCATCTTATTCTGTTCTGCCACTTTGCAGAGGCGTGTTTGTTCTTTTCCCCCCGCTCTGCACAAACGGGGGGCTTGGCGTTGAGGGTTAGTTGTTCTGGATTTGGCGGATCGGTTGGGCCAGGCGGAACGCGAAAGAGTTGACGCAGTAATGTTTGCATTTTCGGGCTCCCGTCACGATATCCATTTGCCGCACGAGAAAGATACCAAAAAGCACCGACATTTTGTTTTATTTTGCACTGTTTAAGCAGCTTCCGAGATAGGAACTAGAGATGAGTCAATAGACCGCATTGCCGTCACGGAGTGGGCTTGCAGCGTGCATACAGTACTTGCGACCCCAAAGCATGACGGGGTCCCAATAAATACAACTCCAACTCCGTGTGCTATAATCCAAGCTGGCAGCTAGTCACGCCTTGCTCAGCCGTTGGTGTAACTTTGAAATAGCCCTCATGATAGGTGGTCATCCCCGCGCTCCACCATGTCGGAACCTATAACCACAGTATACACCACGCCCCCAACCGAGCTCCTGACGCTCCTGAACGCCCACCTCCCGCACTCATTACCCCTCCTCCGCCGCCTGCAGTTCACTCGCTTCCCGGGCGGCATCACAGAGCACACGCGCATCCTTTTCACCGCCGCGCCGGGCGACGCACTCACCTCCACAGCAGAACAGGGCTCCATCGCAACTGAGCAGGATGAAAAGGCCGCGCTGACGCTGCTGCCGCCCGAGGCGCCCGTGTCTTTCACGGCGGCGTACCTGGACCTCTCGCGGGGCCCGGAGACGGAGCTGTGGATGTTCTGCTCGCTCGAATCCCTCCCCTCGGCCAGCGGCGGCGGCCGGGTGGCCCTGGACCCTGCGGGCCGCGAGGCGTCCGCATCGGCGGCCCAGGCCGTCGCCCTGCTGCACGAGGTCCGGCGCCTGCGGGACGAGTACCGGCGCGGCCAGCAGCAGCAGCACGCAGAGCTGCCCCGACGGCCGGTCCTGGTCGGCACGCTGGGGGCCCCGCTCCGGGCCGCCCTGCTCGCCGCCGGCTGCATCCTGCCCTACGACTCGGACTGGGACAAGTGGGTGTTCCGGCTCGAGACGCTGCCGCTGCCGGCGCTGCGCCGGGTCGAGGACGCCATGGCGCGCGAGGGCCTGCGGTGGGGGAGGGTCCGGCGGGAGGACGTGCCCTTGGTCTTGAGCCGGACCAAGATCCCCCGGAAGGAGTATGTCCCTTCTTTTCGTCCTTTGTATATGTCAAGAGTCTTGTTCGTCCCCGTGGATAGCGGGGATTTGCAAATACAGACACGGTCGTGTGGAACAAATATAAGAGCAAGTAACGAGGCTGACCGTATGTCATAGGAGAACACTTGTGCTGCTGCCGAGCACGACTATCACGCTTGACGATGAGACGCCTATCGCCTGGTGTTTCCTAGGTATGTTATGCCCGCTGAGTGTCCTAAGGGGATGTGTAAACTGTGGCGGAACTAATATTTCTCATTTTATCTACCAGGTCCCGACGGGTCGCTCAGTAGCCTGCACTGCGAGGAGCAGTACCGCGGGCGCGGCTTTGCCAAGGCCGTCGCGGTCAAGATCATGCTGGATCATCTCCGGGACTACGGGGGCGACGGCTACTGCGCGGCCGATGTGGCGCCCGACAACGTTCAGAGTCAGGGCGTCTGTCGGAGCTTAGGGGGCAAGATTTTGTGGCGTTCTTCCTGGTATGGCCCTTTCCAAGATCACCATTTCTCCTATAGACTGTCTAACAGATTTCAGGAGTACAATAGACCTGGATCGACTTCCAGAACCACGGTAGTCCTGCAATTAGATTCATGGCAAACAATACGTCACTGAGCGGCAAATGAATTTCGATCACATTACGGAGTATCCCGTGATGGGATTGTCAACTTCTCAGTCTATTTGTTCGCTGTTGATGATTTGCTTTTGATCCGCCGCTGTTGGGTATCTGACGTTTTGCTATGCTGTAGAGCTATTACATCAGAAGAATTATAACATAGATTGTCTGACCCTCTCATCTAGGTTTAGGTCCGGGTACTGAGATTTGCCAGCTAATCATTGCGCACTCAAGACTTGGTCAATCGTTGAATTTCCGACAAATAGAATCTGAGATCGTCAGGCTTCACAAAGGGGGTGATACCTTGGTTCGAAAATTAGTGAAATCCTAGAGGCGGAGAGTTCTGAACATACCATGGCCGAGGTTGCCAATCCATCCCTTCTTGCCGCCACCGAAGAATCCCTTGACCATGTGCTCGACAGTCTTGGTAATGTTCTCGTGTGTGCCGTAGAGAATGGCAGGGTCCGCGTTGCCCTGGAACACAATGGGCCTGTTTCCACGGATTTTGACGGCTTCTTCGGGGTCGACCAACCAGTCGATTCCAACGACGTTGTAGCCGATGTTGCAGACCGAGTCAAGCATGGCGGTGGCGCCCTTGGGAAACACGATCATGGGTACGCGTTCCAGACCCATCTCCTGGAGCTTCGATGGCAGATGCTTTGCGATGTACGCCAAGTAGGGTTCGCTGAACTCCTTGAACGCAGCAGGAGACAGCTCTCCAGCGTTTGAATCAAACACTTGGATCGCCTTGTTCAGGTTAGCAACAGTATAATTTCAAATTCGCTTTACCTGCTCACCTGGGCTCCCGCCTTAACCTGTAAGGCCAAATACTCAACACATATTTCGGAGATCTTCTGTAATAGCGCCTTGGCCTCGTTGGGGTGGCGATAGATCCATGTTTTACTCTCCTTGTACGTCTTTGAGCCTGCATCGCCCACCATATACCCGAGCAGGGTCCATGGGGCACCGCAGAAGCCGATCAGAGGCACACGTCCTCTCAGCTTCCTCCTGGTCAACGTGATGGCCTTGTAGACGTAGCTTAGCTCTGCAGCAACGTCCACTTGCTTCTTGAGGACCTTTTCGTATTGGCCGTCGTCGGGCGAGGTCAGAGGCTGAGGGAAGTGCGGGCCCTTCTTGTCGATCATCTCGACGGTCATGCCCATGGCCTGCGGGATGACGAGGATGTCGGAGAAGATGATCGAGGCATCGAGGAGGCCTTCAAAGCGCTCAATGGGCTGGAGCGTGAGGGTCGATGCGACCTCGGGATCGCGGCAGCACTCAAAGAAATCGCGGTTGCCTTTGGCTTCGTGGTACTCGGGGAGGTAGCGGCCAGCTGAGAATCAATCAGCCCGGTTCTCGGTGAATACACCGCCCTTCAGAAGACAGACGTACCCTGCCTCATGATCCAGACGGGCGTTCGCTCGACATCCTGACCTGTGCTCACACCAGTCAGTCATAGAGCAAGGCACAGGGTTTCGGTAGAAAATACCCCAAGCTGCCCTCAGCAGGAGGTCATTCTTCAAGGGCTCGAATTCTCCGCCCATGGTGCTGACGGCGTTATACTACGGCAAGATACTTGCTGTTTGGCTGCGCAGTTGCTAAGTTCAGTGTGGGCGGTCGAAACAGCCCCGCGCTTATTGACGAAGCAAAATATTATGTCGAGGTCATCACTTGTGCACTCAGCTTCCGCACCCGAGGACCCCGCAGCCAGCGTGGTGGTGGTACTGGAGTACCATAGTCCAGTATGGATGGTAGGCCGCTAGAGAAACGCTAGAGCTGGGACGCTACAGGATATCGGTACCTGCAGCATCATTAGCCACACCGACAAGGATCGATCACGGGGCATTGAGCCACCCCAGGGGCAATTTGTTGTATATTGTCCTCAACGTGACCCTCGTAGCTTAGTATTCTGTCCAGCAGATCATGTTTCAAAAAGCAAACATGGAATACTCCAAGAATGATAATTTGTTTCAATGACTCCTTCAAAAAGGGAAGGCTAATATTTAACCGAGAGGGATATGCGAAACGAAAGCACCAGTGACAAGAGGATGTGAAGGCCTATCGCGTCTACAGTCGTTCACCACTCTCTCAGTTTGCCCAAAGTTACCAACTGCTGTGGTAGACTTTGGCTCTGATGATTCCTAGTAGCTAACTTACGGCGAAGAATGGCGGCGAAGATCATCCCGACATATACGTGCGCAGTTTCCCCAATTCTCAAGAAGCAGACATTTTCTTGACATAAGGCGGACGCATACTATCGTTAACGAGTAGATCAGAGCTTCGTTCTACAAACTAATTAATGGCCACTCTACCTAGGTACATACTATGGTATGGGTGTAATTACTGCAGTGTTGACAAAGTCTGCAAGTATTGCCCATGCCGCTTGGGTACGAAGATGAACTTGGTCGACGCACCACGCAATTCTACTACACTTGATGGCCTCTTGGCCCTTTGTGATTTCATTCCCTTTTCTCCCTCTGTGCATGAGATTGTGAATGCTGGTCGCTCATGTTTTCAGCTCTTCTACCTGGCTGATGGACTTCGACTTGTGCACTTACCCGGCCCGAGATGTACTTATCGGGTCTTAACTCGAGCTGGGCATCGGGCAATCGGGGATGCCTTAGCCCGCCAAAATTTCGGCGGGTCCAGACGACCAGGAACGGCACCGCACAAGCAGCTTGGAGCTCCTCTCACGGCCACCTTCACCTTCCTGCTAACGGCGCGCCATTGAGGCCTCAATCAACCGTCATCTGACAGACCACCCCCTCAATTGAGATGACATAGACCATCTACTCACTCGAGACCTAATCGGGGAGGACGAACGCGCCACCCAACCCGGCGCCTCGTTCCCTCCAACCCTCCGACTCGCCTATGTCGCTGCCGCAATCCACGCAGTGTTGCAGGGTCATCAACCGCCGAGTTCGACCGTCATGTGAGAGCGTGTGGATTCCCGAGAGCGCGCTCGCGAGCGCCTTCGAGCAGTACTGTTCCGTATCGAGGATCACGAGCCGACGCAATGGATCCAACATTCCCGGCCCGCTGGAGAATCGGAGGCGGTTGGGCAAGAGACACATGGGGGAGCTCAACTTTGGCCACACACATAGCACCGCGCCTTTGTGGGATCTGGCAGATGCTGTTGATTTGACACAATGGAAGTGGAAACCTGCGACCCGGTTCGAGGTCAGAAACGCGACGGGATTGTTGCTGGGCCGTCTCCAGAGCCGTCTCCGGGACTGGTGTTCTACGATATTCCGCGTGGAGGCGGCTGCTCCTGCGGACTTGACCCTGCCTGAAAGCCCCGGAGCAAACGTGTTCGGCAATGCTGAACAACTTGCAAAGACTGCAATCGATTTGTTTCTGACGCATACCCAGTCCGGCGGGACATGGAGAGCAAACGACGAGTTTGTATCCTTCTGCGCGAGGCTGAAAGTATTGATTGTCGAACAACGGGTCTCACGAGCGGTTCTCAGTAGGTTCGTGAGACGCTTGCCGCAAGAGGTACGCAGTCAAGCCAAGAAGTCCGGCGCTGTTCCGAGTGCAAGCGACACTGGCGTCTTCGTCTCCCACCTGTACAATGCCGTGCTGGACGGAATCTTGATGAGCCGCTCTTTGCTTGGCTACTCAATCAGTCATTACCACCCGGTTTACTCGGATCTACTAGATCAGACCTCACGCCTTGGGCGCATTGGATACAACAAGCTTGCTCTACTACGGCGGATCATGTCCGACATCCCTCGAGAATCGGTAGGCCAATTCGAAACAGAGATCGTTTCCAATATCACCCAACTCCTATACGTACTCCATCAAGATCACGCTGTCATCTCACAGATGAGCTTAAATCGCCGGATCAACAATATCCGCAGCTGCTTGGAGACCCTAACCTCTAATGTAACCGCACACCGGGCCATTCTGGAGAAAATCACACAGCGGATAGCGAAGCGCGATATTTTTGGCTTCAACAAGTTGAGAGATACGCATTACCTAAATGTGCGCCTCGATTGGCTGGGTCTTCTAGCTCGGCTACCTCAAGTAGAGGACAACTTCTTCGGCAAGGCATGCTCTCTCTTGGAGAAAGACAAGGCCACCAAGGCATGCTCTCTCTTGGAGAAAGACAAGGCCCCCAAGGCATGCTCTCTCTTGGAGAAAGACAAGGCCACCAAGCCACTATCACAAAAGCAACTATGCGAGTTGTTCCTGCTCAGACTCAATCGACGACATGTGGCAGTTGATCCACTGACTACCAATGAAACCGTTGCTCTTCATAAGGAACTCAGATCGATCCCGGATTCTCAATGCTTCGCCCAAATAAGTTCTACGCTTTGGAAGAAGGGGAGATTGGCACAGGTCAAAGAACTTGCCTGCTTTCTCCTAGACACGAGCCGACCGCACGATATTTATTATATCATCGGCGGGTTGGAGATGTACGCCCGTGGGGAGTCTAAAGCGCTCGCTGACCTAGCGATTCGTCTTGGCGACCCACAACTGGCTCTATTGGTGTACATCTGTTACCACCAGAGCCGTCAAACGTCGAGTGACACCTGGAGGACGAGCTTTGCCAATGAGATCATGCCTACATTTACGGCGCTTGGCGTAAACCCGGGAATGGTTCTTGACGCACTTAAAGTCCACCCTGTGCAGTGCCCAAGCAGAAGCAGAGAACTCTCGCAGAGTCGCGTTCAACGGACTGAGATGGCTGCTCTTGCGATTGCACATTCACGACGTATTTCAGACAGAGTTGCTTTCACGAATGTCAGCCGCTGCGTCAGATTTCTCCAAAGCCACAAGCATCGGGTTACGCCACAGGTTCTGGGTGCCCTTTACTACGTTGTCACGAGGGACCTTGAGGATGGAAGACCAGGGCGACAGACTCGACTCCGTTGGTTCTTGCAATTGCTGTCAAAGGAATCTGACCATAACAACGTTCTCAAAGTTGGAATGAGGTTGAAGGAGTGGCGGGCACTTTACCGTAGAAGGAAGCAGAAACGACCTTCCGTTGAAGAGGAGGCGAACATGCATTAGTATCAGGTTGCACTGGAGGCAGGGAAGCCGGGACACTGAAAGATGTGGATCGAGATTCAAATCTCGGTGGCTGCATCGGATCCCTCGCTGCGGATGCAGGAGAGCTTCATGTACATAGAACATCTAGACAACATACCCTTGGATGCCAACAATTCCGGTACGTCAGGTTTGGACCTGATGAACTGCGCTTTGGTTGGCCAGTCGTTAGAAGGCCTTCGCTAGTGTCCTGGATTCAGGAGTGTGATTGGCACTTGTGGCGGAATCTACTGCGTTCAACAACGAACGACCATCCTGCCCCGTCACCCGTTACACAACAGAACAGTCGGATCTCTTCAGATTTCGAGGCCGCTACGCCTAGTTCTGGCCTCTGGAACGGGTCGATCTGTGCACCCAAAGATGGCCTTATCTCGATGCGGCTCCACCTACTATACGCCAACCAAGCTCTCGGTTCTTCCAATCCCGCCGAGGTACCGCGCCTCCATGCCTCCTCCAAGCGAGAGCTCGGGCAACTCTGCCAACCCGGAAACCACCGATTCACAGCCCGTACCCGGAAGGGCCGACTATTGTGCCCGTCCACGTGAGGCCGAGACAGCACGCCCACTGGGTGGGCAAGACTTGCAAACAGCTCTATAGAAGGCGCCAAAGGACGGCAGGAAACTCCAGAGACCTAGGATATCATTGTCATGATTGGTGGCCGCGAAATATCGAGCTGGGTGCAGCTCATGCCGACTGCCCCTGTCCCCCCCAACAAACCCGGACGTTACTTGCTGCATTAAGTAGAGACCTGTCCCCGCAACAGATGTAACTGCGTACATAGGCACAAAAAGGACGGGCTGCCTGTGTGCGTGTGCGTGTGCGTGAGTGTGAGTGTGAGTGTGAGTGTGAGTGTGAGTGTGTGCGAGTCGCCCCGCGTTCGTTGGGTCACTGCACTGCACGGTCATGCTACATGGGCGCGGATAGCGCATCCTTCTATTGCTGGTCCCTGGGCGAGCACGATAACCACAGAACCGTAGACATTCCGGTTTTCAGCTTCTGCACTCACATCCCATGCGGCTGGGAGAGGGCATCAGCCGTGGGCATCCTTCCCCGACATCCAAGACGACTCAGCGCTCGTCTCTTCAAGGGTCGACTGCATGCGGTGCGGCCCGAACCCAAGCGCGCCCTCGCCAGAATATATACGGACACAAACATCCCCACCGAATCTTGCAGGTCGCCCGCACCACCTTGGACCGCAGTTTTTTACGTGCGTATCGCGAGTGCGAGCCTGCGAAGACCCTTCCAGCTCTTCGGCTTGTTCCTGCAAATAAATTGGCCTTCGCCGTTCCCAGCAATCTGGTAACTAGTGGGATCTGGCATAGCTCTGGCCCTAATGAGCCTATGAGAAGTCATGTATTCATATCCGCAGCCGCCGGCGCGCTCGCCGGGCCTCGACGCCAATGCTGCTGAGTCGGGCTACCCAAGGGACAGCGATCCCTCCACCATGGACCATCCGGATCAGGCTTCCGGCCAGGACGCGGGCCCCAATTCGAGGGGCGGCGCGGGTACGAAACCCATCCGCCGCCGCAATCGTATGATTAATAGTTGCCTTGAATGCCGTAAGCGGAAATTGAAGTGCAGCAAAACCTCCCCATCCTGCCTCAATTGCCTCAAGTCCGGTCGGGATTGCCTGTACATCGGCCCCAAGCTCGACGAGGCCAGCCAATTGCGCTTGGCCGAGATCAAGGAAAAGCAAGGTTCGCTCGAACGGCAGCTCGAACGCGATGTTGCCAAGTCCACGACCTCGAAAAGTGCCCTGCAGCAGCGCATATTGGCCGATGAGGTCGAGGACGACTACGATGAGGATCGTGATCTCGAGGCGACGCCCATGGTCGCTCTGGACCTGACCTACGAGGACGATGCGGATGGCACGGATGAGATGATCGACTTGGGCATCCAGATTGGGAAGATGCGCATCACGGAGAGGATAGGCGGCCTCTCGAGACCGAGAATATCAGAAGAGGTACGTGGTATACATGGATGTGATTTGTTTGTTTCCGCCCTGCTTACCTGATTGAATAATTAGATATCCGCCGGCCTATCGGGTCAGCGTCCACCAGGAGCTCCAGGACCCGGATATGGAGGACCACATCCGGCCGGTGTTCCCGCGGGTATGGGTTCGGGGCCTGGGCCGGACAATATGTCCGATGGAGGCACATCTGACATGTCAATCCCTGACTTTCTGAAGCCTGGCACGCAGTATATCCCCCCGACAAGCGGGTTCTTCTTTGGGCAGGTTGTGGAGCAGCCGTCACTTCTCTCATTTCTGCCGCATAGGGCTGCAGCGGATCGGCTGATGAGGCGATACTTCATCTCAGTCCATCCTATTGCTCCCTGCTCTCACCGGCCGACGCTGGAGGGCACGTATGCTACGTTTTGGGAAGAGATCACGTCGGGGTATGAGCCTCGACCCTCGTCACAGGCCATCGTCTTTGCCGCCATGTTCAGCGGCGCAGTGAGTATGGATGAGAGTGAAATATTCGGCGAACTGGGTGGCTACTCGAAAAGCAACTGGACCGCAAGCTTGAAAATGGGAACCGAGACAGCCTTGGGTAAAGCCAACTTCCTGAGGACTACCAAGGTAGAGACCATGCAGGCTTTCATTATGTACATGGTAAGTTTCGAAACTCAAACCCAGTGGGAAGCTACTAATGCAGTTTAGCTACCACTCTGTAGAGCTGAGATCTCGAGAGCGCATTCCGTTCTCGTTGGCGCAGCTGTCAGGATGGCCGAATGTATGGGGTTGCACCGGGACGGCGAAGCATACGGACTGACACCGTTGGAGACTCACGTTCGACGCTTGATTTGGCATCAGCTATGTTTCCTAGACATTCGTACCTGTGAGGCCCAGGGACCAAAGCCTGTCATAAGGAGGGACGATTACGACACCAAGCTACCCCTGAATTGCAATGAAGATGAACTGACCCATGCAGCCATTGCACCGGAGTCCTCAGACCACTGGACAACCAACACGCTGCCGTTGATAAGATTTGAGGTCAATGAGATGATGCGAATCATCTGGCTTGATCGGCGCAGGTTGGAGAACCGGAAGACTACTCTTACTGCAGTTCTCACCAAAATCGAGAACTTCAGACGCCGCATGTCTGAGAAATACGACCACCTTCTAGACGTGAGCCAGCCGATACAACGCTACGCAAGATGCGTGATGTATCTGCTTACATACCGTCTCCACGTCATGGTCCTTCATCCATATCATTCCAACGCGGCGAATCCTATGCCTCCCCGGCTGAGCTCACTCCTCATCACATCCGGAATCGTGATTTGCGAGATGGCAATACAGCTGGAAACGAACCAGACCTTTCAAGACTGGGCATGGTATCTGGGCGCCTATTTTCAGTACCAGATCGCTCTGCTTCTGGCAACTGAGGTCTACTTTCGGCCACAGTCGAGAGAAGCAGATCGGATATGGGCATGTCTGGACTACGTCTTTGGCATGGACCGCCGGTTGCCACCTGAGGTCAAGGGACCGCAACTTCTGGCAGAAGTTCAAGGCAAATCTGCTGTCTACATGCGCATGCGCAAGATGCGTGGTCCCACCACCACTGCCAGGGCACAGCCAGCTCAGAACGTGGTGGAAGGAACGCGAAGATCGTCCTCGGCTCCGGCACCCGTTGCATACCCACGTCAATCGCCGGTAGTCCCAGGGATGCAGAGTGGTGCAAAGCCAGAGGGCCCCAATGCTTCCCCTAACGCAGGTGTACCCATCCCCCAGCCACAGATGGTGTTTGCCGGAGTCTCCGACGGGCAGGCATTGTGGAGTCTGCCTGTGAACAATCACGAGAGCCCTGGCAGCAGTGATACGTCGAGCGTTGGGCAAACTCATCATGTGGGTATGAACGCATCGACCGGCCAGCCCATCGGCAACATAATGGACACTATTGACTGGGTATGTTCATCTTCTGTCCACTAGTAGAAATAATAGTGATACTAACAGGCGTGTAGGAGACCATGTGCACCCTGTTCCCCAATGACCCTACAACCGGTGGCTTCACAATACAAGGCTACCACGATCCAAACTTCGCTGTGCCGAACTGGGGTGCTTGAGAGAAACACGGGCTGTAGTTGAATACATGGTATTTAGTAGAATATAGGCCCGGAAAGAGAGACATGATGTGGCTGAGCACATGCTAAATGAAGATACTGGCCTCTCAAAAACCAAATGCTGGGAACTTAACGTTGAGGACCCCCTGAACCTAAAGTCCATATGCTATTGGAACATTGCCAGGCAGTGATCCCTTTGTGTGAAACAAACTATCATCTCATAAAAGCCTGGAGAGACTAAGGCAAGGTACGTATTGATATTGGCACAATGCCCACTCGGCAGATATCCGGCTCGAGGCTGCTTCAAGTAAGAATATGGAGATGGAATCAGCGTCGTGCTCTGGCATCTGTATATCAGCCTATAGGCACGGAACGGCTTCTGGGACTACGGCTTGGTTTAGAGGACGATGTTAAAGCAAGTTTGTAGAAAATGATGCAGAAAATGGATGGTGAAAAGTTGGTCCACCTGAGACACGATGTCTCATATATTGTCAGATTGTGGCTAATCGTGATTTGACACATCGAGTAACTGAACGTTTGTATACAATCACCTTATGATATTAACGTTGGACAGAGGGGCGAAGTGGTGGATACATGTGAGTGTAGAACATTACATGAACACCTCAACGTGGAACAGCGAATCTTCGTGACCTATCAAGCAGCCTCCAATGCTGCCGCGAGCAATTGCGCTCCAAAGCAGACATCGTTGAAGTCGTTGTGCCACAGAGAAACGTCCCGCGGTGGCCTCCTTTTGGGATGTGACGTACACCAGGGTTCTCACACCCAATGTCCTATCGTAGTTCCTTCTCGGCCTTTTTCACCCACTTGAAGTCTGGATCGTACCCGACATGGATGTGCTGCGTACGTGGAACTAGTCGATACCAGACCTCACGCATCCCACCAGCTACTTCCACCTGAATCTTTCCCGGCTTGGTGCGGGCCTTGCCGTTCCCCTTTCTATTTCTTGGCTTCTCGAATTTTGACGCAACTTCCCACACTTGATATGTATCGGAAACTCGGTTAAGCTTGTAGTAGTCCTCCCATACGAACTCTTTATTTCTGGATTGGGATATGAGGTCAATCTTGGGATTCGAAAGAAAGGCCCGGAGAATACTAGAGAGGGTTTCGCTAGGTTGGTCTGGTCTGGGACCTGAATCCCATCGTGCAGGGAAACAGGTAACGGACTCGAGATTGCCACCACCGCGAAGAAGGGCTTGACTTATCTCGCCCATTTGCTCTACAGTCGGGACAAATTCGAGCTCCCGCAACCGAGGCAGGCCATCTATAATACGGCCAACAGTCTTGGGCCCCAGAGACGGAATGTTGTACTCGGATCTCCATCCACTGTAAGAAAATCTCAAGACCCTCAAGTTCTCATGTTTGAGTATGGCTTGCAGGAGTGTTTCTGAGAGTCCTGGGTTGGCTAAACCGAGGCCAGATGGATACTCCCCATACACTAGAAGCTCCAGCATCGTCAGGGTATCGAAGGATGAGATGAAGTGACACTTCGCGTCGAAATAGGCCCCAAGTTGTTCGTTGTTGAAACTCAAATGATCGTCTGACATTCTGAGGTTCAGGATTCGCAGGCTTATGGGCATGTCTGTCGTACCACGGTACGAGGTAGCTAGGCTAGCGAGGAAAGGGTAAAATAGGCACTCTTGGTCGTTCAAATATGCGAGAGTCAGCTCACGCAGCCGGAGGACGTCAATGGCCTTAGCGAACTCCCGCATAAAATCCTCATCGATAAGGGTACCCGACAGGGATAATGACTTCAATGCAGCGAAATTATGGGCTTCGTCATCTTTGCGCGTGGCGTTAGCTCCTGTCGAGGTTCCCAGAGTCTTGTCCCAATCTCCGAATGGATTGCCGTAAGACGAGTTTGTATGGAGGGTGAGGCTCTGAAGTGTTGACATTGAATTCCGGAGCATGGACTGTACAACATTGAGCTTGTGCCCAACAAATATCGATGACCAGCCATGGTCTCGCACCACCAGATGCTTGAGGTTTTTGATATGGGCCAATGATGATATATCTTCTTCTCCAACCCTTTCTGCGTACAAGTACAGGGCTTTCAAGCTCTGAAGTGATGCAATAGTCTGGCTGATGGACCTGCATGGTGTTAGTTCATGTTTTCCGTGCGGTTGTCGACGAGGCACGCGCTGCTCAGAGGGAAAGAACTCACTTATTCATTACCCACGTTTCAAGAATCTCAAGGTTTTCCATGTTCTTGAGCGCCTCCTCAATATATCTGTCGACGATATATTGGTGCTTTTTCCCCGGATTCGCAGCACCAACTACCATTTGTCTCACAAAGCTGGCACACATGGGCATCTCTTTCTCGTTGAGGCCGGTTGGGTATCGCTCTTGTTGGCCTTTGTACTTACCTTCCTTCTTCAACTGCTTCTTCTGCGCTATCGTGAGGTGAGGCTCCAGCGTGCGGATGAGTTTGGGGATGTGTGCGTGAAACATGGCGGCGACGGCGATGCGGTTGTAGAGCCGGGGCATTGTCAGAGAATAACACATCTTGCTGGTTCGACCAAGAGCACTGAGTGTTGGTGGGTCTTCAATGTTGTCCAGGATGATACTGAGGACTTCCAGTGGGAGTGAGAGCATCTTGGCGTTGACGTCGACCGAGTTGATTTGAGGGTTGAGAAATTGCGCTTTGCCCTTGCTGGTAGTCGCATCTGCCGCCGTCTTTGTCTTGCCCTTCACCACCCCTCCTAGACTGCGGGCTCTTTTGGGTGTCGGCTTTGCCGCCGGAGTCTGCAGCTTTGGCTTCCTCACCGCAGCAGCCTGCCCGGGTGCATCTTGCTTGTCATGGGCCACATCCAGAGCTGGCAGCTCTTGAAGTCGGGCACTTCTCCTTGTTGCCATTCTGCTGCGGTGGTTTGGAATTTTAGATCATGCACATATATGCCGAGACTCTATCGAGACTCAAAGGCAATTCTGACTCGAGAAAGGCGCGGAATAGCGAAAGATAACGCGAGCGGGTTGAAGGTAGAAGGAGAAGACGGGGAGGATTCAAGGCTGGCCAGGTACAGTTGAACACGCTATCACGTGACGGCCGGTGCTGCCTACGAGGTGTGTTGGTGAACTGAGAGTACCTACTTTAGGTGTCTAATATCCCTGACTTCAACTCTTTACCCCACTAACTAGCGGGTAAGTAGCGTTGGGAAAAGAATCCTGTGCGTCAACCAGTGGAACTATAGGTTACTGCCTGGAGTCCGCCTGGGATAGCATCACGCCCTAAAATAGGGGCAGGGGACCAGTCTCGAGATGTACTGGCTTCGCCTGAATCGTTGGTATGTAATAATTGACAACAACGCATGTTACGAATAATACGGAAGGCGGGCCCATATTCACAGAACGAAGACCAAAGAGTACTCGCAGATAAGTGTGTAGTAAGGTTTATCAATTATGAAAGACAGCCGTAACTCATGAAGTGTACATTTTTTTCCAAAGCGTCAAACCAACCAAAATTACATAACCCGAAGAAATAAAGTTGAAAATGCCCAATCTTCGAACTCCCAGGATATCTTTGGAAACTCTCTTGAATAGGGAGGGGGAAAAGCTTAAAAGACGAAGAACAGACCCCGGAAATGCATATTTAAACGACCATCCTCCCTCCCCCACCCCCCAGCCAATTTTCTTTCCCATTCCTCCCATTCATCATTCCAATAGTCACATTCCACATAAAATGCAAGGCATTCAGGCCTTAGATGCCACCTTCCATGTATTCTGCCTCGGCCTGAGAGCCCGGCGACATGGGGAGGCTCACAACGCTCTTCGATATAACCGAAGGAGTGGCGCCTCGCGAAATAGGCGCACCGCCGAACTCAGATGATGGAGTCACCATGCGGATAGAGCGGTGACTCGGCTTGGCCACTAATACTTGTGCAGGGCAGACGACGATCTCCTCGTCGCCAACGCCATTGTCGTCGCCCTTTTTGACGACGAGAGGGAAGAGTACCGTGCGTACAACGGCGCCTTGGGCCTCGAGTTCCTCATTGGAGGTTGAGCTGCCGGATCGCTCATTCATGAGCGAGGCATTGAACGTGACCGTGTCCGCCAGGTCGCCGTTGGCGTCGTACTCGGGCTGGAGCGGCGGGAGCATCATGAACTCCGCGCGCTGTGTGCGCATCTCTATTGACAGATCGACAGCTTCGCGGAGGACGCGGCGAAGCTGTGACTGTATCTGGTTCTCCATGTTGGAGGGCGGTGGGAGGATCTTGGACAGAGTCTCCAGGATGGCTTGTACGACAGCCTCGGTATCGTCGTTGCGCTGATTGCCGAAGGCGGGCCGCCTTGACAGAAGAGTCAAGGTCACAGCACGCCACTGACGGACAGCATGTGGCGGGCCGACGTCGGACAGAAGCTTCTCCAGGGCCTTCAGCTTCTGGCGCTGCTCCCTGTCCATGCCAAACAGATAGCGCGTGAAGACGTACTCCCAAATCATATTCATGGTCATGGACATGAAGATGTCGCGACGTCGGACTCGGTCGCTCAGGTAGTCGTCGACGTCGGAGCCATCCAGGACGGTGTTATCAAGCCTGTCAATGATCTTCTCATCGTTGATCTCGTTTGTTAATCTGGCCGCGCGCATGTCCGAGAACTTGGAGAAGCGCAGGACCCACTGCTGCACGTGGGCGCAGAGCTGCTGGCAGCGATTGTCGAAGTGGTCCTCGTCCCTGAGTCGCAGGAAGTCGGCGTCGGGAGGCTTGGATGCGAGGATCTGTCGTTGCATCTCCCGCACTTGCTGCTTGGTCGCCTCCAGTTCCTGCCGGAGCTGCTCTATCTCGGCATCCTTTTCTTGCAAGGAGCGGGTGAAGGTACCACGCACACCCTCCAGCTCGGAGGCGGCAGTGGCATGCTGGACCTCGAGGTGGCTGTATTGCTCATTGTGCTGCTGGGCGAGCTGGGCGTTGGCGCTGTGGAGACCCTCGTTGACCTCCTTGAGTCGGTCGATCTCGCGCTTATACTCGTCGAGGCTGGAGCGGAGCTGTTCGATCAAGGCATCGCGCTCGTTCAGAGTGACGGCAGCTCGCTGGTTGACACCAGATTCGGCATGCAGCTTCGCGTCGGCCAGCATGCGGTTCTCGGCGATCAACTGCTCGACGCGGGACTCGAGTTCCAGGACCTGCATGCTCTGGCGGCGGCGCATGCTGTGCGGTCTGGTGGGCGATCGTGGAGAGCCGATGCGGCCCTCGCCCAAGCCATCCTGTGTGAGGGAAAGGCGGTCAGCAAACCAAACCCAGTCGCAGGGTAAACACACACGGGGAATGTGCAGTGTGTCAATACTTCGGAGTGAGAAGCACAAGAGAACTTACATATACGTCGGTCATGTCCTTGGCTCGGACACGGCCTTCGTTGGCCACGGGCGGCGTTGTTGAAGACTGAGCACGGCGCTCAGCGTGGTGGGCGGCGGCGGCGGCGGCAGCGGCCAGATCCTTGTCCTTGGTGTCCCTGGTGGTGGTCGAGTGGAGGCTGGAGTGGCTGCCGTTGTGTTGGCTGAGAGACCGCAGGTCCCCACTGACCCGCTTATCCACCCGTCTGAGTGGCGGGGTGTTGGTGCCTGACGACCGGATGCTGCCTGGGCTGTCAGGCCGCAAGTTCAGCGGCTCTGGCGTCCTCAGTCGCGAGAGGCTGGTGTTGGACGCAGTGCGCCGGTGGTTCTCGGCCTCGGCGCGAGGGCTGCCCTCTCGGCTCAGGCTGTCCGACACGCTCCTTTGTCCAAAGGCATGCGGTGTCAGCGCTGGGCTCGCATCCGTCCCCAGAGTCTGGTATTTAGCTGATCGCGGTGTCTTGGTTCTTGTCGCATGTGACTCGTCCTTTTTCTCAGGGTCTGGTGATGTGTCTCGCCCAAGTCGGCTAGGGGTGCTCAGCCGTGGGGTCTCGTTCCCGAGGGCTGACTTTTGGTGCTTCTTCTCCCCGGTCTTGGGCGTACGAATGTCGCGCGCACTGCCTGATCTAGAGTCCTCAGATGCCCACGACAGCCGGGCACCGGTCTCGTCAAATGACGAGAGGCCCTCACGTTTCGGAGGGGCATGCTCGGGCCAGTCTCGCATGTGAACCCCACTGTCGCGATTACCGATGTCTTCAGTCAAACTGCGTCTTGCGGACTGCGGCGAGTTGGCTATGAAACCGCTGTCCCTGTTGATATCCGGCGTGCGCATGACTTCGCGGGGCTGCGGCTTCTTGCTCAAGGTAGCCTCGAGCTCTTCATTTGGCTCTTCCTCTACGGGAGGCAAGCTCCTGACTGACATTGTCGATGTTCGAGCCCAATCCATGTCGCGACTCGAAGGTAGTGTCCGTTGAAAATCGTAGTCGTGGCCGCTGATACTGCGTTCGCCTACCGGTTCCGAAGTGTCCATGTCGTCCAAAGTTCTCATAAGATCCGTACTCTGGTATTCCGACGGTTGAGCCTCCTGTTTCGTTGGCTGGTGCTCCGCGAAAGACCGCGTCTCTTCTCGTCCCGTCACGGGACTCTCAGCCGAGTCCCAGTTGCTTGCCATGAGGTTTTCGGGAATGCCGCGAGCCCGCTGTTCTGCTGCCTCTGCGTCCATGATTGTCTGCGATGCGCCCTCTGCTTCTCCTTCCGCATCCGCCGGTACATCCCAGAAGTCACCCGTGTCAGCATCAAGTCTTCCGCCGTCTGCTACCGTTTTCCGCTCTGAGGATTCCCACAATGATGGATCATCGAAGAAGTCGTCCTCCTTGGGAGTTCTCTTGTCAACGTATTTCGACTTCTTCTTACCCTTGCCCTTAGTCTTTTTTGAACCTCCAAATTTGTCTGCTAGCAGCGCTACACCACCAGTCAGTGCGCCAGCAGCCGCCAATGCCTCAGCGGTGCTGGGGTCGTCTTGTCTCTCAGACTCCATCTTCAAAGAGCTCGACTCTCCAGAATTCCTAGTCTTGCCAGATCGAGATTCCATGAAATCTGCAGCCATATCGCGGGCAGCCTGAGATTCTTTACCAGCCTTGACGCTTGACTGAGAAACCACGGGGAGAAGCTCAGGGCTAGTCTCTCGCTTAGAAGCACCTCCCAGCAGTTCAGGCTGGGGATCAAAGTACGAAGCGGCTATCTCTCGGCGAGGGGTGATTGGTGGTAGGCTGGTCTGGTTCGACTTGAACCCCCAACTCTGATCGTCCTGGGGTATTTCTTCGAGCAACTTCGGTTGTGACTCAAAGTATGCAGCTGCCATCTCGCGAGCTGGTGTGATGGGAGGCAAGATGTCTTCCGAGTCTTTCTCTTGTCTGGAGGATGCTTCATTTTCATAGCCCGCCTCATGATAACTTGGGTATGGACTTGACGGGATTGCGGCCTCGTAACCGTATCGGGAAGTATCGTCCATAGGAACTTCTGGCATCGAGGAAGAGTCTCTGTGCTTGGTCACGCTGTGGCTCGGGTCCTCCAGGTAAGAAGCGGCGTATTCTCGAGAGGCAGAGATGGGCTCGGGAATGATAGTGTCGTCCAAGTGCGAATGCATTCTGACCTTCTTCCCACGTTGTGTTGTATGGTCAAACGGTGCCTCGTGATCGAGGTTGCTCGTCGTTTGAGCAGGAGACAGGTCGATGCCTGGCGAGGTTTCTTGAGGGTCGAAGGGCTGAGTCTCTTCAGGGGTAGCATCGCCCGGTGTTTGATCTTTCGGCTGGAAGAAGCTGTCATCATCCCAAACATCCTTGGCTTTAGTTGAATCAAGTTCTGTCCCAATCGGAGGCTGAGACTCAAGCGGAGTTGTTGTACCGGATGTCTTGCCCTTTTTCTTTCCCTTCTTGTCTTTCTTGGACTTTTTAGTTGCATAACTGGGCCACTCATCTTCGACGGGAGCGCTAGGCTCTGGCGCTGGCTCTGGCTCTGTGGCTTGAAGTGGCTCGGAAGGGTCAGATATTGGCGCGGCTGCAGCTGCAGCGCTCTCAGGCAGGCTGAGGTCCAAGTCTGTCTGCTCCACCGCTGGTGTTTGAGTACCAGAAGCTGGTTCAGACTCAGCAAAGCCAAGGGACTTCCGCTTCTTCTTGTCCTTTTTTGACTTCTTGTTCGAGAAGGAGGCCCATTCATCGTCGACAGGCGCAGGAGCAACAGGCTCTTCTGTGATGGTATGTTCAGTGATCGCAGGCTCCTCTGTGGTCATAGTCTCAGTGATTGGAGGCTCCTTTGCCTCCACAGTGGTAGCCTCTGGGTTTATCTCATCACCAAGCTGGTTTTCATTGATCGTAGGTGTCTGAGCTCCAGACGCTGGCTCTGACTCAACTTGAGCAATTGACTTCCGCTTCTTCTTGTCCTTCTTTGACTTCTTGGTAGCGTACTCTGGCCAATCCTCGACGACGGGTTCACTTGACTCCAGCTGCTCTACCACAGTCTTACCGCCGATTTCGAGCTCTAGAGGCTCGGCAACAGAAATATCTTGACTGAGCTCGGGGTTGGCGATCTCTCGAATCTCAGACGGCAATGAGGTAGGACCCATGGAGTCATCCTGCGGTACCTCTGGTTGCGGCGTCTGGGTGCCCGATGGAGGATCAGAATCGAGCAAGGCGACTGCCTTCTGCTTTTTCTTGTCTTTCTTCGACTTCTTTCGAGTGAGTGGAAAGAGGTCTTCCCCAGTATCCCTTGGTATAGAAGATTCTGGTTCGGCCGGCTGTTCGCTTGCCAACTCGGGTTGTAACGGTGCTTCCTCAGTGATGGGAACGGTGGTTGCAGGATCGTGAGCTGATTCCGCATGAGTAGAAGCATCCTCAGAGACTACTTGCTCTACTTGATCAGGCACGGGTTGATCATTGCCCCAGGTCAAGTTTTCCAGAGCCTTTGCTTTCTTTCCCTTCTTCTTATCTTTTTTTGACTTATTGACAGCGAATTCGGAGAAGTCACCAGTGTCATCTTGAGGTATGACGGTCGGCGGCTCTGGTATCCCCTCGTCTGGTACATTCTCAGGCGATTCCCTGCTCTGAACCTGGTCGCCTTCTTGATGAAGTCCGCTGCTCTCGGCCGCCAGCGCATCATTACTGATAGCATCTACAGTGGACTGCTCTTGCAGTTGCATCACGGGCTCTGATTCCAAGTCAGGCTGAGCATCTGAGTGTTCCACAATGCCAGTTGGAGCCGAAGTAGAAGCCACGTGTTCTGTCGCAGGCACAACTTGCATCTCCGGGTCAACACTTGGCTCTGCAGCAGCGGATGCCAATTCATCATTGTTCGGAGGGAGATCTTCACCAGCCGAAGCTTCAGGCAAGGGCTGTGGGGACATGGTATCATCCTTAACAGCAGTGATCTTGTCCTCACCAGGAAGCTCAGGTTCGGGCTCTGTCGACAGGATAGCGGCTTTCTTTGCCTTTTTCTTATCCTTCTTGGACTTTTTGCTAGAGACAAACTCGGGAAATTCATCTGCGGGTTCTGCAGTGGTGAGATTGGCCGCATCAGTCGAGCCGGCTTCTCCACTGGCAGGTTGCTCAATGGTCACGGTATCCTGTGCCGGTTCCAGCGCTGGGTCCTGCATCGACTGCTGTGCTGAAAGAGGATCCTCAACGGGTGTGGGGGCTGATGGTTCCTCCCAATCAAATTGAGCTTGCCCCTTCTTCTTTTTCTTGTCCTTCTTGGATTTTTTGGTCGAAACAAATTCCGGCAATTCGTCTGCAGGTTGAGCGTCTCTCGATACAGGTAGCTCGTCCTGGGAAGGTGCAACCTCCTCGATTTGCTGCTCGGACACCAGAGAGTTGTCCTGGAGGGGCTGCGCTTCGTCTTGGGCGGTGGCAATAGCAGGCTCTTCCCAGTCAGCCTGAGCTTGAAGACCCTTCTTTTTCTTCTTCTTGTCTTTCTTGGACACAAATCCAGAGAATGACTCCTGCGGGTCCTCTGCTTCCTTGCTGGCCGAAAGGTGCTCTTCAGGTACAACAGGCATTTCGTTTTCTAGAGGCTGCTCCAAGACAGGTGATTTCGGCAATTCCTCAGCCGTCCGAGTCTCTTCGACCGTCTGAGGTTCCTCGAGATGCCGAGGTTCTTCAACCTTTGGAGGCTCTTCGATTGGCGTGGCTATCTCAGGCTCAGGCTCAGGCTCCCAGTCGAACGCTTGGCTACCCTTCTTCTTTTTCTTGTCCTTCTTTGATTTCTTGCCCACGGTAAACTCAGGGAAGATGTCATCCGGCGTCTCTGCAGGCTGAGAAGGGATGCTCTCCTGCACGGTAGGTTCGTCTTGGGGAAGACTCGCGTCCTCTTGTACAGGAGAGGGCTCCACTTCCAATTGGCTTTGAGGCTCCTCTTGAACGGGCGTGCTAGTAGATGTTTCAGGTTCCCAATCCTGGATCTGACTGGCGCGCTTCTTCTTTTTATCCTTCTTGGACTTCTTGGTGACAAAGAATTCAGGCTCGTCTTGTGAAACATCTTGATTTTGAGTCTGAGGAGTGGGAATGACGCCCTCCTCAGTGACTAGCTGATCATTTGTAGGGTCCTCGACTACTACAGGTGCGACGTCCTCGGCTACATTCTCTTGGGACTCGATAATTCTGTCCGTGGTCGTTGGTTCTGGAGCCACTGTCTCGCTTCCAGGAATTGGTTCTTCGACACCACGGATTTTGGCACTGGCCTCCTCAGATTGGCCGAGTACAGCAGCCTCACTGGCGAGGACTTCATGCTCAGGTTTAGCGGTCTTCTCAGTGACAAGTGGCTCCGTAGGGGACTCTTCAGTCACTTGAGGTACTGCGGAGGGCTCGGTCTCTGGCTCGGGTTCCCAGATGCTGGCCTTTTTCTTCTTCTTGTCTTTCTTGCTCTTTTTCGAAAACGCAAAGCCAGAAAAGTCGTCGTCCTTGGAACTATCAAGTGGTGTTTCTTCGACGGACTGAGCCTGCTCCATCTCTTGGGTGGCTGGCTCTTGTGGGGCTTCAGGCGGCGTGGGCTGCTCTTGGGGTTCGTCGAATTCCCACACGGAAGCCGATTTCTTCTTTTTCTTGTCCTTCTTGCTCTTCTTAGCAGGAGTGACATCAAAGCCCTCTTCCTCTTTAGCACTGTCAAGAGGCGTAGAATCATCGGCGGCAGGCTGCTCCTCGACAGCCTCAACATTGGATTTCGCAGGGTCCTCTACCGTTTGAGACTGATCGGGCTGATTCTCGTCGTCCCAGGCACTGGCTTGCTTCTTTTTTTTCTTGTCCTTCTTCGATTTCTTTGCCGAAGCGAAGCCAGTAAAGTCATCCTCCACCGGGATCTCGACAGCGGTGGACGGGCTAGGGTCGGGTTCGACGGAAGGCTCAGCAACTTCTGGAGCAGGACCGGACACTGCGGTTTCATCAGGAGATGCATCAACTTGTCGACTGCTTGTATCCTGCAGCTGTACATGATCCACGTCCAGGCCTGAGACCGGGTCCTCAGGGGTCGAGGTAGAAGACTCTTCAGGAAGAGAAACAGGATCCTCAGTGACCACCTGGCTGTCGCGCTTCTTCTTCTTTTTCTTGTCTTTCTTGGATTTGGGGGCAGTAAAGAATTCGACAGGGTCTTCCTCAGGCTTTGGGACATCTTGCTCAGTCGTTTGTCCCAGGATCGGGCTCTTCGGCGCCTCAGCAGATATTTGCTGCTCAACTTCGGCCGATGGCTCTTCTCGTGCAAGTGAGTCGTCGGTGTTGTCCTTGACATCAGTCAATACAGCGTTGTTGAGGGTCTCATAGACCGTAGCTTGCTCCGGGAGCTCAGCTACTGGCACGGCTTTCTGCTCAGATCCTTCTTGTGGCTCAATAACAGTGTCCTGCAACACGGGCGCATCCTCAGGGAGTTCTGGGGCTGAGATAGATTCTGCAGGAACCACAACATCAGGTGTGAGTACTTCATGGTCCAAGGACTGACTAGGCTCGGGCACCGAAGAGGTTGACTGACCAACGTCCTCCTCAGAGGGCGTTGTTGGGCACTCATCGCTTGGAACGCGACTGGCTCGCTTCTTCTTCTTGTCTTTTTTGGACTTCTTGGCGGACGAGAATCCAGAGAAATCGTCGTCTTGCGGTTCCCCAGTGGGCTGCTCCAGAGGTGCAGCTGGCCCTTCTTCCTGAGCAGGTTTCTGTTGGGACTCATCGGCTGGCCAATCATTCATCATTTCTTCAAAAGACGATTTTTTGGTCAATTCAGGTTCTTCGACCTGGCTGCGACGCTTCTTCTTTTTCTTGTCCTTCTTGCTTGTAATGGGAGCAAAATCATCTTCCTGAGGCTCTGCAGGCTGTTCTGACGGCATCATGGATTCCAATTCACCCGCCGCCGCCACCGGCTCCGGTACAACATGTTCGGCGGCATCCACAACTCGAGAAGGTGATTCAGGGCGATGTGCCAGTGGCTCTTCTGAAGGCAGTTGCTCCGAGTCTGTGGCTTCTGTTACTGCTTGCGCAGCCTCACCAGGCGTGGGTGACTGTGATTGATTGAGAACCGATGCATCCAACGGTAACTCCTTGGACTCCTCAGGCACATCTTGCTTTGCCGAGGCGAGCGCTTCCGAAGTATCAGCGGCAACGACTGGTGACTGTGATCGAGCAAGCTGCTCCTGCTCCTGCTCTCCTAAGGATGTCTTTTCGGCCTCAGGCTCGGGTTCGGAATCCTGAATTTGGCTACCACGCTTCTTCTTTTTCTTGTCCTTCTTTGATTTCTTGGTAGAGAAGCCGGTAAAGTCAGCGTCGTCGGTCTTCTGGTCATCAGCATCAATTGGTGTTGAATCCTCACCAGTCGGAGTCTCGGAGATGATTTGTTCAGGCTGTACTTGATCCTGGCTGGCAGAAGGGGTGTCGGTCGGGAATTCCACTGTTGTTGCATCCACGGTGGACTCTTCCTTGGGCGTAGACGTCCCCGATGTCGACTCGAGCATGTCGTCGATCTTGCTCTTACGCTTTTTCTTGTCTTTCTTGCTCTTCTTGGTGAAGACAGGGAACTCATCTTCAGGAGTCACGCCAGGCGCATTCTCGCCGCTGGGTACCTCTAACACAGGATCTTGCTCCATAGTGGGCAAGGCACCAGTGACTTCGGTAGCTTGGGCATTTGCATCCTGTTCCTCATGTGATTCTGGTACATTGGCAGGCTCCGAGTAAGATTCAGGCTTCGACAAGTCCTGACTTTGACCCATTTCCGTATCAGGGGTCGCTGTTTGGTCTTGTGAGCTCTGCGGTACCTTCTGGTCTTCGTTCCGAAGCAGTGAATCATGTGCCGGTGCCGCGTCTTCAGCTGTATCTGGGGCTGGTGTTCCATCGGCCATAGGCGCATCGATCGTAGGCTCAGTGCCGGAAAGTGCGGGCTCTTCGGACTGCCTGGTATTGGTAGGACCATTCTCAGACTCCGCAGCTGCTTTCAGAAGGTTCTCATCTGACGTGCCCATGAAAAGAACTTTGCGCTTCTTCTTATCCTTCTTAGACTTCTTGGAAGAGGCGACGCCAGTATCAACGTCATCGTCGAGCATAGGCGGCTCGTCAATCGGTAGATTGGGCTCAGTCTGTGACTCCGGCTGAGTATCGCTCGCCGCAGGGGTGTCTTCCCATAGGACACTTTGTCGTTTCTTCTTCTTGGACTTCTTAGACGAAGTTGCCGCCCATGGGTCATCTGCAAGCTCTTTCTCCGTATCAGGCTGGTCAATGGCACGCTCGCCATCCGGATTCAGCCCTTGGTCCACAGACAAAGGTTCAGTGGAGAGTGGTTCATCTACCACAGCAGGAGTCTCGAGCGGCTCAGGTGATGCCTCATCAAGTGTTTGGTCGAATTGGGGCGAAGCACGATTCTTCTTCTTGTCTTTCTTGGACTTCTTCTTGCTAACCGATAACTCAGGCTCGGGCTCAGGTGCAGGCTGAGTCTCGGGTTGCAGACTCTCGGTGATATCCACATCTTTGCTCTCTTCGGCCTCAACTTCATCAGCCCAACTACCAGAACTCACGGGTTCAGTGCTGACAGGTGCCGAGAGAGTGACATCTGTGGTATCAGTGGACGGCGTTTCCTCAGGGCCTTGTTGAGAATTCTCAACGTCGTTATCTAATTTAATAACTTGAGACGCTTGACGGCCCTTCTTGCCCTTCTTGCCTTTCTTTCCGGACTTCACAGGGGTAGCCCAGATGTCATCTGCAGTAGCCTCCATCTCAGGCTGAGTTGGCACAGGCTCATCTCCGGTAGACGTCAAGCTTTCAGTTGATTGCTCAGTCAAGTGCACATTCTGAGGCAATGGTTCTTGCGGTGTTTCAAGACTGGTTGTAGGAGCGTCTGGCTCCGTTTCCAAGGATACCGAAGCACTCTGTCGCTTCTTCTTGTCTTTCTTGCTCTTCTTCTTGCTGCTGCCAAAGTCTTGTTGCCAGTCGTCGATAATTTCTTTTGTGTTTGGCTCGGGAACAATGGCACCCTCCCCATGAGAATCACTTGCAGGCACAACATTTTCCATCTCCACAGGTGGTTGGGCTAGGCGGTCTATAGTGTTGTCCTCTGAGCCAACGCCGGCAAGTGGGTCCTCAAGTGGAGCACCCAGACCGGGATTCAACTGGGATTGGCCTTCACCGCTGGCCGAGCTGGCAGGATCGGGCTGCATGGATGCCTCAACCACGTACTTGGGGAGGTCAGTATCCACCTGTTTGACGTTGCTCAGGTCCGCAATATCAGTGTGGCGACCCTCTACCTGCATCTCTGCGGAGAAGGGCGCAGGAACGTCAGGTTCTCGCACAGCATCGGTGTCCTCGAATGAGACGGTCTCCGCAGCCGAGTTTTGGGCGTCCGACGTGGCCCCGGTCGATTGGCTTTCTGCTGGAGCAGTCTCTGTTGTGCTACGCTGCTGCTCATCCGATGCAGAGGTTGCCTCTGGGAAGTCCAAACTTTGCTCAGCAGGGGCAGACGACAGCTCAGCCACTTGAGTATTGGATGGCGGGCTTGGGTCAGAGCTGATCTCTTGTGATTCCTCAAAGTTGAACGAGCTGGTTGGCGCTGTGTCCTGAGAAGAGGTGAAATCTGGTTCAGGGTCCCAGATTTGGGACTTCTTGCCCTTCTTCTTTTTGCCCTTCTTTCCGGCAAGTACGGGCTCAGGCTCCTCCGTAATTGCAGGCTCGCGGGTGGTCAGTTGAATAGGCTCCGATGGAGTCTCTGGAAAAGCTTCAGATGTGATGTCCAGCGGCTGCGAACTATCTTCCGCGATTGCATCGTTCGCAATATCTGTAGTTTCCGGTGTTGAAGATATTGCACCCAGCTCGGGCTCGGGCTCGGGCTCCCAGGCTACCAACTTGCCCTTCTTTTTCTTGCCTTTCTTAGAGGAAATGCTTGTAGACCGCTGCAGTGTGGGCTGCTCAGACCCAGTCTCCTGCTGGGAAATTTCCGGGGTTGGTGTAGTAACTTCATCCGTAATCAAAGGAGTAGAGTCTTCTGGAATTTCAGAAATATCTTGAACAGGCTGGGCCGTGCCTTCGACCTCAGGCAGAGGCTCGGCTTCAGGTTCCCAGGCAAGGCTTTTCTTGTTTTTCTTGCCCTTCTTACCCTTCTTAGAAGGTGTAATGGGAGCAAAGTCGTCCTCAATGACAGGGGGCTCGGGAGCTGAAGTAGCCAAGTCTTGGCTCAAACTAGCATCGGTGTCGGGTTGGGGAGCATCGTCGGTTGCTTGGGAGGGTGGCAATTCATCAATCTCGACGGACTTCCCTTTCTTGCCCTTCTTGGACTTCTTGGACTTCTTAGATGAGAGGCTGAACTCGGCGGGTTCATCCTGTCCCGGGAGATTGTCTGATGCATCTACGAAAACATCGTGGTCGGTGCTCATGTCATCTGGCTGCTGGACATCAGGCTCATCAAGCAAGGCAATAGCAGCCGCGGTACCTGCGGCCACACCGGCCATAACACCAAGACCTGCCAATTCTTGCTTGTTGTGGTCGTCGGTGCTCTCAGGGATGTCTGTAAGCTCGCCAGATTTGCTCAGAGCAATACGACTTGGAGAGTCTTGGTGCAAGTCGCTGACATTGGTTTCCTTCTTGACGGAAGGAGGGCTCGAGTGAAGCAGGTAAGAGCTTCGGTCCTTGGACATTGGCTCGACGGGCTCCGGCTTTGGTGTGCCTTGATCCTGGTTATCTAGCGTGGGGGGCAAGTCCGGCTCATCTGCAGCAAACTCCCGCTGATGAGGCGTGCTGAACGCATCTGTTAAGGCGGCAGTCTGCGCCTTTGGTGTCGTATCTGGAGAGCCAAGTCCCTTAGCTTCGAAGTCCGCCAACGCTGTAGGTATATCGAGCTTCAACGCAAGATCTGTGGACAAATCGCGTGCGTGTTCGTACTGGACGTCCTCTTCACGCTCCTTGGCCTCGGGAGCAGGTGATTCACGCGAGGGTGGGCCGCTTTCAGGTAACTGCGGTAAGTTCTCTTCAAAGTCGGGCGTGAGGGCTATGGAGTCTCTGGAGGTCTTTTCCACCAGATACAAGGGCTTGAACTCTTTGGTGTTGTCCCAGGAAATTGGACGAGGGGAACGGGTTTTGGAGGCGCTGTAATTCTCAGCGGGCGCAGCGATGGGCGATGACATGGGCGAAGACCGTCGGAAGCCAGGAGAAGACGGTTCGGATCGCTTGCCTTTCCCTATACCAAAGCGGAGAGGAATCGCACTTTGGCTAGGAGACCTCAGGTTGAGCGGAGTCTCGTTCGCACTCTTGCGGCGAATATGGCTTGGCTTGTTGCGTAGCTCACGCAAAAGCTGCCGCTCATGCTCGGGTGTCTCAGGCCGACTGTCCGGCAGAGCCGGAAGTTCATCAGTCTCGGAGGTTAAGGAACCAGGAGGAGGACTGGGTGGTAATGGTAATAAATCGCCATATTGTGGGTCTATGGCAGGTCGAATTTCCCGCTGTACGATCTCGGGGTCAATGATATCGGAGCCTCGCCTTTGCGCGCTGGGGCTAGATCGTGGTTGGGGAGTGAAGGGAATACTGTGAGCTTCCTTTTCCGAAGGAACATCGGTGGCATTTGGTCGGGACATCTGCGCTCCTACAAGAGCAGCAGCGCCCGCCAGGCCGACACCCGCGCCAAGAGTGCCGGCATTATCTAAAAAAGACTGCTTCTTGTCCTCCTCGGACTTGCGAGAGCCTTTGTCTTTTTCATCTGAAATGCCAATCGACGACTTGAAGCGGTCAAACAGACCTGAGGAACCGCTGTTCCTTTTCTCCTTGTCTTTCTCGGACTTGCTGCTACTCTTTCGGGTCCCACCAGGCGCAGAAGCGACCGACTTCGCATCATCGAAGTCGTCGAATCTACTTCTACTTCTGTTCTTGTCCGAGCGGCGATGATCGTCATCCCGGATTGGTGCGGATACGACAGAGCTTACATCGTTGTCTAGGAACTGGTAGATATCGCGTCCTCTATCAGGAGGTTCACCATCGTCATCCTCTGGAAAGCTCCCGGGAGCGCTGCGACGCTTCTCCTTCTTGCTCTTCCTCTCGGAGATCTCAGAATCGTCCTTCGACCGCGAGGGAGAGTCGGCATATGAATCTCGTTTCGACTTCTTCTTGGAGCTCTCCGAAGTTGAAATTTCAGACGGCGCAGCAGACCGCGAGGCCGATCTAGAGCCGGAGGGAGAATCGTAGACGCCAGAATCCCTCTTCGACTTTTTCTTTGACTTCTTGGGTAAGTCCCACTCATCGTCAACAAGGTCGCCATTCTTCTCGCTGCGAAGATCGCTAAACGATTCGGTCATTGCCTTGGGTGATTCTACAATGTTGTCTGCAGTAGTAGGAGTCTGGGCCGGGGAGTCGTAAGAGGTTGAGTCACGTTTTGACTTCTTCTTAGACTTTTTCGAGACATCCCAGTCATCATAACTGGTTGGCTCGACGGTCGAGAAATAGTCCGTTGACTGACTCTTAGTCATGGGTTCTGAAACCACTGATGGCACGTTGGTCCAGTCAGTATTATCCGTGGCGAAGGAGTCTTGCTTAGAGTGCTTCTTCTTGCTCTTCTTGGGAGTGTCCCATCCGTCATCAGGGATAACGGTGATGGCGTCCTCTGATTGCCGAGAGCTCTCTCCAAATACCTCAGACGGAGCCACAGATTGGGAGGGGGAGTCGTAAAGCCCGGAGTCTCGCTTGGACTTCTTCTTGCTCTTCTTGGGGACATCCCAGTCATCTTCAGGCTGGATCTCCTTCGTCTCTGAGGCGTCTCTAGAAACTTCAACTTCAGGCAATATGCCCGACTGTGAGAGTGGATCATATATCTCCGAGTCGCGCTTAGACTTCTTCTTGCTCTTCTTGGGCAAGCCCCACTCGTCGTCTGGTTGGGTGCTCTGAACCTCCTCCTGAAGGTCCCTGAACGCATCAACAGGCACAGAGACCTTCGAGTTGTCTGCTTCACCGAATGGACTCGGGTCCTCCTGAACAATGATGGCTTTCTCCTTCTTCTTATCTTTCTTGGACTTCTTCTTCTTGGAGGATGAATCTTCCCACTCATCAGCAGGGGCAGCTTCAACGGGTACAGGCTCTGGCTCCTTCGGACTGGCGATTTCGATGACCTCTTCTTCTTGCAATGCCTTAGCCTTGGCAGCCTTGTCCCGCTTCTTCTGCTCTTTCTTGCTGAGCTTGGTCGAAGTCGACCATTCATCATCGTCGACGATGGGCTGAGGGGTCTCGGGTTCTGAATCACGTGGAGTAGACACTCCAAACTCTTCCTCCTGGATCCCCTTAGCTTTGGCAGCCTTGTCGCGTTTCTTCTGCTCCTTTTTGCTGAGCTTCGAGGACGTTGCCCACTCATCCTCCTCAAGAGGGGCCGGTTGAGAAGCTTCGGGATCCTCGATAACGACGATCTCGGACTTGTAGTTGTCGACACTATCCCGCTTGGCTGCCTTCTCCAGCTTCTTACGCTCCTTCTTGCTCAGTTGGGAATAGATGTCAGACTTGTCGGTGGCGATTTCCCTCTCGTCTGCCGGCGTATCTGGGACCTCGCCAAGGATAAACCCGTGATCTGATCCGTTCTTTGAGAGAGAAGAGCCTGCGACAGGGCGCACACCCAAGTCCGATACGGTTTCAGCAAATGGAGTTTGGTAAAGGCTGGGTTGACTAGAGTTGGGAGGCGAGTCGCGCCGATGGTACTGAGCATTGTTGATCACGATGTTAGGATCAAACCCACTGTCCTGGAGCCCTGCAGCAACCGTGGCTGTGAAAGCCATATCCTCGGCGAATGAACCCGGCATCTGCGCACCTCGGGGGCTGGGGGGTTTCGGACCAGGAACAGGCGGCTCGTCAATGATTTCGTCCCACGGAACAGAAGACTTGCGCATGCCTTTTGGAGAATCTCGAGACTTGCGTGACGAGGTCGAGACGTGACTTGCATTGTCGTCGATGTCCTTGGGCGAGTCTCGTGACCGCCTCGAGCTCGAGGACACATTACTTCCGGTTTCGTCCTTGTCCTTGGACGACTCTCTAGATTTCTTCGAGCTAGAGGAGACGTTGCTAGAGGTCTCGTCCTTGTCCTTGGATTTTGAGGAGTCCGAGACGGTCGAAGCTGCAGCAGCTCCAGCACCCGAACCCGCGATGGCAGCGGCAAGGACTCCCCAGCCACTCTTCTTGCCGGACTTCTTGGGAGTCTCGGCGGGTATCACGACTCTAGCACCAGAGGACTCAACGTTGCCGCGCTCTGGGCTCTCTACGACATACCGCCGAGTCTCATTCTCACCCCAAGTGACCCCCTTAGAGGTTGGCGTCGAAGGGGTCTGAACAACCTCACCCCGGGGCCCAATGACAACGTCGTCCACTGACTGGGTTGTCTCGACCTGAGGCATCTTCTTCTTCTTGAACTGCCTCTTTGTCCCGGTGGTTGGCTCCTCTCGGGTCTCTTCTTTGGCCTTTTGCTTCTCGGGCACTGGCGTAGGCACAGGAGTCGGCCGGACGAGGTTCAACATCGGTCGTTCCCGTTCAGCAGACGGATCGCGGGACTTGAGCAGACGGCCGCGGGTCATGATGGGCAAGTCCCTGGGCGACAGAATATTGTCAATGCGCACGTCCGCATCAGGTGCATCGTAAAGGCTCTTCTCCTTGGGCTTCTCCTTGGCTGGTGGTGCAACGATTTCGGGAGTCTTCGGCTCGGTGTCCTCTTGCCACTTATCCACAACCGAACGATCGGGTGACCTGCTGCGGGATCGTTCCTCTTCTGCCTGTCGTGCAAGGAGATCTCGGCGGTAGAGGATGTTTGCAACCTCCTGCACAGGATCACGGTTGTCCTCCCTTCTGCGCGAGGTTCGATCGCCTCCGCGACTACGGCTTCGGCCACGGCGCTCCTCTGTCACAATCGCGGCTGTAGCAGCAGCTATAGCACCCGCTGCAATGGGAGCCGTGGCGTTCTTGGTGCTCTCATATATGTCTTGGGTATCGCGAAGCTCTCGCTCGTAGGAGTCTCTGCGGCTCATCCTCTCGGGATTGATGTCATCCTCGAACCTGGAAAAGTCCGGTTCCCGGTCTACGGTAAATACCTGGGGGGTCAGCGGCCGCTTCGGTGTATTGCCGTATTGCGGCGTTGCAAAGGCATCGCTGGCTACTTGAAATTGAAAGGGGTCTATCGGGCCTTTGGAAGATGGATTAGCTGGGCCTTCGAGCCGGCGGTACACATCAGCCTCGGATGAGCGACTTGAGTGTTTCTCTTCACGTGGGTCATCCTTACGAGTCTCCTTCTTGTCGCTCTTATGGTCCTCCTTTGGTCGGTCCCGATGCTCCCGTTCGTAGTCATACTCATCGCGATACTTATCACGGCGCCGCTTCTCACGTTCGTCCTCGCGATCCGCATTTGGGTCTCGCCTCACAACCTCTTTGCCCTTGTCCTTTTCGCGGCGTTTCTCGTAGCGATCCAAGTCATCGCGGCTCTTGCGCTTTTCCTCTTTCCCATCGGCATACTTGTCATCGGAGCGCTTGGACCGGCGTTTCTCGTCGCGCTCATCTCCATACTTCGAATCGGCATATTTGGACCGTCGTCTCTCTTCGCGCTCCCGGTCCTTGTCTCGTTCGCGCTCACGCTCACGCTTCTCTTCGCGATGCTTCTCTTTTTCGTCTTTCCGGCCATCTCTGCGATCGGCAAGCGCACCAGCGAGTGCGGCACCAGCAAGACCTGCGGCTGCCGCGCCAGCCAGAGCGGTCCCTGAGGATGTCCGCCTGGAGTATCGAGGATCAGACTCAGCTGTGTCGAACACCTTGCTGGACACTGGCGCGATCGGCTTTGGTTGTTGAATGGGGACAGGTTCGGGCCTCGTGCGCGACGTGTCCTGCTCAACTATGATCGAGTCTTGCCCGACCTTGAAGACATTGGGATCGGAGGTGGGTACCGGGTATACGCTCTGCATCGGGCGGCCTTCGTACGAGACAGAACCGCTCGCTGGAATCGAGGCACTGGGTCCCGCTACGGACGATTGCCCGTAGCTTTCACTGACGGTCCTTCGATCCAACTTGTCAAAGCCACAGGGAGTGTTGACAATACCACGGAGCGAGTTGACAGGGCCAAAGAGCTTGGGGTCCACTATGGACGGCTTGTGCTGGAGTAGTCTCTCGTACTCCCCGGGTCGGCTCATCGACGGCGGTGGGCTGGAAATATGAATAGGCTGGTTTCCACCAGCAGGCAGATGCGTAGTCGAGCCATAGACCAGACCAGAGTCCTCCTCACTTGAGTATTCATCCTCCGAGGCAGACTCCCACTCGGAGTCATCGGAAGAATGATGACGGCTGGGCCTCGAGCTCCCAATACCTCTTTCCGAAGGGCCGGCATTGCTGGTCTTGTTGAATTGACTCAACGCCGCAGCAGCACCCACCAAGGCGGATGGTCTGTGTCGTCCGGCGCGCCGAAGATCTTCCTTGTTCTGCAGCCTGGCGATCTCGGCAAACTTGCGTCCCAACTCAATGATCTCCTCATCCGTCTTCTCGCGCTTGGGGCCCTGCGGTCTCTCGAGATCGCTGCCGTCCCTGCGCCTGCCGGGCTTCGGAGGTGTGAAGTCCCGGCTCCGCCTGCGATCGATGTAGCCCTTCCCGTACGCCATGTCGGAGCTCACAGACGAGGAGGAGCCATTGCCGAAGCGGAAGAGGCGGCGCGAGCGCTTCTTCCGCACGCGCCGCTGGTATCGTTCGGAGGAGAAGAAGGACTTGAGGCCAAACTTCTTGTTGTCGCGGGAGATGTTCAGCAGCGAGGACGAGGTCGAGGACGAGGAGGAAAACCCAGAGCTCGACAGGGCCCGCGACCGCACGTCGGGCTGCATGTGGCCGTAGGGATCCCGGGGGTACTCGTCCTGGCGCACAGCGACCTGGTAGTCATGCTGGGGTTGATATTGTTGTTGGTATTGTTGTTGATGTTGATGCTGAGGCTGGAGCTGGTGTCCGGGGTCGGGCTCTGGCATGTGTTGCAGCTGGTTCATCTGGTACTCGTACTCTCTGGAATCCCGGCGCTCTCTGCGCCGGCGACGCGAGCTCTCAAGGCTGCGACGCCGTTGATGATGGTCCCGGGTCATCATCTTGACAGCCTGGACGAGGGTGTCCTACGCTCCGTCCATTCGGCAGTCACGATAGTTCGTGTATAGCGGGTGAGCACTGAGTCAGATCTCAACAGTAGAGGCAAACTCAAAGCTCTCTCTGGGTGTGAGAGTTGAGTGTTATTGTTGTTTTGGCGGAAGCTAAACTGCCCAAGATGGCCTAGAGGTGCCGTCCGGGCCATCCACTCCACCCAAGCGGCTACTGAGGCCCTGTGCAGCAGTATTCTCGGGCTAGCAACGAGGTGGCTGGGATTTTTCAGCTCACCCCGGCTCCTCGTTGGACTCGGCCCAATGCGGGACTGGGGCCTTGAGGTGGCCCGGTGGCCATGGGGTGGGGTGCTCCTCCACCCCATTGGGCCTGTCTGGGAACTCAGACCGCCACGTCAATACTGAGCCAGCGTACATGTATGTGCTATGTATGAAGTCCCAATCCAATGTCGCACTTGACTATTGCAGATTGCGGAATCTTTTCTGTTTGCCACTGGCCCCAACCGTGGAGCGCCCACAACTCTGTTCCCGTTTGTCGCCAGTCTCTCTCGGTCTCACAGACCAAGAGACCAACAACAACTGGCAAAACTGGGATCTCGACGTGTGGGTCTGCCCAAGCTACAAGCATCGTCCCAGAGCCTTCCGAGCTTAGAGATCTGCCTCAATGTAATTGGCTGCATTTACGGCGCTGGGGGGTTTCGTTCGATGGGGGCCATCCAGTGGGAGGGCTGGAGCGATAGCGGATAGGCACGGACAACATTGGAATCAACTTACCTATCACGCCTATGCACATTGCAATTGACAACAACAACACGCAGCAGCTTCCTTTCTATTTAACACGTTATCGAGTCAGCAGTAATCAGCTTTGCTACATAGACATGCCCGAAATCACATCGGTGCACTTTTCATACGAAACCAACCACCGCCAACAGCGACAGTCTACAAAAGCAGACACCCATGGAAGCAACATCACTAGCTGCGAATTGACAGCGGTGTCCGGTCAACTCGACGCGATCAATTTTACTAGATTATTGTATGTCTCTCCCGGGCCCGAGACCGCCGCCAGAGAGCTAGCTCCAGCAGGAGTGATACGAAATTGTTTGCGGCCCGGGACCAATTGTTTGCAGCCAGGAACTCTCGGACAGCGAAAGCCTTACTATAACACGTCCGCAAGTACGCTGGCTGAGACGTGAACAATATTCGAATTCCGCTGCATCATCACTGTCAAACTTTCACGCACGCAGCGGCGCAGTAGTATACCATGGTTGTTTTAAACGTCTCTGTGTCCGCATATCCCGTTCAGCGAGCAACAAACACAGTAAACGCGCCTTTGCGGCGTTGTGGTCTTCATCATCTATACGTGGAAGTATATACACAGAGAAACGTACACATACACATGACTCGTCCAGTTTCTTTCCGTTTCTCAAGACTCCTTTGAATGAACCCCGTAAATTTCAAATGCACTGAGCTCTAGCTCTGCCGGAGCTCGAAGATGATGAATTTCCCCCCTGAGGCACCGAACCATGCCAGCAAAATACAGGCAAACTGGGTATAATAATCTTGCGGTCAGAAAAAGTGCCGCAAGAACACGGCGGATGATATGTTGAAAGGATGGCAAATTGGCCATTAGGCGAATGCAGGTTGCCTATGCAAATGTCAAGAATCGAGACTCGCCCAGGCCAAGGGAGAGCTCAAGGGCATCTTCGCAGGTCTATAATTTGACCTTCTGTCCTGTAAGTTTGAACCAGAGGACTGCGACGAGATCCTCCTTGAACAACTCCCAGGGATTCCGGTTGAGGTAATAACTCAACTCGCGGAAGTTGTACATCTCTCCCCAGCAGTCTCTGCCCCATTCGCAACCGGCCATGTTGACGACGAAATCTCGGTCCTTTTGGTTGTAGTGTATCCGCGTGTCGTTGCCGTTGTCCGAACATGCACCTGTCGGGAAACTGTTGATCATCCGCTGGGGGATGAAAGCAGTGTGTTTTCGAATCCACGGCTGCGTCGTGTATAGTTGCTCCAATGCATCCTGCTCTTTGTGTTCCCATTCCATGTGCTTCTGCTCATACATAACAGGGTCCCACCAAACATCCAAGAGTCGGTCGGTCCAATCGCTGCGCCTGACGAAAAAGGACCCGAGATTGAAACCTGAACAGTCCTGTGGCAAAATGAGATTCACCGAGTTGACGTCGCCATCGCCCTGCGCATTCTGGGATTCTTCATCGAGATAGTTGGCCTTGATCGGATGGGTGATATTGAGTGGGTTGAACTCGTTGATATCGCGGTAGATGTGGTCGTCCAGGTCGTTGAAGATGTGACTTTGAAGCGAGTAGGTGGGCTCCATGACAAAGGTATTCAGGTCCAGCCACCAAACCCTACAACTCGTCAGCATTTATACGAAAACTTGCCGCAGTAGGCACACTTACCATTCCGCTTTAGGGTACTTCCTAAAGGTATTTCTGATCGCGTCAACCTTTTCCCAGCTTTCACGCCACTCGTGGGCGTATCGCTTCTTCGTACTCATGTCGACAATCTCGAGGTCGTACCCCCAACGTGAAGCGTACTTGCGCTTGTTTCTGACGCTGTCCCTCTCTATCGCCCACTCTCGTGCCCCCTTCCACTCCATGACACCACCGCCGATGTTGGCGGCGAGGATGATGACGAACTTTTGCCCACCGCCTATCCAAGTCGTTCTCCTCCAGTGGTACCACAGAGCTGGTACTATGTCAGCACATAGGTGCGAGGAAAAGGGGAGAAGCTCATGACTTACGGGTAATCCAGAAGAGCCCCCAGAGGAGAAGTATTAAGCCCAGCAGCAGCATCCGTGTCTTATTCTTTCTGCTCATGCGCGTCATGGTGTTCCTTATCCGTCCTACCAGCGGTATGCGACCACATATACCACGTGTAACAGCTTTGTCCTTCTCCACGTATCGATCGTCGTGTTTCGCGTGGAAACTCGGCAGACTGCTCGATATGCGCCGCATGTGGCGGGTGAAGAAGCCTTGGTTCTGCGTCGAGAAGGACGGGTAGCCCGCAACGCCCTGGCTCTTGAGCCTGGCAGACTCCCATGTGACGTTGTTGCCATTTCCGGAAAACGAGCTCTTTGCCGGGCTGGATCGACCGCTCCCGTTGATGTTGAGGCCAGGGGAAGACCATCCACCGCCAGGGACGGGCGACGGACTCCGGCTCAGTGACATATTCGGGGTACCTATATGGCGACAAACAGCGTTGGTTAACAGACCAGCCCATCCAGTTCGGTGTGCGACTTCGATTGCGGCGACGTACCAGGAATGGGACTCAGGGGAGCCTTGACACCCAGGTACTGAGATCCGTCGCGCGGAGCAAGGGCAGGCGGTGCGGCTGAGGACGTCGACGACCGCCTCCGATGGTGATTGAATCCACGGGGAGCGACGAAGGAGGTCGACTTCGACGAGTCGGGGACTGGGTTGAGCGACGCCAGTTTCGAGGTGGGTATGCGCTTCGAAGACGGCTGCCACCGAAATCGAAGCTGGCGGCGACGGGCAGTGGATGGAACAAAAGAAGCCGCCAAGGGGAGCTGGGTGGCTCAGCTGTCGCGGGTTGACGGCGGTAACAAGGCCGATTGTCTCAAGGACGCGCTACTAATCCGGAGACCTGGCGTCCTTGTGTCAATGGGCGCACGTCGGCGATGCTGCTGGGGAGTGAAATGAGTGTTTGGCAGAGTTCTCGTGTGGAATCTGTCCAACAACGGGTAATGTGGTTGTTGGGATGACCCGCAGCTGATCCTGTGCTCACTCGTGTCGGCGATCTGCAAGGCCGGGATGGCGTCGACGGTCAGCACGCCAGGGCACGCCTCGATGCAGGAAACACCACGCTGGCCTCTCGTATCTTCACGTCAGACGAAGTGACGGGCTGCTTTCATACGAGGTCTCGAGTGACCCTGCTTTGTGCTTGTCTTGTGCATGCCCACTGCACAGGAGAAAAGATGAAAAGCGCTCGAGGGAAATTCGGGCAAGTCTGGCCCCTAATAATTTGCCAAGGCTTGCCTTAGGAGGTTTCCTCGACTTAGTCAGTCCCCAGCGATAAGCATCGCTCTAAGCACCCACCCTTAGCGGCCGTCGGCCAATGAGGCCGTCGATTGCGCGACTAACTAGGGGCATAGGCGGAGCTGTCAACCCTCTGAGATTCCTGGCCTCTTCGTGTCACTCTCACGACAGTTGCTCGCTAACGTGTCTCGCGGTCGGCCCGTGGCAGCTTGCAGACCAATCTGTCTTGTCCCACTCTGCAGCGCGATGCTCTTGCCGGCCGTTTATAAGTCATCTCGATCTCCAAGCCTTGGGCGCCCTTCTTACCACGTGTTGCGAAAAACTCAGCCTCCATTTTGCTTTCTTCGACATAGGCAATATCCCTGCACGTTCTTTAATAAGGTTCCCCATTACCCCCCCGTCGCGTCTGTTCTTAGCTCCCTTCTCTATTGAGCTGCTAGCTCGGCCTGCTGAGCCGTACGCTCGGATAAGGGTCCAGACAGGCTGACAGGTGGGGGGTCATGAACTACTTTCCCGAGCAGCTATCGCGCAGTAGAACGTTCAGAAGTACGCATATTTTCTCTTCGGCCTGAATCGCGAGCTTGGACTTGCCATGGCAGGCCTGTAAGACGTAAAGGAGAACGAAATGACGACCGTCTCAGGCCGTGTAATGCCGCTGGTCGCTGCGTGCACGTGGATGCTGATATCCATCCATCAGGATCCACCTTCAGGATTTATTCCTCCTCTCCCCTGCGCCTGTGCCTGAAAATCAGTAATAACCTGTTCCATATAGCAGGCCTGCGAGAGCTTAGGTGCTTCAAGCATCTGTCCACATCTAGGTTCAGATGCACGTGCCATAGAAAGACCAATTCAATGGGCCCTTCTTTCCATTGCCATCTTTTCAGGAGTATACTTCCCCTCTGCACTCCTTCGTTAAAATGCCATGCCGTGCATTGTTACACAGTGCAGACTTCTTCATGCACGTATATATGTCCATATCTCAATCGTAGATAAGCAATCCCCAGTCGCGCCTTCAGACGCGCCCATCGTCATGTTCAAATAGTTCAATACCAGTCATTGGGTCGCATTGCCACCCTCTGTCTACCGCCACCCAGCAATAGCAGAACAAATGAGGTTTCTACTTATCACAGGATTGGCTGCACATCAACATTTTATTCATGATAGGTTGGCATTGTCTCTCGACTTATTCTTCTTGACAAGCGCCCTGGAAGCATGATGACGCTGACTGCATCCAACAATCTTGGCGATCGCCGAAGGAGTCAACGCCAAGGTTCCTACTTCCAACTTCACACGTATCTACCAAATGTTTAAGGATCTGAAGGATTATATGTGAGCCTTGGATATGAGGGTAGTTGCAAACTATATGCTCAGTACTGAATGAACATATTATCCATCCACCGATATTTCCTTGTTCCGATAACTTTCGATGATAAGTGTTTTTCCTTTTTCAAGTAAACTATACCAAGACTCGCAGTTTTGAAACCCATGAGCTCTGCAAGCTCTTCATCCAGAGGACTGACGTGTTCAAGTTTCCTTGGTAGAGATCCTACACAATTGAAGCAACTTGTAATGTTTTCGAAAGGCGGCGGCAAAGCTTGGGTGGATAGAGCAATGCATCAATATAACACTGCTGCTCAAATCGCACATGAATTTGTGTATAATACATTCTTCACTTTAGCTAAGGCAAAACCCCGAATGTCAGCAGACGCAATGAATAAGGTATGTCAACAATACAATATATCCACGAATTGCCACTCATTCGATTACCTTTGCCTGTCGTTTGATGATTTTCTTGATCTAAAAAGAAGATGAAAGATGAATCCACCAAACAATTTGGTGGCGGTTCCGGACACGGCAATGCGACGATCAGTAAGAGGGTGGTTTCTTGTTCGGTTTTGCCCAGGCGAGTATTCCAAGGCTTAATACAGAGCAAGGCCTAGATTGCCTGTTCAACCTCTTACGTTGCTATCATTACTTCTCATACATGGCGATATAAGAAGTTGTGTCACATTCTTTGTATTTGAACAGTTCGTTGAAGACGAACTCTGGCGTATTAACAGAATCGACAAAGATATGTAAGGGTGTTCCGAGCATATATTTGTACTTAAAGCTCAGATGGCCTTTGCGTTAAAAACAACGAGTTGGGAGACAATTCGATGCTTTATAGTGACTGTGTGCCTAGATATCAGTAGAAGAATATGGCAGTTCTCGGCTAGTCTGTCGACTGACGTCCACAAGTAGTACGTAAGATCCCTAGAGGTAAGCGATAGTTATAGTGACCAGTTGCGCCTATTATTCTACCACGTAAAGAGAGGGTCTGAGTTGGTGTTTGGCAGCGATATTTGACATTTGTAGCAAGACAAGAGACTCTGAGCGCCGTACTGGTGCTACTACGGTGGGCTTGGAGCGTGTCATCACGCGATCAATCATACCAGTTTGAACCAAATCAAGCTTCGGTTCATTAAAAGGAGGGATCTTATACCTTTTAGCTCGCCGGCATTTTCCTTCTCAGCGTCTAGGAACAGAAAACTGAGGGACTAGCCCTTTTTAAAGAGTTTCTGTTGGTCTTGTTCGAAGACTGCCTACGAATATCCGTTTAGCCCCCATTAAGCGCTCTGTTTCGCAGAACTGGCCATGATTAAACCTCAAAATGGTGAGCGGACAACCAGCTGAGCAGGCTAGATGTTTGGCCATTCTTTGACAATTTCATCTTTGCTGCCTAATGTACAGAGGAAGGTATCTATCTACCTACATACCTGAGGTAGCTTGATTGTCAAGTGACTTAGGCAGGCATCAGTAGTGAACTGCAAACGGAACGGTAGACGGAACCACAAACGCAACCTCGCATCGGATCGAATCCACGCGCAAAATATTTCCTTCTCTGCAAAAGCACCTTCGTAGGCTACTTCAGCGACTTTCTCTCCTCTGCCGCCAAGTCAACTCTATGACTGGGCTTTCCGCCGACGAAAGTCTTCGTTCAACCATCAGACACTGTGCACCTCAGCAAGGATAAGAAACAGGCAATATGGGTGTCTGGGGCCGTGGTCTTCTGCAGTCGGATAACGACTACGACATTGCAGGGGATCTCAATGACATGCTTGGATGCACCGTATTCATGCCACCAAAGGAGGAGGCTGCTGATGTGCTGGAGAAGCTCAACGGCGGTCTTCTTTCCAGGAAACTTGACGAGATTTTGGAGCCAAGTTTCCAGGCTTCACGATCTTGGTACCCTCGAGAGCGAGTCTTTGTCATCCTGGCAGTGCTTGCCATGCAAATCGGTGCGAAGATAGAGAGCAGACACATGACAGCATTGAAAGTTCTACGAGCGACGCTCCCCAACATGTTCCAGCAGCTTCAACTCGTCACCGCTATCGAAGAGTACAAGAACGATGGTACACGCTGGCTCTTAGGCAGCAAAGGTCTTCAGGACACCATGTTTTCATCCATGGATGGCGAGGGAGAGGATGACAATGGTGACGAGTTCTTCTACAGTGGACTTGGGTGAGTACTCGTGTCGCTCTTGTGATACCTAAGTTCTGACCGACGTTTTCCAGCCACTCGGTCGACCAAGACCCGTACCCTCACACTTGGAGCAAGAGATGCCTTTCCTGTGGGGAATCTAACTCCGAGCTTCTTCGCTGCTCCCGATGCCACATGGCGCGATACTGGGATAAGCGTTGCCAGAAGCACGACTGGCAAAAGCACAAGCTCGTCTGCGAACCGGTTGCGCCCCGATCAGTGGTAAGTTCATCGGCCTACCAGGGAGAAACAAGGCGCTAATGTCGAGAAGAGCGTCCCGGACATTCACTCCGATGAGTTCAAGGAGTTCCTGGAGCAGTGCCACGGGCACAAGGAGTGAATGGGACCAGAAGCGGCTGTGGGTAACCTTGGGGAGCCCGAGTCCTCGATTCGAGAGGAGAACTTCGTAGTTTTCCGCTGAGGTAGTATGAGACGGTAGCGTTATGCCTTTCAGCCCCGTCTTGCCTTGCCACTATGATACTCTAGCATCCTACTCAAGATTCGTCGTGTAAGGAGCATCCGATCATCCGATCAATTAGAAGACGAATCCGTCTCAAGATGAGAGGATCGGTTGGTCTCGTGGCATCAGCATGATCTGGGTCTTGTTAGACGAAAACACAGAATTGATGAACATTTGTCTGCCTGACTCGTATTCTCGGATTCATAGGGCGGTGATATGATTTCTTCTGGCCACCATGCATGGCCCCCCTTTTCTTGGTGATTCAGATCTGATCCTTCCTAATGGGCAGGCGGAATTCGAGTTCTGGTTCTTGAGGCGTTCGCCCAGCCTCGCAGCGTGCATAGGCCTAAATACGCCACGACCATGGGGCTGCATACAATGCCACAAAAACCTTAATTGTCTCGGGTATGCCTGATGTTAATGGCTGGGGGCCCAATTCACACTTCACCGTCACATGGCAAGCGACGCTGTTGGTTGGAAGTTTAATCTGCGACAGGGGGTTGCTCCACTCGCCAACTCGACCTGTCAGTGTCAGTCTGCCTCTGCGCGCGACGTCGCCGGCTTACCTAACACTCCCGATTTAGATCACAGATTTAAGCTTGAGACGCGACAGGGTTGACCCCTTTACGAACCTTGGGGGTCTTCATGGCACGTTGAGTTCCAACGGGGGACATACATGAACATATAGATGAAGGGGGCCCGGTCAAGGTTTCTAGGGAATCGTCTTGTGAATCCTTCGAAATGCGGCGTACGGAGCTCCGATTCCACCCTGTGCACCTCTCTTCGGCCATGGCCCCCTTTCTTGACTGCCCAGAACGAAGTCGTTGGTCGTCTTAGTTTTCGCCGATATGGGTGGCGGCGCATGGGGGAGAAAATTGTTTCGTTTCGGTTTGCTGTTTCATCGAGCGTGCAGGTCTACCAATCCGATGCGTTGGGCAGGGGTCGGCAGGGCACTCTAGCGCCAAGACGGCAGCTCGGCGGCGATCTACTGACTTACCCCGGGTTTGGGAAACGTGAGCCGCACGCCAGCCATTGGCCCACGACGCTCGTGCTCATTCCCCAAAGGGCGACCGGGCTACCGTCTCATCCAGACCTCACCTCGGCGCCCACTCGAGACATTCGGGCGGGCCAAGGCATCCAGAGGAGCCGTCGTTCTCTCTATCTTGCTTTTCATGCGGCGGGCCAAGCTCCCTGCAATGTGGGCCGTATGCTGGTGCTGGCGCTGGCGGCTGCGTCTGAGCTTTGCTTGCCCTTGTCATCCATGACCATGGCAAGATCTAGGGCCTAGAGGAGGCCGTTGTCGACACCTGACTGGCCCCTTCATCTCATGTCCTATCACACCCATATCATATTAATACCGCCTCCGGTGGGGCCATCCCAGCCAGAACGCACCATGCGGGCATGGCACGGTGCCAGGAAGGCCATAGTTTCGTCCGGAGAACCCAGTGACTGCTTGTCATGGTTTCTTTTCCTCTGCATGGCTGTCTAATGCATCTCACTCCATCCTTCCAACCTTCTCTGAACTTGCCGGGTATTTAGAAGCTGGAACTTCCCCAAATAGTGGTACAGCCTCGGGTCTGACTATCAACTCGTGCTCCGATCATTCACTGCCACAGGTGCTCTCCGTGACTCAGTCTTCGCTTCTGTAAGCCGTCACTCCTTAAGCGGCTTTACTTCCAATCCCTCTCTTTCGAGTATCAGCCTCTTGTCTGGTGCTTGCTGGTTCATTGTCCCATTGTCCGACACTTTGTCCGGCACCACAACGAAGAGATACAATTTGCAATTGTCGGGCTGTTAGACACGACAATCACGATTAGCCGTGTCCTACATCGGCCGAATATCTTCTTCGCCTTCACATTCAGATCACTCCTTCATTAGCAACAGCTGAGGAAATCACGAACCACCCTAGCATCATTGTTGCTTCCCAATTCCCTCTTCATTTCATACTTTGCCTGGCGCAAAACGACAAGGAAATCGCTTCAGACGCCCTTTCCCTATAAACAGCCTTTATCAGGTATCACAAGAGCCCGACCAATACAACTTACATCAGTTCCATAAGCCACATACAGAATGGTCTGGTCGAGTTCGCTTCTGCGCTTCGGCGTCTTCGCATCCCTTGGTGCTGGATCTCAGGCGGCATATCCTACCCGAGCGCGCCCAAGCCACGCACCGCATTCCACCAAGTCAGCTTCTTCTGCTCAGGCTGCGTCGTCGACCCTGGCTGGCTCCTCGGCTGAGCTCCCATCCACGCTGGCCGCATCGTCCACCGGGACCGCGTCCTCTACTCAGGCGGTTTTCCCAACCCCGGCGGCTAACAACAGCCAGGGCACTAACAATACCCATTCGGCATACACCATCCAGGACGTGTACGACACGACTAGCTTCTTCGATGGTTTTGAGTTCTACAGTGGCCCTGATCCCACCAACGGCTTTGTCAACTACCATGACGCAGCGCTAGCCAATACTTCGTCTCTCGCTGGATATGCTAGTGGTGGTGTCTATCTTGGAGCCGACTTCACAACAATGAACCCGAGTACGCCGGGTAGAGGCTCGGTCCGTGTCAACTCAAAGAAGACATACACCAAGGGGCTTTTCATTGCTGATATCGCCCACATGCCAAGCTCTTCGAAAAGCGGCTGCGGCCTTTGGCCAGCGTTCTGGATGTTTGGTGAGGGAGGTGGCTGGCCAAATTCGGGCGAGATCGACATCATTGAAGGCGTCAACTCGGCCACTTCAACAACGTTCACGTTGCACACAAGTGCCGGGTGCTCTTTCTCGCAGGGCAACTGCAATGCCGGTAACGGAAACACGGGTTGTGGCCAGAAGATCAACAACGCGCAGTCCTACGGCGCTGGATTTAACGCCATCGGCGGTGGCGTCTATGCAGTGGAATGGACGAGCAATGCTATCTCCCTCTGGTTCTTCCCTCGAACTAACATCCCTGCCGATATCACCGCTGGCAACCCAAACCCTGCCAAATGGGGCGCTGCGACTGGAAGCTTCTCGGGCTCCGGCTGTGACATTGACAAGCATTTCAATGGGCACCAGATCGTCTTTAACACCGACTTCTGCGGGGACTGGGCCGGGCAAGTCTGGAGTACCGATTCAACCTGCAGCTCGTTGGCCAGCACGTGTGCCTCGTACGTCGCCGCCAACCCAGGAGATTTTAAGGAGGCCTTCTGGCTCATCAACTCGGTCAAGGTGTTCTCCCCGAACGGAAGCGGGACGACAAAACGCGATGTTACGCCCCATCACTTCAAGGCGTAACTACGAGCACGTCTTTTTCGAGGTTCGCGAGGCCGGATAGACAGCAGCACATTGGATGAGGCGTTTGGACATTCTATGGAGGGAGGTTTGACATACACCGGAACATAGCTCAGGCGTTTTGTTTTCACAGGACATCGTTTCGATTTTGGATGGTGGAACTTTGATAAGGAGACAGGATTCGGTTTTGGGGGTGCTTGAGAGGCGATAGGGCGTTCGTTGTCTCTGCCGGAGCATTGGCTATCTATTTGGCAACTTTATCATCTGTATATACGTCTTCTTCTGTTCTTTCAAAGCAACGGGATTGCTTTGTTTATCGTCATTCCAAATGCATGGCCAGGTTACGCATACACATTGTCCTGTCTTGATCTGAGAATCGTGCCACCGCGAGCTAATTAGATGTCTGTTTCGTGCCATTCGTTCCGTAATTTTCCTGGCATCATTGCGCAGCTACTTCTCGCCGCCAGAAATCTACTCTGTATAAGCCTTGGTCCTTATTTACCCAGACAAGGGACGCGTGCCGTCAAATTGCACTAGGTCTGACTTACATAGGGTGACAAATGATAAACCTCCCCTCGTAACTGAGCACTGGTGAACCTTCTTCAGACATCGAGAACTGGCTTCTACCAACAGGAAACCTCCCGTTGCAGCTCGCCCATCGTGTCCTCAAGTACTCTGCTGCACAAGAAATGAGATCACGTTAGAGATGCCGGACAATCTTCATGGGGTCGGGCCGCACATCTGGTCCGCAGACCCAGGCCGGGTGGTCACTGGGCCAGCAGCACATCAGACGGGTTTAGCGAGCTGCAGAGAAGCGCATTTTGCCCAGTCATGTTACAGAGCCACAGAAAATAGCCGCCGACGGGTCACAATCATGCGGCAGTTCCTTGCATGGAGCAATGCTGAAGTAGGTAACTCTAGTCACAGAAATGGTAACCTGCAGGCCGGGACTTATCATGTTAGAAATGGATGTTGCATTCAGACATGAGGTCAAAATGGAAGTACGGCAAACAACTTGTACACTTTTGCAATGGGGGCTTTCCGTGCCTAGACCTTGGTGCGTTGGGGGTTTGACCAGTTTCATCATGCTGAAGTGAGAAATTTCAGAAGATCCTACGTCTAATGAGTTGGTACTTCGAGGAAAGTCATCCGGCACGTCTCCCCATTGAATAATACTTCCACTATCTGCCGGGTTACTCACATACTTGTGTAAGAATGTTGGACCTGACTGGTGGGTGACTCTCTGGAGACGGTGGCCTATGGGAAGGCAGAAGTGCATTCTCTGCAGCGGCGTGAATCATCGAACCACTCCTGGTCTGCTAATACGATCAGTAAAGATGGCTCGCCCGGAGCCTGGTAGGGTGATCCATGACGCAGGAGATTTCAGCTCTGCGGGATCCCTACTGTTTGTTCAGGAGTTACGTCCTGGATAGGGATCAGTGGCCGGCTGTGGTGCTCCGAAGAGGATACCTGAGAGGTGATGCAAAGTCAAAGCGTGTAACCAGGGGGCTTCCTACATGCAAAAGACAGAAGTCCCTCCGCGTACGGCACGAGGCTGGAAAGGAACCCCTTGGCAAAACTCGGTGCCTGGCCGTCCAAGCCTGTGAGTGGTCTGTTCTCGAGCCTTGCAATTACATGGCTTCCTGCACCACGAGTATATACAGTGGCAAATATGCTGCTGCAAGGGGGACATTGGTGAAAGGGTGCAGCGTGCTTGTGATAGGTCGACCGATATAGCACATTCCCTGCAGAAGCAGCCTTGAAGATAATGACGACACCGGGCCGAACCACCCAGTATACCTATTGCCGACGAGTGTAGGGGAGAAGAAGCCAGAGGTCATCGGGCACCGCAATGCTGCCTGCACCACCGACTTGCTTCTGCCGAATGACACCAAGCGGTGGCAGTGCTCACACGGCCTTGGTCGTTTCCCTCCATCGGTAGATCGAAAGACACGAGCACATGGCATGCCGGTCGCGTTGCTAGGCGAGGAGAGAAAGCGGCCGGGGAGCCGTTGCTCTGACCCCCTGGCCCGTCCCGACGGGTTCTCTGGCGCGTTACCAGCCTGGGTTTAGCGATAATACAGATCACTTGATTGCGACGTGATGCGACGTGCCGATTCAGGAGAAACATGCGTGTGGTGCAATCTGGCACCTGGAGTGGCCGATGTGGGAGTCCTCCAGACTTTCTCGAAGGAGCTTGGAAGACTGGGAAGAATGGGCAGAAAGCCTCGCTGGCCGCGAGAATGGGCCGGCCGGTGGGTTGGCGGGCCGCATAGAGGGCGGCCTAGTTGGGGCTTGGGGGCCCAAAACCGCGGCCACATAGGCGCAACGACCCATACAAGGTCGGTCAATCGGCGAGACGGTCGCATCCAGGGCCGCCATAGCTCTTTATATGCTGGTCCGTCGGGTCCCTCCAGCTACACAAGGCAGAACCCGAAGGGCGTTGGTCCGTCCTCGAGGCCGCTGCCGCGTCTAATTGCGGTGTTGCAACTCGCGAAGAGGGCCCGCGCCGCTTACCCACCAATCACCTTGAGTCTCTGGGGGTGTGGCTGAGAGGCAGCAACCGCATCCTTGCGCCAGTTTCACTGCAACTCGACGACATTCCCACCGGGCACTCGATTCTGTCTGCCTTCGACTGGCCCCTTTACCCCTGGGTGGTAGTCCTGCTAGCAATGCGTTAACAGAGTCCGTGTTCATCTGCTAAGAACTGCAACCGACATGGCCCTCTCAGCCAATGCTCCCTTCTCTCCAGCCCTGCGCAATGCGCGGCCTGAGTGGTCGACCCCGCGGGCCCCTCAACATGGACTCGACCCTGTCGTTGGTGCTGTTACGGCGCTGCTGTTAGTGCAGCAATAGGTAGGTTGGCTGCTACTGTCACGTATAACTGCCTCCCTTCATGCCAATGACTCCTTTCGGCGTACTGTTATGGGTTTATCCAAAAGGAGCAGGGCTGGGGGTAGCAGGCCAAGCGGTCTCCATATCAGGCCGCTTCCATCATTCACTTGGGGGGTGGGTTGCTGGCCCCCCCTGTCAGCCCGCTACTATCGTGGCTCGTTTCTATATAACATCTTATGACTGCCCCGGGTTGAGACAAGAGCCCTCCATGAGGTTACGCAGTATCGTCTTTCCTAATGCCTCCACCACCCTCACCAACTGAGAGATTTAGTCAGCTTTCCATTGAAGGCATGCCTCCAATTACGCGACAGCAGAGCCGGAACCGGCAGGAAGACCTGAGTTCAGAGTCAGAAGCCGACACCAGCGGCGACGCAAGCAACTCAGACGCCACCGAAAGTCCATTCGTATTTCCATCTGGGCTGGCATACAATCTTGAAAACCTGAATGAGAATATACAAGGCCAGGTCACGGCAGCCATGGACGAACCACCACAGCTAGTACTCCAGGATTGCCAGGCACGGGATGACACTTTCATCTTCCAGATCTCGGAGGTTATAGAGCACAATATCCGTACCGGCTCGGTGAGCAGTGGCTGGGCCATACCAAGCTGCAGCTGCCAGGACGAGCAACCGTTTCGGCGGATATGCCGTCACGTGCTTTGGCTCTTTGATCAAATCACCAAGGAGATATTTGACAACCGTGGCCAAGCACTCACTATGAACGAGCATGGCTTTTCAGAAGAACTCGGCGAGCGTGGCAATCCCTTTGAGATGATATCAGAATTCCACCTCGATATACTGGCCGACTCCCTGCACAGCCGGATGTTGAGGGCAGGCTCTCCTACGGACGAGGACATCCTCAACCCACGGCGAGTCCAAGATGTCCGCGAGATCCTCGCGTCTTTAAACTCTACCCCCGTTGACGAGTATCGTCGGGATATTTTTGATAACCCAAGACTGGGCAAGAGGGTGATCAAACGCAACGACCTCGAGTCTACTGTGTTTCGGATGTTGTGCCGCAACAACGAGTTCTTCCACTACTTCCTCTCGTCGATGAGGTCGGATGAGCTCGTTAACAACACGTTTAGGCGCCTGCAGCAGAGGGCAGACGTGGCACTGGCAGGGCTAGATGCATATGCCCAAACTTCGGCACAGTCCACAGTCGGCAACCCAAAAAACGTCGCCTGGTGTGCGACACATTTGCGCCTCATTGTGCAAAAGGTTCACACCTCTCTGGAGTATGCCCAGCGCGAGCCGAAACCCTGGGAACGGCACACCGCAGCTTGCACATTAGTCCATGTCCTGCGCTGTGTCGTCGATCGCTCGTCAGACCTCCCGCCACAAGAACTGCCAAAGAGGGAGCGCAACCTATATTTCCGCCTGGTTGGCAACCGGGACGAAAACTTCGTCATCGGCGTCTTGAATTCCATCCCTCCTTCGTCCGTCCATCCCCTAGCGGGAGCCCTTGAGCAGATCCTCGAAGACATTGGCCGGCTAGGGGCTCCCGTGACTTATGTCGAAAAACTCCGCGCGCTGCACCAGCGGGCGCGGCGAGCTCATCCTGCTGCATCTCCCACCGGATCAAAGCGCCAGGGCGGTGGGCAGGAGCGACGAGCCAAGAGAATGAAGTAGGACTCAGAAGTGCCAGGTCTTGATCAGAGGATGATGGCCCCGTGGAGCTGGCCTCCAGACGTCGGGCCGAGCGGGTTGGGACCGAGTTTACTTCTAACTGTCTATATGCTCCCTTGACCGACATTTGCCCTGAATATTCCTTCGTCGACTCTCATTTACTTCGTTGCCATCCCTCACGGACTATCTTCGAGTCAGTATTTACCATGATACCTTCTTTGTAGTAGATTACGAAAAACTAGAAACCCAGAACTAGCAATAGAAAACCAAAGGCATTGATGCCCATCCAAATCATCCTCCATAAGATGGGCTCGTCTTGATCTTTCATGTTCCAGAGGCCTCCCTCTCCAGCCAGATAAGATTGGATTTCATGGATTAGTACCTTGTAATGGCTAACTATAAGGATAACCTGGCACGTTACCATTTAAATTAAGATATTGCTGGTCACGGTGAGGGCACAACAACTCTCCTCGTCTGTGGCAAGTATGCCGAAGGCTACTTGCTAAAGCATTCAGCAAGGCAGTTTGCGCCAAGATTTAGTGAAAAGGCGACTCTCACGCAATGAACCATGAGCTGTGTACTTGTTAGTATAACGGCGTATCCTTACGGGCACATCAAGCCACTAAGGCAAACAGCACAGAAGAGATTACATATAGGGCAGTCGGGCACCACACGAGGTGATTTCAAACAACATATGTGCATTTGAATTAAATTCATCAGAAAGGTGCGATACGGAACCCAAACCATAGGTATCCAGGTATCCAGGTATATCCAAGCTCCTTATTACCCAAGGCAGACCCAGCCAAGTCTCGCCACCCACATTTCTCGATCCCGTCTTTTCCCCGAACAAACAAGTAGTCTTCAACGCTTGCATATCATGATAACACAATCCGCCCACATGCTTAACTCTATATACAACTGAGTGTTGGAAGATCACAGAGCCTCTGCGTCGCTGACAGCAGACTGATGGCTTTCCCGGGCCTCCACGTTCGCAATGGCGCTCTGCAGCGCACCCGTGAGATCGACGTGGAACAAGGGTCTGTTAAGCCCGTGTACCGCAACTCTCCTCTTATTCTGAACGCCACCGCCGGAGTTGCCCTTCTTGATAGAGCCACTGGCACTGGAGCTCGCAGCGCCGCGCTCGATGGCATCGAGGTTGTCGCCGGGGGCCTGGTCGGAGCTGCTGGCGCGCGTCTGGTGTACGCCGAAGGCCTTCTCGTTGGCCTCCTGCTCGGCAGCGGCGGCGGCTGATGACGAGCCGCCGATCTCAGCAACGCTGAAGATGGACTGCCAGCGGTGCTGGGCCCCGTCGGGGCGCTCAGTTGGCCATCCAAAACCCGCGGATACGAGCGCGCGCTTGGTCCAGCGGTTGTTGATGCAAGCTATGTGCCAGTCCACAACGTCGGGTGATGTGTACCGATCTAGCTGGTTGCGCACGTCGATCAACATCTGAACTGAAGTTACGTCTACTGCGTTGACGGAGCTGAAGTCAAGGATCACGGCCTTGAGGGTTGGCAAGTTCAGGTCCACGTGTTCGCCCTTCTTGGCTGTAAAGAGTAGGTTAGTAACTTGACAGAAGTGAATGTTTCTGGGCAGCAACTTACGGCCAGGGTCGTTCCAGGGTCTGTCGCCCGGGCGAGCATACGAATCCGTCTTTGTGCGACGAGTGTGCTTAAAGATGTAGTCGATCATGTACTCAAGAGTAGTACTGGCATTCGGATAGTTGAAGCCCTCCGAGAACCTGTAGATGAAGATGCCAGGATATGGCTCACCAACGGCCAGCTCAGGGTTCGAGCCATCGGCGTGTCCGATGGGAATAAAGACGTTACGCTTGGCAGGCGAGTCGGATGCACCCTTGAAGGTACCGTACTCGCTGGCGCCATTGTCGTTGTTACCAATGACATGGTCTCCCAGCACGGAGTGGACCTGGACCCGGCCGAGGAATCGTCCCTTGGCGACAAGAATACGGAAAAGGAAGACCGCAAAGGAGATCGCAACCGTGCAGTAAATTCCATTATCAATGCTCGTGAAGATTGTCACAAACACACCGACAAACCAGATGAACACCTCAAGCGGCGACACACGCCAGAACTTGTAAAGGGTCTGAGGTGGCGTAATGAGGTCCAGAACAGCGTGAATGATGACCGCAGCCAAGGAGGCGTTCGGGATGTAGTAGAAAACTGCCGGGAGGGCGTAAATCGCAAGCAACACCACAATGGCGGTAATGACACCAGCGAAAGGGGTTCGTACACCAGCCTTTGACTTGATGGCAGTTCGACTGAAGGAGCCAGTGGATGGATATCCGCCCAAGAATGGAGCCAACAGGTTCGTAACACCAATAGCGACCATCTCCTGAGACGGGTTGATCCTGTAGTTGTTGACCCGGCCAAAAGACTTAGAGATGGCAATGTGCTCGATGAGTAGAACGATGACCGACACCGGCAGGTCGCTCACGAATGAGTTGATAATTTCCTTGTTGATGGTAGGGACTGCAGCATGTGTAAATCCTCGAGGGACATCTTGGAGGATGGTGAATAAGGGTTTGTCGTGGTGCCACATGTTGACCAGCCAGCTTATCATGGTGTACAGCAGGATCACGAATGCAGTTCTCAGGGTCGAGAGGAAGAAGAACAGCTTCTGGTGTTGTGGCCATCTCTTCGCCGAGGTACTGCAAGCAATTCGGATCAGATACAGCATGAGGAGAGCCGTGAGACCCATCGCAGCGTCGAGCTTTGTCGAGGGGAGGTTTCTCAGGGTGTTGATGATGACCATATAAGTGGCATCTCTTGTCGTATACGGCTTCGGAAACGAGATGCCCATCATGGTAGGGACCTGACCGGCGGCGATGTTGATAGCGGAACCTGTCATGAACGCGGCTAAGGAGACGAGAGGAATGACCTCAACGATTCGGCCGAAGCGTATAATGCCGATGAAGAACACAATAGCTCCGACAATGATCGCCAAGGCATTGGCGATCACCCAGGGCTCGTCTTTGTACTGAGGAAGAATCGCGATGGCATTGTTCACGACATTGCCTGTAACTGTGGACATAACAGCGACGGGCTTGAAGGGGTCAGCACACAGCGCGATTGAAAGTGGTTCATCATACATACACCAATAGTGATATCCTTAGAGGTGGCAAAGAACCAGTATATCAAAACTCCCATGAACGAAGAGTACAGGCCAAATTGGACTGGTAGGTTGGCAAGTTTGGCATATGCCATTCCCTGAGGGACGACAACGGCTCCGATCGTGATACCTGTTTACTAAGATCAGATGCTGTCGGCGGTTTCGGGGAGACACAGGGAACAAACCGGCGATTAGGTCACCAATAAGCCACTGCAGGTTGTAGAATCCGATCCACGACAGGAAAGGGAAGAGAGACTTGAAGTAGTTGGCGACATCTTTTCCGCTGGGCGTTAATTCGGCCAGAACTTCTGCAGTGGTCGGTTCTTCCTCAAGGAAAGAGTCGGCAGTGTGGTTAGATATGATGGACTCTCCTCGTGTAACCTCTTCGCGTGCTTCCAGCTTGATACCAAGCCACTTGGCCGCAGTGTGGCCAAACTGCGTTCGTGAAGGCATCTTGGAAGCTGTTGAGAATAGCAACCAAGGCTGTGGAGCGCAAAAGGATGGAGGATGAACGGGATGTAGGATGCAAGGTAGCAGGAGGGTGAGCCAGGCTCTATATGCTGAGACCCTTGTCTGATGCCTGGGTGTGATCCGGGGTCCACGGTCAGGGATTAGGATCAATATATCTCTTTGCGTAAGAGGCAGCTGAAAGACCCAGGTTCGAGGTCGATTGCGCCACGTGCAATAGAGGCCGTTTTGGACAGAGTCGTGGGCGGTCGTGGGACAAGCAAAGCTTAACAGAAGCCACAAATAAGACTAAGCACTCCAAGCCATACACTCAAGACAATACTTGATCTGGTCTGGATGCTTGTTCGGGGGCCACGAGTCTCTCTGCTTTTGTGCAGATGCAGGGCCTAGACGCCGCGTGAGACGCCAATGGAGATGATGGGTTCCCAGTGATCTCCCGCACCGACCGCAAACAAGACAGGTAGTGCGTAAGACGCAATAGCACGTGCGGAACCCGAGCGAAGGGAACCCGATATCAGGGTGTCAATCGCGTGTTCGGTACCGTTTTCCAGACGGTCGTCAAGTAGATACTGTGCAGGCTCCTTGAGAGGAAACAACCCTGGGTCTTGGCGAAACTGGCTCGGTTGTGACCTTGACGAGACCTCCGCCTTACAGCAACTTCGCTGCCACTTATCCCAGCGGCTACCTATTTGAGTTTCAGGGGCCTGAAAGAAAGTCGTGAGAATACTGTCAGAATAGATGTGTCGAATTTCATTAGAGAACGAGAGATGAAGTTTCTTGAAGTTGGCCAAGATACGCCAGACGGGAGCCAAGCAGATCTCCGATCAGAGACAAGAAATACCCAGAAAGCTTGTCGTGATGAGGCGTTCTGTTCCAGAAGCTTGGGCTGGTGAGAGGTACGTATAACCAAAAAGGGATGTTGACCTCGTGGAAGTGTGTCTCAGTAGGTTCACCGGGCTATGGCTATTGACCACGAACCTACGCACGCTACCTTCGCCCACCCTGTCGTGGTGTCGCCCGGCTGGTCAGATTTTGACAAGCTCCTATGGCGCAATCGACTCCATCCCATCCACAACATAGTGGACCCTGCTTGGCTCCCATTACATACGACGGCCGAGGAGATAGCCGACCAGGTAAACTAATTGAAGGATACTGATCCTTTTGCGCTCTCCTGCCTGTCCTGTATAGTTTGACTACAGAAAATATGGCATGTTGGCTGTTGGCAGCTTCATCCCGACTGGGACTTGGAGTCTCTCCCCGTTCGTGTGTGGCGGAGATAACGAGTTCCATGCTGCACTTGCCCTCCGCTGCGGCTTTCCAGTTTGGTTCTTCACATATCCTACCAAGTACCTGCTGTTCTGCACGAGGCCTACAGACACACGATGTACATGATTCGACAGGGATTTTCGGCCCTTGGCGAGATATCCTCGCGCAAAATCCCAGCTTGTCGCTTCAGTTGATGAAAGCTGTTGAGCTCGCTGAGGTGATCTCCCGCTGAGGATCAGAAGCTGGGCCATCGATATCCACCCAATCGTCGCACTTCGCCCCAAGAACGGAAAGTGGGCTACCAAAAGGGCCAATCGGAAGCCTCGATCTGGCAGCTGCTGGCCCGAGCTCGATGGTGCAATCGCAAGGCGAGTTGATGCCATCAATCTAAACATCTTAGCGATTGGCTGCCGACGGTAGCCCCCGTTTCTCCCCACGGGTCCCCTTGGGCAATATCACAATGCTGGCGCCTCCGCGCGCAGTTGGCTCGTTGCTTTTCTGGAATACTGCCTACCCTGCGTTCCCAAGGACTTGGAACGCCATGAAATCACGACATGCGCCCGGGTGCTCAGCTTGATGAGCTAGACAACAAGTCATGCAAGCAGCTGCGCTCGCCTCTCCAGGGACTATCGCACTTTCGGCGTCTGTACCGAGCTAGTGACAGCCTCTTCCAAGGCGGCAAGTCTTGTTCTCATTTACCGTCCACATAGTCACTATACTATCCATTCCAGCTGTATCGACTATCGCTGCACCGACACGTCAGCCGAGAGAATCATCGGAGAATCCAGGCCCTTGGACAATTCTCAAGTTCTTGGCTCGCTGCTTAGTTTCGGCCCGTTGTAAGGCGGAAAGTCTGTTGCTCGCGGCAAAGAGAAGCCGCGCCGTACTCGAGTAAGGGGTACTATGCGGCACATACTCTTGCTCGGGCTCAGTTCCGCTGTGAACACGGTCTAAATCCGAGCGACTGGATTATGAACCTGCGGCACTGCCAGGTTGGAGCAGGCGAATTTAGAAGACATGTCGTCATCAAAACCGCTCCAGTTGGACTTTCGACGGTACATGATAGAAAGTGTCTCGCACCATCTAGCGCAAGGATTGTAGGGGCTGGTGAGTAGTCGTGACGGAACGGTGAATACCTAGGTACATAATGTTCTGTCATAGGACGAGTGACTGGAGCGGTTATTATGGATTGGTGAAAAACTAGAGGTCAACCTTGGAGCTGAGAAGCTCTTGCTGATTGGCTGTAGGTCGGAACATTTGAGTCTTCAAAGCTAAAGTGGGCAGCTAAATCTCGATCGAGAAGCTCTTCGTGATTGGACGGCTTCGAGGTTGTGGACGGCGCACTTTTAATCTGGCCCTTAGACATACAGTACTGTAAGCATCAATACGTGTGCGCAGACCCTCTAAACTATGAGCAATTATGAGGGAACATCCAGGCTTGTTTGTTCTTTGACGGTTTGACTGCCACTCCCCGATGCCCCCTGGAGCCCCCGGACAGGAAAGCTCTCAATCCCACGCCATGAGGCAGAGTGGACATGGCAGCATGGCCGATCAAGGCCGACTCTGCCAGAAGAGTCCTCCAAAACCCCACGACGGTTGGGTATGACGTCCTGGCATAGGCCGACGTTCCGGGGTTGCCACTAATGGAACGGAAGGATACCGTCCCAAGGTTGACATGCCTACCTTTGGGGTCCTTGGTCTGGTCGGATGGGATGTCTCCCTGGAGAAAGGAAGTAGAGCTGTCCCGGACGGCCTCCAAGAAGCTCTGCGGTAAACTTACAGCGATGCAGGGCGCCGTCATAGTGCCCGTCTCCAACATGCGCGTACGCTGCGGCTGCGGGGATATAGCTGGATGGGCAATGCGACGCGAAAAAAAGCGCCAAGGGCCCAAGCGCGTCGACACCAACCTCTCACAACAAGCCTGGATGCACGGCGCATCGCCCATGGTGACGGCCTCACTGACTTGATGCTTCTCCTCTGTCGTGAATCCAATTGTAGAGCGATTGAGTGCCCATTGCCCATCACCACCGTTGCCCCGCCAAGATGCCGAGCCCCACGAGGGAGTACATCCCGACTCTGGCCCCGAGTCTGATGACTGAGCTGCACGCGCCCCCCTCGCCCCGGACACATCGTCAGCTGCGCAAGCTGCAGTCGGCGCACAACTTGGGAGCAGCGGCGAGGGGGTCCATCGGGCAACCGCCCGGTCTGATCTCGCAGCAGAGGTTGCGCGAGCTCCAGGCTCGCGATGTGAGTCCCACGCGGAGGGCAGTCAGCAACCGGTCTCCGCAGAGAAATCGAGCGAACAGCGACGCATCCTCGCCCGTCAACCTCGTCCCGACGACGGCAGCCGCGTTGGCAAGGCACAGGTCCGCCATGAGCAAGACCTCGGCTGCCGCGGACGTCATGTCGCTCGAGCGACTCATTCGCGACGGCCCGCCTGATAGTGACTTGCAGGCCGCTTTGGAGAGTGCGCGCCTCAAGGTCCTGGATCAGGGCATCAAAAGCGATAGTGATGGCATGGTAAGTCTATCTAGACCGTCGCCCACGTCTACGCGTGCCAAATGTTCTCTGTTTCTCATGCGTGCTAGTCCTCCATTCGTATTTACGTCTGGCTCATCTTCCTCAACGCCCCGATTCTCGATACCGATGTCTACCTGGGCCTCATCCACCGAGGCGCTTCGCCCGCCTACTCCAAGATACGCAACGACACCTTCCGAACGCTCACGACAGATCCTCTATTCCGCCGCCGAGTCAGCGAGGCCAGCCTGATCCGCCTCCTGAACGCTGTGGCTTGGAGGCTCCATGACGCGAAGGAACAGCGCCGACCTCCCAGTAGCCGCCAATCCCTTCCTGCGAGTGACGGTACTGGCTCGCGTCCAACCACCGCACATAGCTCTACTTCCTCCCCGGCCGCTAAGAATCGCGCCCGCGCCTTGACGCTGACCACTGAGGGCGAGTCTGAGGCCGGTGCTCCAGAGCCGGGCACCTACGTCCAAGGGATGAATGTTTTGGCAGCACCCTTTCTGTATGCTGCGCGCAGCGAGGTCGAGGCTTTCATAGCATTTCACCAGCTTCTGACCAAAGAGGTTCCGGGCTATATCCGAGGTGCCATGACAGGTGTCCATCGCGGCCTAGCCCTCGTGGATAAAGTCCTTGCAATCGTCGACCCCAAACTCTCTTTGCATCTCATGGCCAAAGGTCTGTCGGCCGAGATCTACGCCTTTCCGTCAGTCCTCACGCTTTGCGCATGTACACCGCCGCTGCCTGAGGTTTTACGACTCTGGGATTTCTTGTTTGCATATGGCCCACACTTGAACATCTTTTGCATTGTTGCGCAGCTGATCATGATGCGGGGCGAACTCCTCAGGTCACCCAGGTGAGCTTCTACAAATAATGCGCTAATGTATTCTTGCTAACATTGATCACTTGCAGTCCGAATAAGCTGCTTCGATCTTTCCCAGCCCTGCAGGCTGACCAGATCAAGCGAACTGCTCTTGCTATGGTGAAGATGGTCCCTGATGATGTCTACAGCGAGACTGTCCGCCACGCTCTATGAAATAGGACCTGGCACCGACGCAACAAAGAACTTCCTCGAAAGACGAGAACAAAGGGGAGATGCTTCACCCCTTACGACGTCCCATACGATTGTACGGAATGACGTGTGTACAATACGATAATGATGATAGATGTGAATGATCAGGCTCAGGCCCTCCCTTTTTGGCATAGGGACAGGAGGATATGCAATTAATGATTTTACGACGACGCGCGCATGTATGGTACGACAAACACGAATGGAATGGGTTACGGCATGGCTGGGGACGCGGCATTGACCCGGAACGACTGATCATATCTATATAGGGAGGTATACTACGTTTATAATACAGGAATGACATAGTCATCATACATTTGGCATACCTGATGATCCTCTTTCGTTTCTTCTGGCTTTGTGCCCAATGACTCCCTCCTTGCCCCAATTCATCGTGATCTTGAAGGGTAGGCCAGGCGATCATCCATGGCTGTGTATTCAAGAAAGCTGCCGGCCACCTTTTAGCCGAGAGACCAGCACAGCAGCTATCGCCCTCCCTTCCCCCATAGCAACTGTCATAACTGCCACGGTTTGACATTGAGACCAATAAATCCAAAGATTCCCCCAGCCCGCCATTGGGGCGCACCCCCTGGCCGTTTCCCCTCCCTTCCGCTCCCTTTTGCCCTTCCCACGGTGCGCTTGCGCAGGTACGATCTAATCTAAGGGGGAGGGGCTGTCTGTCTCCCACTTTGGAATGCAGAACTGGATGGGTCTATTGGAAAATGCTGCGGTGACACTCGGTCGCCCTCGCCACACCTCTGATTACATCGTGGATTTCACTGCTGTGGGAAGGGAGAGAGTATGGTGCGCACTGGTGAGACATGTTCTAACCCGAGCACATCCTTCTTTTATCGACGGTTTGAGAAATCCAGTGGCTTGTAGGTTCGTGCCATCCCATTGCCCTTGCGCAGTCCAGTTCTGCAGCAATAGCCGGAGGGGAGAGTATTAATGGCCGGAGGGTACGCAGATCGGTCGCGGGTAAAGTCGCGGTATCGACACGAATTCCATCTGGACAGTTATGCCGGGCCATGCTAGAGCATATGTCTTGAAAGATGACAGCTTAAGGCTAACTTTAAGTTTCTATGATAATGTTCGTGGTAGTATTAAGGGCTCGGGCCGGCAAGCTTCCTCGGACTGACGATGCTTGTTGTACTCCTGCTAAGCCCGTCGTTCATTAAGTCGTGCCTCGTCTTGCTTCGCTCGCTCGCTCTTTCTATCTCTAGAGTCTACTTTTCTCTATTGCACACTCGCTTTTTGTGGTACAGATTGACTATCGCCAGTCTTCGAATAAGCCTTGACCTCCTATTGCACCGTAGGGTTTCTTCATCATTACACCGGGTTCGCCCATGATGTTGTCCACCGTCGTCGCCGTAATTGTCGCCTTTACGCCCCTCACCCTTGCAAAGGAGAGCTACGCGACTCTCAGCAAGGCACCAGCGTACAAGAGGAACTTTGCGCCACTCCCTGCGGCAATCATCCACAAAAGACAGCTCCTGACTTGCAACCAAACGTACGGAGGGGATTCTCAGGTCTGCGGGGGTGTGGACAGCACATTTTGCTACAGCCCTAGTGCTGGCCATGTAAGCTCATGATGACCATGCATTGCTCCATATTGATCTGTGATTGATACTTCGCCAGACGTGCTGTCCGGACAAAGGATACTGTGAGCGAGGTTCCTACTGCGCTCCTGTCGCTGGTTTCTGCTGCGCCGAGGTAGGTGTCGTACGCTGCCCTGAATATCTCATGGTGTTGACAAAGCTTCAGGGAGAGGACCTAGGCACTTGTGCGCAGAATGCGGGCTTTACGATTCCAGGTACCCTTGCAGTCACGGCAACCGTTGCCTCGGCGGTGTCCTCCGTCACAAACGCTATTGGATTGACTTCGTTCCAGCCAGACCCGGCCCAGGCATCCTCGACGACCGAAATAGGTATCTTCAGTGCTCCTCCAGCGATCTCAACAGTCGAGAACAATGCTGGCCTCCAGATTCCATCGACAGAACCCAGTATTTCGACAATACCGGCAGCAACACAAGGGCCCAGCGCGACATCGCCATTCGTACAGGTGGCATCCGCGCCAATAACGTGTCAGATGGGAGTGAAGACGTTGGCGCTTATGTATGTGTTCTATGGCCTTGTTGCTCTGTTGTAGGAGCCGCGTGGGCAACTCAGTCCAGATCCGCTGCCGGCGTTCAGGCGAGGGACAATAATATCCTTTAACGTGCATTGTGTTCGCTGGTCCAGGGGGCTATTATTATCAAAGATAAAAATTATATCATGAGATCGTGATTCGTGCCTCCTTCCACCTCGTGTGGTCGGTGTGATCAATAGGTAGGACAGCCGTCCTGTGCCCGACGGAAGGCATTGGCGAAGAACTGCTGCATCGCAACATAGTGGTACAGTATGCCACCCAAGACGGCAACGTGCCACAAGTTATGGGCGTTTCCAAAATAGTCGAATGCTCCGGGAAACCACCGCTCCGGTACTTTGCTGGCGTAGACCACGGCCCCAAGTACATAGACACAGAGGGACTTCACCAAGTGCGACTCGGTGTAGAAGTCGTAAGCCCAGGCCGGCCCTCTGGTGTAAATGATTTGGAAGACCGGGATGAAGCCCGTAGCTCCTAGTCCCACGAAAAATCCCACCCGAAGCCAGGCCTTATCGGCGCGGTTGAAATAGGGGTGCCACGGCATGATGACGCCAGCAATCCCCAAAACGCCAGTGGCAGTCATGTAGGTCCAACGACTGATTGGCTCGCAGTAGAAGGCCGTGTATTCGGTCGTCATGATAGATGCTGCAATCAACAGGGCAATGCCAGTATAATCAACACAGGCGAACCTTTCCAGCAGGGTCTGGTCCGCAACGCAGTTCATCGTGTGCCATATGGTACTGCAGGCCAGGCACTTGCAAGCTGCGAAGAAAAAGACGGCAGCAATAAAGACGTCCGTCTTTGTGCTAAGGCTGAAATGTGTAGAGGAAGGGTAAAAATAGAAGGCGACCGAAAGGACAAGCAGCAGGCCGAGAGCATGCGTCCAGATGTTGACCGTCTCATTAGAGAAGTTGAACATGGACCGCACGCATCCCAACTTCGTTTCGCTGAATCGGTAGCCCTTGAGAATGTGAGGGTTGACTCGCCAAGGAACTGGCAGTTCCTCATATTTGATCAGTCCGTGCTCTCTGGCGCGGGCGACGGCGTACTGGATGTTCTCCTCAAGCGACTCGGCTGCCCTCTTGGCTCTTTCTATTCCCTCGTTGGCCACACCACGAGCACGCTCAATACCTTCATCCACGACTCGGCGGCCTTCGTCCATCAAAGATCCCGCAGCGTCAGCGGCATTGGCGAGTCCCTGGTCCCTCAGCTTCATGGCCCGTGTTTCGTAGTCTGTAAGCATCGTGTCCATGAGCTCGATGCCCACTTTCGCCTTTTCGTTCATCGACTCGGCAGCAGCAAGTGCATCATGATAGCGAGCGTCCAGTGTTTCGACCATCACCTGAAGCCGCCTTCGGCCAGCACCAATCATCTCCTCCGACACTTGCGAGCATCGTGCGCGCACCGCCTGCAAGGTGGAGTACGCCCTACTAATGCTCGCATCTAAGCTGATTTCACCGTAGCTTTCCAGAGTTTCAAGGCGTCTCTCTAGTTCCGAGAGGAACAGGTCGACCTGTGCGAGTTAGAGATATTGCAGGGCAGATCGGCAGGTCGCCCGTACCTTGAGAAGTAGACCCTCCTCCCCATCCATGATTTGGTTAACTAGCGATTTCCGTCGAACAATGCAGGAGGAACGGCGTCTCCGTTGCCGCGGCTGAACGTCATGAGGCTGCGCTCCAGAGCTTGCGGCACCAGGCAGGTCCTCATGGGAGCCTATGGCAAAGGTCGAAGTGCAGGCCATCTTGACAGAAATTGGTGGTATTGGGTCAAACTCGGCGAGAGATACATGTAAATACCGAATCGGACGTCCTGACAGGAATGGCAGCTAGGGAGAGGCGGCACCCGGGTAACGAAGGCGGGGGACCCTGCAGACGGATGCACGTGTGTTGTTCGGGAGAATTCTCTGGACTCTTGTCAAATGCTGGACGCCGTTATCCTTCAACTCGCCACCAGCGGTTCTGGGTTTGTCTGTTGCAGGAATGGCGACCGGGAACGGGGGACGCTGGACCCTTTCACATGCAGACAACAACCACGAGCCGAGAAGCCGGCGCCCAATTGGTACTTTTAGGGAAGCGGGTTAAGTGGAGAGCGAAGCGGTTGGGTCTCCTTGGGGCCCCAACAATCTGCAGTTCGGAGATGATTCAGAATTCCTTACTGCCGAGAATCTCAAGACGAGAGATGGGGCAGATCCGAGTACAAGTACGCAGTGACGCAGTGACGCAGTGATGAGGAATGGTGGGTTGAGGATCACAGATAGAACCAAGATTCGCTTTAAGTTGACCGCCAACGCTCCGTCCTGCTGCTTCCGGATCTTGCGCCCTGGATCTATCGAGGTCACCCGGATACAGGGAGACAGCTTCACGGCCCAAGTTGGGACGAGACCCCGGGTTCGCCTCCAATAGGGTGCAGCTCCGGCCGCTTGTCAATTTTGTCTGTCTGTCAGCTTATCAGATAATGGGGCGTCCAGGGCGGCTGAGATTGCACGAAGGCGAAGGGGCGAATTGCAGCATCGGGAGCGCGCACTGTCTCAGCCGCCAGGTCGTCCCCGTCGTCTTACAGAATGACGGCCTGTCAGGCGGACGGACAGTGTTAAACATACGGACAGAACAGTAATAAGCTGAGGTGCGCAAGGATGTACACTACAGAAATCATCAATGCGCCGCGCACCATCAAGCCTCAACGCTGCGCATGGCCTTGTCTACTTTAGTCGGCACCCTCTTCGAAGTCAAGACGGGATGACGCATCTACCCAAAGGCATGGGAGTCCCCCAAACCGACCCAGAAGCAGCTAGTCGAACTCTGCAGCGATGGTCGGCCGGGCATCTATGATGGAATTACTGTGCTTCCTGCTGTGTGTGTGACCTGTTCAGAATCAGATGCGGCCAGAGGCGGCTAAGTCGGCGAAGTCCCTTGCACGACGCGATGTAAGTTAATGCACCTGTAAAATACTGGAACCCTTGGCCTGGCGAATGCAGTCCCGCAGCTGGAGCCGGGCTGTTTCGTACCCAAGTTACGGTGTTAAGAAAACCCTTCCCGGGGTGTTGCTGGGCAGTTCCAGGTTCCGATGCAACGGCTCAGGCAGTCTCTCGATGCGTTAGAATCGTCTTCTGATTGGCTGGCCGTGTTTCAATTCGACCAGAGCTTGCCAACTCGGCTCGCCATCAGCATCCACCTGCTGCAGTTGCGCATCTGCGACAAACACTGATTCGCCCGCAGGCAGACAATTCGGTATCGTACAGTCACTGTCACGCCTGAAGCTCTTTGTATCTAGCGAAGCCACCCGCCTGGCTTGCTTCCATCATGGCTGTGGATGACATCGTGACGGCGCCGAACTTGGTTGCCGTCATCAATGCATCCCGCGATGCGCGTACCCAGGCTCTCACTCTCGTCAATCAAGTGTCATCCTCGGTCCCGGTCGAGAGCGCGTCGCCCGAGGCGCAGTCGGAGATATCCAAGCAGCAGAAGCTCCTGATCACGCATCTGGCCCAAGTACGAGGTCTCCACCGAGCAGCCACCTTCAGCACACGCAAGACGAAGCAGGAGACCGCCGAGGCGCGCCAAGAGGTCGACCGCCTGCATCTCCAGCTTCAGAACCTTTATTACGAGCAGCGGCATCTTCAGGGCGAAATCACCGCCTGCGAATCATATGAGTGAGTTGGCGCTGCCCTGCACGACCTGTTCGAGGCGTGTACGATTACAGAAACCCGAGCTGATCTGTTCTGATGCCAGCCATACCTACCAACAGCTTCCTCTCATTCCCATCGAGGAGTTCGTCGCCCTCAAACCTGAACACGCCGACGATGACGAGAATGCATTGATGATCGCGCGGATCGAGCACGAACGTACCGAGCGTGAGACTCTGGAGCAGAGACGTATGGAGCTGCTGAAGCGCAAGCAGAAGCTCATTGCGGACAATAAGAAGCGGAAGGATGACCTAGCAAACCTGGATAAGGAGCTCGAGAAGTTCATTGACGCAGCCAAGCCTATTCAGAAGCTATTTGAAAAGAACATCACCTGAGTTTCGGGGGCGTGGACTTGTTCATCCTGTCTTCAGTGGCATGGGCGCTGAATTCGGGCCTTGAATACCACGGCATGACTTTTAAAAAAAAAAACGCCATAACGCAACGTGAAAGCAACTGCTGTTTGGGAGGCTAAGTTGCTGGTGTTGAGTTGAGAGCACTTATCGGCACAATCCCACGCCGGCAAACGGGTTGGCAAAGAACCATATGACGACAAGGTTCCATGTCAAGATTTTGACAATCTTCCAACAGTATTACGAACGACTCACGACCGTCAAGGGGAGCCCCCTGGGGAGGGCACTGTTCTCGGAGGCTGCAACCGGTACTGTCTACATGGGTGCGAATCACCCGAGCTGCATCTGGATCATATCTGGACTTTGAGAATACGGTTTCCCCGACTGAGACGGGTTCCCCTGGCGGTTTCTCACCTGGAATCGTTGAGAAGGGAGGAAATACTACTCCAGGGATACCAACCGTCGGTTCCCAATGGAGCAGCTATGTGCATAGACTCAAAGAGATAGTGGGTCCTATAGAGAGCAGCATAGCATAGATCAGGACCTCAAAAGAAAAAAAAAGAAAAAGCTCGTCCCCGAGACATCTTCCTCTCCACTCGGACTGCAACCAAGCAGGCTTTCAGGCGTAGATCATAAGCAAAATGGTAGCAGACTCAGGAGATGGGCAAAGCTTCGTCGCTCTGATTAGGCGTTGTCTGGATGGCGTCTACTTCTGGCGGCACGATTCAATGGATATACAGTCTACCTTCAAGCAAGGTTGCTTTTGGGAATATTTGAGAACACGGAGTTTAGATTTCGAGCTTGCATGAAATCCACAGCTTATTGTGCTCTGCAATTCACCGGACGATTGGACCACCGAAAGAATAGGCCAAAGATCCGCTGAGCGGGTGAATACCTATATCGGCATGAATAGTCCCAATGGACGGCTTATAGAGATCTTCGCATTTATATCCATTATGCTTGCCTCCGAGAATACTAGACACCAAGGGCTAGTATCAGGACCGTCGGGACGGCAGGTTATCCGTTGATCCATTCTGACGAATCTCAGGGCTAAGTCCACAACTCATTACAAAGACTGGAGAAGACGATCCAAGGTTGCTACGCTTCATCTACCGCAGCCCACAGCATGGTTGGCGTTGGCAAGAATACTGGGGACGGTTGCGAGGCCACGCAATAATCCAAGCGCTCCACGTGGAGCTGGGTATAGTTACTCGGCCACTGGTATTTCAGCGAACCGAGGACATATAGGACGTTGATTGGCCCGCACTTGATTCGACGCCCCAGAGACCGGGATGTACGTGAGATTGGTTGCTTTCCACAGTAACACACATAGCCTGCAGGATTCGAGTATGACAACAGATGATACCATTTTAGACGTCGGGATACCAAGAAGATAATCTCAGCCCTACTGTGCCTCCCCCAGCTCGAAATCAGTAGCCACCATCAATCCGAAACAACCCATGGTACCTTATTTCAAGAAATCAGGACAGTCTGGCAAAGAGCAGGCGACGCGTTCCTCCAGGATCAGGGACCAGGCAGTCTAGACTAGGGAATGGTGTGGGAGCCCGGCCATTGGTAGCAGCGACGTCATAGTTGCGCGTTCCTCTTGGGTTGTCGCTTCAGGACGAACGACAAACATTCCAGTGTTATCTGCCAGTCGGGCGTTGGACTATAGTCCGAAGCAGTTGCTGGACTTTGTGGTCTGATATGGTAAGGTATTGTACTGTATGTAGTTGGTGCACTTTATTAGTCTTCACGCCAACAACACCAAATTAGTTCGCAAATTTCAGCCTTCAATGCATTTATCAGGTTGTTCACGAAAAGCATTCTGGGAGGATTGTCACCGTCGCTACACTAGCCAATGAAGCGTTAGGCGATCCGTGCATGACATGAAACGATCTTTTTTCCGGCGGCATCAATTTCCAGGTCAGCTTCAAGGCTGACCGTTGTCGTAAACCGAAGCAGCCAATGATTCTTGTTTCCGGGCACCTGTCTGCCCCGTGGACGTGAGAAGCCGTTCGTGGCCGGTCCTTCTCGTTTGATGCGCTGGTATCTGGCCTTAAGCAAGTGCATCGTCGAAGCCCCAGCAGGATCTAGGCCTGTAAATCCCTCGAAAGCTAGGGTTGCGGCAGCGGGACGCGTTACTTCAAGATGCCACCACGTTCACGCCGTATTGGCTTGCAGGCGTGAGATCCGCGTACCAGCTACTGGTAAAATTGATGGTCAATAGGGATCATCGGGGTACGGGATACTCCACACGGCTTCTTGATGATGGCCAATTTTAAATCCTGGCAGGGATCTGGTTGACGAATCATGCTGGCCGTGTCGACACAATGGCAGCCAACCAGATTGTACAAAAGCTTAGGTGGCCCAGCCGTGAAATTAGCTGCGCAGAGCGTTTTGGAACGGGGTCGAGCTTGGCCCAAAACCCCAAAGCGCTTTGTCTTGGCTTTCGGCGGCCTCCATGTTGATCGGCTTGCCTACCAAGCGAGGTTTTGCCAGTTCGCGAGGCTGACCCGAGTACGGAACTGTGCTACAATGGCAGATGCGAACGAAGCATGGGACATATTCTCCGCACCGGCCTTGCGGACTTCATCAATGATATGGAGTTTATCCCCGTGCCGAGGGCTTGAGACAGCGCGATGAGCCTTGGCAGGCCTTCTGTGTAAGTGAGGTCATAGTCACATTGATTTTAATCTGACGTTGAGAGAAACAACATCGATTCTTGGCTGGCCTTGGGCTCGTCATCACAATGAGAGGGCACCTTGGCAAGTACTGTATTCAGCATTGGCCGATACCACCATCGCTTGAGAATGTGCAGCGAGCAAACGCGCATAGTTATCTGTGTCCGTTGGTTGATCCGCCGGTGGGCGTGGACTGTGCACCCATGGGGGTCCGCAATCGACGAAGAGATCTGAGTCGGGACATCTGGTCCCCTGTGATAATGCAATTGTCCGAAAGCCCTTACCTAAACGCAGTGACACGGTGCAGTTCCATCGGTAGTATGCACAAAACCCCCAGGTCGCTAAGCAAGCACCACCTCAGATAAGATGAATGAGCCCCCCCGACGCCAACGCACGACGCATCCATCACGACGGCAGCCGCGTTTGACGGCAGCCGTTGATGGCCTGACTGTGACGTGCGGTGTGAATGGAGGAGCCTTGGGAGCTGGCTTGGCTGGGTGATGACGATTCAGACCGGGCGCAGAGTGCCGAGCTGCTACTGACTGACCAATCCCAGGTGGCTCAGCATGCACCCAAGCCACCGCATATTTTCTTATGCAAGCAATTCAGTTGAACCTGACTGGTTTTGCTTGCTCAGCAGATGATGTCGAGATGCAGTAGCGAGGTCCTGCGGCACTAAAGAACGCACCATCACCCACTAGATCGGCCGAAGATAGAATCATGGACTGCCAAGGCAGCTAGATCTGCTGTTACCGAGACTCGTCATCTGGGTAGCGCGACTGCGCTTTTTGCGCTGCGTAGCACATGCACCGAATCGCAGTAGTAGTTACAGGCAGGCGGTGGATAAGCATGCAGATGGATGTCTTTGAGAGAGCTGCCATCTGACACGTGGGTCGAGGTTTGCGACGACAGTGGAAACGATTATCCTGATGGGTTGACACGGCACAGTACCATTCTCAGCAACGCGACACGGTCGCTTGCTAGTTTCATATGAGAGTATCCGGAGTAACTACAGGAATGGGAGCCCGAGACCCCGAGAAAGAAATCGGGAAATCGAAACGAGGCGTGCCGCTTACACAAGCTTTAGTCGAACAGCTCAGAGCGGATGCTCGCTTACTGCATAACCTCTTCGAGATGAATAGTGGCCCAATTTTTGGTATGCAAGAACACGTGAGACGAAATACGGGTTCCTGAAGAAAAATGAATACATTACCCAATCTTGGTATGCAGGAGAATGTGAGACGAAATGCAGGTGCCTAAAGAGGATCCGAAAAGTGATCTGGACGGTTGCGGCGCCCGAAGTATGCTGAAGATCCGTGCTGACTAGCATGCTGCTCTGGAAGAACAGATAGACTTTACATAGCCGGGCGTGGGCTGACCTGCCACGAGGAATCACTGTTGAAACGCAATCCACGGGCGTCTGTGCCACCCATCAACTTGTCAAAGGGGGCCGCGGGCGAGCCTTGGTGCTTATCAGAGACAGACGCAGCTGCTCGGCCGCGTGTAAGCAGCGCAGCCCAGAATAGCAAGAGCTGAGGCGGTGCAGTGCAGTGCTATACTGACTGTATCCATTCCGCCATGCGTACTATGTATTGGCAACGGCTTTTTTGGAGTAACACAGCCTTACTTGTGTGTCTGGGCACAGAGAGCGCGCGAGGGCTGCCGCCGCTTGGGATGATCTACCTTGCATGTGCTCCCCAACGGTGACATAGGGTCGCCATCCCACCTGCTGCGGCATCACCAGTCTCAGTGTGTGCCCCCTCCTGCGGGCGAGAACTGCAGGTAGACTGCATGTGTGCAGGATTCGGATACTCATCCACGTAAAGAGACACAGTCATCGCGGCGCATTCTTACTATGTACAGTGCTGTAACTTAGATGTAGGCCAGGGACGGTCCCGATGGAGATGAGATGAGAGTCGTGTCGTACCGGGAGCGAATATTCGCGTCCCGTACCATACCGGCTACCCCGTACTTCTCCAGCGGCCATCACAACTTTATTCGGGCGTAATCTTAAAAAAAAAAAAAAAAGATTGAATTAAGAGAAGCCGAATGCATACCCGAATCAGTACTTTCTTCTCACTGTCGCCATTTTTCCCTGCAGAGAGACCCCTGGGCCCCGGGCGCTGGGGCGCTGGGGGGGCACCCACTCGCTGCAAGTGCTCACGGCGTTGGATGGGCCAGTTCGCGCTTGCTCCCCAAATTTGACGGCTCACAGCCCAGGCCTGCCCCCGGAACCCAGCGCGCTACCCACCCCCCAGCAACCTGAACCTTGAGACCCAGCTAAATGAGCCCGCCTTTCATCTCCCCTTTTTTCTATTACCAAAGCTCGCGAGTATCGTCTCACTTCGAAATTTCCCTCCTCCCCCTTTGCAGGCTCATATCACCCCGTCGTCTCGGTTCTCCTGCTTGCGGCACCACCTGGCTCCAGGGCAGAAAATAGGACGGGCGCGAAGATTGGACGTGGCCCCCGGATCGAGGCAGCAGGCAGCACAATTCAAGCTTTCGGTTATTTTGGCACTTCCTTTTATTGCTACTATTCCTCTCCTGCGGCATCTCTGCGCTGCTCTTGCACTGTACACCCCCCCAGCCACCATCGATCGGTCGGTTCGACCAAGCATTCTCTAGCGCTAAAAAAAAGTGCTGCTGCCGTCCCCGTCGCTCCAGTCCGTGGGACGAGACGCCGGCGAGAAAGTACATACACTAGGCTGACAGAGAGAGGCTATCGACCAAATCTCCAGTCCCAGTCTGCTCTGACTGCTAGGCCTGCGCCTCTGCCTTCCCGCTAGTCGCACTGGTCTACCCACACACCCTGTTTCTCTCTCCTGTCCCTATCTTTCTCCTTCACCTCTCTCTCCTCCACATTCCAATCTCTTCCCTCATTCCGCACTGCACTCTCCAGCCTCACGACCGGTCACGACGGACGGCGCCTTCTCGCAGTCTCCGTCCTCCACGCTCCCTCGTCTGACCAGTCGCGCGCGCCTGCCTTGCCTCCCACCTCCGACAACCACCTTGGGCTCCCTCTACACATCGCCAACATGGAGGCTCTCTTCAACTGGTGCACGCGGCGTGCCGGAGGACTGGCAATGATATCGACCATCTTCCTCAGCTACTGGGTCATCTCCAAGGAAGCGGCTTCGTCGGGCTATGGCTACAACCTCATGCACCTGCACCACAGCACGCCCACCGCCGCCGCGTCCTCGGGCTCCGGTGGATGGTGGACGCTGGGATTCGCCTACTACTGTCTGTTTATACACATACTAGTATTCTTGTTCCCCATCCGTGCCTGCTGGTCCATCTTCGACATCACCAGAACGCTCAAGAAGACGGCGCGAAGCAAGGCGCTGCGGGATATCAAGCTGTCTCATCGCCGCCGCGGCTCGTCCACCTCGCTCTCGAGCTCCGAGACCCTGACCTCGTCCCGCGATGGGTCGACAACCAGCAGCGAGGCTGGCGATCTCGAGATTGAGCAGTACACAGATGGTGACTCTCTGGCGATCGACAACGTGGTGCACGCCATCATCATCCCCAACTACAAGGAGGAAGTCGATACGCTGAGGGAAACTCTGGACGTTCTTGCCTCTCATCCCCAAGCCCGTCACAGCTACGATGTAAGCATTCTCTCACCCCTGAAAATTGTCGTTACGCGCGAAACGATGGCATCACGTTTTCCCTCTACGTTTTTGGTTTCCTGCAAGCGCCAGAAATGACGTTGGCGCCCCGGCTCCACGTTAAGCTTCTGAGGCCATATGCACTGTTTCTCTTCCGTGACGTATCTCTGACTGACGCGCTGCAAATCCAGATCTACCTCGGAATGGAACAGCGGGAACACAATGCTGAGCTCAAGGCCATGAACCTCATCCAGGAATTTGTCAAGAAGTTCCGTTCAATTGACTTCACCCTGCACCCGTCCGATATTCCCGGCGAGGCTCCTGGTAAAGGAAGCAACTGTGCTTGGGCTGCGCGCAAACTCAGCGAGCGCTACTCGATGGCGCAGAGGAAGGATGTGATAATCACTGGAATTGATGGTACGTAGGCATTGAACTTCCGACCCCTGCATCAACGTCGGGATCCGCATCCTTCCTATCCGTTGGGCTGCGTCTGACGCATACCACGTTTCCGACATCTGCCCCATCATATCACTCAGACGTCACCCAGCTGTGACTTGTTGGAATGCGTTGCTAACATGAACCGTTACAGCCGACAGCCACCTCTCCTCCAACTTCTTCGCTCTGCTGACCAGCATGCACCTGGCCCACCCTGAGACCGCTCCCACCACTCTGTACTCCGCGCCCATCATCTTCGACCGCAATGCTCACAGTGTCCCCGCTATTGTCCGAGTCGCTGATATTCTCTGGTCTGCTGCTGGCATGTCTGGTCTTTACCGTGGCTCGAGCATTGCTCCACCAACTTCGGTCTACTCTGTTCCTCTAGTTCTGGTTGACAGAGTTGGCGGATGGGACAGTGACTCCGAGGCTATCGGCGAGGACTTGCACATGTTCCTGAAGTGTTTCTTCGCTATGAATGGAAATCTGACCACCCGAACTGTACTGAGCCCTGTCAGTCAAAGCAACGTTAATGGCGATGGCGGAAGCGGTGTCTACGGTCTCTACAACGATATGCGCGCCCGATACAAGCAGGCCCTCAGGCACATGTGGGGCTGCTTGGATTCCGGTTACGCCATGAGAAAGGGCTGGGAGCTGTGGAAGGAGCGCAAGCACACCTCGAGAGCTTACCGGCCTCTTCACGTCACATTGAACAACCCCTCCGACACGTACATCCCCGAGGTTGACGGCCTGAATGCCGAACAGACTCTGGAGAGCGGCATCTTCTCGGATGTGACCACAGACACTCTTAAGGACATCAACTGGATGCGCCTCCTCATTCTGGTGCACCGTATGTTCGAGGCACACTTCTTGCCCGTTCAGATGACTATTCTTGTCATTGCCTCAACGCTCTACATATGGGTAGCTGAGGGCAACGGCGACCCCCAGAACCTGACGTTGATCTTCACAGTCTGCAATGTCCTTCGTACCGCTGGTTTCATGGAGATAGCACTGTACATGTTCTTGTACGAGGGATTCCACAAGCTCATGGCTACTCAGCGCGAGAAGGAAATGAACGATGCCGGCTTGGCTAAGGGAATGTGCTTCTCGCATCGTGAGCTCAAGAAGAACTTCATCGACTACGTCATGGTCCCGCTGGTAGCGCCCTTGTACGGTGCTATTCCAGGTGCCCAGGCCCAACTCTTCCAGTTCTGGACCCAAGATCTGGTATATACGGTCAGCAAAAAGGTCACGCGGCAACGGTCCAAGTCGTTATCAGCAGACGCGATGGTATAGCGAATTGCGAAGCAACCGACCGTTTTTGAATCTTTTCACCTGGACCGGCTTCCCGCAGAATGCCGGTTTTCAACGACTTCTTGTTTCTTTTCTCTGCAACCCATTTTGAAAGAACCATGGGCGACTCTTCGACCATTTTGACAACGGCTCCGAGAAGAGTGTGTAAATAGAGGACATGATGTTGATATGCATGGCACGGCATTGGCATTGGCATTCTAGATATGAGGGTAACTTATCTTGGGCCCTTTGGAGTTCTCGGAGCAAATTGCAGGAAAAGACCTTTTCTTTCCTGCCGGCATTCGTTTATACGGCAAGAGGGCGGCAGAGGCGTCATTAATGCGGTGCAAATGGTTGACATGAACCAGTCTTGCGATTCCGCAGTGGCTGCCTGTCACGCTGGGGGCTAGGGCTAGCTCAGCGTGGACTGAAGAGGAGACGAGGGTATGAGGATCTTTCCGACCGACACACCCGGATAATCTATCCTAGCCCGATAATATCTAATACATGTATAAGAAAGACGCGGAACGAGGAACGCTTTCGATCGCGGCCTTAGGGAAGGGTATCGATCCAACAGAGGGACCCTTCGAAGCGAGGCATTAGTTGTCGAGGTAACGGCCAGACAGCTCATAACGATAAATGGATAACTTATATCGCTCCCTTGTCAGTCCCAAACACCTCCCGATGTACGTATATAATGCCCACGGCAATGATAATAGAACATGAACACTGCTTCGTTTGAAATCTTCACACGGCGTGGCAGGCCATATCTTTGCCGTGGATGCTCTGGCTCGGATGTACCTGTGATACCCGAAAACCTTGTGAACTCGAGAGCACCACGGCCGCGGTTCAAACTTAAACTCTGTTCTGTCAAGATTGAACGTCACCTTTGGCACAAGGTTGTATTGACACCTGCCCGGGTGTCTAGGTGTCTCGGCAAGCTCCCGTCCCGTCAAGGTGGCTCCGAGACCCTTCGGAGCTGGGAAATCGGCGCACCAATCATGTTACACCATTCTCCTCATGCGCTTGCTTCCTTCCGAGTCGCTTCGGCGTTTGTTATAGTTGCCCATGGAAAGAAAAGCACTTGGATTATTGTCATTTTGCTTCCTGTCGTGTCGAAGGATTTTAGACGTAAACAGCTCTCGTTATATAAGGGCTTGGCTGATCTCTCCCAGTTCAACTCGCAGGTTATGGTTCTCGATATATCCAACACGCCTTGTGACTTTGCTCGACTATACTTGCGTGATCATCACAAAGACAACCGACCACAATGGCCAGCCCTCGCAAGACCGTACGCATCGGCGTCTTCATCCCAAAGGATTGCCAGCTGCTGGACGCAGCTTGCGTCGACATCCTGGCCAGCATGTCGCACGAGTACCTCAGCATCGCCTCGGACATGATACCGCGGCAGGTGGTTGACCTCGCGCCGTCGGTGCGCATCCACTACGTCGGCTCCGTCAAGGCCGGCGAGCCCATCCCGATGACGGCCAACCTGAGAGCCCAGGCCACGAACCACTTCGGCGACGACGAGGTCGCCCCCGGGAACCTGGACATTGTCGTGGTGCCCGGCCCGGACCCGGCCGCCCGGTTCGAGGAGGACGCCTTGGACTGGCTGAGGCGGCACAGCGAGCAGCCCGCGACGGATATCCTGAGCGTCTGCACGGGCATCTACGTCTGCGGGTACGCCGGGCTCCTGAAGGGCAAGACGATCTGTGGGCCGCGCGGCGTGCAGGACGATATCACGGCCCGCTTCGGGAAGGACATCATCCAGAAGGGCGCCGAGCTGCGGTGGGTGCAGGATGGCAACTTTTGGTCCAGTGGTCAGTATCCCTCAATCACACACATCATGAGAATGATGGAGTGATCCCCCTTTACCGCTGTCAAAACCACGCGTTGACACGGCAGCTCACGTATAGGAGGTGTCACGAACGGCAATGACCTCGCAGCAGCCTATGCCCGTCAGAAGTCCGAGTTCTGGCCGAGGCCGGTAGTCGAGACGGTCATCGCCTTGACCGACGTTGGTGACCGGGACCAGGCGTATGGCAAGAGCCCGTCTATGGCTGATCTGGCTAGTACTCTGTGAGACTGGGTTTCAATGTTCGCTCATAAATGATGAGCGCTTGAGTCAAGTATTTGGGTACGGGCGTATCTGTGCATTTGGTCGCACCGTCGTTGTATACAAACTAGGGCCTCCTTAAAAAGCTGTTTATATCTCGATCATGTCAGCTGAAGGCTGGTTTACGTCCAGTATGGACAGTTTCGTCCATGTGGGCAATGGCTGAACGCGTGAAACGTTATAGGATAACTGTTTGACTGTTTCGTGGATATTCGCCGCGTCTAAAGTCGCTTCGGTCACCAGAGATAGCCATGAGCCATGCCACAGCCGCCGGGTCTCACTAGTAAGCAAGGGAAGTAGAAAGGAAAACTACAAGTATTCAACTTTGAGCGGCAGGCTACGACTTTATTAATAAATCGGAAGTCCCGGGGATACTGTCAAGCTGGCTAGGCAAACGTCATAAACTCAAACCATCCAATTGGGGCACTCTGACAGCCCCATTCGAGCAGGCACGTAAGATAGTCTATTCCTAATGAGAGAAAATACTGGTTGAACTCGCCGGATCTTGCGGATGCTGCCTGGGTGAGATTCCCACCGAGAGGCTATCTAGAGATCGGAGAAACGTCACCGCTAGTGGGATGGATCGATGGATGAAGTGTCTGTTTTTCTCTTTCTTGGCGCATGGGCAGGGTCCGCCTAACAAGAAAAAAAGTCAGAGGCCGGCCTGGCAGATGGCAGGGGTGCATGTCCCCCCAGTGGGTTGTGGTTGGGCGGTTGCCGTGGCTGCACCTCTGCGGCCCACTAGCGCCTCTTATCGTCCAGGCGGTGGGGTTTTTGCCAGTGGACCAGTGGATTTGCAGGCGGCAGCTCAGAACTTTTTTTTTCTCTACCTCGCGAGTCGTAGCAGCAGCAAAGTCGTACAGGCACCCTCTTGAAAATTTCCTGCAGCGGCGTCTTCGCATTCTTTTCATCACACAGTCTCTACTTCGTTCCGGCCAATTGCATCCGATAAGAACGGCAAGACTCGGTCGATTCTCTTTGCGTATCCCATCGCAAAGCCCCGAATCACAGAAGCCTCGATCGCAGCCTCGTCCCGAGCTCCATTCTCTTCACAATGTCGGTTCAGCCTGTCGCCCTGTACGGGCTCGAGGTCCCGCCCGCTGGTGTCCTGGTTCCTGCCATGCAGGAGGACAGCATCCCCAATGCCTCTGTAAGTCATTGCCATCTACTCGCGTTCCCTTGTGCGGACCTGCAGCGTTTTCTACGGTGCAGACCACAGAAGCGCCTTGTGGCCGAGTAAGGCGCGCCTATGCTTGACAGACCGACTGACACAATGCGCAGTTCCGCATCACAATGGCCGCCCTGGACCCTACCGAGGCACCTGAGGCCGACGAGGAGGGCAACATCCCCGCCGTCCCCCGCGCCACCCTGAAGCTCGTGCGCCAGAGATACCCTGACCTCGATGACGAGCTCGATGACGAGTACCTCGAGGCCCTTATGGGTGGCTCCGACGACGACGAGGACAGTGACGACGATGACGAGCCCAACGGCGGCCCCAGTGACCCCTCCAAGTCCAAGAAGGCCAAGGCCGAGGCCGCCCTGAAGAAGCTCATCGAGGCTGCTCAGGAGGAGGAGTCCGACTCCGACGAGGAGATGGCCGACCAGCCCAATGGCTCCAAGCCTAACAAGAAGGGCAAGGAGCCTGCTACCTCGAGCGACGACGATGACGATGACGACAGCATCGACTCGGACGCCATCGACTTGGAGGAGTTCGTCATCTGCACCCTCGACACTGAGAGAGTAAGTCACCCGCATCCATCTCTGACATTGATCTACATCGTGCTAACGTACGCCCACAGAACTACCAGCAGGCCATTGACATCACTGTTGGCCCCAATGAGAAGGTCTTCTTCCGTGTTACCGGTACCCACTCCATCCACCTGACTGGTAACTACACCATCGACTTGGCCGATGAGGAGGACTCCGAGGATGAGGATGATGAAGATTACGACGACTTCCCCAACGAGCTTGAGGAGATGTACGGCGCCGGCTCCGACGAGTCGGAAGACGATGAGCTCGATGGCCTTGAGGACCCCCGCATCACCGAGGTTGACTCAGAGGAGGAAGCCCCCAAGCTGGTTGAGGCCAAGAAGGGCAAGAACAAGCGTCGCGCTGAGGAGGATGGTGAGAGCCTTGATGCTCTGATTGCCAAGGATGCCGAGGAGGGCAAGCTCAGCAAGAAGCAGCAGAAGAAGCTGAAGAACAACAAGGGCGACGCTGTCGCCGTTGAGGAGAAGGCCAAGGCTGGCGAGAGCCCCAAGGATGCCAAGAAGGTTCAGTTCGCAAAGAACCTCGAGCAGGGTCCTACGGGCTCTACCGCTCAGGCTGACAAGGGTGCCAAGCCTGGTGTCAAGGTGGTGCAGGGTGTCACCATCGATGACCGCAAGATTGGCAAGGGCCGAGCTGCTAAGAAGGGCGACAAGGTCGGCGTTCGATACATCGGCAAGCTGACAGACGGCAAGGTGTTCGATGGTAAGTTCCCATAGCCAATTCCCCCTTGGCCGACCGTCGATCTTGAAGAGCGGTTCCGCTAACCATCTCCCAGCCAACAAGAAGGGTAAGCCCTTCACCTTCGGTGTCGGCCGCGGTGAGGTCATCAAGGGCTGGGACATCGGTATCATTGGCATGCAGTGTGGCGGTGAGCGTCGTGTTACGATCCCCGCCCACCTGGCCTACGGCAAGAGCGCGTTGCCCGGTATCCCTGCGAACTCGACGCTGGTTTTCGACATGAAGCTCCTGGAGATCAAGTAGATGCTTCTGGGCCCCACGTGTCACCATTTCCACTTGCAGATACCATTTCTGACTGTACTCTACTTGGACGGACATAATGATGCTTTCCTACCTATAACTCGTGCGCTGTGAGGTCTCCGACCTGCGCGGGTCTGCGAGGATCCGGTCCATGTCCCAGACGCGGGAAGCAGACGTTGTTACAAGGGATGACGAGGTCTAGCATTGCATTCACAGGCGTCACAAAAAGTTGTTTCTACTGGGCTCTGGGTTTTCCTATTTCGTTGTATTCTTGACTCGACTCGGCCGCCACCTGATAGTGCAGCTAGATACACTAAGATCAATACAGATTTCTTGTGTTAAATATGCGACCCCGGCCCTTGCTTGGTGAAACTTGCTCTGCAGCGGTGTTCACTCCGCCTGCATGTTTGTTCTTACCACCCTAGAAACTGGATGACCAGCTGCATGGTTGGCTTAATTTGACACTGTCCCGGATATAAGTCCGATACACTCTACTAGGCCAAAAGTTAAGGGCAAGCGGCATCTTTCGAGTTGGCATATCAGGCGCCATCTTGGGCAGTTATCTAGCCGACCAGGGCCCTTTCCAGCTTCGTATCTTGTCTTGGGCGTCCTCAATGCAAACATCGCTCCTTCTAGTCGGATTTCGGACCCGTTCTTGGGGGCAAGTGCAAGTCTCTGTGAATGCCCGTAGATGTGGATGTTGATGGCCACTCGATCCCATCTCATAATCTCAAACTCTGGCCTTTTGTCTTCCATCTTCATGTGTCATACATAGTCCGCTGCAATAGATCATTATTCATTCTCTCGACTCTCGCTGTTTTGGTCCGCAGCAACGGCAGCCTATACACGGCAGCCTGGTTTTGAGCAGTCCCGGTTTATCATGAAGCGTGGTGTCAACGGGAAGAACAGTGCTACCATGCTTCCACAGAGCGGTGATTCTGCCTTGCTCCAGACGCCTCCACCGTCAAGTCCCGAGAGAGATGGGCCCCCTCGAAAACTCCGCCGACAAGGCTCAAAGCTCATGACAGCGTTACGCTCCATGACAAACAGTGGTAAGCTGGAACTCCGCAATCCCTTGATATAGTGACGAAGCATTAACCACACACCGCAGCATCCGGCTCTTTCCGGGACAGGAGTAGTCTTGATTTGTCGCCAGCCCTATTAGAAGTAGCAGAAGACCCTCCAGACCGTCGACCAGTGACCAAGAGGTTTTCTTTCTCGGCCCTTCGAGCGCCCTTTAGTCCTGCTCATACTGTGGTCCATCGGAACCAGAAGTCAAGGCCGTCACTTCGATCCCTTGATCAGGGCCCCAAGGAATCACCACCTCCCAGCATTGTCAACGTCAAGTATCAGGAATCATCCACCTCCAACAGCAACAGCAATACAAACTCAAGTGGCAAGTTTTCGGGGCCAACTAGTGATGGCAATACCACCACCAACAACACCACCGCCAAGACTTCAGTGGATTCCAAGTTTTCCAAATCGAGCACCAAGACCAACTCCGGCGACAAGAAGCTCAAGCCAGTCTCTAGCGTCATTCGACGCAAGAAGGAGCCTGAGCTAGACTCCAGGGCAGATTCGTCCTTAGAACCGATTGTTGAAACTGCGCTGGACCAGCTAGCTCCCACCATCAAGACGGTTGAGAAGACTGCCGCCGCGAAGATCTATCTCGAGACTTACTTCCACGAGATTCTGTCAAAACCCAGTCCCAGATCGATGCGTCTACAGTACCTCGAGTCGGAGCTCTACCGCAGCGAACTTACGCCACAGGAGCGCTGCGCCAAGCGCGAGGCATTCTACAAGCAAGAGTCTGACCACCTTCGAGAGAGTCGGGTGCTGAAGTCCAAGAGCTTTGGGCCAACTTTGCAAGGTTTGCCCGGTAAGCTAGCCAATGGGTATGAAGTGCTGAAGATCCTGGGCAAAGGAAGCTTTGGTGTCGTCCGACTGGTACGGGAGAAGGGTCCGGATGGCCTCGAATCTGTGTCCCAGAGGCGAAAAGTCTACGCCATGAAGGTGATTCGCAAGTCTGCAATGCTTCAGACGAGCCAAGAAGGACACTTGAGAGCGGAGAGGGACTTCCTGGTCTCGTCTGATGGATCAAGATGGTATGAAGCCTTGTACCCCGGATCTGCAAAGTAGCAGCAGAAAACGTGCTATACTGATTAGGGTCCCTAGGATCGTACCCTTGATTGCAAGTTTCCAAGATCCAGCCAACTTGTACCTTGTCATGGAGTATATGCCCGGTGGGGATTTCCTCGGCCTCCTCATCCGAGAGAATATTCTTAGCGAGCCGGTGGCAAAATTCTACATCGCGGAGATGATATTGTGCATTGAAGAAGCGCACTCACTGCGGTGCATTCACCGCGATATCAAGCCCGACAATTTCCTGGTATCTGCTTCAGGTCATTTGAAAATATCTGATTTTGGCCTCGCCTTTGACGGGCATTGGTCCCACGATACCAGCTACTACCACACCCACCGGTATAGCCTGATCGAGAAGCTTGGGCTCTCCATCGAGGGCGATGCAATGGATCGACGGGATGGTAACAGTGGCATGATGAGGTGGACACACAGCATGAACATGGCTATGCGCAAACACGACCGCCCAGAGCTCCAGAGTAGGTCTGGGGCTCATCACCAGGAACCACTACTGAACTGGCGTAATCGTTGCGGCAACCGTACAGCTGCCCGTTCCGTCGTTGGCACCAGCCAGTATATGGCCCCCGAAGTCATCCGCGAGGGTGTCTACGACGCCAGATGCGACTAGTGGAGCCTCGGCGTCATCCTGTATGAGTGTCTCTATGGGCACACGCCGTTTCTATCCGAAACAGGTGGCCGGCAGGAGACGAAACGCAATATTGTCAACCACAGACAGACTTTCGCCTTTCCGTCACGGCCATTGGTATCCCGGCGCTGTATGGACCTTGTGTCCCGGTTGATTTGTGAAAAAGAAGGCAGGCTGTGTTCGCGGCGCTACCAGATGAAGGACCAGTCGCCGCCACCGCAGCAGCAATCTTCGCTTGCATCATCTAGGTCTCCTACGACCACTGTGAAGCGTGGTCCCCAGGACTGGATGGGACGCTCAGTCTACCCTCATGATGCTGAGGACCTCAAGGCCCACAAGTGGTTCCGGGATATCCCTTGGGATCGTCTGCAACTGATTCCCCCACCGTTCGTGCCCCAGATCTCGAGCCTCGAGGATACGCACTACTTTGACGAGGAGGAGCCTATCTCAGACTGGTCGGAGTCGCAACCAGACACCGACTCGGAAACCGACACGCCCCCCGAGACTGCGACGCCTCCTCTTCCGGACACCATGGCTCTCGACGTGAATCCTCTCAACATGTTACCCAATGCGGTGCCTATACTGATGCCTGCACCCGTGCCCGACCTCCGCCGCAGTCCACGCAAGGTGGCCGAGATACAAGCGGCTCTGGCGCAGTTCCCCAAGACACAGCGAACCGCACTGGCGCAGTACGTGGCGACACCATTTGATTCGGTGAAGCTCAAGCGCATAGACCGGGAGATCGCGCACGTGGTTTGCCCCAACGACACGACGCAGGCGGAGCGGCTGCGCGACTTTGTGCGGTGCTACGGCAAGCGGGAGCGAAAGCGGCCCCGCGACCGCGTGCTGCGTGACCGCCAGGCAAGAGGCGTGGCGTTGGAGATACGCAAGCGCAGCGCCTTCCTGGGCTATACATGGAAGAGGATGAAGGTGCAGGACCACGAGGGCGGCGCTGGCGGCCCGGGGATGCTGAGTGCTCTGGCGGCGCGGAACGGGTTCAATGTCGACGCTAAGGGAGTCACCGCGGGTGACAGTGCAGACATTGCTGCGCATCGGGCGTGGTACGGGAGAGGCGTTCTGTAAGGGTTGGTCTTCGCGTTTGGGAAATCTGAAGAAGGAGTGGAAAAGGGGTGATAATACACTAGGTGAAAAAAAGAAGAAGCCGTAAGAGGCCAGCCAAGGTGATGGCGAGTTACAATTAACCCTCCGTATTGAATAGACATCATCATTAATAAAGCTGCTTGCTGTACACCGCCTGTGGGTGACAACGGATATGGTTGCTAAGTCATTAGATCGTAGATCGTTTCCACCCATGAACGTTCCACAGAGCCTCGAAAGAAAACACCGGGTATCTAGATCGCCGAACACTGAACGAGAACGTGTAAGCCTGCCCGCCGGACAAGTACACGCGGCTGAGACCTCGCAGCCTCACGACCTCTTCTCCCGGCCGCCGTCTGCACCCCGAGAGACGGACCGCCCCGGCTGCTCGCCGCCCACCTCGCCCGCCTCGTCGTCGCCGGCGCCCACGCCGTCGAACTCGAACGCGGGCCCGCCGGCGCCCGTGGCCGAGGCCTTGGCGTTGCGGATCTCCCACTCGAACTCGCGGAGGGCGTGGAGCTCGGCGCCGACGAAGAGGAGGGCGACCAGCCCGTCGACGACGCCGGCCGCCAGCCCCAGGCTGCAGAGCAGCGTCAGCACGAAGCCCGCCCACCGCGGCGTCCACCACACCCCGACGTAGCACACGGCCGCCACCACCACCCACGTCCCGAAGTGCACCCCGCGCCACCGCCGCTGGAACCGCTCCCGCGCCGTGTACGCCTCGATGTGCGCCAGGATCTCGTCGTACGTCCCCGACGGCAGGTGCGACACGGGCTGCGCCATGGCGCGCAGCTGGGCCGAGAAGGAGGAGCTCGGGTAGGCGTTGAGGTGGTTGCGCGGCCGGTCGCCGCCGCCAGGCCCGGATTCCGGCAGATGCATCTCGGACGTGGTCGGCGACATGTGCAGGTAGACGCCGTTCTCGAGGTCGGTCTCCTGGATCTCGGTGCCGCGGGTCTCGACCACGGAGGCGGCGCGGCCGGGCGGGTAGGGGATGGAGCTGTGGTCGCGCGGGTGGTGGCGCGAGTGCGACGACGAGGGCGTGGAGCCGGCCTGGTGCAGCACGAGGGTGGCCTCGACGGAGAAGTGGTCCGAGAGGCTGCAGCCGAGCTCCGAGTGCCGCTGTAGCATGCCCACGCGCGCGTCGTGGACGACCCAGCCCCAGCCCGGGTTCTCGCCCTCCAAGTTCCCGGACGAGGCGAATATGTAGTCGAGCCGCTTCCCCTTGTGGTCGAGGGTGTCGGGCGCGATCTCGGGCCAGTCCCTCTCGCGGCCCGGGCCGAGCTTCTTCTGCTGCGACTTGGGCCATCTCCAGGTGTTGTAGACCGAGTTGCTTGTGGCGCCGTTCTCCTCGATGTTAAACTGGGCCGTGGGAATGGGCCGGCGCCGCGCCCGCTCCAGGTCCTCCTCGGCGGCGCCCAGCGAAGAGTCAGGGTGCAGGATGCGCCACACATCGTGCACGGGGGCATGGGAGGTGATGATGCGGTGTGATAGGGACAGGGGCACCTCGTTGAAGTCGCCGAGGGCCAGTACCAGATGCCCGCGAGCCGCAGCACCGCGGAGCAGCTTTGCGAGCTCCCATGCCTGCGAGAGACGGTGCGCGACATAGGTGTCGTGCCCGTCTTTCTCGTACTTTGGATGCGTCTTGAGAACTGTTGTTAGTCTCCGAATCTACCAGATACTCAGGGTATCAACTGAGGACTTACGTGTGTGTTGAAGACCTCGACTATGTCCCTGGGGCCTCTTCCGAACCTGATCTTGGCGCTTGCGACCCCCTTTCCCACGAACCAGTCACCGCGGAAGAAGGCCGTTGGCCGGCCGTTCAACGGGTACCGATACATGGAGCTCTCCTCGATGGGCCACCTGGACAAGATGGCCAGGCCTCCCCCAAAGGCGCCGCTGAAGTAAAACTTGCCATAGGGCAGGATGGGCCGGGTCGACCTGCGAATGGAGTGGTAGTCCTCCTGGGTCCAACACTCCTGCAGGGCGACGATGTGAGGCGTGGGCGTTGCGGATGCGATCGCGCGCCCAATCGCCTCCAAGCGTGTGGCTCTCTGGGCCGAGATATACAGGAGGCCCCAGCAGTTTAGTGTGAGGACGTTGAGCTCGGTCAGCTCGGGCGGGAGGGCGTCCATGGCCGTCACTCGGGAAGGGTGCATGGGTGATGCTGCAGTATACTGCTCCCTTGGTGCCCAAGAATAATCAAAATAAATCAAGAGCCGGTGCCAAGCGGTGCGGATGATGTCAGTTTATAAGGCTGAGCAACGCCGAGAATTCCGGGCGCACAGACTACCTAGCGGATATTCGAGAAGAGTATCGTGAAAGCACCGACTATACGGCAGCGGACTGGACTGGACACTTGATCATCGAACAGGCAAGGAGAGGATGGATGAGAAGAAAGCGGTCACTTGACCTGTCCATTTAGAGGTTTGGAAGGAAATGAGCCGAATGCAGGGGTCGTCGACATAGCTCCCTTACTATTACATATCGGCATCCAGTCAACAGCCTTCTTGGGCCCCTGGCAGCCTTTGCCGTTCAGGATTTCTCTGAGGGGGATCGGGATGGAGGGAGCTGTGCGACATTGATCCTTCCGGGTCCCAATAGAGTTGTCAAGCAAGCTTCCTTCATATTGGACGACACTTTTGGGGGTTTGAAACCATGCCGTCGTGGTGACGGGGGAATTGGACAATGCGACCCCAAGGTCCAGGTTGTCCAGGTTGTCTAGGACCAGGTCCAGGGATGGGGATCTTCCAAATAACTCTACTGTGGCGACGGGATACTGGCGTCGTCTGGGGTGCCACACAGCGATCCCACTTGGAATTGAGGTGTTCGAGGTGCTCGATAGACATCGTCGGCGTCAAGCGGTGGCAAGTCGATGCAACCACACGGACACAGTCCTGGGGGAACACTGCATGCTGGAGCAAAAAGAGGATGAGGTTCTCATACGAGCAGGCGAGATGGGGGCTTTGGGAGGATCGCAATCTCCACTTGCAGCTACAGCAATCTTTGGACGTTGGCAAGGTTCTGGCCGTACCAAACAAAGCTGGCGACGTGCATGCGATGAATTCCTGCAGAATCTCGGCACTTGCAAGGGTCCTAAGCCGTCAAGCCTGCAAGCCAAGGTACACCCTGTGGTTGTGTGGGACCTGGCACATTGAATAGTTACTGTAGGTCCTATGTAGAAACTGAGCTCCGGGGGCTCCCTCAAGCTAGCCACAGACCATCTAGGCTAGGCTTGATCTGTCCTAGATCGAGGCCTAACTGAGGGACCCCCCCAGCGCGTTCAGCCTCGTCGCAGCATTTCATCCCACCTCCCAAGGCTCGAGGCTGTGATGCCCCATTTCCAGAGTAAAGGTACCACCTCCCCGTCAGATAGTCACAACCGCAACCGAGCCCGAGCCCAAGAAATTAAGAGAACGACCAATTATCGACAGAATTCTGCTGTCTGCTGCCGTCCATACTCACCCACAGGTCCCACCACTTACTTACTCCCTTACCTGTTGCCGTCTTCTTACGACAACCTGGGCTAGCTACTCTACCCAGTATCTACCGCCGGCCAACTGGCTGCTAGACAACCACCACCGCTGCTCTCCCTCCATAAGCAACACATTTCATAGCCAATGAATCAAAGGTAGCACTCGGTGCACCCTTCACACCCACAGCCGGCGCCATGTCGGACCCGGAACCCACGACTGAGCCCCCGGCCCCTCAGCCGCCATCCAAGCGCCGCAAGGTCCACGATGACAGCACCGAGTCCACCCCGCAGCGCTTCGATACGCCCGACGACGGAGACGCGAAGGCGTCCATGAGTGTTTCGATACGCGAGCGCCCACCACCCGACAGCCGCAGCCCTGCCGCCCGCGACAAGGAATACTACAGCGAACACAGCACGTCGCGCAGCCGCTCGCGCTCGCCTTCGAGCTCCAGATCACAGTCCCGGTCCCGGTCGAGATCGAGGTCCAGGTCACGCTCAGAGTCGCGCTCGAGGTCGAGGTCGCGATCACGGTCACAGACCAGCTCCCACGCAGACTCGCCGTCCATCTCGCGCTCGCGCTCTCCCGCCTCCGTCGAGCCGACGCCGCTCGAGACGCCACATAATGCCGAGCCCGAGACGCCGCAACCACCGCAACCCGTCAGGCCTAATTTCAGGCCGCGGCTTGTCCTGGGTGGGCACCAGAAACCCATCTCGCAGGTCCGCATCTCGCCCGACGGGCGGTGGATCGCGTCCGCCTCGGCCGACGGCACCATCAAGATCTGGGAGGCGTCCACGGGCAAGCATATGGATACCCTGGTGGGCCACATGGCCGGCGTCTCGGCCGTCGCCTGGGCCCCGGACTCCAAGACGCTGGCCACGGGCTCGGACGACAAGGCCATCCGGCTGTGGGACAGGGTGACGGGGCGGCCTACGAGGGCGAGGCCGTTGCTTGGACACCACAACTACGTTTACTGTCTCGCCTTCTCGCCAAAGGGCAACATCCTGGCGAGCGGCAGCTACGACGAGGCCGTCTTCCTATGGGACGTCAGGGCAGGGAGGTTGATGAGGAGTTTGCCCGCACACAGCGACCCTGTCAGCGGTATTGATTTCAGCGTGGACGGGACTCTGGTGGTCAGTTGCAGCACTGACGGTCTAACGTAAGTGCCGCGTTGGAATTTTACCTCCCTATATACAGTATCCGTCAGTCCCGAATAGCTAACATGAAACCCCCTGACGCAGCCGCATATGGGACACGGCGACGGGCCAGTGCCTGCGCACCATGGTGCACGAGGACAACCCGCCCGTGACGTCGGTCTGCTTCGCGCCCAACGGGCGCTACGTGCTGGCCTTCAGCATGGACTCGTGCCTGCGCCTGTGGGACTACGTGTCGGGCAGCGTCAAGAAGACGTACCAGGGCCACACCAACAAGGGCTTCAGCATCGGCGGCTGCTTCGGCTGCGTCGACGGCGGCGCCAACGCCTTCGTCGCCGCCGCCAGCGAGGACGGCGACATCGTCCTCTGGGACGTCCGCTCCAAGGCCGTCGTCCAGCGCATCGAGCGCGCCCACGACGGCGTCTGCTTCTGGGTCGACGTCAACGCCGACACCATGGTCAGCTGCGGCCAGGACGGCAGGATCAAGGTCTTCAGGCACAAGGGCCCCGAGGAGCAGAGCACAAAAGCGACAGTGGCGGCGGCGGCTGCGACAATAGAGGCGCCGAGCCCTATGAATGGGTCTGCAGAGGCGAAGCCCACCGAGGAGGCAGAGACGCCCGTGGAGAACGGCGGGACGAAGGAGAGTAGCGAGACGCCGTTGAAGGAGGAGATCGATATCAAGATGGAAGAATGAGCTTCAAACTTGAGAAAAGGAGAGCGCACGATGAGTGAGGCAGAGCGAGCTTCGCGGAGGGGCCTATTTTGATCCCGCAGGCCAATGTACATTACACGTCCGCCTGCGAGCCCCGAGATGGCCTCATGAGACTGGGGTCAGTCTTGTGAAGGACGTCGGGACAGTACAACGAGTTACCAAAACCGGGATCTCGATTATCTAGTGCAATCTAAAGCGCATGAAAGTGCTTGGTCTAAACTCCATTGTCAACCATATATGCATGCAATCTTCCTTGACAGTATAGTAATGAGAATCGTTCGCTACACGACCCCTCCCACAAGACCTCCACACGCGTTGTATTCCACCGAACAGAAAAGGAGATCGGGCCACACTATCCCTTTAAACCCCCATATCCCCGGAACCCCGTCGTGGCGTTGATTTGGTCTAGATCGTCTCCCAGCCGCCGTTGTTGATGTCGGCCTCGAGCTTGCGGCTGATGAAGCTGGGTATGCCGTGCGAGAGCCAGATGGCGCGCAGGGCGTCGTAGCGGCGCTGGTTGAGGAAGAGCAGGCGGCCGTGGCGCAGGCCGACGTCGACCTCGCCGTAGCGGTCGATGTAGGGCGCGTTGCTGAAGGAGCCGCTGACGCGGTGGAGGTAGAAGATGGAGCACTTGCGGATGTTGATAAAGAGGCCGATGTTGCGCTGGCATCTGGGTTTGGGTCATTTGTGGTTAGCATGTATGCCTTTGAAGCTGTAAAAGGAGGTCGGGAGGGGACGTTTCGTGTGCAAAATGGCGCTCACATAAAGGGGAAACTCACTTGAACAACATGTGCTGGGTGGCACCCCCGATCTTCATTGTCCGCTGCTGCTCGCCAGGCCCCTCCGGTCTGTAGCTCTTGAGACAGCAAATGGTCTGGCCGCAGAATATCTCGCCGCACATCAGACACACGATGGGGTCTGCGACGTCCTTGCCGGTGCTGGGGCAGCGACGCTGCGCACACTGCTCAATCAAGGTATCGTAGTTCTTGGGCAGGCCGACGAGCTCAAAGATGCCCGGGTGGCTGACCTGGGCAGAGGGGGGCAGGACGTGGGGACCTTCGCGTTTGCCGGACGGGACAGGGGCAGGGTGGTGCACTTGATGCCGGACCCATCCGCGCACGATGGGCTCGATGCGTGGGGACCAGCCGCAGCTTGTGGCATACGGTGTCAACGCTGCACACATCTCGTCAAAGGACGGGACGCGTAGTGCTGCCGTGAGGCGAGACAGCTCATCCTCCTCAGGCGCCGCAGGGACGTAGCTGTTGAAATCCACGCCATAGTGGACGTGAAGCAGGATGGTGCTCTTGCGAAGGAAGACGAGAGCGTACTTCTTGACGAAGGCGTAGAACTTGGCCAGGCTATCCATACACGGTTGATCGAAACCGACGTTAGGTACATCGTCGGCTATCTCGTTGATCTCCTCACTGCACTTTATGCCCGTCAGGGTGACAAAATTACAGAATGTCGCAAAGTTGCCCAGGGCCGTGTCCTCCGGATCGCGGTGAACCATTTGCTCGAGCCACCGGCCTATGGGCATGTTACGTGAGATGTGGTACACCGTCTTTACGATCTCGGCAAGGTAACAAAGCCGAAGAAGGTTGTTGACATCCATGTTGTGAGAGACAGCAACGCTGAACGCGCTCTCGCACATGAAGATGAAGGGATCCTCGCTCAAGATCGGCTGGAAATCGTCGATCGGCCGGGTGCCTTTGATAGTCTCCTGATTCATATAGTCTGCGATGAAGAGCTGGGTATACTGTCGCTCAGCATCCCGGAGAAACTCGTTCGAAATCCGGTTTTCGCCGCCATACCTCATGCCCCCAATGGAGATATAGGAGGATACGGTCTCGGAAAGTATACGAAGCTGGATAAGTGTCTGCTCTGGAATCTTCTCGATCAAAGTCATTCCGTATTGAGCTTCGACGCCTCTCTGTGCGATTTCTGTAGCCGAGATAGAGTAGCCAACAGCACGGGTCAAAGCCCAGTTGCCGCCAAGATCTTCCTCTTTGATGTCGAACCCTGCACTGGCGAGAAGCTTATTGCTCTGAAGAGTCTCTCGCAGTCGTTGATGAGCTCGCCTCAAAACTTTGTCGTTGCTCTGCGTTTCCGGACTTCTCGACCGAACGCTGGAGTCAGGCGTTGCCACCGCTGAGAAGGTGTCACTGAAAGGAGTACCGACACCCGCAGACTGTGAGCCCACAGGCTCCCACGATTCCGATCCCGCTTGGGAAGACACATCGGCCAGGCTCTCTGGCATCTTTGCCTTCACGTAATTTGCGAAAGCTTGCTGACCCGCCATGAACTGGTTCGCGTAGCCGGCCGGTACCGCCGGCTTTTCGAGAAACGAGGCAAAGTCATCCGGATTCTGCAGAACACCTGGATAGGATTCCTCTTTGCCGTCCCAGGTAATAGGGAGGAACGCATTTCCAAGAGCTTTGCACAAGGGGCAAACAAACTCTTTCCGCTCCAGCGATTCAGGATGGTGACGCGCAATCTGATGGACGTGGCGACGGGAAGTGGCCTCGATATATGTCTCAAAACAGTTGTAGTGCATAATGTGACCGCAGGAAACTGCTACTGGCCCAGGCCGACACAGGTTTGCGGGAAACCCCTTACCGACGCCTTGCTTCTCGGCAAGGAAGCTCTCTCCGGCTGCGTTGACCTTTTCGACCATCTTCCGATTTTCGTGTGCCAGGCCAAACGGGCGGATTGGATCTGCCGATCGGTCTAGATTGATGGGGGTATTTGCAGCTTCTCGGACGAAATCGGCGTCTTGGAAATCTGTCTGTCGAAGCAGGTGACTGTCAAGAAATAACCCAAAAGTGCCGTATAGACGTCCATCATCGGTGTCTTCTTGGCAGAGAATGCAGGTCCCCCTGGGGTACTTCCAGAAGTTCTTCTGTTCTTCCATAGGCTGTGCCTCGTCGACATCATCAATATCCTCATCACCCCAATCGATATCCCCTTGCATTTCCAGAAAACTCTTCTGTTGTTGCTGGAACTGGGCCATGACTTTGGCTTGTCGGTCTAAAGCAGCCTTCTTCTTCCGTTCGCGCTCTTCATCGGCGTTCTGTGTGCTGGCAGGAGACGCCGTATCCAGTCTATCTATGGGTATCCCAAGTCGTTGGTACGCCGAGTCGAAATGTGTCGGCATCTTCTGTCTCATCCTCTTGAGGATCAACGTGATCTTCGGCTGGCACGCCTTCATTCCTTCGTTGTCAGACATCAACTCCAGTAGAGAGACTATGGTCTTTGCCGTGGGTGCATCCTGTAAGAAATTGCTACGACCTGGTGTGTTGAGGGCCGTATAGATGAAAGAATTATCTTGAGAATTCTTCTCATCGGTCTTGTCCTCGGCAATTGCAATGAGCACCAGGTGCAATACAACTTGCAAGAATGCCTCAACGCGGGTGAAGGGGACGTCAGGGGTAAGCTTAGCTGCAACCAGAGGATACAGTAGGCAATAGTAGATGATTTGTGCAAACATTCCCGTGCTGGTGAACTGACCCAATCCAGCAAAAGCTCCAGATGGGATGGGCCTCAATCTTGGCTCGTAAACAACATCTTCGACAGCTTTTCCTGTCTTCTTTGCCATCATCTTACGGTAAGCAGCCTCTGATTCTTCCCTCTGGTTCTTGTTATAATACGCAATGTATGGGTCGATATCCTCGATGAATTGAGGCCTCAGTTCAAACGTGCCAACATCTGATATTCCTTCAGGCGCCTTGAAGGTAGCAACCTCGTCGAGGACCCTCTGGAAATCTTCTTGCTCGTGGAATCTGTCCGGCAGTTTGCTGCAAATCTCGTTGAAAGATAGAGGCCGGAAACAGAGGACATGAGTGACATCCCGCCGCATGGCCATGAGATGCGTCTCATGCTCATCCTGAGTCGGAAGCAAGGACGTTCTGTCGCTTAGTAAAACGATGAGTAGGTGTATCATATCCTCGATAACGTCCAGACGTTGCGTCTCATCTTGACCTTCGGAAGTTTGCTCGAAGAACCCCTTTATCCATTTCTCCATCCCAAAACGGTCTACGATAGAGACAAGAACGCGGCTGGGATCACAAACGACCATAGCAGTCTGTAGCAAGAAGATATCGCGATGATGGGTATGGTTTCTGTGGAGCTGGCTCCGGTACGTGACGGCTTGATGTCGTAGGCTGATACCGTTTCGAACCCACATGCTAGCCTTGATTTGAGCCAGCCAGGCGCAGACTCGTAGCGGGTAGTCGAATGCAGCCATCAGATAATCCTCTGATGCATAATCACGTTTGGGCATGGTCTTACGGCCCATAGACCGTGGCTGGATCTTGAGTTCTTGTGTGGTGAAGCTCAGCACTGAAGTGAGCTGCTGAGATGACATGTGCTTCCCGCATTCAATGAGCCAGGATAAAGTATAGTGCAGAGCATGGTGGAAGCTGATTGGCTGCTCCTCGACCACAAATTTGACGACATTGTAGGTTACGGATTCGCCAGCAAATTCGAAATCGGTGAGCGGTTTGAAGCGAACCTCATCTTTGACCTCCGCCTGCGTAAATCTTGCACGCTCGGCTCCAATCGAGCTGATGATGACGTTCTTAGCAGTCAACCTGATAGCTTTGGAGACATATTGGGAGTCGTGCGCAGGAAGATTCCGGAAAGAGTCGGCTAGCAGTCTGCAGAGGGAGTTGATCTCACGCGTCATCAGAGACGCTCCGATCCAGCTGTCGGTCTCATACTCAACATGCTCACCCACCGCCCTTGTGTTAGGGCATATTCCTTGATGAAGCTTAACTAGATCGAGGAACTGCATTAGATACCTCTCCTCAGTCCTCATGCGCTCTTGGACGTGCGGTGATCCAAATAAGTACTTGATGTCAACATAAAAATGATACATGCGCCTGTTGGTGACAGAACCTGTATCAAACCCCAGAACCGCACTTGATGAGACTTCCCACGGATGTCCCACCTGTCTTGTTGTCAAGAAGGTGTACAAAATGGCCAAGAGGTTGGTCAAGAAGTTCCCCCGTTCGACAACTTCGGCGGTGATAGACGGAGTTGTCAGCATCTGCAGGGAGATGTTGATGATAGAATGATCAGGCTCGCGATCTCCGATCAGATACAACTGAGCGAGCAAAGTGTAGAGGGCAGCAAACCTCAGGCCGAGTATCCGTTTGAACTCGGGAATGGTGACTACAGTGGATATGTACAGGGACCGAAGATCTTGCCGGACCCTTTTCCACATTCTCAAATCAAAGAGAATAAGCCAATCAAGCCGCACCCGTTCGAAAACATCTTCATAGGGGCGCTCCTTTGCAGGTTCCATATAGGCCGCAGGCATCTCTACCCAGTATCGGCCGGGCCGCGGGGGTTCTGAGCTGTCTGCCTTGTTCGGGCCAGGCGTCTTAGGTATTTCTAAATTCGCCTTTGCGTACACTGTTGGCGCGATCAAAGGCTCAGCGGTATCCGAGTCCGACGGCGTCAGCTCTCGATCTCGCGTGGTGCGTCTAGGAGCAGGTGGTGGCGGCGGTGGAGGAGGTGGATATCCTGCCATGGTGGCCTCCTCCTCTTCGAGTGCGTCCCCAGCGGCATCGGTCCGCCAGTCGGACATGTTGACATCGCCGCCGCCGGCGGTTCCCGCGTCAATCATCATTACATCGCCATCCAAATCGTCGTCATCGTCGACGTCGTCGTCATCATCATCGTGGTCATGGTCCTCCTCATCGCTCATAGGGGTCTGGTTGCCATCATCATCTGAGTCGTCCAGGATGTTGGCCAAGGTTGTGGTTGTCGTGACTCCGCCGCCTGCAGCATTCATCCGTGCAATAATTCGGTTGCGCCTCAGGAAAAAGCGTGCAGTCTCATTCTCCTCGTGCTGCTGCTCAAGGAGTTCCTCGTCTTCGATATCTGGCAAGTTGCTGGCGTGGGCGGCAGGACTTCCTTTTCTCCACGGCATGAGGAGCTCCTCGCAGACGACCTGTCTGAGCAGACTGCCATCGGAGCCGACGAAACAGCCGGCAATGTCATTGAGCCAACCGATCAGCGTGCCGCACATCTGTTCGCGAAATGTGTCGCGAGAGGATCGGATTGTGACGGTAACCTTGATCTGCTCAAGAATCTTGGCCACGTGGAGGAGGTGGTCGATGTCGTTGCTGTACATAAGGATGCTGCGTCCGATGCTGTCCGTTTCCAGAGCCCTCTGGTATCCCTCAGCCATACTCTTCCGGCAGGCCCGGGCCACTTGGGATTGTACCTCGTCCACGGTATGCTTCTCATCGTTCCACAGGAGGACTGCCCACTCGTCCGGGGACTCCAGATCTCCGCCATTGTAGACCGAGTTGAGGCGTGACGACTTCTCATCCTGCTCGATGGACTCTCTGGACTTGGGCTGTCTCAACTGCTCCGGGGAACAGGATATGACGTCGCAAATGAAGTCCAGCACCCTGGCGACCGTCATGCGCACGTTTTTGACGAGGTCATCGGGCAGGCCGGCTGCCTCCTTGCCTTTTCCCTTGGACCGGTCCGAGTCACGCTCGGAATGTATGGTACAGAATATGGGACGCTTCCAAGCCTCAGGATCCCCGCAATCACAGCAGCCGCTGTTTCCTGGCGATATGGTGATCTTGACTAGGTGGCCTTCGTGATCGGTGGCGTCGAAACATTTGCTGCAGAGGACGCAGGTGTCGTCGGCAGAGCAGGTACGGCAGCCATACGTAGCCTCGCCAGCGCGGAAGATGTGACCACAAGCCTTGCCTCTTGCTGCCTCGGTGTATTCTGCGCCGTCGACAGCTCCTTGTGCTTCCCTAAGCTGCAACGTGCTCTGCGGCGTGAGCTTGCCGTCTGGAAAGAACAGGCGAAGGTACTCGGGCCGTCCTCCAGCCATAGACCAGAAGAGGTTGTGTAGCAGGTCGCGACGAGCGGCGTCATTGTACCGAGAACCGTGTCGCCTCGGAAGCTCTATCAAGTGCTGGCAGAGCTGCAGCTCTTGGGTCGACATGGTCGGGTCCATGATCAGCGTTGCCACTGGTTCATTCTCTATGCTCGCCGAGGCTTGGACGGCGATGCGTTTCGACGGTACCCGGTCGGTGATCGGAACGTGATTTATTCGTCGTGATCGCCGATATTATCTCACAGCCAGGTTTCCGCCCGTGTTCGTGGGCTTGGAGAGCTGATGGTGGAGGGGTGAATGGAACGGAATGGGAGAGACTCAAACGCAGATGAGTTGCAGCCTGATGCAGGTGGGTAAAGTTCGTGGATTCGCGCCCGGACAACAAGAGCCAGCAGCGAGGGTTTTGGTAAATGGGATCGCGACGGGAAAGGACTCGGGGGCGAGCGAGCGGATTGCAGGTTGCGCAGAGGTCCGGAAGGGCGGTTTCGGCGTTGATGTCAATCACGGGTCATTACTAACTTGAGCAGAGGGAAGCTGTGGAGGGGCAAATGCGGTAAGAGTCGAATAATGGGTCGGGCGCTCTCGCCCACAGCCAACCGGATTTCGGTCACAGTGGAACGTCTATCTATCCAAATTGCCGGATAGGGATGGTTTTGTATTCAGACATGGCCTGTCACAAGATGTCCTGAGCCTTTGTTCAGCACCTCACCTGGGCGTGCACAACATGGCCATGGAGGTTGCGAGCTATCAACAGATGGCCGGCAGGTGGCGTCATGCCGGATGGGATCGGGCGAGCGTCCAGGGCCAGGCGAGGGCCCGCAACACGACGACATTCACACTTGAAGCAGTGACAGAAAGGCGGATCCGTGAATCGAAAACAGTTCTTGATACGTCCTGCAGATGTCTCGGAGCACCAGAGCCGGCATCGACGGCCCCAACACCACTACTTGACCATCACATGTTCGCTCGCGTACGGGGCCGGTGCACCGGGATGAGGAATTGCTCTTTTCAATGAAATGTATCTTGTCCGTCTATAATGTACAGAAGTACAGGAGCAACTTTTGTCTCGTCGTTGCAGGTATCGCGTCGCCAGGTGACAGCCATCTATTCCTCCTCCTCGGCCTCGACGTATCGGCTTCGGATGTCCTTCCATTGGCGCTGCAAGCCAGTCAGCAACAGGGGATCGTAGGGTAGGAGGGAGAGGCAGGAAGGAACCTACTCCGCGGTTCATGTTGTCCCACAGCTTGTTCATGCCCTGGTTGTAGAGACTGCCGTCGCGTTAGTTTTTCCCGACCCATCATTCCCGGCGTCAAGAGTCTACCCACAGCTCGAAGGCGAAGCCGGCGCCGAAGACGGCACCCAGCATGGTGAAGTTCCGTCGGAACAGGGTGCTACATTCAACTGTTAACTCGGTTGTTGGACGGCTCGTAGGCGGTGGACTGACTTGTAGAGGGCGGACTGTTGCGCGATTAGTTTTGGTCATCTAGAGTCACGGTGGCGGGGCGGGCGGGAGCGTACCATTGTGCCTGGGAGTCGCAGGTGCGCGTTGGAGGATGGCAGGTGTGTTGAGGGCCGGGTCGGGGAGGGCAAAGTGGCTCAATTGATCACGAAGAGCAGAGTCTGGTTCCAAAGGTGAGGCTCTCGCACAGGTCTCGGTGCAACCGTCGACTCTCTCGCCAAAGATTTGGGAATTGGCCGTCTCCGATTGGCCAGAGCTTTCAAGCCTCGCTGCTGCGGCCCACCCGGCGGCCTAGGGGCCTAGGGGCCTAGTCATTGGACGCCAGTGGGCTGAGAGCGCCAGACAGCCTGAAAGCCTAGGAGCCACCCGACCGACCGACCGACCCTTGGAACCCGGCACTCATCAGTCGGCCGGCTTTCAGCTTGCAGCACAGTCAAGACTTCAAAATCCCATGTAAAACAGCACAAGTCAAGCCGACCTCTGCAAGCCCAAGCAACGACGCTTTGCACGGCGTCTTGGCCTGCTCTATAGCTACCAAGACCCGAGTTACACGACCACTCGGCACCCGACTGCCCAGCGCAGCGCCGCTGAATTTCCTATCAAACTCAGCGCTCCGGCGCCCCGTGTACCCCGCCAACGCCCTCCGAAAATGCCCTCAGAACCGTCCAGGTCGGGCATCGTTGTCGACGAGGCCAGTGGTGAACGGCACATTCCCGAGTCGGTCCGAGCCGACGGCACCACGAGGAAAGCAATCAAAATCAAGCCCGGCTATCGCCCGCCCGAGGATGTCGAGATCTACAAGAACCGCACCGCCGAGGGCTTCAGGAACCGCGGCAAGAGCGGGATCCCCGGCGCCGACGGCCTGAAAGACCAGAAGGTTGAAACGGCGTCCACCGCCGCCAGCAACAAGAATGCCAAGCGCCGCGAGGCCCGCAAGAAGGCCAAGGAAGGACAGTCTGACGCGCCTGCCGAGCCGTCCAAGGAGGAGCCCAGAGTGGAGGAGCTAGACCCCGAGGCCGAGAAGGAGAAGAAGGCCCGCAACTTGAAGAAGAAGCTCAAGCAGGCCAAGGACCTGAAGAGCAAGAAGGACGAGGGAGAGTCGTTGCTCCCCGAGCAGATCGCCAAGGTCATCAAGATCAATGAGCTGATCAGGGAGCTGGAAGCTCTCGGCTTCGATGCTGACGGCGAGCCGAAAGCGGGCAATGGCAAGCAAGAAGGTTGAAGTCCCGCCAAAGCTTCTCGTTCATGCGGCGTGAAGGCATCAACCCCAATCGTATACTTCACGACACGCCCAAAAAAAGCAGACCTTGAGGCCAGTCCATGTCCAAGGTGCTTCCTTAGGTACTGGCTAATACTAGCTGCTGATTGCTTGCCAGTTGGCGGTCCCGCAAGGCCCCGGGATCCGACAGATTGTCACGATGCGATCTACATTCAGAGGGACAACTGTACTATAGCTACAAAGCATGGCTGGGTTCAGACCACGCCGGGAAGCACGTCATGTCATAGCAGCCTCAAGTCAGACACCCCATGGCAGGTATATGTATCTTTAGAGAGCAACCGCGCTGCTGAGCTCGGGCAGTGTGAGGAAATCAAGAGACCCTATATCTGCGATAATGAATTTATCATTCAACCAGGATCTGTGTGAATTACTCGAGTTTCCAGTACAAATGCAATCTCAGTATTGATCGACTAGGTGTGACACGACAGTAAACGACGTTCATGTTTCATTGCCAAAAGCTTGGCTTCCAGTAAACAGACCGTGTGCGGCTATTCTAGCACGACTGGAGGACTGGACTGCTAGTGCCCATCCGACAGATGACGAATTCGAGACGTGAATAGGAAGCCAATAAATTGCAAATGAACTAAGCCTTTGAGACAAGGTTTCAGCAGTATGTGGTCGGCTGTCGTTACGGACTGGCCAGCTAACTATACGTAGATCGGCGGGAAGGCTAGCCTCAAGTGGGTATAAACTGCAGTGGACCCTTCCTTACTACAACCCTGTCAGGCGCGTCTGACCCAATGCGCGTCAATACCTGGAGCTCCTGACCTTGCAATACCACACACACTGCTTCCGAATGCGTACACAACACTCTACCAAACTTTCAGCTCGGCTATACTAGCAGCATTTCTCCGCCGTCATTGTTCCGTGCAGATGCTGATTAATTCCTATGTTGCAGCATGACATCCACCCCAGACTCTGTCAAGGAGGAGCTGTCTGCTGTTCTCAACAAACTTGGGCACCCAGTATGCCCTGATTGCACCGAACTCGCCCTACCAGATTGCTGCCACAACGAGCCAGGAAGCCTCCGGAAGGAGCTTCAGGGCATTTTTGGCAAATGGAACTCCGTCATCACAGAAGACGGGGTGCGCGAACCTACCCCAGTCTTCTACTGCCTAGAGGAATGGCGCACGATGGAGGACCTGTCTTCAGTGCAGCTGCAGCAGAACGACCTGGTCAAACTTGAAACTGCGTACGAAGCCGCCGCTGTGGCAGGCTTTGATGTGTACTTGGCTCATGTTCATATGGAGCAGAAGGGCTTCTCTTGGGACCATGACCCTCAGGACTCAGCGGATGACCTCGAGGAAGAGGGCGAGGAAGACCCGGAAACCAGTCAGGAAGGCTCAGAGCGTGGCGCAAACCCCGATTTTGCCAAGAATGAGCCCCTTGACGAGTCTGGCACAAGGAACGTTGTAGTGCCGCCGGAGGAGGAAGTGGAACGGCAATGGTCTGTTGAGGTCCTCTACCAGAAGGATCAGAAGCTCATAGCAAGGTTGCCGCTCAACACTGGCGAGTTATTGCAAGGGCCGGGCTTCTTCGATGGAGAAGAACCAGATGATGAGGAGTATGAGGATGATGGCAACGATTGGCGGGTGAGTCAACCCCTCGTAACTGGACGAGAAACAATCTCAGTAGCACGCAACTAACACATTGGCGGTAGCTTGGCGCTTCTTACACTCGAGAGTTCTATGCTTTGGTATGTTTAAGGGTGTAGCCGTCATACAGTCTCTATCTAACCTCAGACAGGCTCTTGCTATTGTCCCCCGGGCATCTATCGGCAACTTGCTCTCGGGCGTATTTGAGAGAGACCAGCCCGAAAATGCTGGTTCCGTATTAGAATACTTTGCTACCAAGTGCATAGAGCCGGAGAAGGACGAGCAGAGCTTTAAGGTCCTTCGCGGAGTCTGCTCGAATTGGCCAGCACCACTACCAGATGACGAGAGACCCTGGGTTGCAATTCGCAAGATGCAGCTCGTTGAAACTCTAGCTATCCGCTACTACACCATCGCATTACTTTACGAGGATCAGGACTTGTTCGACTCTGTTTGCGAGAGCCTAGAACCACTCTATACTATGGCGTTCTATGACTGGCTTGGCAAAACCCTCAAAGGCACCACGCTGAACCTGACTGCGTTACGTCAACCGTGAGTCAAGAGCCATACAAGCTTGGTCATCACTAACCGAGTCAGGATCACTCGAAATATTGCCGCGATACCGAGGTTTGGAGACAGATACGTCGCCGTTGTCACCTTGGACGCGCTGCATGCAGATGCACCTACAGAAATGCTAGCGACCAGTATAGAAGCCCTCAATGCTTCCGTGAAAGCTTGCGAGCAGCAGATCATGTTCGAGCAAGACGGTGAGACGCTCCTCATTGCAGCGCGCTTCTTCCAAAACCTGGCGTGGATAGAATCGCAGTGAGTTGTCCCATACCCGTGGTTGGAATACGTTGAGACACGTTCAGGGTGCTCATTGTCTTTAGTGTCATTCCCCTCATTGAAAAACGCCCGTACGACATTGCATTCGCGATTGGTTTCAGCTGGCAGCTGTATCAGTTCGCTGAACAGGGCATTTTCCCGAAAGAAGAAGCGCTGAGTCTTGTCAAAACAGCCGTCAATTCTGCCATAGAGCACATGCAAGCTTCCCTTCTTTTAAGCATGGAGTCCTGGCAGGATGAAATGCAGCGAAGGGAGCAGATAGCAAGGCTATCTGGGGAGGTGGCAGACAACAATACTCTGCCTCCTCCCCCTCCTATGACGAGCGATACATTGATAAACTTCGTTCAGATCTTGGTTGACCTGAAAATGACCACAGAGCTGAGCGCTATGATCGTCAAGATGACCGAACAAGTCTCTCAGCTTTCGGAACAGGAGCTTAGCCGATTATACATCCCATTCCTCGGCAAACTCATGGTAAAACTATCTATTCATTCGGATAATTTCTCCTCCGAAGCAACATACCAGTCTCTATATCTTGAAATGATCACAGCTTTTTGGCAAAAGCATATCACCACGGAACCTCAGTTCAATTGGAGTCTCCAAAGTCAGGTTCTAGGGTGTGGGTGTGCCGCCTGCAACCATCTGAACCACTTTCTCCAGAATCCCTACCTTCGAACCACACGCCTTGAGTCGAGACGATACGACATCCACTTGGCGAGAACATTTCACAGCCTAGGTAACTGCTGCACGCTGCAGAAGTTACTTGGTGCGTGGACACTTACGAAACACACTTCTGACTACTACTCAGCCAAGCAAAGCTGGGATGCCCGAGGCTCTGGTGTCCAGGCCGTATTTCAAGCAGCCGACCAACATCATCTGGCAACACTGCTGGGCATACACTACCAAACACTCGTGGGCTTACCACCACCTGGTGCTCCCGTTTCAAGAACGCTGAAGACTACAGACGCCAATATAAGGGAGACTTTACAGAGCTCTACACCTCAGGGCCAGAGCATAGGCCAGAGTCAGATGCCACTGGTCTCAATCCCATCCAGTTACCCGCAGACAGGAGCGCGCAACGAGATCTCGAATTCACCTGGGTTATCCTGTTCCGACAACCAGCCATCCCAATCTACTGATAGTGATCAGCTTGAGGCCACGTCTCGCAAGTCAAAAACGCACTCCGATCCGACGCCTGCATCTCAGTCACAAGGGTCGCAGCGATACCACGCTTCACCGGAGACATATCAATCCGGTGGATCTGTTATATCGACAGCAACCTGTAAGACAAGCTCGGTTCAGACTCGGACTGCATTGGGACCTATCTCTCACAATATCGCCTCATCTACAGGCACAAAACGAAAGTTTGACACCCACACCGAAAGTCACTTCACGATGGATCAACCCAACCAAGATATGGATAGTAAGGCAGTCAAGATATGTTAGCGAGATCATGATCAATGAAATCATTACAATCAACGTCTTACCAGAGCAAGAAAAAGTGCCCGTGGCTAGTAATCACCATGAGATGCTTGATGGCGTTACATCGTAACTCTTACTCGTCTGTCATATAGGACCTGACTGTTAAGCCTCAGTTCGCATACTGTTAAGTAGCCATTCAATTACATCAGAATGAGATTCTTTTGTCTATGTTCGAGAAGGGTGAGGCGACTGACTGAGCGGAGCTCAGATCCACCTAAGCTAGAGGGTCCCCGCATCCGATCCGACGGGCTGGGAAAGTATACCCGCGGTACCAAAGTGCGGCCTTTCCTTGTTGCCTATAACAAGGTGCTATACAGAAGCATACGGCTAAAGTACTATAATTCTTGAGCAACTCCAATCTCGGACCTCCCGAAAATAATAAGAACCTCTGATCGGTAATTGCAACAGTAGAACCCCCAATGGCAGGTAATATCAGTGGCCCGGGATGCCTCTACGTGGAATCCAAGATATCTAGGTCCGATATTCTGGACGAAGCGACGTACACCAAGTGGTACGAGGAGGATCACATCCCCGAGATCCTCGAGACCTCGGGCATCAAGTCCGCCCGCAGGTTCAGGGACATCGACCCGAACGCGGACACGCCGTTTCTCGCCATCTATCCGCTGGAGGACGTGGCATTTCTGACGAGCGACGAGTTCCGGCAGATCAGCGTCAAGAGCGACCTCCTGCCCGACACTGGCCTCGTATACAGCCTGGCGGACTTCGGCGTGCGGTACGACAACCTGATCCAGGTCTATGATCCCACCAAGAAGGGCAAGGGTGAGCAGAAGCGAACCATCTCCCCAAGGCACGCCCGGCCGAGTGAAGCGGAACTAATGCTTTGACAGGCCACACGAAGAGCATCATATCTGCGCAGATCGAGTTGAAAGAGGATGCAGACGCAGCGGACTTCGATAGATGGTACCGCGAAGAAGTCAGCCTCTGCCCCCACGCTTTCTGGTGGACAAACCCCCCTTTTCGTTGCTAACTACCATGAAACTACAGCATCTCGACCTGCTCTCCAAGGCAAAGGGCTACCTCCGGTCGACGCGGTTCAAGAACGTATACGCGCGGACCAATGCGCAGTCACGGGCTCTAAAGGGCCTGTCCACGACGGACGAGCTAGCAGCGGCACCCTTGCCGCCCGTGTGGCTGACGATCCATGAGTTCGAGGTCGAAAGCCCCGATCTGGCGGAGATGAAGGCGCTGACGGCGTCGCCGTGGACCGAGAGGATCTACGCGGAGCGCAAGCTGGGGATTTTCAAGGTTTATAAGCTTGTTGCCGAGTTTGGCCAGAAGGATTGGTTTCATGGTGTGGACGTGTAGTTATGGCGATTGAGCGAAATGGGTCTATAGATTCCGGCGGCCGTTATGAGTAATTGTTAGATCAATATGTAAATGTTTTCCGTCTATCTATGCATGGATACCGAGTCGTATGAGGTGGTATGTGAGGGAGATACAGACGGCATCTTTCAAATCTTTGCTTTGTGAATGGTATATGTAAACGCTCATCAGATTCATTCAATCATCGAGGCTATGAGCCTCGTAATGTCTTGGGACCCAAGAATTTCAGGTCAGCCATATCCCAAATCTCTTCTCGCCATCGGATTTAGGCGGGCCCATCCCTACCCAGAATCGACTCTCGTCGCCCAAGACTGCACGTAGTTCTTCGAGGTTGTGCCATTCCTTCATACTGTCCTGGCCGTGCAAGTGTTCCAGGAGGTCGCCGCCAGAGAGCAGCGCCAGCACGCTCGCGATGTTTGTCGGACTCCGAGGCAGGACTGGCTTCCAAGGGCCCAGAGCCCAGCTCAAGGCTGACAAGACCAAGGCGATGAGTAGGAGTACCTCCAGGATCCGTGTGCCCACTTCGTCTTGCACGATCCGCGAGCTGCCCCAGGGATTGGTGATCGTGGCATTGTACACGCCGGTGTCGCTGCCAGCCGCGGCAGATGACAAGGCAGGGAACACGGTGAGAGATGAGTTGAGGGCGACACGGTGCCGCATATCAATGTACTGTGCCGCATAGACACCATGCTGGAACATGATCGCATCTTTGACAGCCTCAGCCTGTGATGCATCCTTGAGCGAGGTCAGTGGAATAGCGTAGCGAGACGTGACAAGCTGGCCAAAGAACTCATCAAAGAGCGTGTCGTTCGGGGGGGTCAGTGATGCAAGGTTGCCGTAATATACGCCGAAGATGTCATCTCCACCATCCGAAATGTTGAACCGGCCAGGGATCATCTTTGCCGTTGCCTCGAGGGGGCGAGGCGGGTTCGCAGGATCAAGTTGGAGGTCGGCGCCAACATATGTAACCTCAACATCCACACTCTCGGCTGTTCTATTACATCCCATGGCCGAGATAGAGACAGGCGATGAGACTCCCGGGCCCGGATACTGCCCCCATATGTACAGGACATCGTCACTGCACGGAACGACAGCAACGCCGTCGTTAAAGGTTCCCGAGCCAAAGTAGAACTCGCTTGTCAAGTTTTTGGCAAACGTTGCTGTGTTGTTCGTATATGCCTGCCAGTTGCCACTCGCGAATTGCCACGAGCATTGTTGTCCCGTGATATTGACAGAGATGCCTTCGTATGTGGCAACTGATATTTGGTTAATTTGCCGGTTCCGGAACTCTCCAGTCGATATGGACGACGTCGGATAGAGAGAACAGTTCATTCCAGGTCTCAGTGCAGGAACAGTAGCTTGGACGATCAGAGATGACAGGTTCTGTGATGGAACTGAAGTAATCGCCAGGTCTTTATCCAATGTCAACGAAGGAATCAGGAGGTCTTCGTAGATTAATGGCGTGTAAGACAGATTGCTGCCTAGGACCAAGGCGGTAGTATACAAGTTACTTGTGGAGATGACACCATCCAGGTTGTACAAATGATCCACTACAATGGTGCTGGTTGATCGTAGAGTTGCTGAGCCCGAAGCTGCAAATACCTCGGCGTGGAACAGCGACGCTGAGCCGATCGTGAACTTTGATGCGATCAGCGCAGCTATAGTCCCCATGAATGCAGCAAAATTCTTGATTCGAAATTCCTGAACCAAAGCCATTGGAAGTAAAGGGCGTAGAAGGTCCAGGTTAAGATAGTCGAACCACGCGCCACGTGACAAGGCGTGATAGGGAACTAGGATCCTAGACTGGATGTCGACTGAGGACATGAACAGCCCCAAAATGCTGAGAACCACAGCCGGAAGAGTTGTCCACGCGTAGTGGAGATATGTTTCATCTGGGACATATCCTAAACCTTGATTCTTCCATGACAGATGAAGCGTAGCCTCGAGCGTCGCCACACATCCCAGCATGAACAAGTAGACTGGACCACGAGTATAAGGGCGAAGTGCCGTAGGAAAGCGAAACTTTGGTGTCCCACTTATAAGGTGTCCCGTGGTTGTAAGCTGCTCTTCCCTTTTTTCGAAGAATCCGGCACCTTGTTTCTCCGGCTCCCCTAGCCATGAACGAATTTCCTTCGCCATTCCTTCTTTGCTCGCTCCTCCTACATGGCTTGGAGGAGTTCCTATCAAGGCAAGTGCAGAAACAATGACATAACTGATGATTGACCCAGGCTCTAAGGGAAAGAAAATGTTGGTCGGCATGGAAATGATGAATCCAACAAGAATCGCCATGATCAGAACAAATAAACCAACCATCAGATGGCACGCAAGAGACTGGACCTTCAGACGATTTGTGACCGTGGTAGCCGTCCCACTGGCGGTGATTTCCGCCGGGCTCTTGAAAGATTGGTGAAACAAAAACGCTGCATACTGCTGATAGTGCTTGACCAAATAACGCTGCAACAACGCACCATCTAGGAGAGCTGACTCTCCGTTACAGTCATCTCCGCATGTTCTCATGACCGCATCAAAATAATCGTTTCCAAAAACCTTTGTATTGCCAACCATCACTGGCGGGGTGGCGCTGAATATGCCGCGAGGGACGGTCTTGAGATGATCTTGGACAACGACCCACGGATGGACGTTCGAAATGGATTTGGAGGATGTATTCAGTGGCATCGAGATGTCTTGGATTCCCGTGGAATTCTTCGTCACGGCTAGTGAGACCATGTTGAATCGAGGAGCGCAGAATAGAGAAGTGGAGCTGATGTTCAGGGTCTTCATATGGACATCGTTACCAGCATTGCCAGCCCATGTTGTGTTCGTCACATTGTAGTACATGTAGTCGAGCTTCGCGGACATGAGTAGCAGACGGTTGGAATCTGGATCGGTAGATCCACATTGGCCTGTTCCAAAGCCACGGAGCGACCCTAGCCACATGATGTGTCGTGAGCCCGTGGTGCCTTCTGCCTTGCTAGGATCCATTGAGGGTATTAACATCGACGTGTCTAGGCTGAGATTCGCGCGGCAACCATCATGGTTGATTTGCATCTTTGACCAATCCACTTCCCACATCTTGAAGCTCGATTCCTGGAAAAGTCGGCCGTACTCGATGCCAGCGAGCGCTGAGTCCGACTCTTGACAGTCGAGCTCCAAAGACAGGCCGTCGACCACTGCAGTGATGTCGAGGGCGCTCGGCTCGGTGGAGTTGAAAGTCTGGTAGGCGTAGACCTCCGAACATCCTTCGGGATACGACATATTGTCGAGCGTCAGCCCCAAAATTCCGAAGAAGGGAAGCTCGGAAGGATTCTGAAGTTTAGCCGGGTCGTCGTCGAATTGCGTGTTCATAAAAACTGGCACCGAGGTGCCCGGAAACTGAGTCGGAGAAAGCGTGAAGAGTGCTGTCGATATAACGGCTTCCACGACCAGTAGAAATGATATTGTTGACGCAGCAGCTACCTTGAAGTCTCGTTTCTTTATGGCCCGAAATGGCACAGATAGAGAGAACATGTTGATATAGTCGAGTAGCAGAGCGTCGCTGGTCTTGCCGTCTTTCTCCATTCTCAGCCATGGTGCTGTCAACTGTGTTTCGTATTCGACGCGTCCCCAGAACGCCCCTAGTATAACAATGACTGTCGTAGGGCCGTACGTCCACAGGTAGCGCAAGTTCGATTGAGCTGGAACAAGGCCTTGTCTCCTGACCGATAATGAGAACATGACCTCAAGCGCTATTACCATGATGGCCATCACAACCAGGAAGCCAAGAAGAACCACCCGCTGAAGATAGAACGGCCGCCATGATGATTGCCAGTTTGCAGGGCTAGACACTTCTTGCACATTTGTCGGTAAGACTTCATGAGCCTTTCCGTGGCCACTTCGCAAGCGCGACGAGGTTTCAGAAGAATCGTCATTGTCTACCGGTTGATCGTATATGTCGTATGGATCACGCCAATCACCATCAACGGGCACTGCGCTGTAGCCCATTACGGGCTCCCCATCTTGCGCTTCTCTCAGCGGCTCGAAGGCGCTGCGGGAGCGCGAGCTCGGCAAGGCGTGTGAATTGCCTCCTGGCGCCGGCGGCATCTTGATTTCGCTGCCTCTACGGTGTTGCCCGTCTTCGAACTCTGAGAACAGGCCAATGGACTCATCTGAATGTGCAAATGTGGAGATGCTCGGTCGAGTCTCCGCGGGTGTGCTTCAGACGATAAGTTCTATAGTCGAGTTTAAGGTAAGGTAGTACGGGGAAAAGTGGCCTAATAATAGCACGAGGATTCCATAGCTTGGCTGTGCAGCCACGGGACGGGTGCTGTGCCGCAAAATTCGGCCCCCAAAAAAGCAAGGCAGCGCCAATTGTTTCAGAAGTGCCCAGCCCCCCGCAGCGATGTCACGTAGCCACATCCAATGAACAAAGAATATTGGAATTTCTTCAGCAAGAACATAGCCGTATACATGTGACTAGCAACGATTGCCATCGCCAATGAAAAATGCCAGGCATTTCAAGCAGCAAAGAAGCAATGCGGGAGTCGGCAGAGTATCCACACCCATCACGGTGACCTTCAGTACATAGTTAGATTTTCATAATCTTGTGAATCGCATTTGCAAGATGAGGTCTGTCTCTTCCAGGCCTCTAATCGAGATTAGCGCAAATACTACTTCTGGGGGTTATATAAGGCCAAGAGAAGTTCGTCGCAATATAACACTCAAGCTGCCCATGAATACAGCCCTGACGAAGGATCTGGAGTCTTTTGTCTACAATATATCTCTATGACACTTTTCAATCCCAGAAAATGTTTTCCCCGTTGCGACAGCCTGCCGCATCCAGTATAAATCTAGGCATTCGCAGCAAACTTGGAGTTTGCCTCGTCCGCTCTCTGGGTGCATTCTTCAATGACTTTCCAGAACAGCGCAATATCCAAGCCTCTCGGGATCCGGACACCGGGCTGTCCAGGCTCGAGCAGCTTCGCTACGGTGCGCCCCGTCTGGGCTCCCCTGTGCAGCGCGTCGTCAAGCGAGCCCTCAGTAATGACCTTTACTTCGAAGCGCTCCGGCCGGCGATCGCCCGCAGCAGCCTTCGGGTCAAAGTCGTAGAATGGGATCTCATACTGAGTTCCCGTCAGGGCTGCGGCAACGGCCAAGGGGTCGTGCAGAGGAGGTCCCTCCACAATGCCGAAAGCATCCCTGATCTGTATCAGCACACCGAAAAAGCCGTTTCTAAAATGATAGTTGGACTTACCGGTAGGTGCCAGCAAAGAACATCAACAATTCCACCAGCATTTGCCGCAGGTCCGTCTTTCCCCTGCCTGTCTTCTCGCCACCGTTTGGACCATACAGGATCGTCTCCTGAACCTCAGGAGTGGCCAGCACCAGGTGCGTCAGGTCGAGCGGGATCAGTGTGGTCTTGGCCGCCAGCACGGGGTTCTCGAAAAGGGAGGCCGCCGCCTCGGGGTCGATCAGGACATTGAACTCGGCCCAGGGGGTGTAGTTGCCGATGCGCTCGACGCCGTCCACCTTGCCCAGCACGGCGGGCGTAAAGCCCTCGCCAATGGCCCCGCCCATGATGCTGAACCCCTTGATGTGCGACGCCAACTCCGGGTACTTGATGAAGAGGTCCCCGACGTTGGTCAGCCCGCCGGTTGCGACAAGCCATGCCGTGCCGGGCTCCGTCGCCTGCAGGGCTTTGGCCATGGCGTCCACTGCACTCACAGACCGGTCAGCGGCCGATTGGGGCTTTGGCAGCAGGTCGGTGCCGTCCAACCCGGACTCTCCGTGGATCTCCGTGGGCGCATGGATGGGGGCTCTCTGGAGCGCATGGGCGTGTCCAGGGTAGACGGTGACGTCCTTGTGCTTGCTAATGGCTGTGAGGATAGACAGTGCATTGTTTGTCGTCTTGTCTAGAGACGCATTGCCATGCACAGTGCTGATATTCAGCAAACGGATCCCGGGATGGTAGGCGGCCATCAAGATTGCAAAGGTATCCTGCGATAGCGGTTAAAAAGCGGTCTCTAGCTCGGGGTAGGGGTACATGTCTCAGCGGTAAGTCTACGCACACTAATTGTGGTCCGACATACTGAATACTGCGAAGCCTTCTGTGAGGCATGGAGGGATGCCACTGTCGTATTGTGTTGATACTTACATCGTGTCCTGGATCACAGTCCAGCCAGACCGGGACGGGTGCCGACATATTGAAGCGCCGCTAGGTCAACTGTGCAAAACTATGATCAAGTTCTATAGCCTTCTCCTCAACGTGTGCGTATTCCTTAAAGGCTCAGAGTTGGCTGTTTGCGATTTATAGGTGTACCCTTTGAGGAATCGGGGGACGTCGGTAAGTTTGTGACGCACACCTCAGCCACAACCGGTCTCCGTCGGGTGCATCCAGTAGTGGACCCACGCCGATGGCCGCCGGAGCACGGAAACAAAGGAGAGGGAAGCAGCGCGTTTTGAAACTATAGGGGCGCCTGTGGACTTCCCTGTTCGCGGATATCACGAGAGATTACATAGCCAGCAGACATTTCATACGTCAATCGGGCTAATGGGCACATTCGGGATAGAATGGTAAGTTGACTTATTGGTGATTGAATCAGCGCCGCCAGGTGCTGACGCTCAATAATATCGACTACCCCTATTTCGTAGTTTTCCGCTGCTCAAGAACGCGCATCACGTCCTCGGCATTATTCACATCTCCCTTTCGCTTCTTCCCACCCCTCTTCCGCTTCGGTTTACCATCACCGCCCTTTCCATCGTCACCATCATCGTCAGCACCGTTCCCCCACTTGGAGAGCTTCGGTTGCTTGTCGTCAAAGTCAGCCTCATCCTCAAACCTGCTGGTGCCAAAGCCCATGTCCATGTCCTCGGCGTCGCGATCGTCATTCTGTAGCATTCGTCTCCGACGTTCTGCCTTCGCTTTCGCCTCCTCATCCTCTTCCTCGGAAGATCTGGCATTAATAGACGCTGCTTTCTTGAGAGCTGCGAGAATTGCTGGGTCCGACAGTGATGGCGCCTGTAATGTTTGAGAAGAAGCCAAGGCAGTTTTCGAGTCTTTGAACCAATTCCTCGCCTCTGTCGTAGAAGCCGGTTTTGGCGGCGGTGGCATCGCGTCTCGATCTTGGGACTGTCTTGTCTCTTCTGCGGACTTTGCTGGCTTTTCTGCATCTTCGTCTTCATCATCATCAGAGTCTTCCCCAAGTCCTGCTAGTGGGTCATAATCATCCCCGACATCACCAAAGATGTCATCATCTTCATCTTCTACTTCTTCGTTTTTGGTCTTGTAGATGTCCGGCACCTCCATGCCTAAAGGTTTGGCGTCTTTATCTGGCATCATCAGGTCACGCGAGCTCGTCTCTTCCACATCTTGGTGGGTCTCGGGCTGAAGTTTACGCACTTTGCGCTTTTCGTGCCCATCCTCATCGACTATGATAAGTACCTCTCTCCCTTTGCTGTCTCGTTCTATTCGGGAGCCGGGCGTCTTGTCGCCTATCTTCTTGAATTTCGATCCAAGACTCGATTGTTCTTTGGCCTTGGCCGCCTCTCTGGCCGCCTTCAGTTCTGCGAGCACCATAGCCCTGGACCGCTTTTGGCCTGGTTTCAGTGCAGTCACCGCGGCGATCTGCCCTTTCTTGCTTGTTGCCTCTCTCGAAACAGCCTCCAGTTTGGCTTCTTCCAATTCGTCAAATGCGTCATCCACTTCCTCGGGCTTGGGCTCGTCATCGTCATCGTCATCGTCATTACCGTCGTCGGCGTCTTGTTTCTTATTGCCGTACACATCTTCGCCCTTCCGTATTCGCTCAAGCAGCTTAAAGTCCAGGCCTTTGACGAGATGTGTGCTCTCGAGATCTCCACCGGCTATTTCCGCCCGCAGCGTGTCGTATGTTGCTTGATCTATCTCTTCCTTCCTAAGAGACTCTTCTAGGTTTTTAAGCTTCGCTGCGCGTTCATCCTTTTCTTCGTCCTCTCTCGTTTTTGTTCGGTCGGTGTAGCCATGGGCAAGCTTGCTCCCTTTCGGTGCCGATGCCTTGAGTTTCTTCTGTGGCCGTTGTCCTCGGCCCTGCTCGGCCAGCTGCCGCTGGAAATCGGACCTGCTAAAGGCGACGGAGCGACTGCAACATTGGTCAGTAAGGTGAGATCGCAGTGATCAGGGAATGTCCTTACGGCGTCATAGGAATGCTCGATCTCTGTTTAGATCCTAGGGCGAGTGCGCGTGGCGGAGTTGGCGATGCGCCATTGCTCGCTGGAGACTTTGCGGGCCCATCTCTCTCGATAAGACGGCGAAACTGATCGTTGTTCATGTCTGCGAGGCACTTGCGAGGCACTTGGGAGGTGGAGGTGCTGGTGCTGGCCGTGCCGAGGATGCGGACGACGATGAGGGTGCGCGGCAGAGATCACGCAGGATGGTGCAGCCTCGCTACAAGGCTGTTCGAAGTCATCAGTCAGGCTGAGTTAGTGGACCGCCAGCGGCCGAACCTACCTAGCAGGCCTAGGTACGGTGCTGTGGTGCTGTGGTGCTGTGGCGCTGTCAGTGGGGCAAATCTAATGGAGGTCACGGGATGACGTGTGGAAGGCAACCGCGTCCGGCCCCACCATGTCCGCCGCGCCGCGTGTTCCCGTACATTCAACGTCCGAAGACTATCACATGCAACCAGCTCACTCTCAAAGCCGTTTTCCCTCTGGCCAACACGTTGGACGTCTTGGCTTGTGATTTGATGATTTGGGCTGCCGAGCCCAGAACGCCCTGTGAAGCTGCGCTGCGCTGGGATCGTCTTGTGTCCTCTTCGCAGCATGACAGCACCCACGGCACCCGCGAGTGAGGCTGTACTGTGCCCCGAGGCCGCTGCGAAACAAATTCCGACGAAATGGGAAGCCGATTAGAGAAAAATTCCAACGAGGTGCGGAAGCGCATTGAGGGCCATGCCTTCACGGATGAGGCTGGAGAGGAGTATGGGGCCAGTGCCTTTGGCGGGTTTCCGGATTACTTTCGTCGAAAGAAGATCAAGCTACAGAATCTGGACTCAGAGATACGAGCTGCTTCAAAAGACAAGCCGCAGATCTTCAAGGGCATCGTAGCCCACGTCTCAGGCTATACCCAGCCACCGCTCCATGTGCTACATCGGTGTCTGGTCGAACATGGGGCCGGCTTCCTCCAGTATCTGGATTCCAAGACCATGGCTACCCATATCATCGCTTCGAGCCTGCCGCCAAAGAAGATGGTCGAATTCAACAAGTATAGAATCGTCAAGCCGGCGTGGGTAACAGATTCTATCCAGGCAGGCAAGCTACTTCCTTGGTCCGAGTATAGAGTTATCGAGGAAACGCCACGACAGAAAACCCTCAAATTTGACGAGGGGAGAGTATTCTCCCAATCCAACACCCAATCTCCACTTCGGTATCGTGAGCAGACCGACAACAGCTTCTACACTAGCCAACTTAAAGGCTTTGCTGAAGCCATCGACAGGAGACATCAAGGGGACAGGTCGTCAAGTACACCCGCAACGCCAAGTAGGACTGTCAACTTGTCTGATTCCAATTCCATAGCACATGAAGCGCCAGGTTCATTGGCTCAGAGAGATGGCGCAGACTCGTCTGCGAAAATAAATGAGCCAGTAGGAGAAAATCAATCGGGCCATGACACGTCTCCTCTAGGACAGGAGAATGCTTTACCCAAACCGCCAGATAAGCCACTGGAATTGATGACTTCTGAAGAGCATAATGCTTTCATGCTCCAGGATCCCCGGATACGAAAATCGTCAACGGCAAACCCGGGCTTCATTCAACAATACTACGCAGAGAGTCGTCTACACCATCTATCGACTTGGAAGGCTGAATTGAAGTCCAGGATGCAGAAGCTCGCAGCCGAGAAAGGATCCCACGCGAAACCACCTAAGAGAAAACCTGGAACACGCCGTTACGTGTTTCACGTTGATTTCGACAGCTTCTTCTGTGCCGTCTCGTTGAAGAGCGCACCCGAGTACATCACGAAACCCACGGTTGTTGCACACGGCTCAGGTTCGGGATCGGAAATCGCAAGCTGTAATTACCCCGCCAGAGAATTTGGAGTCAAGAATGGCATGTGGATGAAACGTGCGAAGGAGATGTGTCCTGATCTCAAGGTACTACCGTATGACTTTCCGGCTTACGAAGAAGCCAGCCGCCTATTTTACGAGGCAATACTAGAAGTTGGTGGAGTTGTACAAAGCGTCAGTATCGACGAGGCGTTGGTAGATGTAAGCCATGTTATTTTCAATGCCGTCGGCTCCAGCGGTAGCGGAGTAGACGAAGGCAGCATCTGGAGAGAGCAAGAGAAGGCGGACCAAATGGCACTTGATCTTCGAACCAGAGTCAAGGCCAAGACTGGCTGTGCGGTATCGGTCGGTCTCGGTGGCAACATTTTACTGGCTAAAGTCGCTCTGCGAAAAGCGAAGCCAGCTGGGCAGTTTCAGTTGAAGCCCGAAGCCATACTCGACTTCCTTGGAGAATTGAAAGTCAACGATCTACCTGGCGTCGCTCATAGTCTTACGGGCAAGCTCGAAGAGATCGGGATCAAATATGTGAAGGACATCCGGGAAGTTTCCAGAGAGCGTCTTGTCAATACTCTTGGACCGAAGACGGGAGAAAGGCTCTGGGAGTATGCTCGTGGTATTGATCGCACTGAGGTCGGTGATCAAACCATCCGAAAGTCAGTCTCAGCCGAGGTTAATTGGGGTATACGCTTCATCAACCAAGAGGAGGCCGAGGAGTTTGTTTTCAACTTGTGCAAAGAGTTGGAACGAAGACTTCTCAATGAGCAGGTCAAAGGTAAACAATTGACCATGAAGATCATGCGACGATCATTGGATGCGCCATTAGACACAGCCAAGCATCTTGGTCATGGAATGTGTGATACGTTCAACAAGAGCATGATGTTTGGGGTGGCTACCAATGATGCCCAGGTCATTGGCAAGGAGGCAGTATCGATCTTGCGATCTCATAAATTCAGTCCAGGCGACCTCCGTGGACTCGGCGTTCAGCTGACGAAACTGGAGCCTATCAAGACAATACTGGGAGGCCAGGACAGTAGTCAGAAAAAACTTAGCTTTGGCGCCTTTCGTACGCCAGGTTCGGCCAAAAAACCTGCCGTGGATCCTATACTAGAAGCCGACGCTCCGGAGGGGCCAAGCCCAACACAAGGTCGACACGATCCCCAAGACCCCATTATCGATGATCCCTTAACGCCTCGGAAGCCGAAATCAAACACTTCACACCCAGCCTTCGCCATCTCACGATCCCTTGAAAATGACGCCAAAGCTAATACGCCGCTCAATCTTGGCGGTACTCAATTTGTCATGCCCTCTAATCCAGACCCTGCAGTACTTGCAGAGCTTCCTCCAGATATTCGAAGCAGGCTCCTCGCGCAAGGAAACCTGGGCGGTGGCTACAAAGCAGATGTACCAGCTGTAAGATCGAGAACCCAAAGTCCGGCTCTGGCAGACGAGATTCCACCAGATATCGACCCAGAAGTATTCAATGCACTGCCAGACGACATGAAAGCTGAGATCCTTGCTTCGTACAGACCAGCAACTGCGCAGCTTCGACTGCCGCATTCGCCACGCAAGGACCGTATGATTCAGCCTTCGAAGAAGACCACACCAACAAAGAAGCGTGTACCGGGTCTTTTCTCAAAGGCTCGGGAAAGGCACGCTGACGCGCAGAACAAAGTTGTCCAGACAACCTTAAAGCAGTCAGAGGATGCGATTGCCAACGATGTAGAGGAGTTGGATCCAGACTTCCTTGCCGAATTGCCTGAAGAAGTCCGAAGAGAAGTTATAGCTGATCACCGGCGTAGAAAGGCTCAACGCTCAGGTCTCGACCTGAAAATCAACCTTAAACGTAATCGTGAGCCTGAAGGAGAGGATGCTCAAGCCGGGGGTCAGATGAAACTTCAATTCGCACCACGGCCCAGCAAGGTAGCATTTACCAACGCAGGCCTGACATCCATCTCGGATATCAGGGATATGCTCAACGTTTGGCACAAGGAGACAGCGATTGATGGGCCTCACAGGAGGGACGTGGAGATGTTTCAAAAATACTTGGTCGAGGTGATCTTGGAAGAGAGGGACATGGATAAAGCAATGAAACTTGTCCAGTGGTTAGATTACCTCGTGGAGGGAGACGAGTCCACCTCTCGCGGCAAGGGGATCTGGCAAGCGTTTGTACAGGATACCAAAAACGAGGTACAAAAGGCTGTCAAGCAAAGGGGCTTGGGACAGTTGGATATCTAGCCTCCTTTTTCAACTTAACGCCCGTGAATGAGACATGACTAAACACTTGAATTGGGCGGATTTCTCGCCGAGTGCTACCAATGACAAGATTTGTAGACTTCTCGTACGCCCTAGCTGCGCAATACGGGTACGTGTGAGCGATAATAATTACACCAGAGTATCGATAGTCAGATGGATTACTGCTCTTGTAACAAAATTGTCAGCTTAACTAATATCTCTACTGGGCATTTAAACTTGCCAATGGAATGCTCGTTCAACCAATCTAATACACGTAGAATACTTTATGACTTTAGAAACTCAGCCCAACACCCGTCGCTTTTGTACCATACGAGTACAAGACACCTCACAGCCCAACCATCATGACGACCCCAGCGACCACGACCCCCATCGCTACCGCGGCACTGCCCACACCCCCGGCCCGAACCGCACCGTTCTTGCCGCTCTCCGTGAGGTTGTACAGGCCCAGCTTGAGGCTGCCGCCGCAGGCCAGGGTGCGGTCGCCGTCGCAGGGCAGGTCGCAGGCGGCGTCGGGCAGGCGGGCGCTGAGGCTGGACAGGCGGTTGGCGCACCAGCACTGGCGCGAGTACTCGACGCCGGCGAGGCGGTACGGCGCCCCCTGGCCGTGCGCGCACAGGTCCAGGCACGTCTCGACCGTCATGGGCCCGTTGAGCGGGAAGTCCTGCGAGATGCCGCCCGCCAGCGCGCGTGCCCCGGACGACCCCGCGATCCCCGTCGTCTCGTTCCAGCACCCGGCGTACCGGTACGTCGACGAGGCGTCGTAGATGCGCAGGGCGGCCCGTGCCTGTGCGCTGACAAGCGACACAATGAAGAGCGTCAGGAGCAGACTTGAGAACCAGGACATCCTTGGGCTTGAGCGCGCCATTGCAATTTATGTGACGGCTGCCTATGATCTACAAGCAATGTAAAGTACTGTAGCAGGTTCTCCGAAGCTGTGATTTAGGAGTATGCTCGAAAATCGAGAGCAAGCTCGTCGATATGAGAGGCTTAACGTCGTTGGTCTTTGAGTACCCGTTCTCCCAGATCATTCAGCTGCTGTCCAGGTCTCTTTTTATGACCTCTAGATGTTGGTGTTTTTGAAGACTTGGGTGCGTACAAACACGCAAACATGCCAGGTGGACTCGCCGCCCTTGCGTCGGTACCTGGCTAGAGCCCAAAAGACGATAGATTCCGTACAATATGAGAATAGGAATGAACGGTCCAGAGCCTCCCGATCCTTATATCAGTGGAAGCCCGTGACGACTTGCTTAACGAGTCCTAGTAAGCGCCGGACGGTCTCTCAAATCAAGCACGAGCGTGTAAGTCGATACTAGGAATTCCCCCAGCAAGGCGATATGCGCAGCCGGTTCAACGCCAGCTTAGGTGGGCAACAAGCGACGGTGAAGAAGTGAAGCAAGAAGAGTAAGCTCAAAGTTGCCTCGAAAAGAAGAAGAGAAAAAGAAAAAGGTACCCGGTCGTGCTGCATATAAGCACAAGCTGCCCCCAAAGGCGCTGCTGATTCGGCCAACCCATGTAGTCTGCATAGGCGAGCATCCTGGGCGCTGCAATAAGCCGAATAGTGCGCGCTGAAAGAGGTTAGTCAGGCACGACGGACGACGGATTTGGCCTTGCGGCCCAGCTTAGCCCAGCCCATCGGACGGCCTGGATACGAACTGTGCGTGATATCTGATGTGAAGCTCCAGGCCGGAATGCATCCGAGCATATGTGCAGCGCAAGTAGACACTAAAGGTAGTGTTGGTTGAGGGTATCGGTATTCTACATCTAGTCTATTTGGTCCAGTATACATAACTCCAAGCCAATGCAGAGTCTTGATACAGTAGTCGTTACAGGGCTATACATGCGCAAATCTACGGCTTCAAGTTGTGATCGTGCTGGTCCTCCTTGATGCCCCAGCTGCCGACCAACGCCATTGCTTTCTCGTCTCCGTTGGCCAGCCGCTCGTCTTGCAGTGCGCCGGACAGACACTTCCAGGGATCGCGGCTGCCTCCCCACTTCAGGAGGTTCTCCTTCAAATGCTCGCCTTTGGCCCTGTCGAGTGCACCGCCATTCTGGCCTCCTGAAAACACCACTCTCCACACGCGCTCCGACAGCGTTTGGTCGAACAGGTAGCTGTAATAAGTACTGCCATAGCCAAACAGATGCCCGAAGAAGCCCTGCCACCTCGTGCCAGGTCCGTCCGGCGGTAGTCTTCCATGTTCGCGCTGCAGCTTGTGGTAGACAGCAGTAGAGTCGAACTCAGGGTTCGAAGGCTGTGAAGAGTGGTATTCCTGGTCTAGCATGGCCAGGATGATCTGGTTCTCTCGGTCTGAAGCCTCGAAGCGGTTGACCACCTTCAGTCGCTCCGCTACCAACTCGTATGGGAGGGGCTCGTCGGTCTCATAGTGCCTAGCGAAGAGACCCAGCACGGTAGGGTCGGCGCAGAAGTGCTCCATTAAAGTTGATGGCAGCTCAGCGAAGTCTGTAGCACAGCGCGTGCCCGCTACGTTTTGCAGCGAGGTCCGCGCTAGGACGGAGTGGATGGCATGGCCCATCTCATGGAACAGAGTCTCCATCTGATAGTAGTCCAGCAGCGCCGGCTGGTTCTTTGCGCGCCTGTCATGATGAAAGTCGCAAACCAATGCAATCGTAGGCAGCTGCTTCACCGCGCCCGATTGCTGCGAGACATGCATGCCATCGTTGGCTGCCTCAATGGCCTCATCGCGAGATGTCGTCTCTGTTTCCAGCGCCGCCTCTTGGATTTCCTGATCGGATATTTCCCTCGAGCAGCGCACTGTGAAATGTGCGGGGTTTGGCGACTTGTCGCTTCGATAGAACAGGTCGACGTACAACACCGCAACGTGTCCATCCGTATCAGAGACCACATCAAGTCGTCTCACATCCGGGTGCCAAGTTTCACCGGGCAAAGTGTCCCTAGGCACCAGTCTGATGCCATATAATCGAGTAAACAGCCGCGAAAGCCCCTGCATGACGGTTCCGAGGGAGAAGAAGGACGATAGAGTATCACTTTCACGCCTATGCGATCTCATGCTTCGCCGTATGCTCTCCATGTAGAAGTCCTTGTCCCACGGCTCCAGGGATGCAGAGTTCGCAGTGTGAGGATTCTGCTTCTTCAGCGCCAAGAGGTCTGCCACTTCCTGGTCCACAAATTTGCCGTTATGCTGGGCAAGCGAGAGTAAGAACTGGTGTACGGACTCCGGAGACTTGGCCATCATCCGGTCTCGCAAAGCCATCTGACCATAGCTGTCGAATCCTGACAGGGTTGCCAGCTCGGAGCGCAAGCTCAGCAGAGTTTCCAAGATCTTAATGGAGCGAGTGGACGACGTGCGGGTAGCGTAGTAGATCAGCTTTCTCGTATCCTCGTCGAGCACACTCCTCAGAGCAACTGTCGCCTCCGGGGACATGGTCGGCAGGTAGATGCTACCTCTGCTGGTATATTTCTGAGCGAGTCTCGGGTCCATGCCTTGAAAGCGACTGCTCGGAAGGCGTAGCTGGTGATCCTCAGGGGCCATCTCCTCGACGAATACAGACCCCAGCTCGCTGATCTTCTGGGAGATGTCCACGAACTTGTCTCTCGACTCCTTGGGCAGGTGGATCGCCGACTTGAGGAAATCCTGCCTTAGGAGAATGGCAACAGTCTCCTCCTCTTCCGTCCAGCTCGAGCGCACCTCCGGGTTGTCCAGAGCTTTTCCGAGCTGGTCGCATAGTCCCGTCGTGGTGTTCAGCTGGTTCATATACTGGTAGACCAAGGCCCATGCGTGCGAGGCAGCCTGCTGTATCTTCTCGTCGGGGTGTGTGACCCTCACAAAGTCGGACACATCCAGCACTCTGCAGAGCAGGTCGCTCAGCCTGTCGAGGTCCCTGACGATGATCTTGTATTCGTCTAGCGTCGATGCCTGCAGCACCTTGTCCACCAGCTTCTGCGCCTTCTCGAGGGTGACATTGGCGAAGTTCAGGAAGCCCTCGGGCGAGGTCAGGTACTTGTTCCTGAACAGCCCCACGTTGTCGCCATTGAAGGCCCGGCTCGAGGGCGGCGCAAACTCCTTGAATGTCTGGGGAGAGTCGAAGAGCTGGCGCAGGAGAGAGTCGTCGTGCTTGGAGTCTGGGGGCGTGAAGTCTATCGGCTTGCTTGCGGCGTCGAGGCCGTGCCTGGCGGCGCTGGAAGCGACTGTGAGCCAGCGCCGCCGAGGTGCATTATGCGAGGCCTGGCGGAGGCACCGCGTGCAGGTCCAGAGACCGGTTCGGAGAGGTCTGAGCATAACCGCGTCTGCAGTTCACATAGCTGGAAAGAGAGGAAGAGAATGCCGGTCGGCACTAGACGGGGAATAACACTACAACCTGAGAGACGGCAGCTCCTGTGACAGGGAGTGCGATCGATCTTTGGTGGCCCCGACTCGCTCACTAATTCATCCCAACATGGAGCAAGCGTGACGATGGCTGTTCACTTTTAGTGAGGCTGCTGCTAAATCGAGCAGCCCTCAAGGCCCAAGGCCCCGGAGCTCATTGGCAGGGCGGCCCCCAGTAAAAAATTACCGAGCCCGGGATTAGCCGTTTTTGCGAGCCAGCGTCGACTTGGAGCGCCGACATCACAGCTCTGACGTCCGACCACCGACCAACCCTTCGTTCAATCTGCATTGCAATTGAGTGGCATCATGGCAGCGAGAGTGCTACTGCGACGGGTGAGGCCCCCAACCCAGACCTGCCCAGCCAGGAGAACCGCGTGTACTGACAATTGGCCCGACTGACAGCGTGCCGCCGCGCCTTTCATGGCCGCAACTCTCGTGGGAGGAGCTCTAATTCCCTCGGTCGCCCTGGCTGAGGCCCCCGAGGATCTGGTATGAGACGAGCCCACACCACGCAGGCATCTTTTTGCCCTGTCGTCCCCGGTGCACCAGTACTTATGCCAGTGTGACAGTCCAAGAAGCCCATCTACGACGACTTCGAGACCCCGCTGCCCACGGCCACCGGCCCGACGCCGTCGCCCTTCTCAGACACCATCCCCCAGACCTCGACACCACCGCCGTCGTCGTCGCCCTACCCGCCCGCCTCGGACTCCAAGCCGCGTGCCCCGACGCCGACCGACCGCCTGGCCGTCCAGATCGGCCGCGCGCGCCTGTTCCTGTACCAGCACGCCACGCGGGCCGAGGACGCCGTCAACGCCGGCATGGACCGGGCCTTCGACCTGGAGCAGTCGTTCACGTCGACGGTGGCGTCGCTGGCGCCGCCGCGCGAGAGCGGCGAGAAGCTGATGCCGGGCCTGGTCTACGTGCTGGTGGCCGGCATGGCCGGCAGCATCGTCGGCCGCAACCGCAACATCCTGCTGCGCGCCTCGCTGCCGCTGGCCCTCGGCGTCGGCGCCGGCTGGCTCGCCATCCCCGTCACCATGGGCAACGTCGCCGGCCTGCTGTGGAAGTACGAGCAGCGCTTCCCCGCCGTCGCCGACGCCCACCTGCGCACCCGCGACGGCATCGCCCGCACCTGGGAGATGGCCCGCGTGCACTCGCACCTCTCCAGGCAGTACGTGGACGACAAGGTGACGGGCGCGCGGGACGCTGTCGAGGGCTGGGTCAAGAAGGGGAAATAAATTGGGGGCAGACGACGGGGATCTTATTGGAGGACGCCGGAATGGGACGTTGTGAAGATAGAGAAGGTGAAGGCTTACTTACACAAACACACACCAAAAGGCCTTGTACCATAGCGAATAGAGCTAATTTTCTATGTTTATGAAATGCTGTTCTTGTTCAATCGATTGTTGTAGATCTCTTGACCAAAAGGGTCAATGAACCAGCCAACGAGCGCAGCCTGAAGCAGTTTTTAACTGTTTACCATTTCTAAATCGTCGGGAGTTTGGGTAAATTAGTAGCAGTGGTGCTTACCTGGCAGCATGCAGTCAGTAAGTCATGATCGTGGCGACCAAAGATTTGATCTCGATGTTTCCTCAGTTGGTTGGTTTTTGTACGTTATCGATAATTAACCAGATATACAGTACAAGTTTGGTTAGAACTGTATCGAATTAAGTTATTGTTCTTAAGAGAGACAACCTCCCGGTTGCCCTCAGCCAGACCGGCTCTAATGTACATGTCTATCGGGGGTATATACCAATGCAGCCCGTTACCGTGCCTTTATATGCAGTCCCGTCCCTTACGCCCATATTGTACATTGGCTCTACTTCCAGAGGCTGATTACTCAACAGCCTTGTGTGCTCCCTCCTCTGCAGCGTTGCCAACGAGAAAATTCAAGACTCGCTCGTAAGTCCACATAGTAACCGCGCTCGCCGGCGCTGCCTTGAGGAGACTGACGGTTAGTCCCCTATACAGCCCCCTGAACCCCTCCTTGGCTACAATCATCCGGATCGCCCTCACAGCCCCCGTGTCGTATGCCGGTATGTTCTTGTGCACATATCGCTCCCTGGTTGGGCCCTGGACCTGAATGCGCTTCCGGACCAAGTCTAGCGGAAACACGCCCGTCTTCGCGATGACACTAGCAACTACACCGGCGGTGGCATCGCCGCTGCCCAAGGGGAGGTCGAGCTGGCCAAGCGGCACCCGAAGCCCTTCGTAGATAGCGAAGAACAGGCCCATGAACGGCACGATCTGCGCCAACCCCGGCCCCAGTCCGCGGAAGAAACCTCGCGCGCCCTCGTCACGCTGGATGTCGGCCACCGCGCGGAACAGGCCCGAGTACACCCTGTCGACGCCCTGGGCGGCGAAGCGCGTGCGCAGCAGATCCAGGGGGTAGGTAGCCGCCGTGGCAGCCGCGCCGGCGCCGGCGCCGGCCACGAAGCTCTCGACGGCCTTGGGGACGCGGTGCTCGCCGAGGGCGCCGTGCAGCAGCACCGTGATGGAGCGGTAGGCGGTGAACTGCATGGCGGCGTACGAGACGTACATGAGCTCGGCGGGGACGTTGCCCTTCCACAGGCCCGTGATGCCCTCGTGCCGCAGGATGTGGCGCATGGTCGGCAGCGTGCCCTTGTAGACAGGGGCGTTGGGCGGCAGGCCGGCGCGCGAGAGGGGGTCCGAGAGCGAGTGCGTCTGCAGCTGGAGCCGGATCTTGACGACGTCGAGCGGCGCGATCACGAACCGCGAGATCAGGCCCGCCGTCGCGCCTGCTGTTACGACTTGGAGTCGTGAGCCCTGGTGCGAGGGTCTCGTGTTAGCATCTTCATATTGAGCTGGATCGCAGAGCATCTCAGGGGGGAGATTGTCCGTACCTCATCTTGAAGGCGCTGCCCGCTCTTCGACATACATCCGTAATTGCCCTTACCCGAGCGAGGGGAGTTTGCTGTACGGCAAAGATATCGAGCGTTTGATTGCCCCGTCGATGCGGCTCGCTGAAACGGGAAATTTCGCCTTGCGCCCGAATGATGGCGGTTCTAGCCAGGCTAAGGGGGTGGGATTTTCGACGGCTTGAGGATAGCGGCCGAGCTATGGGGCCCCGTCGGCAGGCTCCCCGGAGGACCGCGTCGGTGAAGTTTGCCGCAATTGAGTGCCGTAGGATCAGAAGACGAGATGAGATGGAATTATGTGCTTGTGCTGCTGCTAGTGAGCCCAACGCTGTCCAGACTGGGCAACGTCTTCAGTCGCAAGTGATGATGGATTTTTTTGGTGGCCTGTAATGACACACGGTCATCTGTTGAGCCGCCTTTGTCTCTGGCTTCCCGTCCGCGCTTTGCGTCGGGGAGACATGGTGACGTATGGGCTCTGGGTAAAGTCAACCTGGAGGCTTGGAGCTTCTTTGGGTCAGCTGTTGAGGCCCATCCAGCTCTTCGGCAACTGCCAGGTCACGCAGGTTGATGATTACATGCTGAGTACTGCAGATACGGGATTTACGGTGGCGGCCGAGTGCTTTATTGCTTATCAAACGAAGACCTCGTTCTCGAACCTCGACAACCTGAGATTGCGCGGTTTCGCGTCTTGACAGCCGTTTTGTACATGCCCCTCTGAGCCAAGGTGCCGAGTGGTCCCACTGGCGGTGGTGTAACCGTGATATCGAAGTTCCTTCTGGCCGAAGACCACATGCTGCTGGGCGACAAGCCGGATCTGGATTGGTTGAGGCGCCTGTGGGCCCGCTGCCCGTTGCCGCGTACAGTCCAATAGCGCCAGAGCCTTAGGGGCAATTGGGGGGCTCGTTTCGTCCCCAGCAGTGAGGGGCGCCTGGCCCTCTGACGACCTGGATCCAATATCAGTCAAAACGTGCCATGGGTGCTCCCGTCTTGTCACTTCTTGCTTCGTGCTCCTCTCCCGACTCCTCTATGCCCCGTGACTATTAAGCTTTGCAGCGCGCGAAGACGTCGTGCACGTGTTGCTGCCAGGAAGCCTGTTCACAGAGGCCTTTGTTCGATGCCAGACTCGAGTCAGCTGGTCCCATAAGGCTACCTACCAATTGCATGTGATCCTCGTCACTACGCATATACACTACAAAACGGGCAGCCCAGAGAACAACTGCAATTGTTCTTCAACCAAGACAACCAACATCTTTACCTGTTCAACACGGTCTAAAGGGCAATCATGGCGTCCGGCAGCATCAGAGCGCCAGACCTGCGTGAGACGCTGGGCTCCGTCTTGCACTCATTGCCTCCAGCAACAATGGCCTCGCAGCCACCAGAGACTATCCTCCCATTCCTCTCCCCTATTCTCAGACAAAGGCTGCAGCTCCTGTCGGCAGCTAGTTCAGACCCATGGATCCGTCTCTTATGCTACGACGCAGCGAATGCGGCCAGACTGGCCGAGATTGCGCAGAGTGATCGCCTAGAACCGCATCCCGTCAGCGGGGAGGTCGAGGTCGATTGGGACTATGACGCCGAGATTCGCTACCGGAGATTAGACGAGGAGACCTTGCAGGCTCTTGCTGTGCTGCAGGAGAAGGAGCTTTCGTTCCGTCTTGTCTATTGTACTGGCGAAGCGGACGGGTGGAAGGTTGGTGAAGTCAGCTGCGCTGAAGGCCCTTCGCCGTTTTCGTCATTTGGAGGAGTGTCGAGTATTGCAGAAGCCGATCGGCAGTTCCAGGAGTCGCAGTCGAAGAAGAAGTCACTGGCGGTGCCACCGCAGAAAACCACTGTGAGCCATGCCGACCAGCCAGAGGATGACGATGACGACGACGACTATTGGGCAAGGTATGATGCCACGCCGGCCCGCACTCCAGCAGCCAACATGTCACCTGCACCAGAGTCTACGCAGGGTAAGACTGCGATGGGCGACGACGACGACTATTATGCCCAATACGACTCGGTTCAGCCCGCAATGGACCCGCACGACCCAGATGAAGAGGCCAACTTGGGCGACGCGGCACCTCCGCCGCTGGGTCTCTCGTCAAGACCGACGCATTCGGCGTTGAACGGCCGCCACGAGGAGGAGACCGAGCTCAACGAAACCAACGGTGCGTGGACGCTTGCCGAACCGCCTAGATCACCGTCAGTCGGGTCCCGGGGCGGCGACGATCCGAAGCTCGTCCATCCTCGGCCGGAATCTAGCGCCAGCTCGAACGCATCAGTTGCAAAGCTCGAGGCGGCAGCTGAGAACTTCGGCGTTCAACAGCACATCTCGAGGAGCATCAAGAGCTTGTACATGTTGTCGCGTGCATCGGGCATTGAACGCGCAGAGTTCGAACTGATTGTCAAGCGAGAACTCGACATGTTGGGGCTCATGGAAGATTGATAAGGCTGTGGACTGAACATAAGGTTGACTGCCCAGGCGTATCTCTGTAACGAATCAGGATGAACATGCTACGATTGGTGGGGAGCTCCGCGGAAAGCGAGAAGGTTATTGGCATCATTGCATTGCACGGCGCAAACAGTATTCGGGTTTTGGTTAGCGAAGCTCAGGCATGGATTACATATGTAGTACCAGGGACTGTATATATTAAGCATGAATATGTTCGATACCTTATCATTAGAAGTGAAATACAACCACGGTGCCCGAGGCGGGTAGGATGAGATATAACTGGCAACCCCCCAGCTCGAAGGGGCTCATGGCCTTAGAAATAAGACGTTCCAAACGAGTTGCTAACGTGGCCTAACACGATTACGCTGATATTGCTCTTGTAGCTGTTAGTTCTCGCTAAGGCAGCTGGTCTTGGATCCTAGTCGGTGATCCCGGTCCTCAGCGCCGGCGATTGACAATAGGTTACCCCGCGGTCAGGTACACTCCGCGAATTTTACCCCTCTGACTCAAAAAAGTTCCCGCCAACAACAGCGTGACTCGACTCAACTTCTGTTGGAGGACCCTGAAAACTTAGAATCCTGTTCACGATAGAATTCGGCTCGCTCGTTGTTTATTTTTTTCACTTCGACTATACCCGTCTCCCTTCCCGTCGGCCAGTCAATTGATCCATAATGACCCCCGAAGAGTCGATCGCCTTGATCAAGGCCAACCTGGCCGAGGTCCTCAACCCCGAGATCATCGACAATGTGATCCTCAACGAGAAGCGGCCGCTAAAGGTCTACTGGGGCACCGCGACCACCGGCCGCCCGCACTGCGGCTACTTCGTGCCCATGGTCAAGCTCGCCGAGCTGCTTGCCGCCGGCTGCCACGTCAAGGTCCTGCTCGCCGATATCCACGCCTACCTCGACAACATGAAGGCGCCCCTCGACCTCGTCGAGCAGCGCTGCAACTACTACGAATACATCATCAAGAGCCTGCTCCGGGCCGTCGGTGTCGATATCGCCAAGCTCGAGTTCGTCAAGGGCAGCTCCTACCAGCTGGACAAGGAGTACACCATGGACCGCTTCAAGCTTGAGGGTATCACCCGGATATCGGTTGCCCAGAAGGCCGGCGCAGAGGTCGTCAAGCAGACTGACGACCCGGCGCTGGGTGGTCTGATCTACCCTCTGATGCAGGCACTGGATGAGCAGTACCTGGACGTCGATGCGCAAATCGGTGGTGTCGACCAGCGGAAGATCTTCACCTTCGCTCTGGAGAACCTGCCGAGGATCGGTTACAAGGCGCGCGCCCATCTGATGAACACCATGGTACCAGGTCTCGGCCAGGCGGCAAAGATGAGCTCGAGCGAGCCCGACTCCAAGATCGATCTGCTCGATGCGCCCGAGGTCGTGGCCAAGAAGCTGAAGAAGGCGCACTGTGCCCAGAAGGTCGTCGAAGGCAATGGTGTTGTCGCCTTCGTGGAGCATGTCATTTTCCGTGTCATGTCTCTGAAGAGTGGAGGCAAGCCGAAATTTGTAGTCAAGAGAGAGCGAGATGGCCTGGAGCCTCTCGTCTATGAGGACATTGAAACTCTGAAGGCAGACTTCGAGAAGGACGTGGTAAGTGATGCCAATTTTATGATCTAGGGAAGAACCAGGAGGCTAACAGCATTTAGTTGACGCCGCAACTGCTCAAGGCTGCTCTGACAGAAGCTCTCAACGAGCTTCTTGCCCCTATCCAAGCCGAGTACCAAGCATCAGAGGATTGGCAGAGGATCAACGAGCTTGCCTACCCCCCGGAGAAGAAGCCCGTCAACCCCAAGAAGGAGAAGAAGGCAAAGGGCGGTGACCCTGAGAAGCGAGCAGCAGCCGAGGCGGCACGAGCTGCGAAGCTGGCGCAGAAGAACGCACCTGAGAGCGCATCACACGGTGTCGAGACGCTGAAGATCGATAGCGAGTCAAAGCCCGAGCAGATCTGAGGATATACCCCTTCTTTCTTTCAGGTTACGGGATTAATGACGCTATGGAATGAAATGCATTTGCTGGAGTTGGTCGATTTTGCGAGACTTAGATCTATTTGGCGAAGGTGTCCATGACTCAAAAAAAGGGATTGCTTGTCTTCAATAACTGTAGACTTGGTGGACATGCTGCGATGTAGCAGCCAATAGAGAAATTTGTCCAGAACCAACCAGCCATCTCGTCATTCGCACTTGGCAGATGGCTTACTACTCTGCCCTACGTAGTAGCCGAAGCACGACCAAACCACTTCCACGAACAGGCGGAAAGGTAATTGCTCCCAAGCTGATCTAGTATTGTCACATCCCAACTTCGCGTCAGCCCTAGGAATTATGTTCGTCCCCGCTGGCCAGCAGCTACTACTCGAGACCTTATATTCGCAATTCTCTTTCGTTCCGTAGGCAAGACGACAACGAGTAAGCAATGATATTATGCATGTCCTGGTGAAGCCAGAGGGGCCAACGGACGATGCAATAGATTCTATTCCAAAAAAAGCTGGACAATGCTCTCCCTGTAAGACTTTAAGGATTCTTGGGATAGCGTTGACTAGATAGATGTTACGTTGTTAACAGGCAGTTAGCGAGAGGTTATTAACGTTTGTTGACTCTTCTTGCACCTCATCCCCTATTGACCATCGTTATCTCTAACGAGAATGTAGCGCATGGGTTCGGGAGAGTTTGGTTTCGTCAAGTTATAACGGCACTAAAGAGCACAGAAGCCCATGATAGCAAAGGTGCAGGATTGACTCAGTTTCACTCAGCTGGATGAGTGCTGAGGTTGATGAAGTCGAGAAGTCTAGTCAGGAGGAAAACGGTACCTGGGTACCAGGTCCTCAGTCCGAGCTTCCGCCGCGATATTGGCCAATCACAGCCCGCACCCTGGCCGGTTTGAGCGCCAGATTTTGTGGGCCCATCCGAAGGTATCGCATCGGGGTGCAGATTGAAAAAAAGTCGAAGCTCGCGCGACATCACTTCGAGCTCCTGGTGTTGAGGCGCGCCAGTCGGATTCTTCCACCACAACACAACCACACCATGTTCCGGACAAGATTAAGGATACCGCGGGTCAGCCTGCCCCGGCAGCGCCCGGCCGCGGCCGTCTTCCGCCGCTCTCTGCACGATGTGCCCACCGTCGGCTACTCAGGAGCTGAGGGCATCCCCGGCCTGCTGTCGCCCGACGGCTTCGACCTCGCCTACACCCAGTACATGCAGTTCGTGACCGAGAAGCTCAATTCTCTCATCGCAGGTAGGAGGACCCCTTCGCGTCGCTGTCGGCGTCGGTCTACGTTGGTGGCCCGGGAGCATTGTGGTGGCTGAACTTGCTGCAGACACGGATCTCGAGAGGATGGAGACGAGGCACATCATCAGCAGAACCGCCCGCGAGCCGTCGCAAGCGCCCATCTTCAACTACGCCTCCATGGCCTTCAACAACCACTTCTTCTTCAAGAACCTCAAGCCCAAGGAGGACCCGAGACCTGACGGCTCCGATGCCCCCAACCCGATACCCGAGAAGCTCAAGGCGGCCCTCGAACTCTCCTTCAGCTCCATGGAGACGCTGCGCCTCGAGATGACCCTGACCGCCAACGCCATGTTCGGCCCCGGCTTTGTGTGGCTTGTCAAGCTCCGCAAGTCGGACCAGTACCGCATCCTGACCACCTACCTGGCTGGTTCGCCGTTCCCTGACGCACACTGGCGCCGCCAGGGTGTTGACACCAACACCGTCTCGGGTCCTTCCTCGTCTGAGCAGGACAACGTGGCACAGCAGTTCTTCGGTCGCTCCCAGCTCGGTGCCGGAGCCGCCAATGGCTCCATGTGGGCCAAGAACCAGGCCCCTGGTGGCATCGACGTCACCCCCATTCTGTGCCTCAACACCTGGGAACACGTGTGGCTCCGAGACTACGGCATCGGCGCCGGTGGCTACGGCGGCAAGAGACTGTACGTGGACAACTGGTGGCAATGCATCAACTGGGAGAACGTGATGGAGGCTGCGCAGCTCAGGGACAGGAACTTGTATGCCTCGAAATAGAGCGGTGGTTGGAGCACAGTGACCGAAAATATGGTCTGTACAATAGACAATTGCGCGAGGATCCGCGCTTCTTGGTCTTGAGACCTTGTGATATAATAAAACTGTACTAAGATGTACTATACCTGCTTTCCTGTACTGTCCAATTTTCGCAGTGACCATTTCTACGTAGAGCGTGACCACGTATCTTCTGTAGTCGGATAAACCAGTAACTGACTCAGTAGATGCTCGGCTAGCATGTATAAAGCACCATAGGAATTTGCCAGTATATTGAGGTGACAAAGATATTGTCTTGTACACGGCCATTGTTCACCATTGTCTCAACGAATACCAATCTCCTTGTCATGCGTGGCTGACATAGAACACTCTCTTTTGACTTCTAGAAAGTGGCGAGCTTGATCAGTCTATCGCGACGACTGTATATAAAGGTTGGTCCTAGGTAAGTGTTCCACCGCCCTCAAACGTCCGTCATTTGGTGATAAAGTCGACCATGGTCAGCCGAAACCGTCGAGGATCGCAGGCGCGCCGTCGCGCCTGCGGGCCATCGTCGTCATTTTCGTGTCCTGCTGGGCCGGCTAGAAAACATGCTGTCCTTCCGTCCCCTGTGGCGATGTCCATGCCCTCCATCCCGTTCTCCTTTCCCTCTTCCGAACCCTCCTCTTCTTTTCATGTATCTGCACGGCAACACAGGAGACAGGAAGCACCGGCGTGGCGGACCACAGCGATCGCCCATCAGCCTTCTGGTGTTCCCCGGCGCAGGTCGTTGCAACTCTCCAGGGCCAGTAGAAACAACCAAGTCTGGGCATGGCTGGCACAGCAGGACATGGTAGAGCAGCTGCCACCAGAGCAACCATATAAGGCAGACATCGCAGGCACAGACCTGACGCTGCCTCCTTTACGGCTGACTGGGAAGCCGCCGCTCCTTCCGGCGGTGGAACCCAAGACAGGCACGACGCTCGAGCTGTGTGAACCGCAGCCGGGCCACGGGACCAATCCACTGGGGTTCATCACGTGGTTTTGAGGTAGGTTGAAGGAGTAAGAACTTGGAGATGGGGTGAACAAAAAAGGGTAAACCCCTCATGGAGGTTGGACGGTGAGTAGAGAGCATGTGAGATATGTGCTTATAGTGTTAGAAACGATATTAAGGGCCGTCTCCTTACCTTAACATGACATACGCATGTGGTTGCGTTCGATGTCTTTAAGGCTATTACAGATATATGTGAGGCTTGAACAAGTCGAGACCAATTTTTATGGGCATTAATCTTAATTCAGGATCACGCGTACAGATACGAAGAGTTTGTGGCGTGAGATGAGCGAACCCCAAGAACCATACTGCACTGAGTGAAGGCGTCATCTTAATTCAGCTCACAAATAATTAGGAGACTCATCACACTTGCATGTAATTAAAAGAATTTGTGGTACTGATCAGCTTTATTTACTGTGTATAAGGAGTGTGGTGACACTATATCTGCCTATATTCATTCATTTCCCAAACCCCCTCATGCAAGCTCATCAAAGCCGCAACCAGAGCGGCTCGCCAACAAAGAGAAACAACAAATCAACGCAACGGCTCATGCAAGGTCATGAATCAAAAGTGGTATCAAATAGCCCGTCCCATGCGTCCGAATATGCGACTCAGTGCTCGAGTAGAGGGTCTTGGGGGATATCAAGAACAAAACAAAAAAGGGAGAGTTGCCGCGCGGCAGTGGAGATGTATATATAGAATGCGAGTAGAGTAGGAGAAGGCCCTAGATCATGTTGCCGTTGACACTGACCTCGAAGCCCTCGCCCTTCTGCTTGAGGGCCTTGGCGAGCATGAGCTCGCGCATCCAGTCGATGCGCTCGTCGCGGCTGCGCACCGCAAAGTGGTGCGTCTTGCCGGTGCCGTTGACGCTGCCCTCGAGCCCGGCCGTCAGCGGGCCGGACCCGATGCTGGCGCTCTCGCGCTTGCGCAGGCGGGCGCCCACGACGCCCTCGCGGCCCTGCGGGATCAGCTGGAAGCTGAAGGCGGCCACGGGGTCGTCCTTCTCCTTCGAGCTGCCGCGCGAGATGCTCATGGCCTTGAAGGCGGCGTTGAGCTTGCTCGAGGCCAGCGCCGAGCACGCGATGGCGTAGTCGTCGATGTCGACGTACTCGAGCGTGCGCTCGCGGCTCGCGGCGTCCTTGTGCAGCGCCAGCCGCGTGCCCTTGAGCGTCGCGTAGTGATCATGCCACTCGTGCCGCAGCATCTTGGTCTTGCGCTTGCGCACGGGGCCCTGGTACGTGACGCCCTCGGCATCCTTGATCGTGCCGTCCAGGCCGCCGACGGCGGACTGGGCCTGGGACCAGGGATACTGCGCGCGAGGAGGTGCCTGCAGCGGCTGCTGAGGGCGACCGGCCATCCTTGGCGGCGTTCTCTGCGGCGACTTGGGGGATGTATTGGCGCGCTGCAAGGGAGTTCGCGCGATAGGAGTGGTGATGTTTTCCTCAAGAGGTGCCATGACTTGGAAAGAGGGTCGACGGGATGCTCGTGACATTGACCTTACTGGTATCGCCGTTGGAACTCGATAGCCCATGTCAGGGGGCACTGACTGGGAGGCATCGCGAGCAACTGGACCGAGCGGCACAGCGGTCACAGGTACATCCATATCAGAGAAGGGAGTGCCAAAGCGATAGGGTGCCACAGGAGTTTGCAGGTCTGGCGAGAGTGCTTCGGCTCTGTCCATTCTGTAGGGAGTGAATGACTGTTGCAGGTTAGAGGGCCGGTATGACTCCTTCTGAGTTGTTTGTTGTCCCGGAATGGACAGCTTTGGAAGCCTTCGCAGCCCTTCGTGTGGTGCTTGAACACCCGGGTATAGTTCGAAAGGAGGTGTGGGCGGGACATCGCCAGTACAGCCACGGTCTTGGAACTCCAAGAACTGGCGGACATTGTCCTGAGGGTCCCTTGCTTGAATATTGCGGAGAGTAGCTTCTTGAAGATATTGGAAAGGGCCGATGCCGGGTCCGGGTCCCAAGACGTCGGAAGAGGCAACAACTGAGGGCACGGCATCCGACATGGGCCGGAGCGCTTCGGTAGAGGAGGGACGGTTGAGAGCCGGGGCATTCGCTGCGTTCCCCGGGTCACCTGCGACAAGGATGACTCCGCCTTTTGTATCTGCGAACGGGTGCTCCTTCATGAACTGTTCGATAAGACGTTGCTGTTTCTTCCAAGTCTTGCAGTTTTCACCCTTGGAGCACTTGTGAGGCTTGGGCATCACCTGCTCAATGCCTACAATGGAGACAGACTCGAGGGGTGAGATGATGTCCTCATGGGCGGGCTTATTCGTGCGCTTCTTGCTGGCACCACGTCGGGGGCGTACATCATCCTCATCCTTCTCCATCCTCTTCCTCTCCTTTCTGACTTCCCTGCTCTCTTCATCCTCAATCGGTGTGTCCGGCCGTGGGCCCTCAGCCTCCATATCTCGCAGTCTGCAGATGTTGCTCCATATTGTCGTCCTCAAGCCGAAGGACTGAATGTTAAGCTCCTTGAGGTCTTCAAACTTTAAAGTGATCAAGATAGCGCCGTTGATATCGTTGTCAATGAAGTTCTCAGCAACAGAACCCTCAACGCCGGCATTGAGCATCCATTGTGCGACCATTTCCGGCGACCACGACGCCAGCTCATTCTCATCCAGTTTCTCGCGGGTGAACTGAAAAGGACTGCTTCGTGACCGAGGAAGTAGAGCATCTTGCGCAAGGTGGAAGCGGAATTCCGTTTCTACTGGTCTGGGCGCCTTGGGTGTTATTGGAGAAAGCGATAGTGCGTCTTGTAGATCGATCGAGTGCGTAGACGCTGCAGATGAGCGGAACAGATGTGGCCCCGTTGGCCCCTGGATTGCCTTTAATGGATCATAATCGAAGGGAAATGCCGCGCGAGTCCTGCTCGACCTGGGCGTTTGTGCCTCCTCGTACGAAGAAAGGGTGGTTACACTCTGCTGACCCGACTATTATAGTGTTAGTAGTGAATATGCTCATATAGTGCTTCCAAAACTCCAGCGGGGTCTACTTACTGAATTTAAGCTCACTCGGGGCGAATTTGCATCATCATCTTCAATCTCGCTAATTATGTCCTCATCGTCCCAGTCCGTGTCTACAATCTCAGTAGCGATCGAGCTCGGCCGTGGCTCCGGGCCTCTCATGCCGAAGAAAGAGTCGTGAAGGCGAGACTTCTGTTGCATTTCCTGATGCGACCGCTCCGCCATTCGGACTGAATGATAGGGATCCTGTACGGTAAAGTCAGCCGACAAGTGTTCTTCTGGGGATGAACTATTTATTGCGGTTTCCGTACCATACTCAGGAGCTGGGATTTTTTTTTCGCTCTATGTGAATAGGCTTTTGGGTTTTAGGCCGTCGCCGGCTCGCCGCTGTGTCTAGGCCCGATAGTATCTGACTCAGGCTTGTAGGAAGGCGAAACAGGAGCGGCTTAGTATAGGCAAGAAAAAGAACTAACGTCGCAAAAAGGGAAAGAGGGGTTTGAGAAACAAGTGCGGGCGCTTGCGGATTGTATATGTATGAGGCTGGGTATAGGAGGTTCACGGCAGGAATCTCGTGCTGCAAGACCGGCAGCAAGAACGTTGGACAATAGCGTGGAAAGTAAGTTCGAGGTCGGATAATGCCACGATGTGATTTGTTTCTTTGGTCCCTTCGCATATCACAGTCACTGCATCTGCAGCGTGGAGCATGGAGCGCACCCTGCCAGCCTGGACTTACAGTGGTCCTTCCACTAATAATAGCCTGGTGCAACTGGGAAAAGCAGCCGGCAGCAGCATGTCTGAGCGGTAAACGAGCCAGAATGAAAAGGGTGGTTGGACAGATGCGATTCGTTGGAAAGATGTGCATCAAGCCACCTTGAGCCGTGATTGGGTGCGAGTCTCTGGAGTACATAGTCGAGGAGTACATAAAAGTCATCTAAGCGCCGGATTGTTCGACAAGGGGGGCCCCCCTGTCACTGGCCTGCCATACTCTTCCGCGTGGTGTGACCATTCTCGACTTGGACGGCTTTCAACGTGGTCTTGAACACCGCATCTCACCAACTTGCCGCACATTTACTCTACTGGCCCAACAGCCCCCAAGGCCAGAACTGCCGTGGAATGTCGCGTTAATTTAATCAACGTGGGCGGCCGTGGGGTGCACAAGTCCATTTGGATGCTGCTTTTGTCACTCAAAACTGTTCATGCGTACGCAGAGCAGCACGCTAAGGTGGCTTGAACGGGGTTGGGATTCTCTACACCGCGGTCTGCTTCACCTCCTCGTTCGTCGAAAGCACAACGCCAGCCCAGACTTGCATACTAGACTGTGCTGTGAAGAACGACAGGGGTGAGGTTGGGTTTTGCCGGCCAGACGAAGAGATAGGCCGACCGGATCTTGTCGGGTGCAAGCATACCTCAACGACTAGCGGAAAGGGAAGATCCCATCCTCGACAGGGGTCGGTTAGTGCCGTCTCCACCTGCCTTCACAGGTACCGTGGCTCGAGATCGCTGCTGACTGCAGCTCTGGGGGCCGGCATTGGGGGGCAGTCAGATGTACCCCTCATCTTGTGGCATGTCATGAACGCAGAGGATTGGTGCTTCTCGTGGTTACACGAGATATCGGAAACCATGGATCGGGGTAGGCTGCAAGCCTCCTTCCGAAAGACGTTCCAGGAGGACTTACACGACTCGCGCGAGACAATAGGCTCCTCAAATCTCAAGGAACGGTCCGGCTGACAATACTGACTGGAGTCGAGACCACAAGTCTCTTGAGGAGGCAACGGGCCGACAGTTGACCGTTGGACAAATCGTATACCGCTCCTCAAGTCACGGGGTCTCGATTGTTCGAGCCGAGCTCCGAGACCCAATGAAACAGTAACTGAGACTGTCAACGTGACTGGAAGTGCGGAGGCTCCAGCCACTTGCCAGCGCCATAGACATGCTGTAAGCAAGCATCCGACACCAAGCCTGCGTGGATGTCTTAGAGGGTAACTTTTGCTCTGCATTCGTTCTGTGCAGCCATAGTTTCTGGAAGTTCGACGATGCTACGCGTGGCACTCGCTGCTAGACTGGGGGAATTCCTGTTTGAGGATAAGACTCGAGGCTGGGAGTTCAACGACTGGCTCGAATGGCACTTAGTCTGCATATGTAGACGCAGTGTGATCCCGTCCTTGCAGGATGTACGTACTATGTAGGCAATCACTCCGGAGTCCGTAGACGATGTCAACTAACCCAGCCAAGACTAGATTTTTCGGTCAAAGGACGTACATCAGAGTTACACGATTGACCGTTGTCAAGCAGTGTCATGTGGTCTAGAGTATGTAAACCCCTATTAATGTCTTACTACTAATGAGACAGTTGACAACGTGCGAAACGGCCCAGGTCCCGGTGGGGAATCGGGATTCCTCTCAATACCATACTAGAAGGGAGCCATGCCGATACGAGGTAGCAGAGCCCTGGCTCACAATCGAAGTTGCCCCGGAACCACTCGTTGCGGCCAAGTCCCGTCCACACTCCATTCTCGAGCTTTGCTCTACAGTAGGACAACGACCTAGTCTCGGAGAATATGGCTTATCACTACTTTACCACAGTATCCAGCTTAACCGACCATGCGCATTGTCCAATGAGGCGCTCAATATGGCATTGCAATGATGAGATCCCACAATGTTACCGCACCTGTGGTTGTGGGTGGCCAGATTCTGCGACCCTCTGGCAGGATTGAGATTACCATACCAATTGACCTGTCCCCAGGTCGCAATTGACATATCAAGAAAACGAGCCCTGCAGGGCCAATGCACCCCTCCCTTACTGAGATGGGCTGAAGACTATTGCAGTGGCCTGCGGGTTTTTCGCATTTAATCGGGAGCCGCAATAACCAATCCGCAGTGTTGATCGTACCATTACTGGCAGCATTCTTGCAGATTAGATGTTGAGTTGAGCAATAATCACAATTTTTCAATCTCTCGAACTCCACTTATCAAGTGTGATGACGAGGGTATCCAAAGTTTGTCACCGGAATCACGGACCAGGACGAGGGTCTGCCTGCCTAGCTGATCGGATGATGATATGCATCCGGTTGCTTTGATCAATCTCAGCCCCGGCCGGTTGTTGGCTTGGGAAACTCGGGATACCTGGGGCTGATGCCCACCAACCCGCTTTGCACACTCGTTAATCCTCAGCGTACAAGGTTGTTTTCCCCAAATCGAACAGAAAGCCAAGACCGTACTGCCACAGCGTTACGGCTCGATTCTATCAGCTGTGTATGCTTATAAGCGATGTCGGGAACAAAGGCGAGCATGATGCTCCCGACTGCATAGCCAATCTGGGTGCGCCATGCCAGTTGGTTCCCTGGCTGGACGATCAAAAGAACCGAGAGAGGTCGCACGGCTTGTTATGCGTTCCACGCATGAAGTCGAGTTATGGTTGCGTGCTGTGCAAGGCAATCCGGTAGGGCTTTACCTACGACGCAGATCCTTCCTGCGGTCCAAGGGGCAGGGAGCGCGAGAGCACTGCTAACGACATGGATGCGGGATAAGCGGGAGTGTTGACAAGGTGCTGGAGGAAAATCGTCAACATGCCTCCACAGCAATCCTCCGCCGCGTTTCTGGGTACTGAGGTACATCACCACCCGGGACCGGGTCAGGTGAGAGAAGTGAGTGCAGGACAAATGTGAACAAACGACGCCATAATTAGCCCGCTTGCAGACAATATTGGGCAAATTCAAAAATAGCCTGGTGTTGGTCCGACGTTGCAGGACGACGTGTGATTCTAAGCGCCCGCCGCGTGACTGCGTCGACAGCTGGTGCTGTCCACGACGACTTAAGTGGGTTAATTATAGAAGATGTGCCAAATTAGCCCAGATAGCACACCTTAGCCTGCCTAGTCTCCAGGGGCCTGTTCCCCCCGTGGGCTAACCCGACTCGTTAGTCGTGCTAAGGAGCTCACGAGGGAGCTTGGGCCATAGCTTCAATATCCTTGTAAGTCCTTGCATATACGCTTGACCTCTTGGGGGGGCTCTGGATCATGGGTGCTTGAGCAATGATTGCAGAACGACCCTGAAGCCGTCCCTTGGCGGCAGGGGTTGTGAGCAATAGCCGGGGACACAGACAGTTGGCGCTAGTACAAAGTCCCGGCCTTGTGTGATGATTGGCCGCATACCAATCCTTGCGGCCCCCCCTCTCAGGCTCAAGCCCGCCCCCTGGCCCCTGGACACAAGCCAATCTGCAGTCGGAACCCGTTCTTCATCACACTCTCCACAGCAAACTAGGCACTCGGTTGGTCCCGCTTGGGGCGCTAATGCGGCAGCTTGATATGAGGGAAACCTCGAATCACCGAATCCCAATGACATTCTGCCAAAAGGCATAACAATGCGACCAATGCTGGCCCGGCATGGGGGCTGCTGTGTGGCTCTCGAGGCCCGTCGGGACAGCAGGGCCTGGTGCGCAAGGCGTGACCTTTCCCGTGGGCATGTGCTCGTGCCACCAAATGAGCGTGGGCAATACTTCCTCCTATCAGCCTCTGCACCCTCGCTCCTCAGGTATTCGACAGGGTCGAGAGGACCCCACAGTACCTTGCAGGGTCCTCCCATTCACAGTCGCAACGGGCCAACCTTGCGGGAAACTATGGGCCTCGCCGGGTAGACACCCACGATGGGGACAGCTACTGGCTCGCTCGACAACCAATCTGATGGACAAAGGCCACTTTCTGGGCACAATTGGTGGGTTCCCCATTGTTGAGGAGTCATTGTCTCATCTGGGATCTCCTGTTCTAGTCTTCCGAACTCGCACTCAAGAAATCCAGACTTTCGAATAGAACAAAGATGGACGACCATTCTCAGGGGTTTGCTTTGAGCCATACGACGAGGTGCTGTCCGCATGGAGGAGGACTCGGAGTGTGATTGGGCTTGGCTTTTCGACAACCGTACCGGGTGTCTGACATGCAGCTGCGCAATCAATATCAACAACCGTGCGTAGAATGCTTATGATCGATGCAAGGGTAGTAGCTTTGCGATAGGGTTCACACCAGTAATTACTGGTGGAGTTAACTCGCGATCCTTATCGTAAAGCAATTAGGGAGGGCTGAAGACTACTGTGGTAGACTACAGCACGACCGGTACATGCACGAGTGACATGACGAGTCATTCAGTACTGTATAGAGATCCGTTAAGTCGTGGGTGTGACAGGCTACAAGCCCTTTCGGCCGAAAAATATAGACCGACCAACATAGAGCAATGTAAACATTGACACCTCCCTCCTCATCTCGTCGGCAGGGCATTCGGGTGCTCTGCCTCACCTAGGGGTTAGCATGATCAGGCCCATCAGTCCCTTCTTCTGGGTCAGATGTGGTGCCCTACGCAGGAATTACTGCTTCGCACGCAGCCAAGTGGTGATGATGATGTGATCAGAGCAGCGCTTTCGTACTAGTATTAGCTTACGGCCGGGTTGCCAGATTCTAATGATCTTTGACGATCCGCTTTCATCCCAACAACGGTTGCAGTGTAGACAGGCTGACCCTGGACGGGGCGGCCAGGGTCGATATGCAAGTGTTGGGCGGGCATGTGTGCCCTGGCTCTTGCATAGTGCATCACGGTGAAGCGGGCTGTTGTCCTAGTGGCCAGTCAGCCACATTCTCCAGAGCTGCCCATTTGGTCGCTCAACGTCGTCAACAACCCCTGTCGGCTCATCCCTGTCGCACCTTGCATCCGCGAGTGACACCGAGTAGTACAATGGGCTTGTATTGCTATTCTCGGGTGGGGTTGGTCCATTCTGGCCCCCATTGACGTGAGTCGACCGTGGGCGGCCAGCCTCATTGGAGCCTGTAAGCGCATACCCGGCCCATTCATTCCCAATTTGGCAGTCGAGATCCTACGTGTGTCTGCAGGTTGCTAATTAGGCCCGCAGAAAACATGGGTTAAAAAAGGAATTACCCCAAATTATTGACTGGTAAAAATAGAAGCACCATCATCGCACAGGCAGACCGCCAGGCCGGATAGGTGGTGGTCGTCGACATGGCGGCCACGATATAAGTGCTTTGCACCTCCAAGACGAAAAACGGTTTCCTGAAAATGTGAAGTAGAGCAGAAGATTCAAGTGTCGTCCCTTTGTCCTCCTACGGCTTTCTCTCTCACTCCGTCCGCCCCCTCCTCCTCGACTCTCCTCCTGACCGAAACTCAAGCCAACGTGAAAGGCAAGCTGGACTTGCTTGGATCCTGTCATTCATTCGACGAGACAACATAATTAGCATAATTTCTTGACACCGACCCCCGATACTCCCTCGCACGCAACCGACTGGGCTTGCCCGTCATTTCCACCCGAGGTCGATTTTCCCCCGAACTACTCGAGTTAAGGGTATTCTCAGCTACTACTGGTGCTTGTACACCCTAGCGAACTCGACCTAGACGTGGACCCCTGGCTCGCCTAGTCTCCTCCCGCTTTCGCTCGGCTTGTGGACCAGCATCACCCCCGCCAATTGCTCGCAGTTCACCTCCAGCACTAGGGTACTTGCAACCCCCAGGGCAACAGATACAAATGTCAACACTACCCCCCAACCCTCGAGGCAACCTCACGAGAACAGCACCCGTCAACATGGCTGTCGCACAACCTGCAAAGTCGAAGGCAACTTCGAAGAACACAACCAACAATGCCAACTCAAAGACAAAGACGCAGATGCACCGCCGCTCGAGGACAGGTTTGTACCCCCCCGACCCTCCTACGCCCGCCCGTCCGCTCCACTTACACGGCGCCCACTTACACGGCAGCCACTAGTTGGTGCAAGTCGAAGAACTCGAATACTAACCAACGTGTTAAATCTATAGGCTGCTATACTTGCAGATTACGGCGGAAGAAGTGCGACGAAGGCACCCCCATGTGCACAGCATGCAAACACCTCGGACTTGTTTGCGAATACAAGCGGCCCATGTGGTGGGGCAACAACGATGCCCGCAGACAGCACAAGGACGACATCAAGATGATCATCAAGCGCAAGAAGCTCTCGGAGAAGTCGTCACACACTATCCAGACCTCGGTCGGCTCTATTGGCTCACCTCCGGGCCTGTCGCACTCTCTGCCAACCTCTGCGACTTTCTCGGATCCGTTTGATCGCACGAGATCCGCGTCCATCGACTCGCACTTCTCCTTCAACAACTTCAACAGCTCACCAAACATGCCCGACTATGGCGTGTACAACCCCCAGATCCACCACACACACCCGGACTTCATGTTCACCATGTCGCCGTACGAGATTGACGTGAAGACCGAGCGCCAGATGTTCGTCAACGATGTGCCCACGATAAAGGAGTCTACGGTGTCGACCTTCAGCACTTACCACACGCCACCGCCGCCAGGCACTGTCTTGTCGTCTTACCCCTTTGACGGCGAATGGACCGAACAAGTATATTCGGAGAGACGGGAGTCCCTGAGCGAGGAAGCCTTGAACCCCAACTTCTTCGATTTCTCGCATGGCCCAGCCATGACCTCGAGACAGGTTGATATTGAGCTGGAAGAGGGTGACCAACGCCTCCTGGATCACTTTATTCAGCACGTGCTCCCCACAATCTTCCCTATCCTCGAGTCCAACCAGCATGGCTCTGTCGGCTCGGATCTGGTTCTGCCTGCGCTCCAGAGCAACAAGGGATACCTCCACTGTTGCTTGATGATCGCTGCTCAGCACTACAAGGCCACCATGAACATTCAGTCCGAGGAGATCGACAACGACATCATGCGACACCGACATGCGACAATCCTGGCACTGTGCGATGCCCTGAACCGGGATGAGAACCACCAGCAGATTCTTGAGGCGACTCTGGGCCTGATCTTCTTCCAGTGCTGCGTCGGCCGCTACGATGACTCTCTTCCTGACATCCCATGGCACCAGCATTTCCAGGCTGTCAACTCCCTGGTCACCAAGCTTGATCTCCCGCGCCTGGTTTCCGACCCCTCAGAGACCTTGGCTCAGACTCCGTTCAACATGACCTTGACCGCTTGGATTGATATCCTGGGAGCAACCATGCAAGGTCGCGCTCCGATCTTTGCGCACACCTACCGCGAGAAGCACCTCTCACAAGGCAGCTCTTCGCTCGGTCTGCGCGAGCTGATGGGCTGTGATGACAAGGTCATGTACTTGATCTCTGAGATCGCATGTCTGGAAGCCCTCAAGAGGGAAGGACTGGATGACATCACTATCTGCCAGCATGTGCATGCCTTGGGCGACCAGATAAACCTGACCGAAGTCGGTGAGACTGGACCCAAGATGCCCTTCAACGCCAACGGCTCCCTGAGCCCGAAGCAGTTGAGCCGCAACATCACTGATGCCTTCCGCCTCGCAGCTCGCATCTACCTGTGCAGCCTGGTCCCGGGTTTCTCGCCCAGCCAGTCCAGCTGCATCGGCTTGGTTGAGAAGTTGACCCACGTGCTTCAGCACATCCCCTCTGGACCTGGCGGCTTCGACCGAAGCCTTTCCTGGGTCTACTTGATCGGTGGCTCGGTCAGCGTGGCCGGGTCCTCCTTCCGCCAATTCTTCAGCGACCGCATCGCCCAGCTTGGCGATGCGGCCAGCTTTGGCAGCTTCGGTGGCGTTGTCTCGATCTTGCAAGAGGTCTGGCAGCAGACCGACAGCTTCCAGCCAAGTCCCAGCGCTACGGGATCAACGGAGGTTCCATACATCTCCTGGAGAGATACGATGCAAATGAGGGGGTCTGACTACCTACTGATCTAATCGCTCCGATCCTTTCTCCAGCCGGTCTGGGGAGGTCGACGATAGATCTGAGGGAGCCTTGTCTCCTCACTTGCATCGGCCCTTCCGTAGGTGATGCAGGCTTTCGCCGTCCCTTCTCGCAGACCTTGGCTGGTCGCCAATTTTTTCTTTGTTTTCTTGCACTTAATACCCCATCGTATGGACATACTATAGAGATGATGCCGCAAGGCACGTGGGACGACACTTGTGTTCGAACTTATTCATGGGCAGCTGGGCTGGGTTGCCATGCTGGGCGGAATGATCATGCATTATGGCTCATGAGGGGGATGGATTCCTCTATTTCCGATTTCACTACACTATCTCTTTTTTCTCGTCATACCTCAACATTCCTTTCCCCTCGGTCTACCAGTGCATGCATTTGGTCTGGAGTTATCTTGGAATACCACTTTTGGGTTTGGGGTTGGGTTGCATGGCTTGGACAGCCTGGGCGATACAGGGCCCCTGGAGCGGATGATGGAGCTACGATCTGACAGCTCGCAATTACTATACCCTCTCGTCGAGAATACTCCGAGAGCGATGACATAATAGTATTATACCCAAATGAAAGAACTTATTCAAAATCACTACTGCGTACACTCCCCTGCAACATGGTTGACAACCTGATAACTGAATTTGACAATATGTAATTAGTGCGCAGTTGTCTAGATGCAACGGCCTTTTCTCGTTATCAGACAAAATCTGAGGCTGGTCGCGATTGACCCTGTTCAAAGTACACGAGAAAATTGAGACAATACAAGCTGCAGACGAATCACCGCCCAGAAAGCTCTATACCGGGCAAGCCCGAAGCGGTGAATGCTTCACGGCTCCGGATCTTCGGGTCATGTGCCCAACGCGACAACGAATCGTGAGTCAGCATTTCACAGTGAGGCAAAGGCCCTGTCTTTCACGGATTCCGATAGAGCCAATCTGACCGCCGAGTGGTAAATCAACCCTGGATTGAAGCCCGGGTTGACTCGGTGTAGTTCACCCCGCCGGCGAAACCCAGGGGCTGGGCCCAGATGGCTCCGGGGTGGAAACGAAAATGCCTTACTCGACGGGCGGGTTTCCTATATCGGCAATGAGAAGCAAAAGCAATCCAGAAACCCATCGTGAATCAGGCAAGCCGCAGGTTTGTGGCTTCGACTTCCCGTGGCGATCAACGCGTTAGGCTTGTCGGCCTCATCCATAACTCGTGCGAACAGCGTTGAATGACGTGTCTAAGGCTTTTCGCATGCCCTAGGCGAGCTGAGCAGCAGGCAGCAGGTCCTCCGGCTACTCCAGCGTCCGAGGTCGCAAGCCTCGACCAGCGCTGCACCTAAGCGGTCTCCGGTGGCGATTCACTAAGGCCCTGACCGCAAGAACAGTCGGAGGCTAGAGACCTTGTTTGCGACAGCAAACAATGCAGCGAGACACTGGTCACGAGTCGGCCTTTCAACCTGCCGCATTCGATGCCGAAGATCACAGTTCCAATGTTGTAACGACGATCAGCCGATGCACAGCTACATTGGTGAATGCCCGAAGAGCCTTTCGGGCTTGTTTAGCAGCGTCGACGGTGCCAAACGGAAACATGCAAGGAACGACAGGGATGCAGCTGCTGGGGCGCGCAGCCAATCAACAGCGCACTCTGCGCCCAGATGCGCTTAATCTGAAGACAAAGGGCAGAAGCCAACCAACCTAGCGTCGTCGTGCTCCTCCCTCTCCATCCGCACCCGACGCCAGTCCTGTAACCGCCCAGGAGAGAAGCGCTTCACGACGACCTCTCGTTCCCACGGCGGCAAGACTGTTCAAGACCTGCACTGCCTCACCTCCCAAGCGACCGGCCTCGATCGACCCGTCCAGAGTCGCTCGCCATGGCAGGGTGGATTCGACGCCTAATCTCGCCCCCCCAAAGCTGGGTTAAAGATATCCAGTCGATATAGCAGCATTTAGCCCAATTTCGCCGGACCCTGTGTGCGCGACCGCATCGTGCGGCCCATTCGTTGGGTGACAGATTGCAGCGCTCTAGTCAAGTGACTTCATGGCTGTCAAAAGCCTGAAAGGTCAGCCGTTAGAATCGAACAATAGTCGAACGGGGTTTGGGAACAAAGAAACAAAGTTGGTGTCCCAGAACCTCGTCATTCGTGTCGCGTTGTCAGGTAATATCGATTCACTTGTTTCGACCAAGGTCTCTTACACCTTCAGAGTCTCAACGACAAGCGTCCTTCATTGTCTCTTAGTGACTCGCTCTCCTGGGCACTTCTTAAAGGGTCTCTCCTATCCTTTTGCCTACGATTGTCTATATGTCTCCTGTGTGAATGGCGCTTTCTCTGTCCCCGAACTAAGACATACGTATCTCGAATATTCTCGACCTAATACGTTTTCCTGCCCGAGTAATAACGGTGGATATCCGTTTACACTATCGTACTATCAACACCTGAACGCCTGGCCTATACTGCTACACGAGCAAACAAACAAATAATGACGATATCTAGAGGTGCGCTGCGGGCCTGGCTGCTCGCAGCAACCCTGTCAGTTTCTATGATCATGCCCACACGGGCAAGCGAACTCTTTGAGAGGGATGGCACCTGCGCGGCAAATTGGTCTAAATGTTCGCAGTCTGGGTTGCCGGACAATTTCTGTTGCGCCGCGAAGAACAAATGCATACCTCTGGCCGGCGACACCACGATACTGTGCTGCCCAGAAGGCAGCGACTGCAACATCATCGAGCCAATAGTATGCAACGTCCAGCTGCAGAACGCAACGACGAACCCAGAGGCAGTCATCAAAACCACAGCACTAAACAGCCAGCTGCCAACGTGTGGAAACTCTTGCTGCCCGTTTGGGTATTCCTGCGAGGACAGCGACGATGGCAAGATCTGCGTGCAGGACGTGGATCAGAGCCAGAAGCCCGCAGAGTCTGGCAGTGGCTCATCAGCTACATCGACACATACGTCTTCTTCGCCTGCAACTTCGACCGGAGCCCCGGCTGCCTCCGCCACCCACTCGAACGACGGCAGCATAACCTCTCCAGAAGCACCGGCCGGTGATGTGAATGAGCCCGCGCCGGAAAACGGTGCCAACGTATCGGCCATCGCCGGCGGCGTAGCCGGCGGTATCGTGGGCCTTGCGATCGTCGGCGTCATCATCTACGGCTGCGTGGCACGGCGGAAGAAGAACCAGGCTGAGTCCAAGCGCCGCCGGGAGTCGGACCGGTCGCTGGTGTCGGAGGACGCGCTGAAGATCTCAGCGCCCATGCCCAACCAGCAGTATAATAACCTGGGGCGGTCCGACTTCATCGCGCGGACCAACGCGTCCGCCCAGTCGACCCCGTCCGCGGCCAATGAGGGCGGCTTCCAGAGACACCCCCAGCACCACCACAACCACCACCGCAGCAGCAACCCCTTCTCCAACACGTACAGCATCGCCGAGACGGAGCGCTCCGCGCCCGACATGGACGAGCGCAGCTACCACGCCTCGGCCATCATCGACGGCCTCTACAGCGAGTCGGCCTCGCCCAGCTCGGGCCGCCGGCGGCCCGAGGACGAGTTCGAGGATATCAACATCTTCGCCGACCCCCTGACGGTGCCGGACTTCACCGTGGGTGGGGCCGCCCGCCCGCACACGGCCATGACGAGGTGGTCGCACCTGCAGCAGCACGCGGAGCAAGGGAAGCAGTAGCCTTGGCTAGGGCTGTTCTGTGTTAAGGGGAGGCAACACGCGCGCATAGTATAGGGGATCGGTTTGAGCATTTACAGGCGTCTGGTTGTTTAATTGGATCTACACGTTCTGGTGTGGTCGGTACATAGAGAGAGATTTTTTGATACCATGGGACTCAGCGCTGGTGTTCGGCGTTTTGCATAGATTTACGTACTCTTTCGAGTCTACTCTCACGGCCGCTCTGAATACATCTCTTTTGTGTCGTTATGAACAGTCGAATAATCTGCCTCCATGTAAGCTCAACCCCTGTCTTCTACTTGTGCTAGTATCATCACACTGTAACCATGGTCATCCTGCATTGGAGCTCGAGTCTCGAATGCGCTACACATATGGGCCACATTTTTTATCCTTTTATATGCAGATTGCTATACTAGGTAATCTCTACTCCTGAATTATACACGCATCCATGCGAAGTAGCTCCAAGGAGCGTATTTTATTCATGCTAGGAAGAAGACAAAACGTCCCAAGCGAGATGGACTGGGCCGCCCGCTGCATCCTCTCTCAGCGCGGAGCAGACGCGCAGCGGGCCGGACGAGAGCGGGCCTACTGCTTCTTCTTGGACGCAGCACCGCCGCTGGTGGCCGCGGCGGCCTTCTTGTCCTTGTCGGCCTGCTCGAACTTCTCGGCCTCCTCCTTGTCCTTGCGCTCGGCATACCACTGGCCGGCCTGCAGGACGAGGACGCCGACAAGGACGAGGGCCAGGATGGTGTTGCTGGCGGCGAGGACCTTGAGGCTGTCCTCGCGGCCGAGCACAACCTCGCCGGTCAAGGGTCCGTCGACGGAGCTGCCCTTGAACTCGGGGTCGTTCCAGATACCGGCGTCGACGGTGCGCAGGCCCTTGATGATGTTGGTGATGTAGATGCCGACGCCGATGACGTACAGAATCAGGCTGGCGCCGTCGAACAGCATGTTGGCCTCCGAGGGGCGGAACAGCTTAAGGAAGAGACCCAGGAAGCCCGTGCCGACCATGATGTGCAGGATGCGCGCGATCAGCGGCGGCGCCTGGTACATGAACTTCAGGTGCGTCTCCAGCTGGTCCAGGAACGTCGGCAACACATCGTCCGACGTCCAGAGCAGGGGGAAGTCGTACGGGAACTGCGCGAACAGGATTCCAAGGAAGAAACAAGTTGCTAGAAGGGGGAGAAAGGGCCACTGTTAGTTCAAGTCCAGGCGTATCGTGGCTAGGAGGGCGGAATGAGAGAGAGCATGTAGTAGGGACGAGGAGGGGTTGATTGGTGCGCACAGATGGGGAGGGACGGCGCGATTGGACTTACGACCGATGATGAGGAAGGTCGCAAACGAGTTGGAACCGCGATAGTTCGCAGACCTCGTGGTCTTGCTCTTGTCGACGGCTATGAAACTATCCATGGCTGCAGACTTGGTCGAGTGTGGTGGACGGGACTATGTTGGTTTAAGGACGGATTGGTGGTGGCCACGGCGTGTCTACTCGCAGGTGAAGTGTCGATGGCGCGCAGGGGAGAGGCGTCGCGCAAAGGCAGTCGCAGGAAATGTCTGGAGAATTCTGCTCGCGGCGCAAGAGAAGATTCGAAGGCAGAGTTGCTGACGAAAGTCTGAATTCAGGTGTCAATCTCCGCAGCATCCTGCAGCAGACTCTCGGGGTTGAGGCTAGACTCATTGGGGTGCGCGGGCGACGAGCTTCGGTGACGTCCAGGCCCTAGCTGGGCCCAGGGACCTTCCCGGCGCACGGAGCCTCCCCTAGCCGGGCCAGGCTAGCGCGCAATTCAGCAGACTCGTCGCGCATTTGACTGGTCTAGAGCTTCTATCTGCCCCGTAATGTTAGCCTCTCAGCGCGTTATCATGATTCGGCACACGTGTTATATAATAGATATTACTGTCACTCGTGCTCTGCTTCGCTTCTCTTGAGTAACGACGGATTGATTACACAGCAGTCTCGGTGAGGCATCTACGGACATTGACCTACATAGTGTCACTGAGCCACATTACAAGGCAGCACAGCACAGAGCCTGGATTCCGAAATTATGGAACACTTCAATTATTACCCTCGGGATACCGTGAACTGCAGGTTGCAGTTGTCTCTAATCATGAACGCCGACCATTCCCGTCGTGAAGCATATTGATACAAGCTGCCCCTTCCTCGCTGTTGTTCACGGGACCAACCGCCGAAAGGGGTGGGCCTCCGTATTGAACACAAACTCGTCCAGAGATATCAGCTCAGGCTCACTAAAGATGAGGTAGAAGTACTTCAGGGTCTCGCCCAACCAGAAGCTTTCCATCGAGTCTGTCTGTTGGACGTCTATGGGACTCGCGACCGTCACGTCGGCTACGGCGGAGTTCGCCAGGTCCGTCTGAGTGGCTCGCTGGATGGACTCAAACATGGCCCAGGCCGACTCGAGGAGCTCGGGGTCGCCGGTTGCGCGGTACATGATGAAGACGCTTTCTATCGCTTCCGGGCGCAGGATGTATCGGCCATCAGGTATCTCAGTGAAACCCTCTGGAAGTCGCCGTTGTGCAATGACTCCAGCCGCCTTACTGAGATCGTCTTTGCTCTCACCCGCCTTCTCCAAGACCGCCTCCTGCCACTTCTTCTCATCCCAAGGGCAGTCTTCTTCAGACTCGCACGGGGCCATCCAGAAGACTTCAGGCATTATACCCAGAGGCATGTTCTTGTACGTCCAGATGCAGCCATCAACGAGCTTCCGTGCTGTCTTGAGATGATCCGGTATGTTGAGCAGTTTTCCACCAACAGCAAACATACCTCCGGCGAAACAGACAAGGTGCTGGCCCTGGTGTTCCCTTCTGGCATTCAAACGGCCCTTCTCTTTATCCACGCGGACGTTTCCTGAAATGAGTATGTCTGCATTGTCTGGTGTCATCGGCCGGAACAGATTGTACTTTTGTGCTGTCTTCATTGCCGCCTTGTACATCTTTTCGTAGTGCGGCAGGCGCCCACCACTCAACGCAACCATCTTGGGAAGATACTCAAACACCGAGTCTGCCATAGCCCCGAGCCCAAAGCCGTTGTCCTCGGTGAACTTCATGTCTTGGGGGTTGACACTGATGGGCCACATACCAGGCAGCTTGGTCTTCATCTGTTGGTCCTTCAATGCCAACATAATCCTCTCAGTTGCATCGAACCACTTCGGGTTTCCAGTGATGAAGGAAAGGCGAGTGAACTCCATGCAAAGCGATCCGATCTCCGCTACCAGGGCCCATCTCGAGGCTTCTTGTGGCTCGCCTCTCGCAGCGCGCCCGATGTCCCACCTTGTAACAGGCATCCGGTTAGGTGTATCGAATGCAACGTAAAGCATGTCCCCAACTTCCCTAGCTTTCAGCAGAAGCCTCTCATCCCCGCTGAGATCATATGCCGCGAGGAAGCCGCCAAGATAACGAATTGTTGTTTCGAAAGCATTAATCTCAGTCAGCGCACTTTTCTCGAAGCTGATATTTGCAGCGGCCGACACTGCTTGCTCGAACTCGTCTTCCAAACCCATTATCCATAACGTGTCGAGGCTGTCAACGAGAGTAGCCCCCCATCCTCCAAAGGTACTCCTTGACGAGCCAGTGATCGGAGTGACTTCGTCCTGAAGCCAAGCATGCTCCGAATATGCTTTCCAGCAGCGCTTGAAGGCGTTCTTGACCGCGCCCCTCCTGCCCAAGCGGATTTGCCTGTCCCGAGAATCTTCCTTGCCGAAAGAAGCTTGAATCTTTGGCAGCTTCTGAGGTGTCCCACTTGGCAGTGGCTTCATAGCCTGCACTGGATAGTGAGTGGGTACCTGCCGCCAAAAGTAGGTCTCATCATCAAGCACTTTTGGGTCAATCTGATGGCTGGGTCCTTTGGCGCCTCCATACCTCAAACCTGCCAGTGAGCCAGACCAGAACTGGGATTGAGAGTCCTGGACCGTCAAGTTGTAAACCAGGAAGAGAACGATGAGCCCCAAGCCGAGTGGAAAGAAGTGCTTGCGCCTCAAGATCATCTTTCTGTAAGTGCGATCGATCGCACGATGAAGTAGTTCTCGAGAATTTGTGAAGGTCGCAGAGAAATTCGGTCGAAGGCTGCCCCCCGGAGGTCAAATTATGCGTTGGAATGCTCTTTGGCCCCCCAGTTCCTGTTGTAAGTTTGCCGCTCGGTCGAGGGAGGAACCTTGGTGTGATTGGTCACTCAGCCGCTGTCACCACGTCCATTCTTGACAATCGCTTCCAGGGAGCTGGTGTCTCCAAGGGTCCGATCTGGGAACCTGGTCTTCATTTATTCAATTGACTGCAGGCCAATTGAGTTGTGACTGCGTGGTCCTGGCAGCGCTTTCCGCCAAAGTGCAGACATCAAGTGCCGGCCGCTTTTATCCTAGGTTTGATGATCCACTTCCACATTGATGCTTTTCACAGCGCCGGCATGTGCGTGTATCACCGTGTAAAGCGTTCAGGCCAATAAGGTTTGCGCACTCAGTAGTTGGGGAGAGTCAAAGTCTCTGAGGTCTACGCCTCTGGTCAATGGACCAACTGCAGGTATGAAACCCGCAGCCATGCTCCTTCCACCCACCCACATACATGCACCTTGTCGGCACATCACTTCAATGGGGCCCCCTAATACCACAAAGCTTGGGTTCAAGCAACCATGGGAACCTTCGAGACCCCATAGCATGGCTATCATTTTCTGGTCGCTTGACAATTCATAAGGAGTGCTGCATATGGCAAATGAACCACACAATAGGCCATGCTTCCAATATTTCGCTGCACCATCCGCGATCTGGTAGTAATTGTAGCACTAGCCTAGCTCTATAATCACTGAAATTGCTGGTCTGAGATCATGCCGACGCCTGGTTACCTTAAAAGTAGGCAGAGTTTGTGGCGAAAATGTGCATGAACTATTCGAAGATGCTTTGGTTTGGTGAAATAAGATCCCTTCTTAGACACTGCCCCTGAAAAAAGTCGCTCGCCTGCACACCGGAAATGAATGTGGCCACGCATTCATCAACTGTGACCTCCAGAACTGCATCTGAAAGAAGCGAGCGCTGCTGGTCGTAATGCAACAATCAGACTCGGCCAACATCCCGCGGAAAGCACCATGCTTCTCCAGCATTATCCTTTCTCGAAACCATAATCTACATTTCTGGTGTGCCTGCTTGGATCTCCAGTTGGTTTGCTGGTACCCTAAGCAACTCTGCGTCGGTATGTCCTAATACACCCCACATCCTATGACCAGAGATACACGTAGGCTTGCCTTGGAAATGATGCGTGCAGGACTGTATAATGTCCGGATTGTGATGCTTTTCTATACAAGCGAACGATTTGTAGACATTGAACGACAAGCCTATCGAGTCCTTGTTTATGTATCAGCCCGTCGGACTTGGACTTAATGTTGTTGTGGGAGGGCTACTTATGTCACCTCGGGTAGTACAATGTAGGAATGCGTCGAGCTTATCATATTAGAAAATTTGAAAGCGTTGGTGCAGAACACGACGCTGTGGAGAAGATGTGTATACATGACGTTGGAGTCTGGTTCGAAGGCTTTTGACCTTTAGCTTCTACCAAACCAACGACTTGGAAACTGCGATGGGGTTCAACAGGTCTTTGCGATTACTGTATCGTCGTACTAATATTCGATACACACGAGATATCTGGCAGCTGTAGAGTGGAGCAGAATTCACGTCAATCTTGAATTTGGCGACCTCTACGTTGTCGGTCTTCGTGCTGTTCGTTGTCCGTGCATTTTGAGGTTAAAAGCTGACACTCAAATTCTAGTACTAAGTTTGCCAACACACCATAGGTGACACAACTTTGTCCTAGACGAAGAGCCGCGCCTATGCCGAAGCCTTCTGGTGCCACCAATAACGTGATCTGATGAGGGCGCTGCTAGATCACTGGCATTCGGCCCCAGGTCTGTGCAAGCGTCTTCAGAACCGCGGCTACTTTGGAACCTCGTGCATTTCGTCGTCGCGTAGTATTTATAATACTCAAGAGAAGTTGCTCTCCATTCTTTTTGGTTTCCTGCAGATGTTACTATACGGTCAACACTGCATGAACATTCCATGGCTTTCGCAATATCTACAAAACTGAAGGTGTCATAGAGCTACACCAATCAGCGCAAACCACTCTGAGCAACTAGGTATGTACGTTGTTCGTAGTACCATTCAATGCGAAAGTACCAGGGCACTGTGCCAAGCAGGCTATCCATTTGCTGGCAGGTCGGGTAATATGGCCTGCATTCTTTGTTCACAGCATGGCTAGAATCGAAATGGGGAGTTGGCAGCCAATAAGTCGACGCTGGGCGTTTAAGCGCTGACAAGATACTGGGTCACGCTTATTGGCCTGAAAATCTGCACCACAATCCCAACCATGTACATTGTCCAACCCACCGTCGCGCGCGCCTCCTCGTCTATTGGCTGATCCCAGTAGCTTTTCTAAAATTAACCCATTATGTGTTGGCAGCATTCAGTCGTGATTGGATGACGTGATCGATAGCACAACCGAGTTCACGCCAGGACTGACGTTTCCCGGCGCGACAACCTCTCCTCTTTGGGTATGTACTCCACAGGCCATGCCCGAATGGGTTCACAGACTCGTGCGTTTGGTCGAATCTGCAGTTGGGACGCAATGGCTATGCAAGCGCATGTGCCTGGCTGTCCATCAAGGACATGGGCGAGTTCGTGGAAGCGCTCGCAGCACGTCGTGACACAGTCCCCGCGCTTCATAACCGCTCGACATGATCGATGCACAGATGATAAAACTATCCACGGCCCTATACCCGGCAGGCTTCACTCCTGCCGTCTTCTTCTTCTCAAGCTCCCAAGAGGTTGCCACATTCAACATTCGCTTCGTTGATCGAAGCATTACAGTCGTTTAGACTTCTATTTCCTTACGCTTATTTTCGTCGACGCTGGCGTCCCTCACGTTACATCGTTGCAATTTTGGAGAGTATTCTTGGAATCTTACCTGCATATTTACCTATATACCCCAAAATGCCTGAGTTAATCCTTCTACCATCGACCACCTACCAGCCTCCCTCGCCTTCGCAGGCCCGAAGACCGGGGCGGGCACTTAATACTATAATGGAGGAGGACCCGGAAGTACCAAAAAACCTGACTGTGCCTGGAAGCCACAGGATGCAAGCCCAGTCATCGAACGAGAAAATAGTATCATGGTTATCACCTCGAAGTGATCACTTCCCTACTCCGAGAGGGTTCCACTTCCTGTCAGCACCGATACTACCCTCCTCACCGTCGACGGTTTCGGCAGATGAAAGTAATTCGCCTTCAACTTCCTCAAATCCGTGGAATCGGTCAAGCACTTGCACAGATGTCACTGAATTTGACGACATCTACGACGTCTCCGACGACGAAGACAGGAGGATGCCTTCGAGAAAGTCTTCGCTGAAGCGCCAACAGAGCTCGCGCACAATGCCGCAGAGGAGGTCGCTTGTTCAAGCTGCCACAGCGTCTCATCGGGCCCTTCCGAAATTGATGATTCCAGCTTCGCGAGAGCAGAATGCTGACAGCTGGTCAGGGAGACCTGATCTTAAGAAGCTGGTGTCTCCGGTGCCACCTACACCTCCGGCAAAGGTCGAAATGTCGCCTGCTGTGATCTCCTTCCTCCAGAAGCAGCAAAATGTAGAGATCCCAAACGTATCAGCGCCACCATCTCTCGATGGATCCATGAGCTCAGAGCAGATGGCTGCTATGTCAGCTCCACCAACTCCAATTATGGGCGCTGAGGACCAAGCTCAAGATGCTGACTGGTCTGGCGTTCGGCTACAGCCAGGCGCTCTCGCGACCTTGCGAGCACTGTCTGGAGGCTCTGACGTTGCAGAGGAAGAGTATCAATCAGAGCAAGTAATTGAGATCCCAGCAGAACCAGCTGTGGAGATGCAGCAACAGACCTCAGGCCTATTCAGTTCAATCCCGAGGCCTGCGCTGAGGCTCGCAACTGAGCAGCGACCCCTGAACGGGCTGACCCGGCTAGAAATTCCATCGCCTGGTGGTTTCTTTTCCGGGCTGTCGCCGCGGACTAGGCATACATGGCACATGCCGTCGATGACCCCTGACGACGTTGCGCCGCCGACTTCGACAACGGCTGAGCAGTTCTATCGATGCCCATGGAACGATACACCTGCTCCGCCTCTGCCGGCGCTGCCACAAAGTCTACCTCCACCTCCACCACGGCCGCATCAGCTCGCGAATGTCCATTTCCCTAGCCCCCCTTTCGGGTTCCCAACTCAAGTTCGCGAACAATTTGTTGAGGCACGAGCCACCATGTCAGATGGCATGCCTACAGCAAGGCCAGTGATCCTAGAGCAGATCATCGAAGTGAGGGACGACCAGTCCGAGGGTCTACCGACAGCACGTCGAGTTCCAGAACGCACTGATTCTTCGGATTCGTCTGCTACTCAGGTAGAACCATCATCGCCAAAGGAGGACATCGTCGCCACTGAGATCGTAGCAGACTACGACCCTGAATACACAAAGAAGCAGCAGAATGAGGCCTTGTCCAACCTCGACCGCACTGAGCTGTGGCTCATGGCCCAGAAAGCCTATTTGAAGGGCGTCAATCTTGACGAGGATGTTGAGCAGGAACTGGAGCCGGAGACTGCGGAGATCCAGCTGGAAGACTCTCCGAGAATCAAGACACCGGAGCCAGTGGCTTCCCCCGAACCGGCGGCAGCCACCAAGAAGACTGTTCGCTTCTCTGAGATCGTTGTCAAGACCGACATCCCTCGATCTCTACCTTCGAAGCTCGGACGTCAGGAGTCTGCATACTACCGTGCGTTCCAAGACTACATCATCCGCAGCCGCTCCCAAGACTCTTTCGTCCACCGTCTTCCAAGGTATGAAGCTCTACAGGCCCAGCGTGTCTCCCTGCGCGAGTCTCACCGCAACCAACTTCTTGGCAAGTACCAGCTCTCCGTCATGCCCCAATCCGCCAAGAAGCGCATGAGCGCCAATGTGGCACGCGGCGACGACGTCATCCTCGATGACCCAGAGAAGTTGAAGCGTGAGAAGGAGGCCGAGGCCCTTAGCCAGATGGCCGCGGCAAACTGGCACGTCAGTGCCACCAAGACCCTTAATGGTGGTCGTCTCTTCTCCGCCCCCCTGGCCAAGAGACTGGCCCGCTTGTCTCGCATGGCCGGCCCTACCAACCGGACCAGGATCTTGGACCTTGGTGGTCAAGCTGCTTGCGACTGGGCATGGCACTGTGCCATCATGTACCCCAACACCAAGGTCTACACCACGACCACCAAGGCCATCCGCCAGCTCTCCAACTCCAACATCCGCGGGCCCCCGAACCACCGCCAGGTTGCCGTCGCTCGTCTGGCTAAGCTTCCCTTCCCAGATGACCATTTCGATCTCGTGTCGGCTCGTGAGCTGCACTCAATCCTGAAGTTCGTCGGCGAGAACGGCGAGGACGAGTGGGAGAGCTGTCTCAAGGAGTGCATGCGAGTCCTCAAGCCCGGTGGCTACCTCGAGTTCTCCCTCCTGGACTCCGACATCATGAACGCCGGTCCCCGCGGTCTCGCCAAGTCGGTCGAGTTTGGCTTCGCGCTTAAGACTATGGGCTACGACCCCAACCCGACCAAGATGTTCCTCAGCCGTCTCAACCGCGCCGGCTTCAGCGACGTCCGGCGCGCGTGGATGTGCCTGCCCATGGGCGAGAAGCCGGTCAGCCGCAACATCGTGCGCGACAGCCGCGGCTGCGAGGTGCAGCTCGAGCTCGAGGCCATGGTGCACGGCAGCACTGAAGGCGCCGCCTCGGTCTGCGGCGTGGCCGGAGGCTGGGCGTGGGAGAAGTGGCTGCTGCGCTGCGAGACGGAGAAGGTGGCCAGCGAGGGGAGGCTGTTGGAGACGGCCGAGATCCGCGAGGCGGGCATGTGCCTCGAGGGCGTCCATGAAGTCGTCGAGGAAGGCAGGAGATGTGGTGCCGGGTGGCGGATGTTGAACGGCTTTGCCCGCAAGCCGATGGCCAAGAAGGAGCTCGTCTCCATTGGCTTGGCGCAGTAGATGATATTATGTGTGATACGAGAGCTGGTTTCAATGGTGTACATGTTGCGTTGCGATTATACCCTGGCCGAAAGGGGGCAATCAGTTATGCCGGGAGTTGGGCGGTATCAGTGTCTGTTGATAGCAAGGTGTTCCGGGGCTAATGGTTACTTTACAGCTACGGTTGGCAAGCTCGTCGGGCAGCAGGGGCTAGGACTATATTCAATGGTGTTAATAGTCGTTAGATGTACCGCACAACACATAGAAACAACTCTTCTTTGTAACACTACCATCAATAGCCACACCTGTTTCGAGTGAGTGAAAGTGTCAGTATCGATCGAACCCAGGGAACCCAGGCCCTGGGTAGCGACATAAAGAGGGCAAGAGACATACATCTTTAAGAAGCTGCGTAAGGAAGATGTGTGCTCAGGTTTGTTTGCGCAAATTTTGATCCCTGCTACCGTTCCTTCTCTGAAGAACATAAGCGTACTAACGAGCCAGTGGACAAAGAACTCACTGGATCAACATATAGGCGATAGAGGCCATATAACGGTATACAGCGTGACGTATCCTCAAGAACATATGTTTGAGGCAGCGATAGAGAAGTCATTATGCACTCCCGAGACTCATTGTGTTGATTCTAGAAGATCTCCTGTATACCCGCAGGATTCTCGGCCGGAGAAAGACATGCGGCAATTGAAGTTGCCCATAACTATCAGCAGTGTTGTAAGCTTTAAAAATAAATCAATGCCAAATCTGAGGTCTTCTCACGCCTCAGATGTACAGACGGCCTTTAGGGTGTGGCAAAATGCCGTCGTCGCCAGTCCGAATAACAAGGCTGGCGAGTTATTTGTCACATTTGCTTCAATGGACTAATAAGTGAGTAATCGTCTGCTTCACCTTCTGAGGTGTTTTCCTCACAAATTTCGCTTCTGCTTTTCATTTCATTCATCGCACTACTTTACCTCAGTCCACTCCGCCCCGTTGCAGAAGCATTGCCTACGGATCCCACTCATCACGCTGAGCCTTAGGAGAACTCACATTCAGTATCAGCAAAATTCTGAATCAGGCAAACAACGTCGACTTCTTCAGCCGCTCAAATTCTCAATCTTCCGGCTATCCAAGACCTTCATCGGTACAATTGTCGGTTGATAAGATCAGCTGAAACTTTCCTGCTCTGTCATCTACCGCTTGATCAGCCTTGAGAAAAAAAAAAACTTTCGCTCCATCGCGCTGTCAATGATATCTCCAGGCATCTCATCTAGCATTTCTCGCCCTTTTGGGTGCCTTGTCAACACCTAAGGTCATCAATTTTCACACCCTTCTGCGTTTGCACAATCGGATCACCGTTTCTGGGCCCTCGTAATCCCACAATCCGCACCGAATTTCACCACGGTTCTACAGATACACCATGGCTTGTGTCGACCACCTTTGCCAGATCGACGTCGGCAAGAAGACGGCAGGCCCAGCCCGGCGAGCCGTTGAGTACCTCAAGGGCACCTGGCGACGCGTGACCAGATCGCCGCGCAGAACAGCTGTTCAGCTGAATATTTCTTCGCCGTTCCCCCCTCGACGTCGTTCTGGTGCTTGTATGGATCGCACTCAGCTCAACGACGTGGTGGACGATGACGACCTCACTATTGTGCCTTCTAATGTTTCCTATGGGGCATCGTCAATCAACTCCGCGTCATCGCCAAAGATACAAGATTGCGACTGGCGCCACTTCACGGAGACTGGCATCAAGAGCAGCCCCTCGACTTTCTTAGGTCCCTGGTCCAGCCAGCTCGATGGCGCCGGACGGGGCGCGAAGAACAAGTCTAGTGACTGCCTCACTATTGATTCAACACAGACAACCTGGATCAAGGGCAACACGAGTGAGCTGGAGATCATCTCCGATTACTTTGCCACACGTCCTAACACCCCCAAAGTCCACCCGCACAAGGATTCAGCAGTCTGGCTCAAGCATCGGTCTCTTGAGTTGCCGAGCACTGCGCCTATCACAACGCCGACTCCTGCGGAAAGATCAACCGCTCACATGGCTCGACGGGTTAGCGACTCAGTTCTTTCTACTGCCGCCGATCTGGACAAGTTGTTGGAGGGGGCTCGTAAGGACGATGAGCCCATCAGACGATACATCACCCGCGCAGACACTAGTGATCGATGGTCTTTCGTTTCTATCAGGGGCGAATCCACCACCAATGACTTGATTCAGGATGATATGGCCGACCTGCCTGCCAGCAAGCGTCGCAAGATCTCAACGGTGCAGTCTCCTCCTCAGACTCCAGCCGTGAAGGCAGAAACACAGCCCGAGCGGGCAAAGACCACACGAAATCATCCACGCTACTCAGGAACCTACACACTTGACCCTCGACGACGGGTTATGAACTTTCCTCACGGCCCAGCGGTCTTCATGTCTTCTTCTCCTGCTGTCAAAGTTTAGAGCAGGAAAGGAGTCGGAGTTGACCTGGACGTGTCAACGACGGAATTGGCATTGATGGTATGTTTTGGTTTCGGGAAAAGGAGCCAAGGTGGTTAGGTGATCGTAGGGCTCAACCAGAAATTCTGGAATGGTCTCAGAAGAAGTTCGGATGGACTACATTCACAATTTGGGCTGTGAATGATTGCTGCACATTCATCGCAGATCCTCCATTGCGACCACTCACATGGCTGGTATCTTCTCAGCTGGTAGAAGGGTTTTGATTTGTACATTAGTTTCTCCATCGGCAGGCCTCTTCCTCCTCCGATACCCATAGATGACATAAGTGAATGTATTTCGCAGCAAAACACTCATCACGCACTTGAGTGCTCATTTTCGCTTCCGTGAGTCAGTACACAAGACCTGGCGCGGATTCAGCGCCTCGAACCACGTAATCCATCTGCAAACCTGAAGCCCTTGTCATAAGCCCCTTTCCACCTCCAAGCCAAGTAGCGAACCCCCATGACCAGATATGGCCCCTTCCAACGACGACGCTCCGATCTCCCTGACCCACTGGTTCATCACCGGCGGCCGCGGCGCGCCTCCGGCCCGCTCCGCCTTCCTGCGCCTGGCCTCCGAGCGCAAGGCGGCCCACCGTGCCCAGCAGACGGCCAGAGACGACGCCAAGCAGGCCCGAGAGGCCGCGGAGCAGGCGCACAAGGAGGCGCTCGCGAAGCTGCGCGAGCAGCACGGCACGCCGGGCCTCAGGGGCCTGGTGAAGCGGACGCTGGGCATGGAGAGCAGGCCGAAGCCGCCCGGCCGGGGCGAGCTGATGGAGCGCTTCGGGGGTCGCGACAAGGGGCTGCGGAAGCGGAGGGAGCGGATTCGTGGCGGTGTTGACGGCGGAGATGAAACTGCTGCTGCTGATGGTCAGGCGCAGACAAGGGAGGATTCCGGGACGGCGGATGCGGACCCTCCACCTCCGCCGCGTCCTCCTGAAGATGGTCCCGATGACAGCGAGACCATTGGGTCCGGTGCTGATGGCACAGCTCCCAATGGCCAAACGTCCGGCAGCGCGGCGCCCGACAGCGCTGCTGAGCCAGGCAATGGCCGTGAAGGACCCGGGGCTGACGAGCGAGCTGCAGGCTCATCCAACGACCAAGCAGGGGCTAGCGAGGCAACACCAACGCCAACGCCAGAATAGACATAGACATGCTACTGAGGAGCGGTTGCTGGATCGTGTTGTGGGCGGTTTTGACCTTGGTGTTGTCGAGAACGGAGACGAGAGAGCGCCTTGACGGTTGCGGGGCCAAGAATGCCAGGACCCGAAAGCCTACCTTGGTTTATTCACACATCGTGTTGAGCACCATAAGTCGGGCATTGTGCATCACGGCTCTGGCGCCGACGGGCCTATGACCTGAGATATCACATGCGTCCGAAAATGTGACCAAGGAGAATCCAACAGTACCCCAGCATGAATACTGACAGCGTGAGAATAAAGCTGCAGCCCCCGTAGAAGACAGATCACTTTCAGTCTTGTAGGGCTTTGATGATTGAACATTAAATTCATGAACAGCCTTTTTATTTCCCCGTACGTCATCAGCAAAAAAGTACTCTAATCCGACAATCCAGCACATGTATGTACAAAACGACATGCTCTCCTCCAACGCCCCTAATCCAAAGGTAGCTAGCTGGCTTGACTGCACCTATCCATTCCTTGTGCCGTCATCTCCTCCACCGGAGCTCAGCAAAGCAATCAGACTGCATCAGGGCCAGGGAACTCCTGGGGGCGGGAAGTCCAGTGCCAGATAATAACCAGAGTGAAGTACCAATCCTTTGGGAAACAAGCTTGCGGGGATCTGCCGATAAACAAAACGCGACACGCCACCCTCCAAATACTCCTAGACTCCTATGCCCGAGACGCCATGCACATCGACAGATGGCAAAAGTTGAGGCCGACTAGGGAGAAACAAGAGAGATGCATCAACGATGTAGCCACAGGCTACGAAAGGAACTGAAACAATGTTGTCCTGGTTGGAGGCGGGAACCAGGACAGTAACGACGATGGTTGTGGTATGAGGCTCGTGGATCTATGTCATGAACAAGGAATTATCGTGAGGGCCATCCAACAGCCCACTGGGTATCCTGGGTCAACAGAACACTTGACATTAAGGTATCAACGCGCTTGAGTATGCTTGCAATGAAACGACTCGAAAGCAAAATCTCATGCTGAGATGTCGTCGAGGGAGAGCTTGGTATCGGTGATACCAAACTCGGGAGCATTTCGCTTGGCCCACTGCCGTGTGAGAAGAGATGCTACGCAAGAATGTCAGCAATGAAGTCGCATGGGATGCAAAATGTCAACCTACCCTTCAAGAACTTCTTGCTAGCATACTTCTTGTAGAAAGCCTCATGGATTACAGGACGAGCGAGGTAGTCAACCATCAACAGGAAGACAGGCTCGATCTCCTCCTCAGTGTAGCCAGCATAGTATGCCAGAGTCTCGTCCTATTCTTGCATTAGCAGGGCAAAACATTCAGTACATGCTCTCAAAACTTACCCATGGACCACGATCCAAGATCATGCGCGACAGGTACATAGCGGCAGCGGCAATGTGACTCGAACGGTAGGCCATGAAGCGGTGATCGACAAGGCTGATTTCCATGAGATACTTGCCAATGGTACGCGACTGAATGTCGTAGTTGTCGGCCTTGGAGATGCGACGCAGGAAGTTCATGGGGTTGGGGTAGCTGAGGTTGAAGTCCAGAGTGGAGAGGACGAAACGCTCGGCGCTCAGGATCTCAGCCTCCGAGAAGCCATCATCGGCAACGTGGACAAAGTTGGCAACATGGGGCGACAGGACTTCTTCGTACTTGGAGGCGATGAACATGGCAGTGATGCCAACCAGCTGCAGGCGGTCGAGTTGCACCACCTTCTCCGAAAGGAAGCGGTCGATGATGTTGATGGCAAGGAAGAGAGTCTCGGGCAGGAGGTGGAAGCGAGTGTGGACCTCGATCAACCAGTCAATCAGGATGCCTCGTGTCTTCCACTCCAGGTCGTCTTGGTGGTTCATGTACTCGGGGTTGGGGACCGATGAGCACTCCAGGTCCCGCAGGTACTCAAAGATCTCGGTGGCATACTCGGCGGCCATCAAGGGATCATCCAGATCCTCGCTGTCCAAATCCTTGACGCCCTCGGGGTATACAGGCTTCGCGGGCTCCTCGTCAAAGGTTTCGGCCTTTGGCTCTTCGGCCTTGGTGGTCTTGGCATTGGTTGGGAAAACGTTCTCGTCCTCGTCCAGCTTGTGGACCTTCTTGCGGGCCGGCTCACCCTCTGCGATCAGGTCATGCTTGATTGTGGTTGTGGCGACCTTTCTCTTGGTAGACGAGGGGGCGAGGGCACCAGATCCCGAGCCGGCACGCTTGACCTCGGCGGGCTTCTTCGCGTCCTTGCTACCAAGGACCGTCCGCGTCGACGTGGCACGGGTAGTGGTCTTGTGGACGCCGTTGGGCTGGGCAGCCTTGGAGACAAGACCAGTCTTTGTGGCAAGCGGCTTCTTGCCCTCGACAACCTCCACCTTGCCAGCGTTGGTGACATCCCCCAACGCGGCGCGTTTCCTCTGGGCATTGGCGGCAGTGGCATTGACTGCGGACTTCTTGGACTGGAGGGGCTGTTGCTTGGTCGGCACGGTCAGAACATCGACGTCGAGTGCGGCGGCCTTTGCACGCGTCATACGCGTGGAACTGCTGTTCTCATCGTTCTCGTTCGAGACGAGTCGTCTGGCAGGGCGTCCCTACGAACACGGGTCAGCACACGGTCGAGAACGCGGTATGCGAGGGTGTCATGGAGAGTGGGGCCAGCAATGGCTGGGATGCTCGTGTTTCTACGCGGGAGAACCAACTTACAGGAGGCATATTGCTGATGGAAGAACACTGTATTAACGAGTTTCGATTCTGTTTCTGCGGATTCTACACAACGGCTGTCAGTCTGGTGTTCTGGTGGCGTCTGATATTCGGCTCGTGTTGGGATGGAGTAGGCGTGGGGCAGCTGCAAAGCCTACAACACGCCTGAGGCGATGCAACACGCTTGCCACGCGAAGAAGCTTACAGGAGCTTCCAATGGACCGAGTTGGACGTGCAACAAGAAAGAACAGGCGAGAAGACGCCCGTAGAATGTGGTACGCACCTATACGATACTCCCGAGAGTCTCTGGGTTGGGAGCTTGTCTGATATCAACAAGCTAGGCGCGGGTTCGGGTCAGCAACCGTGACGGTATGGCAAGATCCCAAGGCGGACGGGATGAATGGGCGAGGTGCTGGTGGATGAGACGGGAAGAGGCTGGCTGAGGATATCGCGTCGTGGGAGACGGAGCCGGTGGTCGAGTTGAGGAATGGGGTGGAGGAGAGGATGTTGGGCGAGGAGGATGTTGTTTACGGGCAGGCTTATGAGCAGAGGAGTGATTTCAAAAGAGAGGTGCAGTGTTTGGTGGTGGGTAGCGAGAGCGTAGCGCGGTCCAAAGCGGGTACGGGTAACAGGACGAGGAGAAACAAGGCCGCGAGCCCCAGCGGAGCGTCCACGGGTCCCAGCTGGCTTACCTACCTGACGTGATGTGACGGGTGATTGTGTGTACAGTACGGCGCGCGGGCTGGCTAGCGCGTAGTTGACCAGGTGCAGAGTCGCAGGCGCCGTCTGGCCCGGTGGATCCCTGCCGTCTGAAAGTACCGAGTACCACAGATGGACCAGAGGCGTGACCAGTGTCACCACGGCGTCTCAGAGCGCGTTGGCACGAGGTTGGGAGTTGGGAGTTGGGAGTTGGGATTGCGCGACACGCAGAGCTTATGTGGGAGTCTGGCTGTGTTGGTCGCGCCGTCCGATACTGCAAAGAATATAGTACGGACGAAGGTTTACAGAAAGCTCGAGACTCTGGCACCAGATAGTATCCCAGGCTGGCTTTCGATAGGAAGGCGTAACGGATGTCTTGCAGAGAGCACAGTAGAGACTGAGATCGGAGATTTGGTCGAGCAGAGACGTGCGCATGTACCTCGATACAAAGGCTCGACGCCGGCCCGCTGCAAAAAGACGCGATGAGGTTGCACGTCCCGCATGGCTCCTTCCCTGGAAACGTGAATGGCCCACAATTACCTTCCATCAACACTGGCAACCGCGGGGCAACGGCTAGTTCATTGGCCCGTCGCGCTTCCGCTGAAAAAAATCCCGGCCCAGCGTTTTGGACTCGACGTGCCTGTGGCTCGTGCAAGCCACCGGCCGTGAAATTGGCGGCTGGGCTGTTCCAGCTGCTGTGGCTTTCTGCGTGTTGCGTCAACTTCATTCTGGCCCGCTTTACTCCAGGCATTTTAAGGTGACCAAAAGGGCGATGGGCAGGGCAAATGGGACTCGTGCAAGGTCGTGAAAGGGGATGACCACGTGACCAACTGGTGCTCTTCCGCCCAGCACTTGAAGATAATTGCAACAGACAGTACGATGAATACACACACAAGCCAAACTACCTCGAAGCTACGTCGCTGCAACCTCCCAATCAGCAAGTATGACTGTTCAGCAGTCGTCACGAGACTCTCGACATCTTGCCCATCTTCGTCAATGTTAGGCAGCAGGAATGCTAAGCTAGTGGTGTGAAAGGGGCCAAGCTCACGGGCAGCCAGGCTACGAAGACATCTCAACCGCATAGTATAGACAAGACGATAAATTGGCCTCGATCGGCAGAATGTCTGATCAAATACTTCGGAATTTCCTTGGCCTACTTCGCTTTCAGATTTTGAGAGGCGCCTAGAGCCTAGATATTTTTTGGACAATAACTGCAATCCACCGCTGCAGATTCTGGAGGCAAGGTCCTCGGCAAGCTAGAGCAACAAAGATGAAGTAGACACGTCCAGCAACCAAAAAAAAAAAAAAAAAAAAAAAAAGACTTCGGTAACGACGATGCTCAATTGCTACTGAAGCACAAGAGACCTCTCACCACTGCGGCTTGCCCATTTCTCTCAGCTTTGCACCATATCTCCACAGTAGGAAGGGAGCGGGCCAGCCAATGGCGATGAATGTCAGCCCGAGTATCGTGTTGCCCCAGCCGTACCCAATATTGCGATACATGGACGGCGCGAATATTGGGAAAGCAAAGCCAGCAACACTACGCAAGAACTGAGCTGCCGCAAAAGCAGAGGCTACATACTTTCGATATGCCTCAACTACGTAGGCTTGCATAGCCTGGGTGTTGAGGATGATACCGCATCCGAAAATGCCGATGCCGATATCAGGTACGATCCAGTGATAGTCATGGTGTTTTTCCGCAGTCCATCCGTAAATGAATAGACCCAGTGGGATGAGAATAGCACCAGGGACCATCAACGGTACGCGATATTCAGGTGCCGTATTGTCACCGTGCTTAGACTTGAGATATGCCCATAACCGATCCATTACTTTACCACCCACTTGTGCGGCAATCGTATAACCAAGCACTAGGGCTATATAATGAAGTCCGCTTTGGGATTCGCTTTGCCCATAGCGTTCGATCCATAGATTGGCAAACGTCGATAAGACGATGTAAAGTATACCAAAATTATACGCAAGAAATATCGCGACGACTTGGAGGATCGGCTGGGTGAACAAAAGTCGGAACGGTCGGGAAAGAGAACGGGATAACTTCGTGGTCAACGTGGAAGATTCTGTGTCGACGTGATAGGACTTGCCAGTCGTTTCCCGTAACTTTGCAGCTTTCTTCGCAAGCAAGATCGGCTCGTACGTCTCTTGGAGAACAACTACCCCTATGATAATCAGGGTTCCGTCGTAGATGGATAGAATCCAGAACGTCCATCTCCAGCCAATAGTCTGAGTTACGACACCGCCGATTATAGGGCCTATTGCCGGTCCAAGCAATGGGATGAAGGTAGAAATTGAGAATGACTTGCCACGCTCGGCCGGCACCCAACAATCAGACAACACGGGCTGAGTAATGGCAAATTCTACGCTGGCACCAATAACAGAGAGGACGCGGCTCGCTATCATAAGGCCGGGAGTCTGGCTAAAGCCTGCCACAGTGTTCCAGAGGACGTAGAAGCAGCTTCCAAGGAGCCACACCGGGCGCCGACCAAAGACCTCGGCGAGTGGTGAGAGAACCATCGGCCCAAAGGCAAAGGCTAGAATAAAGATTGATAAGAAAATCTGAGTTTCCTCTTCATCGGTCTCGAGGTCGTGCGCAATGGAGTGGAGGGCTGGTGCCAGCATAGCTCCAGACATAAGCGTGACTAAGCCGCCGTTCGAGAGTAGAATCGTGATAGCCCATTTGCGAGCCTGTGGCCAGTTGAAGGGATGTTGAGGATCTTCATCGCCATCCCATGTTACCTAGAAGAATAACGTACATTAGAGCTATGCTATGCCAGTGACTCTGTCATGACAAATCTATATCTAACGTGGCGGTCTTGAGCCAGGGTGGTGATGAGGGTCACAGGTAGGAAGTAAACAGCATACCAAAAGTGAGGCTTCCGTCTCGTGGTGTTTCTCCCCCTGAAGAGTCGTCAGAAGTGCGGGGGCAGCGGGAAGTTTGGGGTTATCCTGGGTGGTCATAGTGGCACGCTCATCCATATTTCTTTTGGTAAGACTCGTGATGTTTGATGAAAGCAAACCAGCTCTAATGTTCTATTTGACGCTGTGGCACCGAAGCCGGAACACGCCGAGATGGCAGTGCAACACGAGCCTATACTTGATCCGATATGAGCCAACGAGCCAGCAGATACGCTGATCTAGTGCACTTAGCGATGGCCATAAGCAAAATACACAGATCTTTTCAGCCTCACGTGACAGTTCTATAAGGGTTAGATCACTTAGGCTGTTAAAAGTTCCCGGCATGGTTACGGGCTGTGCCTCCTAGGTACATGTGCAGGTCCGCAAAGGTTTCCCCGAAATGGAGTTTTAGCGTGGGAGTTTTTACCTGTGAAAACAAATGATATCAGGGCAGTAGCGAATCGAAATGAGTTCCAGTGACTTGAATCAAGATGCAAACTTGGCTTCCGAGTCGATGGTGTTGAGCATGAGAGTTAGGTTGCTTACTCCGTTATTATCATTGAAGTTGCGACTCCGCCAATCAACTGCGGTCTGTAGCTCATCTCCCAGGCGAAAGACTCCTAGAAAATTAAACTCCGCCACGGATTTAACTCGGACAACTCATCCGATACATACCGACTACGAGCACTTTACCACCTTCCTGCAATATCATCCTCTACCTCACGACAGTACGATGACTTGCCGCTATACTTCCTCATATATGCAAGTGGATAATCAACCTATATGTGAGGGCAACGGGGTCTTGCTTGCTTCCTTCCCAAGCTGGTCTGTCTGCTCATTCATACGTGACCATTTCAGCCATTGATCGTTCGAATTGCGCTTTGACCTCGGAGACGATTCATCCCAAGAGCAACGCGATCAACGATTTCTAGTTGCGTTTGCTATCTCAAGAGCCCTTCTATTGCTCTGAAGTAGTTGAGTGGGGCCAGCAAGACTGCCGCCGACAGGTTTGCTCGCACGAGTCTACGGTATTGAGAACGTTCCGGCTGTATGCAGCATATGCCATCACCATGGTCCCCTCAACGACCTGGCAATTGCCACCTCTGCTGGCGCCCTGCTTTTGTATGCCACTATGTGTATACCGAACAGCAAGGCTTCGAGAGGGTGTGTTCCCCTTCATCACCGCAGGGCCAGGCTTAATCTGGATGGTGTTACAGCGTGATTGGTACAGGAATCTTTGAGAGACATTGGGCACCGTTCATTCAACCACTCATTGCGAAGGGCTATTTTGACGAGGCTTGCAATCTACCGAGCCTATCAGAACCGGCGATATGCATGCAGCAGAGCTGCATAAGCCTTGAGCTTCAACCATACATCCTTCACAGCGCCCAACCCCACTAGCCGTCGACACGCAACCCTGCATTCATCGCCGGGAAGCTGAGGCCAATGGGTGAGCACTGGCAGTCTTGCACTCGTGGAGACACAGGTTGGAAACATACTGCAATGAAAGGAGCTTCGAAGCTTTGCCCCGCTCCGTTTCGACCAACCAGAATAAAGTTCTCTAGAGCCTCATTTTCCTCACAAATTCAGCTTCGGCTGGCTTTCCTCTTTGCCTTTGCTTATGACCTGGCCTGTCTGGGACTCAGGTTACTATTTGCAATGAGAGCCACATATTCTTGGGCACTGTTCTTTGTGAAGTTTGCTGAAATGTTGCGATATCTCATCCTATAATTTAAGTTGTGACATGATCCTGGTCATATCCTGTGTAGACACTCTACCAGCTCGATCTCCTCACGGATTACTCCACATCCAAACCCGGCAATACTTCCTCCCAATGACTTAGCCTGGCTGTGTTGCTCTTCTGGATAATCTCTTGTGGTCCAGAATGTTCAAACATTCCCAGCCAATTCCACATCAGAAACGGGAATCGCGACATCACCCAAAACCAGATAGTCGGCATTCTGTCAGCAGCCAAAAACATGAACGACGAGTTGAAATATATTTGCTTGACCTCGACGGTCTGCGAGAATCTCTCAAGATCGGAATCAAGGAGACTTCACAGTTGACTCATATCTCCAATTTCCTCAAGCGTCGCTTTAAGGCTCACGACGAGCCGGTGTCTGAAAATGCCCGAATAACCTACTTCTGGGGGAGCCAATGCCTCTTAGGAGAGAACATCCCCAGCATTGTGTCTACGCTTCACTATCGTGTCTATAATTGCAGCGATGATGACGACTCGATTCGTATTACTTGGAGCAAAGAACTTCAGCTAGAAGGGTCACAGGTTCACCAGATTCACTGTGCTCTTGGAAAGGGCAGCACAGTCGGTGAATTAAGGCAAGTGGTTGCCTCACTGCTCGGGCTCCAAGATCCGAACAGAATCATTATATCATCACGCGGGGGCCTTCGTCCTGGGCCGGTCCAAGGGAACAATTGGGAAGCCTGCAAAATTACAGCGTGGCTCTGTCGAATAATATGGATCGATGTGGCTCCGTCAAAGGCTTACCTCGTTCTGAGAGGTATGAATGAGGAGTATCTGTATCACCAACCCACAACCGGCAATGGACATTGGACGGGGTTTCGGTTACTTCGAAATTGGATAAAGACCGGAATACTCACCAATTGCGACGTCCGCTTAGCAGGTGGTTTGAAAGTGGACAAGGACGACATCACGTTGATTTGCGAAGGCAAAGTCCTAGATAAACGCATGCGCATTTCGGATGGACAGACCGTCGACTTCCACCTCCCGCATGCAGTGGCGGAAAAGTTCCACCAGGAAGAAGCATGGCTTGTGCCCCTTACAGAAAGCTGTTCGGTATGTGGCGACGAGAAGAGGATCTCAGAGATGCCGAGACAAATCACCCAAGCCTGCGAGCACGCCCCAAATACATGTAATGATTGTGTCGGACAATGGATCACCTCCAGCATGGAAACAGTGGCCTGGGATCGACTTAAATGCCCAGAATGTCCACAAACCCTCCTCTTCGACGACGTAAAGACGTTTGCGAATCCGCAGGTGTTCGACAGGTTCGCTTACGTTCGCCCTGAAGCCCCCCAGAACCTTCTTACTAACTGTTGTTCTTGCTTAGGTATGACGCTTTGGCAACGAAGGCCAGCCTTTCCGGTATCAGGGACTTCCGATGGTGCCTGAATCCCAGGTGCGAATCCGGCCAGATCGTTGATCGCAACTGTTCGAAAGTGAAATGCCACTCCTGCCGGGCATCGTCATGCGCTCACCACAACCTGCCGTGGCATAAGGGTGAAACATGCTCCGCATTTGACAGACGCACGCACAAGCTGAGAAAAAACGAAAAGGCTTCCGAGAAGAAAGTCAAGGAGATCACGAAAGCTTGTCCGCAGTGCCACAAGGATGTCTACAAGTACTCGGGATGTGATCATATAACTTGTGGGTTAGCATTTTATAGACTAATTTCGTCTTGCTAACCCAACGTTCTAGGTGTTTGTGGGCACGAATGGTGCTACATTTGCCTCGAGGCATATTATCATGACCGAAACAGCTTCCTGCGATGCAAGCACAAGCGGGACTGTGAGTACTACGAGAATCCACCGATCTATGAGGGCGGTCGCGCATTCATGCCCATGTTCAACCCGGCGAATATGAATCGTGGAAACGGTCCTCATCCACAGCCTCATCCTCCTTGGATGCAGCGTCCTGGCCCGGCTGGCCAAGTTCCGTTACGGCCTCGCTCTCCACCTCCTCCACGCCATGTGCAGCCGCATGCGAGGAACGATCCTAGGGGCATCAACCCCTGGGTCATCATGGAAGGCTTCCTTGAGCACGGAGAAAATGCATTCGCTCAAGCAAATCGCACAAGACATGAGCCTGGAGAGAATGATTTCCTGGGAGCCGCTGCCATGTTCAACCTATTCGACCTCGATCAACAGATGCGAAGAACACAATGATGCCGTATGTTAGTTATAGTGCATGTTTGGTTGGAATATCGCCTCTGGTCGGCTAGACTCCTCCTTCACTACTTATTCTACAAGATGATGTACCAGAGTCGCTGGCCTAGAGTAGTGAGACGATTGATGCATAATGCGACCATGACTATTTGTAGACGAGCTACGATTGACTTAATAGTCTGATACCTGATTTGATTATAAAAGGTTCACTCAAATCCGTCCGTCCGTCCGTCCATCGTATGTATGAGCTAGACTGATGGCGTCTCGGGCCATTCTATGTGTTCGTCCAGCTGATTTCCGTTGATCACTAGAGGGACACATGGAGCTGTCACAAATAACCCTCTCGCCGTTTTCGTTGGGTGAGGATTCCTCCAGGCATGATTCGTGCCTCTCTGGATGACAACATCGCCCGGCTTCAAGAGTCGTGACTCCCCAGAATCTAAGGCGAGTTCCAGTTCACCAGATATCAGTACCCCATAGTCGATCGACACGGATCGGTGCATAATCGCCACTTGACCGGGAAGCCAGTCCACGACACGCACAGTTGTTACATCCTTCCGCACGTGGCCTTCCAGTTGGGGCATTTCTTGCATGGCTTTCAGATCAGCACCGCCATTCATTTCCACCGGTGTCTGCGAAGATACGAATGCGTCAAAGATGATTGTGCCATGAAAGGCAACAGACGGAATCTCTTCCTCGAGGGTATTGCTGAAAACGGACTTGCCATCAGCAGAGTGGTCAGTTATGTATCGTCGAGGCCTGCCCAGCTCCGACAAAATGGGTTTGCTGTTCTCGTCTTTCTCCATTATGCGCTTAATGAACAACAGAGACGGATGAGCCAAAGCTATTAGCGAGTGATTAGAATAAGGTACGGTTATGTGAATTCTCGGTAGGTGTCCTGTGCCAAAGTCGGTTGGTTCTTATACGAACGATGCATCCGCTAGACTAGGATGATCTGACATCGTCGTTGTATCCTATGATAACGCTGATTGGTGCCCTCATTCTAGGAACTTAGGTCTCGGTAAATGCGTCTGCTGATGTGATCGTTGGAGCGTTATACGAGAAGCGTGTGTGAGGCTGTTCAAGATGCTGCGCTGCAGCTGCTGATACAGGCCGAGGCACCTGGGCTGCTCATTACTGCATAATTGCGGGGGCAGCATTGTATGCTTCCATTGTTAGAAGATGGAATTCTAGTTTAAGTGATAGCTGACGTGCTTATTTCTACCCAAAGTCTTGCGCGAATACAAACAACGAGCATGCGAGCCATAATGTCGCAAAACTCTAATTACTGCACTGGTCCATGAAAGATTCTGGCTCGAATGAATTCTCAGTATGGACCACAAGAACAGCTGAAGGTCTCCAGAGACTTGGGTTTGAAACAAGCCCGCCGGATCGTATTCCTCGCTCACCGTTTGCAAGAACAATTTCGACCGAGCGAGCGCCATAGGCTGTTATAGGATCTTGCCATGGTGCAGCATAGTTGAGATTTGTGTAAAGATTATCGACACCGAGGGCTTTCGCTCTAGTATCTGTCTGCTTAAGTAGTTGTCTTGCTTGCTGTTCAACCAGTCTGTCGTCGGAAGGCTCGTACTAACCGGCTGTCAATAGAGCATTCACCAAGTTGCCGCCATTGGCAGCTCCTCTAGACAATACGATAGACGGGATTAAATGAAATGCTGTAACTCTCAATTCGGAGCTTTCCAACGGGCTCCATCGAGAAACATTTAACGAGTTAGAAAGGCTTGGAGATGCGACTTGAGCTGGATTGATACATAGTGTGAAATGATTATTCAGCATAGCAGATGCATTTCAGTATTCCCAATCAGCAATGTGATAACGGTTTGCAAATGCGGACATCTTTGAAAACAACTGAATGGCAGCGAATGAAATGATTGCAATGCAGAGGTATTTGTTCAGTTGAATATTTCACCCTAGGCCACCGTTGCCTGGTGGGGGGTGTTCTAGTGCGGTCTGGTCCCGTCTGTTTGCTATTCTATTCACATGAGCCCACCTGATTGTCCGCTTGCCGAGCAAGCAAGTCCCAGGTGGTACCTTAAATGCTAATAGGTGCCCAAGTTTTCGACAGCTGAGGGAGTATGGTCATATGAACAGATTGGATTGTTGGCTCGTTAGCCGAGCGGTAAGGTTCCCAAACTCCCGATGAAGGCTGTCACGCCGAGTAAGCGTACAGTCCCAGTAACAGCCCTCCATGGACTAAGGTGACTGCAGCACCCCTCCTACGGACATGCCCAGTGCTACCGTAGGGCTAGAAAAGTGGTTCGAACCTAACATCTCCCCCCTTTCTTTTGGACTCTTTTTGTGAATTTTCATATTTGGCGCTCCTTTCCCACCCCCCTTCGCGGCCATCTTCTCCCATTCCATTCGCGGTTCTCACAGATATTGGTTTGGATACATGCTCTACGAGCTCTACAGTTGCGTGTGCCTGAATGATAGTCACTGACTCGAGGTTTGCTTTTTTCAGAGTCCATCTTATTGCTTGCATTGAGAACGGGCGTTTACCCTCGCTACTATAAGAAGGCATCCTTGCTTTGCAATGTCACTGCAAGATAACTACCTTAAGCTTCTAAAAAATCTACTCTTCTTCCGGCAACTCAAGAAACCATTCTGGCACTCGGACGAACTTTCTGTTCAGCAGTTCCTAAGGCTGAGTAGGCAAGCTTCCGGGCTGCTCAATGATCTCTGTGATGAATGCGCTTGAAAGCTCTACAGAGTCCGGCTTGACATTGCGGTCCTTAGGTCCCTCGTCACGGTGCTTGAGGATACCTCCGATCCAGTCTCCAGATATGGCACCCAAGCACTCCTTGGTACTCTTCTTGAGATCCTCAATCCATTGGTCCTGAATACTACGCCGTGCTGCAGGTTCCTGGGCGAGAGTGTAATGAGGAGCAGCGGGCTTGAACAGGATGACCTTGTAGTACACATGTCCGCGAAACTTCTGATCACGGACGACGACCATCATCATTCCTGCTCGGAAGGCTCTCTTCTCCCAAGCAGTGGGGATGGCCTGGTCCTTCTGACGGGCCAGGGCGGCGATCTCTTGCTGACCAAAGAACCAAGGAGTAAGAATACATGCGGCGAACTCCTTCGGACGCTGACCGGTTAGTTGGGCCTTGGCGTAGGCCAGAAACTCTGGGACGGTCGCGAAGAATCGGCTCTTGTGGCCAATTGTACGGTGCCAATCAACTCGAGCCTCGTGCGACAGGAAGGCAACGGGAGCGCAGTAGAGAGCCCACGCAGCGTTGGTCTTGTTCTCGGCCAAGTTCTGCGAGCACAAGAAGTGACGAAGCGTAAAGGCCGAGGACTGGTCGTGCGGGAAATTGGGCGCATCACCAGGATCGTCACGTGAGATTACGTGGAGCTTCTTGTGGGTGTCCTTCTGAGCCATGATGACTGTGTACTCCTTGTTAATGAATGCAGGCGGCCAAATAACGTCTTTCTTGGGCTGAGTAACCGTTCCAGTGAGGCGGTTGAGGCTGATCAAGTGATCCTTAGCCTTGAGCGCATTGGTGTCGCCTCTCAGAGAAATGAAGACATCGGCACATATGGCAAGTTTAGTTCGGATCGAATCGTCAGAGCCCTTCTTGGCGTTCTCTCGGGCCTCGATGATGGTGAGAACAGTGTCTGCAATCTGCTCAGGAGAAAGGAGAGTTAGTTTGACAATGAAGCCAAGAGGTCCGTCCAACGTACGTACCTCGACTTCGATCAGTTGTTTCTGTTCTCTGAAGTTCTGCTCTTCAGACTGAATCCTATGGAGAGCCTGGGATGCTCAGGTTGAGGATCGAAAGGTGATGTTGTGAAGGTACCACCGAACTGGTAGAGTGGTGAAGTGAGTGGGATCACAATTTGCAAACCACCAAGCTGGCAAATTATGTAGAATGGTGAAAATGGATTCACCAGTCCGGTTTCGTTGGCAAGAAACAAAAGCGAATAGAAGAAGCGACGCGTGTTTTCTGCCCTGGAACCAAGTGACTTCGCCGGTGAAAACGGTGACGGATGACTAAAACTTCTCTAGCAAACTGTCGGTCAATGTGGTGAGAGCTGCCAGACCTGTGGTAGAATCGACTCATTTTGATCGAATTCTCCCCCGTTCTCACCGCAATCTACAATTTTCTAGCTCTGCGCAATGAGAATCTTGCATTCACACACCACATGTTGGCCAGAACAATCAAGCAAGATTTAGTAGGGTATGATCATTACTTTTAGCAAGGTCATTCGTTCGGTGTGTGTATTATCCGCTAGTGTACCTTCATTCCAGAGCATCGCAGCGAACTTTCAGGCTACAGGTTTGAATGAGTTTCCTCCCCGTAGCGTTTCGAGGTCTATACCCATCTGTAAACAGCCTGCGTGTCTCTATTTCAGCATTATTGAGATGTACCCAGTCCAGGCCCTTATAGAAAAAATACCACCCCTACAAATCTGATCTGGATTGCCAAGCGCCTGCTGTACGTGAATCGATCGAGAGACGAACATGCTTGTATCCAGGCCTCGGGCCTCTGACATACTCGAAATCGTATACTCTCAGAGGGGCTCTTAGCTGCAGTTGTGAAAACTGGGTCCTGTCCGCTTTGGAGCTTGGACTTACTATGCGCGACACTTGATTCGCAGGACCTGTAACGCGACAGATCTGGGTGTAACGCTAAAAACGGCAAGGCAGGGGTAGGGATTCAGGTTGGGGAAGAGAGCTCACTCTCAATGCCGGCTGCCCTGCAACGTCATAGGTAACCCAGGAAAGGCCCAAAGTCGACCATGGATCAGAGAAACAGTCTGGACAAGACTGTCAATTGATTCATGGGCTATGCCCAATCAATCATGGTTTACACTGGCTCTCAGCCACCCCTGACGTGCCAGCAAGCCTGGTGGGATGCTCCTCTGTGCAGGCACAGTAGGGCTCACGGGGGGAGCAGCTCCGATGCAGCTCCGGTACCAGTCACAATGTTGACGATCCGGGGGGTCTACCTGCGTTACATCATTGGTGGTGGGCTGAAAATTTTTGCTGCAAGTCTCCTACGAAAAGCATAGCAGCGATATTAGCAGGATCTGCGTGCCCGTCAGCCGTGACGGCGGGGGAGGATTGGGAAAAATCTTCCACACCAGGTGCTGCAGAGCCAGCCCCGGCCCCCGCGACCGCTCCTAAGTCGCAGGGGAGTCACAGCTGTAGCCGCAGTCGCCAGGGGGCCGCCAGGGCAGTTTCCGGCCTAGCGCCGTGGTTTGGCGGGCCAGCGCTGTGGAAATTTTCCAATTTTCAGAGCTTGTCCGGCCTGTCCCTCGCGCGTTATCTTATCACACCCACCAAAATTCCCGACTACTGAGGAACGGGGCCAGGGTCCGCAGGTAGCGGTCGAGTCGAGTCGAGTCACGGATGCCGACCGCCCTTGAGGCTTTCACCAACCTTTTAACCCGATACCCTCCTCCTGTGCTCATCCAACACGGTCAATTGACTTCCAGCAAGGGGCGCCACTTCCTGACCACAGGTCCCGCGAGAGGTTCCCAGCTTCACCGTCCCGGAGACAGCAAGCTCCTGGCAGCTCCCCTCTACCTCAACCTCCAGGTAGCTATGGCCTTCTCCACCAGGCTCGCCCATCGAGCCCCGGCCGTGATCCGCCATGGACGACGACTGCCTACCGCCCTGCCCCGACGGCAATTGACCACCGCCCCGGCCCCGGCTGCCGCCTACTCGAAGCTGATCTCGGCCACCAGGGCCTCGCAGTACAACCAGCGCAGGAACTTCACAGCCTCGGCCGCCTGCTGCAGCGGCCTCGCCCAGGAGGCCCCCAACCCCAAGGCTTACCTCGAGAGCGGCGTCATCAAGCCCAAGGACATTGTAGATGTCAAGAAGGTCCTGGTCATCGGCAGTGGTGGCCTGGCCATTGGCCAGGCCGGAGAGTTTGACTATTCAGGTTCGTACATGCTCAATTGGCTCCGAGGCCTGCCGTGCCTGCCGTGCTCCCGAGTTGGCGGTCAAGCATGAGTCACGATACCCTCACTCCACCCGACCAATTGGTGCTGACCTGCCGTTCCTCACAGGCTCCCAGGCTCTGAAGGCTCTCAAGGAGGCTGGCGTTGCCTCTGTGCTTATCAACCCCAACATTGCTACCATCCAGACCGCCCACGTGCTCGCCGACGAGGTCTACTATCTCCCAGTCACCCCCGAGTACGTTACGTACGTTATCGAGAGGGAACGACCCGATGGAATCTTCCTGTCGTTTGGTGGACAGACTGCGCTGAACCTGGGTGTGCAGATGCAGCGCATGGGTCTGTTCGAGCGCTATGGTGTCAAGGTCCTTGGTACCAGCGTTCACACCCTGGAGCTCAGTGAGGACCGAGACCTCTTCGCCAAGGCCCTGAACGAGATCAACATCCCCATTGCCAACTCGATTGCCGTCGAGTCCATCGAGGATGCTCTGGACGCCGCTGACAAGGTCGGCTATCCCATCATTGTCCGTGCCGCCTATGCCCTGGGTGGTCTGGGATCTGGTTTCGCCAACAACAAGGAGGAGCTCCGCAACATGGCTGCTCGGTCTCTCACGCTTTCGCCGCAGATCCTGGTCGAGAAGTCATTGAAGGGCTGGAAGGAGGTCGAGTACGAGGTCGTCCGTGACGCCAACGACAACTGCATCACCGTCTGCAACATGGAGAACTTCGACCCCCTGGGCACCCACACCGGTGATTCCATTGTCGTTGCGCCCAGTCAGACTCTGAGCGACGAGGAGTACCACATGCTCCGGTCGGCTGCCATCAAGATCGTCCGCCATCTTGGTGTTGTTGGCGAGTGTAACGTTCAGTACGCCCTGCAGCCCGACGGCCTCGACTACCGTGTCATTGAGGTCAATGCCCGTCTTTCTCGATCCTCGGCTCTTGCCTCCAAGGCCACCGGTTACCCCCTGGCTTACACCGCTGCCAAGATCGGTCTCGGACACAGTCTGCCTGAGCTGCCCAACGCTGTCACCCGCACAACCACTGCCAACTTCGAGCCTTCGCTGGACTACATCGTCACCAAGATTCCCCGATGGGATCTGGCCAAGTTCCAACACGTCAAGCGTGATATTGGCAGTGCTATGAAGTCTGTTGGTGAGGTTATGGCTATCGGCCGAACCTTTGAGGAGTCCTTCCAGAAGGCCATCCGTCAGGTCGACCCAAAGTTCGTCGGATTCCAGGGAGACAAGTTTGAGGACCTCGACGAAGTGCTCGCGAACCCCACTGACCGCCGGTGGTTGGCTGTTGGTCAGGCCATGCTCCACGAGGGCTACTCGGTCGACCGTGTGCATGAGCTCTCCAAGATCGACAAGTGGTTCTTGTACAAGCTCCAGAACATTGTGGACTGCACCCGCGAGATGGAGGCCGTTGGTAGCCTCGAGAACCTCAAGCGTGACCTTGTTCTCAAGGCCAAGAAGATGGGTTTCTCTGATAAGCAGATCGCCATGGCTGTCAAGAGCGACGAGGACTCGGTCCGTGCCCACCGACAGGCTATGGGAATTCGCCCCTGGGTGAAGAAGATCGATACCTTGGCTGCCGAGTTCCCAGCTGACACCAACTACTTGTACACTACTTACAACGCCAGCACCCACGATGTCACATTCGATGATAAGGGTACCATCGTATTGGGAAGCGGTGTTTACAGAATTGGTAGCTCTGTCGAGTTTGACTGGTGCGGTGTCAGCACTTCTCTGGCCTTGCGTAAGCAGAACATGAAGACCGTTATGATCAACGTAAGTAGACTCGCATCATTACTGCTCGTTTCCCTTTCTTTCTTCAACATGCGTATTCATATGCTAACCTACAATGAAGTACAACCCAGAGACCATGAGCACGTAAGTTATTCTGGTTCTCCATGAAATTTAGCCGACGACTAACCCTGAGCTAGTGACTTCGACTATGCCGACAAACTGTACTTTGAGGAGTTGAGCTACGAGCGTGTCATGGATATCTATGAGCTCGAGAACGCCTCCGGTGTCGTTGTATCTGTCGGTGGCCAGCTGCCTCAGAACATAGCGCTTAAATTGCAGGAGACAGGCAAGGCAAACGTTCTGGGCACCGACCCAAAGGACATTGACAAGGCCGAGGACCGACAGAAGTTCTCTGGGATTCTCGACAGTATCGGCGTTGATCAGCCCGCTTGGAATGAACTGACCTCTGTCGCTGAGGCTGAGAAGTTCTGCCAAGATGTTGGCTACCCTGTGCTTGTCCGACCCAGCTACGTCCTTTCTGGTGCCGCCATGACGGTAATCCGCAGCCACGAGGACCTCAAGGAGAAGCTGGAGGCCGCCAGCAGTGTCTCGCCCGACCACCCTGTGGTCATCACCAAGTTCATCGAGGGTGCGCAGGAGATCGATGTTGACGGTGTTGCCTCCAAGGGAGAGCTCATCGTGCACGCCGTCAGTGAGCACGTGGAGCAGGCCGGTGTCCACTCCGGTGATGCTACCCTGGTTCTGCCCCCTACCAAGCAGGATGAGAGAACCATGGAGCGCCTCAAGGAGATCGCCCAAAAGGTCGCCAAGGCCTGGAGCATCACTGGACCCTTCAACATGCAAATCATCAAGGCTGACAACCCCGAGGGAGGCGAGCCTCTGCTGAAGGTCATTGAGTGCAACCTGCGTGCTTCCCGATCTTTCCCCTTCGTCTCCAAGGTCCTCGGCACCAACTTCATCGATGTTGCCACCAAGGCCCTCGTCGGAAAGGATGTCCCCGACCCTACTGATCTCATGGCTGTCAAGCGTGACTACCTCGCTGTCAAGGTTCCTCAGTTCTCATGGACTCGTCTTGCCGGTGCTGACCCCTTCCTTGGTGTCGAGATGGCCAGCACGGGTGAAATGGCTTGCTTCGGCAAGGACCTCGTCGAGGCCTACTGGACTTCTCTGCAGTCCGCCATGAACTTCCGTGTCCCCGAGCCCGGTGAGGGTATCCTCTTCGGTGGTGAGGTCTCCAAGCCCTGGTTGACCCAGATCGCCGACTACCTGGCCCCTCTCGGCTACAAGTTCTACGCCGCCGGCAACGACGTCAAGGAGTTCCTCGAGTCGTCGACCAAGGACAAGGTCAAGGTCGAGGTTATCGAGTTCCCCAAGGAGGACAAGCGCGCCCTGCGCGAAGTCTTCCAGAAGTACGACATCCGCGGTGTCTTCAACCTGGCCCTGGAGCGTGCCAGGACCACCACTGACGTCGACTACGTCATGCGACGAAACGCCGTCGACTTCGGTGTTCCGTTGTTCATGGAGCCTCAGGTAAGTTGCCCCGGACACCTTCCAAAGGAGCTTCAAAAGATGCTAACTACCTCACCTTCCAGACCGCCATGCTCTTCGCTCAGTGCATGAGCGAGAAGCTCCCCCGCAACGAGGGTATCCCCTCCGAGGTCCGCCGGTGGTCCGACTTTATCGGCGGCAAGCCGTTGTAAATATAGAGAGAAAGGGGACAGAGAGAAAAGAGATCCATCGTCAAAGTCTCGATGGGATGGTTTTACGGGGGTTCACAAAAAGGAGAGGAAGGCGATTTTGAGACCTTTGTCGTAAAAACACTTTCTACACCAGCACAATTTCTCGTCCATATCCACAAAAAAGCCCAAGACCTGGAAAAACTAGGCCGGGTTGGCAGGCGTTCGAATTGAGAGGATATATCTTTGTCCCCCGGCGGTGGGCATTTCGGTACTTGAGATTATTACTTTTTTATTCTGATTTCAACTCGTTTCCCGTAGTCAAGAGAAAAAAAACATCAAACATCAAAAACAGCTTGGCTGAGAGAGCTGCACGCATCGTCGATGGCATCTATCTCATTTGTGCAACTGTGATCTCTTGTTATGTCTGCGGGCTCGAGGTCGCGCCACCATATCGCCCCGTGTCTATGGCACCAACATTTGCCCACCGAGCCGACCAAGAGCATAGTTTGGGCTCCAGGGGGGTTAGGAAAGAAACGCGATGCTCTCAAAATACGCCTCATACTATGCTTTCGTGAGGTATCCACGTCCCTTCCCTGCATCCGTGCCGTTTCACGACAGCTCGCCACTTGTATACCAAGCCCCCGGCCGGGTCCATTGACGCCGGTTCCTCGCCGCAAAACGCCAAAGCAGTTCGACATCATCTGTCCGCCCGGCTGATCTCCGTCTCGCCGGACAACAGCCTCGACAACGCTACCTACTCGGGTGGTTGGCGGACGGGCACGGCCCGGGGGAGGCTCTTGCCATTTCGTCGGCGCTCACCGCTCAGCCTAAGGGCAGCAAAACGCTTAGCGTCTGGTTCACCGTTTGTAGCAGCAGCAGCAGCAGCAGCAGCAGCAGCAGCAGTAGTAGTCTTGCCACTGGCAGTGGTGGTAGAAGTAGTGGCAGAAGGATCATTGGCTAGGGGATGAGAAGAAGAGGCGTCTTGTTCCCCGTCTCCACTGGGCCGACGAGGACGCTTCAATCTGTTGCTGGGAAGTATCTCACCGGTCGACTGGATGATGGCCTCCAGAGTCTGCCAGCCGGGCATCGAGAAGAGCTGGTACGTGTCTGCGAGGTCGTGCTTTGTGGCCACACGGCAGAGCAGGGCTTCCTCTTCCTGTCATCTTGTGAGTACACCTGCTTGCACGAGCCAAAATCGTCATCAAGTCACTTGCCTTGGAAAGAACGCCCATGTTGTGGATGAAGGTGAGCAGGTGGAAATCCGAGAGTTTCTGCTGGCCGTCTTTGGTCTGGAGGGCCTTGGCCACGGCGCTGGGCTGCTGGCTCTCCCCCAGAGCCTCGCGGTTTTCGATGGGGAAGCTGGGCGTGTTGAAAACGGGTTTTGGTTCCGAAGGGAAACCATGTGTTAGTGTGACAAAGAGGTACTCAACGGGGAACGCGGGCTTGGCGTTCTCTTGCACATTGGCACCGTACTCGTTGATTTTGCGATAGAATACTTCTGGTATGAACCGCGTCCGGCTCTTGGAGCCATCGTCCTCTTCCTCCTCCTGAACAAGCATGACGGTCGGGTCTATCGAGGGCTCGATGATGTTGGAGCGCACCATCTCAACAGCCTCATTCGAGGCCTGGTATGCTGATATTGCGATTTGGCCGGTCTCGTCGCCGGATATGATGCATGTCACGTAATTAGACCCGAAGATGCCTGTGTCACTCCACTTGGTGGGCTTGGGATGCTGAGCTTGCAGCCTTGCGGCGTAGCAAACCTCCAGCGAGGTGAGGAAGTACGAGTCGGCATGTCTCTTGCAGACGACAGATCCATCACCAACACCAGAATCCAACAGGTCACTGAATATGGTTCCGACTGGTTCTAGTCCGCAGAGCTTCGCAACCTGGGTGATCTCTGTCTCGTTCTCGAAGGGGTTCAGCGAGACACCGTCGGTTTCGTCGACTTGAGGTGGCTCGTAGATGGCCTCGACAACCGCCTTAACTCCCAGGGGCACCTCGGTGTACTCTTCGTAATGTCCGTAGAGGAGACCGACTCTCTGGCAGCCGGTCCGCCGCCAGGCATCGATGAACGAGTTGACCATGTCAAAGGTGGCGAACTCGACGTGGTCCACGGCACGCCACGTCTGAGGCTGCAGTATGATGGAGCTCGGCTGGCACTTTGTGCAGATGCCATCGGGCCAGGCGGGATGTCCGGACGGGCAGTCCTTCTTGACACGGAAGTAGGGCTCCTTGAGGGGCGGGATGAAGGAGCTCCCCAGCTCGGGCTTGTTGGTTGCCGAGTTGATCTTGCGCAGGTACGAGTGGAAGGACAGGTACTTGATCTTCTTGTCGGACAGGTACTGCGCATTGAAGGGGTCGAGGGGCATGCAGAAGTCGCACATGCCCTTGGCGCCGTGCTTGCACATCTTGTCGCGGCCGCGGGGGATCTTGCCGTCCTGCCTGTCTAAGCGGTCATCGAGGGGCGACTGGCGCACAACCTCCCAGGGCTTCCGGATGAGGGTGGGCTCCTTGCCCAAGTTGCCCAAGTTGCCCAACGAGGGCGAGTCGAGGGGGACATCGTCGGTCGGGAGGATGGGCTTGCCGTTCAGTCGGTTGGAGGAGGCGGGGATGGCGCCGTTTGCGTGGCCGTTGGCGGTGTCGGCGGCGGCGCGGTGCTCGTAGCTGATGAAGATCAGGTCGCCGTGCTTGAGTCCGATCTGCTTGAGCTTGAACTGGGCTATGTCGGCCAGCGGCTTCTTCTCGCCGCCGGCCGGCTGGTTCGACATGGTGATGCTCTCGGGGATGACGGTCGAGGGCAGCTCCTTGACCAGCTGCAGCCGGGGCGCTTCGTTAGCATACACTCCACGCATACAAGAGGCACGGTGGGGTATCATGAGGTGAGGCGAGGGGAAGGCGTACCATCTGGCCCAGGTGGCCAAAGGTGTCATTCTGGTCGATAGTGACCCTCTTCATGCCATCCGGCCCTCGGAGCCGCAACAGCATCGTGGGCGGTTGTCTGTCTGGTCCGTCTCGGGGGAGGGAAGTGGGGTGGGTGATGGATGGACGGGACGACGTCGAGGTACGCAGCTTGGGAATCGCCGAGCTGCTACCCTGCGCGGAGACGGTGAATGCGTTCAGTAGCGGCCGAGCCGATGTAGGTGAAGTCCAGGTGTTCAAGTATCTGCAGGTGGCCTCGGGCGGAACTGTTTGCGAGGAAGGTCGTTCAACAAACGGGTGCAGTGGGATGTGGTCCCAAGGTGGTGAAGGCGTGCTGTGGACTCCAGCTGCGACTTAGTGGGCACCCTGGCTAAGCTGCACCTTAAGGTACCCTGCTGCCAGGGAGCTTAGTGACCTCAATTAGGCGGTTGCGTGAATGACGTGGGCTGGCCCCGGGCCCGCGTGAGCCACCAGAAGAATGTCCGTGCGCCTCTAGTTAGCTTAATAAGTTACATTCCAGAAGCTCGGTTCCCAGTCGTGCTTTTCTTAATGTCGAGTTAGTCATCACCTTGCCTCAGGCAACTTGCTGTATAACAACGACTTGACACGCAAGCACGCCCAAGTAAGCACCTGCGTTCCGCAGTCGGCTCCAGAACCTTCGGGGGCCAGGCTTATGCCTAACTGGATACTTCGTCGCTTTCCCGTCGTCCAGAGCGCCCTTGGACGTCCGACCTGAGGCCGTTCCTCGGTGGTTATGCGGCTCTCGCGGGGGTACGTAGTATAGCATAGTATACTTCCACGTTCTCACTCCAGTGCTGGAAAAGGGCCACCCCCGGGCCTCTCCACACGCGACTACCTCCCAGTTGCAGCTGGTCCACTCTGCCGCCAAGTTGTACGAATGACTTTTATTGCAAACATGATATTGCCAAACTATTGAATTTCCACGGAGTACGCCTGAGCAAAGCAACCACACAAATCCCGGGATCCTCTGCTTCATCCTCGTGAAGCTACAGCCTGGCAGTGTTGCCGCCATTGCTCCTCCCCCCTCCCAAAAGATTTCTCTGATCTGATCTGACCTGGACCATTTTTTGTTTCTCTCCGTCCGTCTCAGGCAGGAAAGAGAAAGGACACGCGCTTAGTCGGACAAGTGGAGGCCCCGTTCATACCAAGGCCAGGCAGGGCCCTCCACTCCTTCGCCGTCGTCCATCCACCCCCTCGCACTTCTGTGCTCATCGCCCCCCGTTCCCTGTATGATCCTGCCTGCCACTGCCTGCTTGCCTGTAGCAAACGTGACCAGAAACCGCTATTGTACATGCGCGAGAAGGAAATACACAACCCGGGCACCCTGGTGCGCAAAGTCTTGATACTGCAGATAAAGTGCGCTCTGCCGCCAAAGACACTGGGAGAATACAGTCCCCCCATCAAAGCAATGCAGCGGGTTCCTTCCCCAAGACCAAGTCACCGCCAAAAAACATAAAAATAAGAATAACCATGATGGAATAGTAGCGCCAAGAGAGCTTCTGTCGCCAACCCCTCTAAGCACTCGACTCAACCACGGGTGCCTCAGCAGATGCAGCCTATATAGTGTCATTAGATATGCCGTTTCTCGAGATAGACATGTCATTGCCCAATTTCGCTCACCTTTTCTGCTGGCTTTTCTTCGCTCACGGCTGCCGTCTTCGCCTCGGCCTCGGCTTTTGGAGCTTCCTTCACCTCATCCTTGGCCTCGGTCTTCTCTTCCTTGGCCGGCTCCTGCGATGTCTCGGCCTCGCCGTTGACGCCATTGGTCTCCTTGGCATCCTTGGAGGCCGGCGTGCCGTTGACACCATTGGTAGGCGCCGCGGTCGCTGCAGCGGGCGTGGGCTCTACAGCGAGAGTCTTGTTCCACTGCTCCAGAAGCGCTTGCGACCTGGGCTTGAAGTTGAACTCGGACTCCTTGGGAATCTCGGCAATCTTCAGCATGGCCTTGAGCACCTTGTTGATCTTGGTGGCCCGGATGATGTTACCCTCCAGGTCAGGGAAAGCCTCCAGCTTGCCCAGGTAGTCGGACATGCTCTGCATATCTGACTCCTTGATGTTTGCATCCTTGTTGAGAAGACCCTTTTGCAGGCGGTGTCGGAGGAACAGGATCTCTTTCTGCACAGGTAGTTAGCGAATAGGCCCAAGACACAGTTTCTTCACCGGTAGGCAACTCGCCTCTTTGCGCGCAAGCTTCTCTTCGGGAGTCAATTCGGGCTCCTTGGGCGCAGCCTCCTTCTTCGCCTTCTCGCCGTCGGCCTCCTTGTCCTTGGCAGGCTTGGATCCCTTAGATTTGGCCTTTGAAGCCTTGGAGCCGGGCTCCTTGGGCGAGGACACGCCGTTGGCAGCGGCCTTGGGGGTGGAAGAGCTCGTCAACTTGATCTTGGGTTTCTTGACGGAATCCGAGCGCTGCGGGACCTGTCAACAGGGGTCAGTTCGTCTCGCCCGACAAAAGTCGATCGCGTAGATCGAGGTAGGAAACTCACGCCGGCGTCATCTTCGGCCTTCCGCTTCTTGCTCTTCTTGGTATCTGACTCGTCACCCTCTGGGACGTCGGCCATGTCAACATCCTCATCTTCGTCCTTGGGCTCCGACTTCTTGGTGTGCTTCTCCTTCTTGGCGCGGGCGCGGGCGGCCTTGGCTTCCTGGTCGGCCACCCTGGCCTCCTCGAAATCTCGCAGTACTTGCTTGTAGTGGTCGATATCGTTCTGTTCGGCGGCAAGGACGTGTGCTTGTGCGAGATCCTTGCGCATCTTGGCGTGAGCGAGGTCGGCGACGGTGGAAGGATCGAGATCTTCGAGGTCAGTGTTGCGGGTCCAGGAGCTGGGAGGCACCAAGAGTCAGCATCGGGTATGGGGCTGTTACGTCGCATCTCCAGCCACCAGCAACAGTGTAGCGAGAGGAGGGGCCTTTTTGGTCTCTTGTTTTGTTTTGGAGTGAGCACTTACAACTCGTTGGTCTGCAGATACATGACGGCGTAGGATCTGTCCCCAACCTTCTTTCCTCCGTCCTCGTAGCCGTCACGGTAGGTGCCATCGGGGCGCATAGCGCTGACGGGGCGCGCGGCAAGCATGTTCTGGGGAAGCATGACCTCGTCGCAAATGATGACGGGCCACGGCGGGAAGCCCTTGAGCTTGGCAAAGAAGTGGTCGCCCGGCTTCGCGTCGAGGTGCTGGATCTTGGCCTTGGACTGCTTCTTGTTCAGCTTCTTGCCCGTGCTGGCCGCTGCCGACTTGCGGCGGTTCTTGTTGACAGGCGTGGCATCGACTGCCGCCGGTGCAGCTGGCGCGCTCTCGCCCTCGGCCGTCTCGGCGGGCTTCTCCTCGCTGGCAGGCTTTTCCTCGGCTGCGGATTTCTCCTCGGCGGGCTTCTCGGGCTCTGGGGCTGGGGCCTCGGGTTTGGCTTCTGGCTCGTCGGCCTTCTCAGCCGGCGCTGACGCCTTCTCGACAGCCTCGGGGGCGTCCTTCATCTCGACGTCGGCCTTGGCTGCGGGCTTCTCGGCTTCCGCTGCAGCTGCGGTGGTTTCTGGACAGCGGGCAGTCGTGTTAGTTTCCAGCTCAACACGGACAAGGACTCGTGTGTAGTATGCCGACGGCGTTCCCAGAAGCATTGACTTACCCTTGGTTGCGGCAGGCTTGTCGTCGGTCGCGGTGGTGGAGGGTTGCGCATCGTCCGTCTTGACGACGTCAGCAGCAGGCGCGCTTGCCTCGGGCTTGGTGTCTGGCGCCTTCTGCTCCACGGGGGCGGTGGCCTCGTCAGACATGGTTGAAACGTGTTCCGGTGTTGACGCGACGATGTGGGATGCGGGCGATGGATGGGGGGGAAGAGGGAGAGTAAAACGGTGCGCGGTGGCCGCAGCTGGTGAGAAAGAGATAACTAGGTAGTAGTGGCTGGTGGAGAGTTTTGACCTGGCCAGTAGAACTAGCGACGCGAAAGCTGGCCGGGAGGTTCCACTTTGGTCAAGCTCGAAAGCGTGTACTATGGCACTATGGACTACTCTGGCGAGACAGGTAGTAACAACGAGTACCGGGCCAAGCAAGGACTACCACTAGGTAATGGACTGCATGCACCCTGGACGCGCCGTCACGGTCAATGGGGATGGAGAATATGGCGCGGGCCCGATTGCCTGGGGGGGGATCTTGGGATCTTGGGGGTCGGGTGCACGACGATGAGGCGATGCTGCAATTGGGTGCGGGCCACGCTGTCGTTGTTTGGCTGATGACGAAAAAAACCCAGAGAGAAATTTAATTGGGAAAAAGTCCAGGTCCAGGTCCAACCCGTCCGCTATGGAGCAAAATCTCGGCGAGGGAATACGTTGGCTGGAGTATTGAGCGGGGGTCACGTGGATGGATGCGCCGCCCGGCCAGCCAGGAGCCAGGAGCCAGGAGCCAGGAGGACGCGAAAGAGCCCAAGGGGCCCAGCATCGAGGCGACAACCACCCACTCCTCCTGGGACGCCCGCACACGAAAACTAGGCATCCTTGGCCCTCGCATCCGGACACACTCCTCTCTGCCTGCCATCGCCCGCCCACCGCCGCCTGCTCGTGTCCAGCGCCCCAGAACGCCCCGATTCCCATCGTCTCCAGTCCCGCCCGTGCGTGTTGAAGTAGCTGCCTCCTAGAGTCTCACAGACGCCCGCCTGAGTCCTTCAACACAACCCCGAAACCCGCACAACTCCAAACTTGGCAGGGCAACTCACTGTATAGTCCACATCCTCGTCGTGTGAAATTTGAAATGGCATCGATGCCGCTGCCGAAATTGCCTTTTTGGGCCAGTCGTGGCTATATGCCGACACTCCCCTCTCACCACCCATAGTTTCGCATCCCGCCACCTGGACCCATCGCTGACTCCCGATGGATTGATAGTGCGACGGCGTCATCATCGTGACCCGATCATTGTCAAAATCATACTGCTAACTTTTTTTTTTCCTTCCCTCGTCCACCGTAGTTGGGGGGTTATATGGTTGACGCTGTAGACGACACGGCTCGCGTACCAACGTTGCACTCACCAACTCAGGACAACGCCTGATAAGTAGGAATGAACAAGATGCGTAAACACACACCGAGCTTGACAAAACACTGGAGCTCATCGAAACGATCAAATGCGTCAAATTCTCAGAAAGGTCCTGGTTGCACTTCTATTCTCGAGATTACGACGCGATCGCGGGCCGTTTCCTGTAGCGTGTCTTGCTTTTTGGTACAAGTGAGTTATTAATACAACAAAAAGATCATTCGCACCTTGGGGACAAACAGTGGGCATCCCGTCCATTGCCTACTCGTCGTCCTCCTCTTCCTCGTCATCGACTTCCATGCCTTCTCCGACCGTGACTGAAAACGTGGGCTCCTGGTCGACGCCAGAGTAACTATCGCTCATCAAGAAGAGCTTCAGATCGTGCTTTCCAGGCGTCGGTACCGTGTACTCCAGCTTCACCTTGAGTTGGCGGCCGATCGTCACGCGCTTGATCGCAAGCAGTGTCTTCGTGCTCTCTTCTCCCACCACCAGCCACCAGTTCTCCATCTTCTTGGTGGGATAGAATGGCGCGTGGACCGTCGTGTCAACTTCCTCATCCTCCTCCACTTCACGCTCAATTTGTACATTGATGTAGGCAGGCTCGCCCGCCCGGATATCGTCCTCGTCGACGAGCTCGAAGTTAAGGGTCATGTCGGGGTACTTGTTATTGGTGAAGTTCGCGGCCTCGGCCAGCTGCTTCTGCGACAGGCCAAGGCGCTTGATGAGCGTGCCGTAGTCAGGGTTCTCCTCAGGGTTCATGGATTCCATGAAGTCGTAGATGTCCTTGATTCTGTGCGATGCGTTAGCTCCATCGACTGCCATGTCGTTTCTTAGTACATACCCGAACTCGTTCGCCACCTTGACGACCTCTGGCGTGAAATGAGGAATTTGCTTCAACGGACTATCTCGGTCCCACATGGCTTGGACGACCATCTGCGACATCTCCATGGCGTTCATGGCATTGAGGTACCCATCAGACGAGAGAACATCGACAGTAGCGCTCAGTAGACTCAAGACCTTGGAGATTATCACCTCTTGATCTTTAGCAAGATCGATTGGCAGTTGCATCCGTGAGAAGTGCGCCTGCAATAGGACGAATGCCTTGAAATGCGGTGAGTCGTAGACCGGCTCGGACATCTTGACGGGCACGCGATCATAGATGCGTCGGAGCAGGTTTTCTTCATGGCGTCTGATCTGAATGGACTCAAACTCGGTGGCAGATGTCACGATCTCGAGGATACCCTTCAGCTTGGTCTTGGCGCTGAGCGAGAGCAGGAACGTCTGCATCGTGATGTACGAAATGTTGTAGTACGCAGCAATCATGGCGGCGTTTTGGGGCGAGACCGAACCATCGTCCTCGTCAAAGTCGATGATCTTCGATTCGGTCAACTCCTTGAGGGTTGTCTCAACGAGATCTGACAGGTAAGCATTGAGACCGTCATTCGTCGCGCTTGTCAAGCTGTAATAGCTTGGGTTGGCCAGAAGGCGACGGTAGAAGTAGGTGAAAGTAGTCCAATTAATGGCATCCTCAGCAGACTCGATCATCTTTGTGCTCACTTCGGTGACGAAGGCGTCATTCACAAAGTTGTGAAGATGCGACTCGACGGGTAAGGCCTCGTTCAAGAACTTTTTGAAGTACTCGCGTCGGGTTCCCGGCACCATGAGCATACCGCGAGCCCTTCCATCCCGGGACGGACGAAGGGCCTTGCCGAACATTTGCAACACTTCACTGAGGGGATAGTCGATGTATCTGTGCTCCCGCCCTTCAAAATACTGCGTGCCCATAACGACCACCAGATGGGCTGTGCAGTCGAGCTCCCAACAGACATCGCGCGAGGCGATGAGGACCTGAATAGCGCCCTGGTTGTAGAGATGCTTAACGATTCTCTTGTCACTCTGGCTTAATGCCTCATGGTAGTACCCAACACCGTGGGACAGCGCCTCAGCAAGAGCCTCCTCGTGAACGCGCTCCAGGAGCGGGCGGAGCTGATCTGCATCGACATGCAAGAACCGATCTTCGTCATCGTCCGCCAAACACGTGGCAAGGATATCGCGCGCGGTGGATCTGGTTTGCTTTCGGCTAGGCACGAAAACCATTGCAGGTTGATGCGCTGACAGCTCCGTGATAGCAAGGTACGTTGGCTTTGCCATGGCAAGCATGAGCGAGGGGAAGTGGGGAATCTGGAAAGACTGGATGCGCAACTCCAGTGGTACGGGTCGAGCATGAGGGCTGAAGTTGTAAATGTCCTTCTTCTTGGCATCAATCCACTCTCCAATGTCTCGAGCATTGGCTAGCGAGACACTCAAACCGACGATTCGCATTGCCAATTCGGCTTGAGTACGGATGTAATGCATACGAGATACAATGATTTCGTAGATGTATCCCGTCTGCCCACCCAAGAGGTGAAGCTCGTCTGCAATGAAGAGCTCAACCGTGAGAATGTTCTTTCTCCTCTGCCATTGCCTAGAAAGGACATCCCATTGTGTAGGAGTGGCTAAAATGAGGTCGCCCTGTTCAAGAAGCTTCAGATCGGCTGCTGTCTCGCCCGTTAACTTGACAATGTCTTTGCCGCCGCGCAGATGACCTAGTCGCTTTTGCCAGTCTTGTAGTCTAACATCAACTTGTTCCTGTACAGGTGCAATATAGACTGCACGGCCATATTCAGGTTTAGCCCAGAGGCGGAGGATGGCAAACTCGGCGCATACCGTCTTGCCGCTGCCGGTCGGTGCGCCAATGAACACATTGTCGTCTGTGGTGTAGAGGGAGTTGAACGTCTGGGTCTGGATTTTGTTGAAGTAGTCCCAATCCTCATAGACCTGGGCATAATCCTTGGCCTTCAAGGCTGCCACAGGCAAAGGCTGAAGGTCGAGGAGCTGGGTATGGGGCGGGAACTTCTCGGGCAGAATGAGCTTCTGGAAGGAGACCGGCAGCTTGGTTTCCGAGTGCATCCATCTATCTGAGATAACCGAGATGAAGTAATTCGGGGGCATGGGATCAGTGATGGGCACAGTAAAGTCGACCAGATGCTCGTTGTTCTCGGAAATGGCATAATCCTTGCGAAGTAGGAAAGTGTCGTAGAAGAGAACTTCTTCGCCGTCACAATCCTCGACCATAATCCAGAAGCTTTCGCCCGTTCCATGAAGTGTGTCATCCCACTCAAAGGTAGGAGTGATGCTCAATTCGACGCGGAGCAGGGAGCGAGTCATAGGTTGCGCCTGGGCCTGAATCTCAACTCTCGGGAATTTAGAGATAAGTTCACAGACCTTCTTGCCATCTCGAGGAAGTCCAAGCAGTTGTCCCATTCGTGGTGGATCCAGATCGAAGTAGCTGCTCCACGGAACGTCGATTCTTTCAGCCTTCGCGACAATGTGTCGCTCATTGGGCTTCAGAGGGAACTGCCGCAGTGGCGACATTGTAGGCCACATGCGTTTCTCAGCCATTTTGCACAGATCCAACGCCGTCTTGCAGACGTTGGACCAGCCCTTCTGAAGCGTGATTTCGAAGATGGCGCGTAGAATACGACCAGCGGATTGGGTAACGTAGACCATATCGGCCATGAGAGCCAACCCATCAAGCTTGAGCCTCGAGATATAAGCCTGGAGTAGCACGTTGATTTTGGCCATGGGTTCCTCTACGCTTTCCTTAACAGGAATAGGTACTCGCTGGAGGAGCTTCGCGAGTTCCACCTTCTCATCTTGCCTGACGGGTATGTATTTGAACTCAGCACTCTGTGAGAAGACTCTGAACAGCTCGATAGTGGTGATCGATGGCTGGATGAGCTTGTTGTATGTATCCATGGACCCATGCGTGATGTAATAATGCGAGGCGATCCGGCCAAGCTCTGTAGCCTTAAGTTTTCCGGTCTTCTCATCGTAGGTAATGAGATTGGACTTCTTCAGGACCGCGGCAGCCGAGTGGATGAGATCCACACGCTTCTGTTCCAGGGCGTCATCATCCTCATATTCAGCGCCAACGCTGTAGAGACCAGGCGACCGAAGCATTCGGACGAAGAGGTAGGTGTATCCCAGCCATTCTACTCCTTCGTCACGAGTCCGTACATTACCCAGAACAATCTCCGCATTCAAGTTATCCACGAGCTTGCTGGCAAACTGACTCTCGATAGGTAACTGCTGATTCAGCAAAGAGAGATAGTATTGCATCTCGTTTTGCGTGGTGATGATGATGCCCTCACCATATGTGTCGTATTGGGGCCGACCAGCACGTCCAAGCATTTGAAGGACATCCTGAGGGCTCAACTCGACCCAGCTACCCTTCTCAGGCGAGTAAACCGACGTGCCCTTGATAATGACCGTATGAGCAGGCAAGTTGACACCCCAGGCCAGCGTGGCCGTACAGACAAGAACCTGAATCAAACCCTTCTCAAAGAGATCCTCGACATCCGATCGATCAGGTCGACTCATTCCGGCGTGATGTATACCGAAACCATAGGGCAAAAGATCTTTGAGGTCCTGGTCCGTGGCAGACTCCGCAGAATCCTTTAAGACTTCAGTCGCCCCTGAATCATGCCTGATGATCTGGTTGATAGTCTCCATCTCCAGAGCCTTGTCTCGGATGTATCGAGCTGTCTTGGCAGTTTCTTTCCGGGAGTGCACGAAAATGAGCATCTGGTTGTTGTTCTGGCCCACATGCTCGATGACCTTGTTGTACGTGATGTCATTCATGGTTTTCAGCTGCTTGATGGCTTTCCTATCGGTGACTCCGATGAACTCTTGCTTCAGCGGACAGGGGCGGAAAGACCCATCAAAATGGTATAGATCCTTGTTCGCGTCAACGCGAAGGAAACTGGCCACATCCTTATAGTTGGGAAGTGTGGCTGACAATCCAACAAGCCTGACGGGATCTCCTGTCTGCTCGGTCTTCCGAATTGTTCTGCTGACGATGCTTTCCAGTACCGGACCACGGTCATCATGCAATAAGTGGATTTCGTCAATGATAATGAGTCTGACAAGGTTGGTGTAGGTCAGGTCGGTAGCCTTTCGAGTGATTACGTCCCACTTCTCTGGCGTTGTGACGATAATCTGCGTCTCTGAAATTTGCTGTTTCGTCAGCTGGCGATCACCAGTCAATTCGGCGACAGTGATGCCGTACTCCGCGAGTCGCTTGCCGAAGTTGCCAACTTGTTCCTGGACAAGCGCTTTCAGGGGAGCAATGTACACAATCTTGAATGAATCCAAATCAATTTCGCCTGTGTCGGGGTTGCGGTGTTTGCCGATCTCTCGCAAGATCGTGAGCATGGCAACGTTTGTCTTTCCAGACCCGGTGGGAGCGCAAATGAGCATGTTGCCGTCATCCTGGAAGGCAGACGGGTAGCACTTGGACTGGATCTTGTTGAGCGACTTGGCACCGGACTGGCTGAAAGGCACCCTCGACCATTCGGGCATGTCGGTTATGGGAATATTCAGGTCGGAAGGATCATTGCGCTTCTTCGGCGCAGGGACGTGAATCTCTTCATAACCCTTGAACGTCCGCTTCGTTGAGCCTTCGGGTAACCTGACTTTCGGGTTGGTCATTAGGTGGTTACCTTGGTCGAAGATGAGGTTCTCCAGGTTGATGGTTTTGCGAGGCTGAAGACCCCCCACAAGCTCACCCTCTGCACGCTCAGGCTTGGGCGCGGCACCATCGGCGAACGACGCCGGAACATCGATGTCCATTTTGATTTCCATCTTCTTGGGTCCATCGGCCGGCTTCTTGCCCCTGAGTTCGTCCAGTATCCACCTGACACCCTCGGAGGCCATCTCACGTTCAACCACGCCACGTTCCTCGTTGTTTTCGGCTTGTGCTAACCTCGTAAGCCATACAACCTTTTCGCGATTTTGAATGAGTTTTTGCACAACTTCGTGATGCTCGTAGTCAAACAGCTCCATCAGGTCGTTTTCGATCTCCCGGAGTTGCCTTTCCTCGCCTCCTTCCTCATCGGCCTCGCCCGAAAGGATATGGAGCGCTAGCCTGGTCTTGTCGTGTTGCATGTGCTCATCAGGGTATAACTTTCCGACCTCTCGCTGCAGCCAATACCGATCAATATCGCGTGCCGGGATGTAATTTTGCCCTTTGGGCTTGCTAGCATCTTTGGCACCAGTCGGGGCCGAGTCGATAATCATTTCTTCGCCATCTGCAAGGCCCGCAGACTCCTCGTCTCTGTCCTGGCCTGCCTCGCCAGCTCGTGCTCGCTCCTCGAGACCTGGGACGTCCTCTTCGTCATTTTCCATCCCAGCCTCGTCGTCCGAAGATTCATCGCGGATTTCGTGTTGCACAGCATCTTCGTCTTCATCTTCGTCGTCAAAGACTACAGCAACACCCTGACGCTCGTCGAGTTCTGCTTCGTCCTCTCCAACGCCGCCTGCGTCAGCCATTTCCTCGTCGTCTTGAGCATCATAATCTGTGATCTTCTTGCCCAGGTTGACAAGCTCGTTGAAGTCCTTGGGGTTCAGTGTTACACCCAGAAGGTCGTCGACTTCCTTCTTCTTGTCAAAGTCTTTCATATCATCGTCCTTCAAGTACTCCAGCACAGCATCCGCCGCGCTGACAACGATCTCGTGGGACACGTCGCCAAGGTGGTTCGCCACGATGGTCAAGATGAACTCAAAAGTCTGGCGGGTCGCGGGCGTGCGCGGCTTGTATCTCAGGTCCTCGATGAGCAGGTCGGCCTGGCCCAGAATACCGGTAGCTCTCATCTGCGAGGGCGCGCCCTTCCTCCGTTGCTCGCGCGCCAGAATGTCTGATCCCTCCTGCAGGCTGCCTCTCTCCACGGATGGGCCGGTGACCTTCTTCTGCTTGGGCACCGACTCGCGCGCAACGCGGCCGCCCATGTCTTGGATGCTCAAGCGCCCGGCAAGCGACTCGGGGTCGCCTGTGGCCTCATCGGTTCGTCTCGTGATGAACCGACGGTCCGCCTGGAGAACCAGGTTGGACATTGCCGAGTACTTGTACTGCGACACATCGCGCGCGTGGTTGTCGCCCATGTTGGCGGTGTTGAGGGCGAGAGCGCGGGCGTCGCTTGTGTTTGATGTTGAGGGTGAAGGTGTGGATGCCGCTTGTTTGGCTCACGAACGAGGCGCCCTCTTCGTGTCGAGGCTTAGGTCAAACGCATCGGAGGGGGTCGGCGACTCCGCGGATGCTGGAAACGAGCCTTTGAACGCCTTGGATGTAGTTGTGGGTGGACGGTAACTCAAACTGTCTTCGGTCTGCCTGGAGCTCTCTAATTGCCTAAAGCTGGATGAGGCTCTGGGACAGAAATTTTGGTTGCTGTCGCACTGATCCCCGCCACAGCGACCGAACTAGGTACAGAAGCTCGGGCGCCACATTTGAGATGGAGCTAGAGGCCGGGCCAGGGCGCGCTATGATTGGCTGAGACTACTTACACGAGCGGTCAGTCAGTCTACTCCTTGTGAAAGCGCTGTAATCCCTTTGTTTGCAAGATGGCAAAACATTATCACCATTATAAATATGTCATATCTCTGGTTACCCCAGTACATAAGTTGCATTGTCGGTGAAAAGGCCACACCTCTTACGTTGCATTGAAGTCGTGATGCGACCAGAGTGGGGACCAAGCCGATTGCCAGAGCTTTCGTATATCTCCAGCTATGGCGTATCGATGGCCTGCCTCTAGCCCTTGGTGGACGTGGCGAGCCATGCAAAGCTACAGTCTCCAACTTGTATAATGAATCCTTAAAACGTCGCGTCGCCATTTCTTATTTGAGTAACAGTTGATGCCCCAAAGTAGAGGACGCAAGGAAGACGAGCAAAGAGGCAACCTGGTTTAGACCACGTTACTGTGTTATTTGCTGCAGCGAGATATAACATGTAAGATCTTAAGTTGGCTAGCCGGGTAGGGTTCTGAATAAGCAGTAATATGAAAGAATGGTCATCAAATTCCATGCTATTTGGTGTTTTGTACGTCCGTATGGTTATTGTGAACCAGAACATAACGAGCGTGTAGGCTTATTGCATACGTAATCTATTAACATTGCCAATGCTTGTCATCTGTACGTAGTTTCACCAAATCAAGACATCTTTACATATCCATCCTCTGTATTTTCCAACATTTCCGGCAGTCAGACCTGGAATTACAAGAGTATGGGATGGTGCGACAACGGAAGTGGGATAGCTCTACTGTACCCAGCCCTCCGTTTTCTGTTGTTTTTTCCCCCAACGCAGTTGCCTTCATGGATGGATTCTGCGATTACCCTTGTTCGTAGTCCGCTTTGCAAAATTTTATGGAGAGCCCTTCGCGGTTGGTAGTCACTATTCAAAAAGCATCGCTCAGCTGCGTAACCCATATACCTGAAGGATCTCACCCGCCACATCCAACGAGATCCCGTCAGATATTGGTAGCCTTCCTGGAGGATGAGTCCAATTTGCAAAAATGTACTGGCCAAATAGCAGACGTGTTACGCGAGAAATATCCCGCTTCTTACTGGCTCGAATTTTGAAAATCGACTGCGCATTCATCAGAGCCAGGCAGGCAATCACTTTGAGGAGGTAAGTATTTATATTTAAACCGATTCCTATGCCAAATCAACCGAGAATGGAAACCTCCTAGATAGAATGGCCACTCTTGCGCCTCTGCCAAGAGCGCCGACTGATCCAATTATGACTGGTTATCCGACAGACGCATGAACCAGTTCAAGCGAGACTTGCATGTCCCCATCTACTAAGCCCAAGGCCTTACGAGACATACAGGCTATAGCCTCTTCCATGATACCTAATTATCAAATTAAATAATTAGGCTCTAAATCGCATCGTCAAATATTTCGCTAGGATACTAACAGTGATTTCAGCCTCGCCTCCCCTTTCTTTTTCCAATGTGTGTATTGAAACTGGCTATGGAACGACTCATGCTGATTGTCTCATTTAGGGAATAGCATAATTATTTGCTCTTTACAGCTGTGAAATGTCACTTTCGCTTTATTTCTCAGCTTCCCGTGAATGAATTACCACATGCGGTTGCAACCAAGTCCACTTCAACCCAGCGGGATATAGTACGTGGCTAAGAGGTTGTTGGGCTCCGACATAGTGCTCGTGTAGCCTTGGAGGGAGGGCTGTCTCATCCATCAGGACTAATTTGCCAGTAAATTGAGAAGCGGGTGTAAGAGAGCCGCACTACAATCGCATGGTTGGACTGGCTTGTACGTTTCTTTCCAGTCCAATCCTCACGCCTGTGGCTTTGGTATATTACCTCCGCGCCACCAGAAGCCGTTCAGACCCAACAGGATCAATCCATTCCTTAGACTCGCTGATTCAGGGTGCTGTCCTATCTTTGGATGTCTTCATATAAGCAAGGAAGGCCTAGACTCGACTGCTGCTGGCACATTCCTCACAATACGAAGGTCTTTGCTTCCGCCTTCTGCCAAGGTGCTTAGAATCTCAACACCGCTAGGTCGTGTACTCCTTCACCTACATTTCAGTATCCCTATTCTGCCTTATGCCAAGATCAACGAAGGTTCGATCCTCATGGCTCATGTAGTCGGCTGCCTAAAAACAAAATCTGTTCTGGTACTTGTACGATATCTTAAGTGTATAAAAGGCTCTCTGTGGTGGCCTTGAAGAACCATTTTTCGCTGTTCATCACTGTCACTCAAACCGCCGGCCTGTTTGGGTCAAATTCGCTATTCTTCTCTGTTGTCCCCCCCTTTCAACTTAGACTGTCTCTGCTCCCTTGTCGCCCTGTGTCTTGTTGTCTACAACATGCTTTCCAAAACTGGTATCCTCATGGCGCTTGGCGCCTATGGAGGTTTGGCTGCCGCCCTGCCTACGGAAGATGTGCCCGCAGCGTTGGAACGCGCATTTATTAATCCCAGCTTTAACCACACAGAGCATCTAGAGCTTGCTTCTCGCGCGGCAGGGTGCGGAGATCCTCCAGCTGAAAATCCACGTGCCCTATGTGGAGCGTTGTTCCAAGGTGTAAGCCGAATTCCGATGACCTGAGGAAATACACCGTGGCAATTTACCAAGCACTAACACACCGGTGTGCAGGACTGGAAGGCAGCTGCTTTAGCCGCTGCACCGCAATTCAACTTTGCCCGCGAGAACCCAAGCTACGAGGCCTGCTACCCTGAGGGGGCGACGAATACCAAGGGTGATGGGATCAACCCCGGCACCGGAGCACCCAACGGCCTCAGTCCCGGCAAGGACTGCACCAACCCTGGAAAATACACCGGCTCGTTCTCAGATGGAGATCCTTTTCCCGTTTACGTGGATATTCGTTACTGCGACGGGCCGCAGCCCACCTGGCGTATTCTGTACAATCTCTACTACGTCCATGACTCGACCCACAAGCATGATTGGGAGGTAGCTGCCGTTGTGTGGAAGAAAACCAACCACGAGGGGTGGTGGACTCGTCACGCCGTTGTCATGTCCATGCACAGTAAAGAGAAGAACTACAAGTGGGAAGACCTATTTACGGTGGACGGACCGGAAGATAAGAAGCGAGTCGAGAAGGACGGTGGCCAGAAGCGCAACCATCCCAACCTCTACATTGGCATGTGGAAGAACGGCTTCTTCTACAACCAGAAGACTTCCTGTCACGGGCAGTGGTGCTCCACCAACGACGACGAGTACCGCAGCAACGACTGGGTCCGCATCCCTACCGCCAGTGAGCTCAGGGCCGCCTCGGACCTCAACAAGGACTGGAAGTGGGGTGGCACGACGAAGCCCTACGACCGTATGTTGAAAGCTTGCGACTGGGAGATCCCAGCCATTTAGAATATCAGTGACTTCCGTGTGGCTTGAGGCTGAGCAACAAAGTCAGGAGCCTGAGGCCTGGATCTTTGTTTAGGGCATGTGGGCGTTTATAAAGGACGGTTGGCAGTTTTTCGTTCTCGGTAATAGGCCGGGAGTCTCACACTCGTTTAGTATTTCATCTTACATCATTAAGCATACATAGAAAATTCCTAAAGTCGACAGTGTTTCCAACTCTAACCACGATCGAAAGCAAACACCCACGCATGGGTGCAAAGATTGACTCGATATAGGGCTGCACGATGCAATTTGCGTGGGTTGCCAATCACATGCTCTTAGTATAGAGTCCCTTATTGTCAGCTTTCAGCTCCACCACTGGATATGATTGACTTTGACCACATTCTTGATCGTCACATAACATATAATCAATAAATCATCCATTTTGTCGTTATGCAGGCTGTTATTAATGAGTTTGGGTCGGAGAATAAGGCCGGTCCCAGGAGCAGGGTTCTCATTGGAGCAGACGGCCCCCTGGGTGGGGCGGGTTGGTCAATCAAAACAGGGGCCTCGAACGCGGTGAAGCTCCGAATGAGTACCATGTAACTCCTGAGTCAATATCATCACTCTATAAGTGGTGATCAAGTCTTTGCTTTCTGGCCACTCACGATTGAGTCTTCCTGAAAGAGGGTTTTGAGAGTCTGGAAGAGTCATGGAGGAAGAACAGCAAGTTGAGCTGTTACATCAGCTCGACAATGCCCTCCAAGCCAGGCTCCGTCCCAGGGAGGAGGCCGTGATGGTCCGGAAGCTTATGGCAGCGCAACTTGCACAAAGCGTTGGCAGTGATCAGCTGCAGCATCCACTAGCACTCATCGACTATGACGCCAAAGTGACAGAGTCAGCTGAACTACGGGGTCGCCAGGGGGACTTCGTTGAAGCTGTGAAACGAGGTGTTGACGAATACAAGAGATTCGCCTCGCTCCTTGCCCAGCAGCAGGACTTAGCGGACCAGGCGCAGCAGCAAAAGCAGCGCGAGGACGAGCTGAAGGAGAACGACAGCCAGATCTTGGATCTGCATCTCGAGGTGGCGCGACTGCAGAAGCGATACGATCGCCTGCAGGTTGTACGCAAGACCCTCGACGAGCTTCAGAAGCAGCCTGCGGGAGCGCCCGACTTCCTGGACCCGGACATTATGTACAAGGACTGCGCGCCACTTCCCGAGATGCCCAAGGAGATGGTCGAGGGATTTGCGACCGACCACTCGGGCACCGACACGGAGGCCGAGGCGCTGCTGCAGAACCTGAAGAAGACGGTCCTGCGCAGCAAGCTCATCGCCCAGCGCGAGCAGAGGCAGTACGACCGCGAGCAGGCCCAGAACCCGTTTGACCCAAGCACGCTGCCGCCGCCCGCCAAGCTGCATGCGCTCAACGCCGTCAAGAACACTCTGATCAGCTGGATAGAAACGCAACTGAGCAAGGCCGGTGACGACGGTGCCGACTCAGAAGTCGAGGACACCGAGAGGCCTTCCGCTTCCAAAGTGCAGTATGACCACGATGCCGTGATGGAGGACATCCAGGCCAAATACCAGACGCACCTCGCGTTACGGAAGCAAATTCTCGGTCTACTTGCCCAGGCAGAGCAAATCAAGGCCCCGAAAGTACACGAGGCGAAGCCAAGGCCCAAATCGCAAAACGCGCCAGTCTCCAAGCCAGAGCCATCGGCATATCTGCTCACGCCTTACATTGAGCAGCTGCAGGCCCTGTCCCGAGAGCAGAAGTCGACAATCCAGGAGAAGTCCCACATCAACGCCAGCCTTGGGAAGCAGCGCGAACACACCCAGCAGGCGCTGGATCATCTAACCCAGGAGAGCCAGCTGCTTCCCAGGTATCCTGTCGCCAAGGAGCCCTCCAAGTCGAGCACCAGCTTCGATCAGGCGACCCGGTCGAGCAGCAGGATAGATATCATGCGGCAGATACAGCCGTGGATTTACGCCGCGGATTCGGCCAAGATTGCCACTCTAGAGACCGTCGCCGAAAAGGTGGAAGAGGGCATGATGTCGATCGAAGAGTCGCGGCAGAATCTGGAAGAGGTCTGCAAGCTATTCAACATTAACCTGCAAGAATTCGTGGGCAAGGAGGGAGAGAATAGGGGTACTGAAGGCGATGTAGAGCACGATCTGGTTAGCCCGAGGAAGGGGCATGAAAAGAAGAAGAGCGAGGTCGAGCCGCCGAAGACCGTCTGGGACATCTTGGATGGCAATCTTGGGTCTATCAACGAATGAGCGGGAGCAAAGAGAGCACAATGATGTGGCTTGACCTCGCTCTATCTCGCGAGAGAAATGTTTGCCAATTAGTTCTAGAGCCTATGTAGCCATTTTCTGCATATACAGATGAGAGCTTGGGTCGCTCTGACTCCATGTTCCCGAAGCCACAAACAACCTAGTTGAGAAACGCCGTTTATGTCCATTTTGACGCCTACACCTCAGAAACCGTGCGTGATCGTAAATCTAACCCTTTCCAGCCATGATATTGGATATTCTCAACGCCAGGTCCAAAATAGACAGGTGCTCGTCAGCGCCGTCCACTAGTCTCTTATCGACTTCCGAGAACACCAACGTAATCTTGTTCTTCTGAATGTCCGGTATCGTCTCGTCTTGGATGACGGCTTGGTACAGCTGCCAGAGAGTTAGTCTTGGACTACACGAGTAAGCCAGGGACAACATACTTGGGTAACGACTTGGGTTGCGCTCCATCCGTCGGCAACCATATCCTCTACGACCTTCGCAACAGCCTGGTACGTGGCGGCTGCCGAGCGTGGTTGCATGGCTTTTTGCAGGTTCCGGATCGTGTCTCCAGGTATCACACCGGCAATATCCTCGACGGTTTTCACCGTGACTGTTTTCGCATCTTCGTCAACGTCCATCTTATCGCCGTCTCCCTCCCCGCCGTCTTCCTTCTCGATAGCGCCTACGAGCCTCGCGGCACTCTGCAGAAACGTGATCGCCTTCCGCAGATCGCCCTCACTGCACTTGATCAGGGCATCCACTGCGCCTTCCCCGAGCGCAACACCCTCCTTGTCTGCGATGTCTTCTAATCTCTTCTTCGCATTACCCTGGTCTAGGCTCTTGAAGCGAAATTTGCTACATCGACTGGCGAGAGGGTCGATAATGCGGGTGACGTAGTTGCAAATCAGACAGAACCGTGTGATCTTGCTGTAAGTCTCCATGGTTCGGCGGAGAGCGGACTGTGCGTCCTGCGTCATACTGTCGGCCTCGTCGAGGATGATGATCTTGAACGGCGGGACGGGGTATCTGTCCTTGTAACCTGGAGGAGGGTTGACGAGCTGCATGCGCGCAAAGTCCTTGACCTTCTCCCGGACGATCGAGATACCACGCTCATCCGAGGCGTTGAGCTCCAGCACTCGGGCCTTCATCATCTCAGGCCCGTAGAGCTCCTTCGCAAGGGCGAGGATGGTCGAGGTTTTACCGGTTCCGGGCGGGCCATAGAATAACATGTGTGGGAGCTGGATCGAGGCATCGTCAGCGCTGAAGCAGAGGATCGGTTTGCGGGCGAGGCAAGAGAGACACTCACGTTGGACGCTTGTAGTGTTCTTTGAAGTACGTTGACCGTGTGGTCCTGTGCGGTGACGTCGCTCAGGGTCTTCGGTCGGCTACACATCACAGGTTCTGTCAGTGACTTCTTCACACTTCAATGGGACTATCTAATGACGTGGGGATGTCCTCACTATTTCTCGACCCAGGGCTGCTTCCGCGCAGTCTTCTTGGCGTCCTCTGTCTTGGGGCCGGAGGCGCCATTCGCAGCAGCAGCCTTTCTGGCTTTGAGATCGAAAAAGCTCGCCATGGTGGTTTCACTGCAGAGGCAGGGCGCGCCTACTCCTTTCTCGGTATATGGACTGCCTTCGCAAGTAACAAGCGCCGGGGCTATTTGGGAGAGGTGATGACAGTTGCGATACCACGAATATGTGGCGTATCCTCGGGTGCTAAACGCGTCTAGACGCGTTGAGCTTTTTGCCAATTAAGGGTGGGGCTAGCCAGCGCAGCTCACCCCCAGCCCACCATCTGTCTGGAGGCTGTCTGTACCTTGACAGCGGTTACATAAGGCAGCCAAACCAAGGTATCCAACCTAGGTAATAGTCAAGTACTTCAGTACGAATAGAATCAGAACATTTTCGCCTGCTGGGAGCTCTCGATGACAACGCGTACAAATACATGTACGTAGATCCTCTGATGGCTTCGGTCAAGGACACTTACCCAGATACTCGCACCACCTCCCAATTATCAGATGGACCAGTGTGAGACGTACGAACAGACCCTACTACCTCGAACGATTGACGGGAGTTCATAGCGTTGACTTGTTGACAGAGATATGACTGGAACCGCCAGCTCTTCGTTTGTTGGCTGTACAGATGCACTACAGTGTACCACATTGTCGTCTCTGGAGCTAGGCTTACATGATTGCGTTACATTCGGTGACCGCTTTCCAATCAAACAAATGCTGCGATATGTGTGCGTCGCTCATGCCTGTCTAGACCCAGCACTGCAAGCTGCCAAACCCCCAGCAACCCCCAGCTCTGGTGGGATGAGCAGGGATGAGCATCTCTGTGATCGACGCTCTAGCCCCATCCCATGGGCCGGCAGCTGATGGGAATCTGTGGCCGAGATTGAACATTGGCATTTCCTTCCTCCATGCACCCAGATTCGCTTTGTCCCCGAGAAGCTGTTTTAGCGCCCCGTGGCTTTCCAACAATGCCCGCAAGCTAGCACTGCCTGGGCGAAGCATCGTGATTAATCGTGACGGTGGGGGGCCCTCTTTGCGGGGCATTATCGCTAGATGACGTAGATGACGATGGTGCTGTACCATACGCAACGCTCTGCCGTACCGGCGCTTGGGGCCTTGCTCGCGCGTGTACTCCTTCGCGGAACAAACTTTCCCTCATATCCTTGAGGTCTGCTGATCGGAGGATCTTTTTCTTTAGCAGGGCAGGACGAAGACTTTATCCTTTCCCAATATCCTGAGATTTCCCAGTCGTCACTTTGACGCTTTCTGGAGTTCTCAAGCAAAGCTGTATACTAGACTAGGAGGAGCGCATCTCAATCATTATCTTTTTCTCGACCTTTGCGGTCTATCAACAGAAATGGCCAATCTTTGGGGCTCCAAGAAGGACAACGATGATGGCGAGGCCGCCGCGGGCTCGGCGAGGAATTCGGAGGACCACGAGCAGGCACCACCAGATGAGCATACGCGACTGCTTCCGAATCGTGTCGAGTCAACCAACTACCTGAGCCCAGACGATCCCGCCGTCTCGCCGTACAACCTGTGGTCCGTCCGCATCGTGAGGTACCTGACCATCTTCCTGACGCTTGTCACCTTTGTCTGGTGGGTCATACAGCTGGTGTCTGTGTTCGTGACGCCTCCTGGATTCCACACTCGAGCTTCCGGGTTCTTCGCCTTCAGCTATGCCAGCGTCACTCTAGCCAATTTGCTGTTCAGCCTGATTTTCTTCGCCATCCCGTCCAAAGCGGTACGGATTTTGAGTATCGTCATGGGCGGCCTGTTGCTTATTGACACCGTCTTGCTACTATCTGTGGAAAAGACGAGACGTGAGGAAGGGTGGGTTGGTATTGTGAGCATACTGTGTGAGTTATCCCAACTGCGACATAGTCACTCATATGGATTACTTCTATCGGAAACTAATGGTAAGCGCAGGGGCGTTCCTCATCGCTGTTTGGGTTCTCGCCACAGACCGATTGGTTCTCTGGGGAAAGAATGAGGAGGAGGAGAGATTGACGGGCCGAGCTGAGACACGGAGGACCTTGGGCGAATGGACCGCAGTCCTCCTGTCGACCCTGGCAATGGCCATCCTCTCAATTGTCCTTCTGCTAACGACCCTTACGCTCATACTCCGCGCCCTCGATGCTGGTCTGGCACCACCAGGCCAATTGTACGCCGTGGACGACGGCAAGTACCAACTACACGTCTACTGCCGAGGCAACAAGACCGACGCGAAAGGCATCAAGCTGCCAACGGTGCTCCTGGAAGGCGACGGGCCAGTTGAGGGCGGTCTTTGGCCGTTCGCCGATAACGCTGTCAAGAACGGCTCCATCAGCCGGTACTGCTTTGTAGACCGCCCTGGAATGGCATGGAGTGACACCGCCCCTTCGCCTTCATCAGCCGGCATGGCGGTCGAGGCCGTCAGCGAAGCACTAGCCAGAGCCGGCGAGGAAGGGCCCTGGGTCCTCCTAAGCGCGGGCGTCGGGTCGATATACTCACGCATCTTCTCGGCCCGCCACGGCGATGCCGTCACAGGACTCGTCCTCGTCGACCCGTTCCACGAGGACCTGCTGTACCAGATCGGCGCGCCTGGGCGAGGCTTCCTCCTCTGGATCCGGGGCGTGCTCTCGCCTCTCGGCCTCGACCGCATCCCTGGTGCGCTGTTCAAGGGCCGGACCAAGGAGGACCGCGTCTGGGGCCAGTCGGCATACCAGACGGGCAAATACGTCTTCACCAAGCTGCAGGAGAACCTTGTGGCCGACTCCCTGACCAAGCGCGACGTCACCAGCAGCCGCGCCATCCAGTACAAGGACACGCCCCTCACCGTCATCAGCTCCGGGGACCGAGTCCGCGAGGACGACGAGTGGGAGAAGAAGCAGCGTGACCTGTCGCATCTGACGAATCGTCTGCAGCACTGGGACATTGTGAACAAGGCTCCGCATGAGGTATGGAGCACTTTGGAGGGCCGTGAGGTCATGGAGAAGAGACTGAAGCAGATGGTGTACATTTAATATCACGGATGATGTGGAGATGAGGTACGAAGTTGACGTTCTATGGCGCATAACGGGTTTCGGGCACGAGATTGGACAAAGAGCGGAACATACCCCTCAAGTATTGCATTCGAGTATAGCTGTTCGTTAGTAATTGGCGATGTCAGATTGTTAATACCCAAATACACTGGGATTTTGTCCCTAAATCGGCACTCTGAGCTATGATTTCGCAAGAGCGATATGATATAATCATTCAACACACCTTCGCTCATCATTCATTAACTAACATTGTCCTGACGGGTATGATATAGACAAGAGCAAAGAAACGCTAGGTCCCATGCCTGCAAGACATCGTAACATTTCATCCCAGAAAAGGCACATTACATACATGACGCCATCCCGACGTCTTTGGTATACCCCACTCCACCAGACATATAAATCAAGCTGCTGTAACATCATAATACATTCAGAGCACGCTTGGCTTAATTGAGCTCGTGTTACAAGGAGAAATGCATTGACAAGACTATGGCGAACAGAAGCGCCATGGGTATCAGCAAAAGCAATCAAATCGATCATCGGTCCTGTCGGTTCATGCATCTTCTTTCAGGTCATCCAGTGGCAAACTGTTCATCGAGGAGAATTGGCTGGCACTAGTTCGAGAACCTTGGGACGTTCGAGACCCTCCCATTGTCTGGAACGATTGCCTCATCTTCTTCTTCTGCTCTGCCTTCCTCAGGGCAATCTGTTCGGGATCCGGGCCAGGTCCAGAAGGCTTGATTGCCTCTGCAGGCAACGTTGCAGCTGGTATGTGCAATTTGGCGCCTGCTCTGGGGTCATTTGGCGATATGCCGGCCCTCTTATACGCATCTTTCTTGTAGTTCTTCAGAGCTTGTTTCGATGGCTCCGATGTTGATACCCAATCTTTGATCTGAGACAACCACCGGCCTTTGGTCTTGCGGTCTTCGGCCTCTGCAGTGGAGTTGCCTCGACTTATTCCGCTGCTGCTGCTTGAAGACAGAGTACAAGAGCTTTGAGACGCGCTTTTGCGGCGACTGTGATCCATGTTCCAATTCGGGGCTGACTTTGGCGACTTTGCCGTTGGTAGTCTTTTCTTGGCCACTGCGGGTAACTCGGAGTTTTGCCAGTCACAGAGCTCTTCTGCAGACTGTAATTCCAAGTTTGACAGCCTCAGTTGTGTATCAAAGATCAGTTTTCTTGACTTGGGAATATGCCGCTCTGTTTTACCTGACTGAGAGATATTCAGATGGGAGGCGTCCAGGGATTTGGCGGCCTTGTGTTGAGATAAGGAACTGCTCTTGATGCGAGCAGCTATATTTGTCTTCTGTGTGGTTTCGAGAACTCCCGAAAAGTCCGTTCTAGGTACTTTGGCGCTCTTGTCCACGAGGTCCGTTGATGCCCGGGAGAAAAGTAGAGAGTTTTTGGGTTGGGAAGTCAAGAATCCTAATAGGGTGTCTCGACGTTGTTTTTTGTTGCGGGTTGGTTGCTCCTCTGTCGACGTTATGTGCGTAAGTTGACCAGGGTACGCCTGAAGAGGAGAAGACCAGTCCTACAGATATTCCTTCTTGGCGTGCCTATTTTCGTCGACCCCAAAGACGAATGCGTCCTCTACTCGTCTAGCGTGTGTTCTGGGTGGACTATCTACGGAGAAAACACTGATATTGCCCGGTTGGTCCCAAATGCTCGGTGTTCTGCTGGACGAACTGGGACAGTGCGTATTTTGAGTTCCACTCGACACACTTATTGGATAGGAGAAATTTCGAGGTGCTGACGAAGGAGAGAGTTGATGCTGTGCTGCGTTCTGTGATTTCCTGACTTCTCTTGGGAGGAACCAAGTACCTGTAGGCGATTCGTTGATATTGAACGGTCCAAAGTCGGTCATGGTTTGTCAAGTGAAAGGTCCGGTAGAGGCAAGCCCTTCTCGTTCGAAAGCGCAGAGCGATTTCTTGTCTCTCATATGAAGCAAAGATGGTATATGCCAACGTCGAAGGGAAAGACGTCTGGCCAAGGCGAGCAAGATTGCCGGATTCTTGTGGGACGGGTGCCTGCGACGAAACGTGGAGACCTGACTTCTATAGTCTAAAAGTTTGAACCAAGGACAGTTGAGGTGGGCCCTTGGGTCTGGGGGTTGAGCTTGTAGTGTACGGTCAACAGTTAGCTGATGGTGCTAACAAACCGCACGGGTCGGAGGTTTTTCGCTGGCACGTCGTCAGCCTCTCGTACGACCCCAAGCATACACACTCGCGATGTGCCTAGTTTCTCCGAGGCCTGACAGGGTCAGATGCGACACAATTGATGGCGTTCAGAGGAGATTGGGAAGAATATCAGTCTCGGAAAATGAGAATAGGCAGGCATAGATAGAAAGGTGCCCCGAACGCCCCTCGCGGCAGCAACAGACGTCGTGGCAGCAGTAGAGTCAGAGTACTCTCTGCGGGCAGTCGAGGTATCGAGTGGTGCGATGGATGGATTTCAATTCTGCACGGAGCCGAGACATGCGACACACGTGGGCGAGCGAAAGAAAAAGTGTTTTGAGATGGGACGAGGAAGGCACGAGATGCGAGGGCTTATTAGACTTCGTACCGCACGCCTAGCCACAACCTTCTGCCATCGTCAATATGCAACCTTCCGATCTAGGTCGTCGTGCACAATCCATATGCGGTTTTCTTCAGCTGCATCTCACCTACAGCCTGCTCTAGCCATGAACCAGATATTGCTTCTTCTGGGGGGGGGTTTGACAGGCCGTGCTGCAGCGCGCAGCCGCAGCTCTCGCCCATGCATTGGGATGACAATGGATCAAGCCAGCAAGTGGGCGCGCGGCTTATAAAGAAGAAAGTCTAGGCGAAGACTGCCCACGCGTTGCGGGTAACCGGGCTTCAGCTCGGTCTACTCAAGAAGGACGCCACCCAGCCGTTTTTAGTGTAAAAAAAGAAAATCACAAGCACCACTCAAATGAACTGTCAGTCATCAATGTCTAGCTTGCCTCGGCCGCCATACATCTGCAGCCGGCTCGAGCCAAAGAGATCGACAGAAGCCCTCGTGGGCAGATATCAGAGCGCCACTACATGCACATTTTGACGGTCTATCGACGAACTAGCCTAGGTACCTCCAGAGCACAAGCAACCTGTGACTAAAGGCGGACCGACTCCGTATGAGCCGGATCTCCATTGCGATTCCCCATTATGTGACCTTTTGGTTCCAGCAGCCCGGATAGTTTCGCTCGGCTGCTGGTTACATGTGCCCATCCCGATTCGGATCGATTTTGAGTTGGAACCGCCGTTATGCCTACCATTAACCGTAGCTAATCACCCCATATGGTAAGGATTGTGCAGCTGGGAATGCAACGGATCTATCCAACGTTGCGAGACCCCGGACGCTCTACGGAGATACAAGTAGAGCTCACGTAGCAGCGCCGCGGGTTCTTGAGGGATTACGTCCACGGAAAACTGTAATGCTTGCGGATTCTGCCGCAACTTTGCATCCACGGGACAATGTTTCATCGTACTGCATACCTAGATACCGGCTAATGTAAGCAAATGTTTCGAAAACCCGCGGGGCTGGATAATCGCTGTCTTGGAGACAGACAGTATGCCGGCACCCGACAAAGCTCTTTGACACTTGCCTTGCAGCTATGTGCCAGATAGCGGCCGCCTCTGGCGGTGTGGCCCCGGATGTGGCACTGGAATCGAGACTAAGATGAGTTCAATCGTTGTATCATGGAACTAGCGATACATCTAAGCTCAAGTCTTGTGCCTTTCTCTCTCACAAATAGTAGGGATAGAACACAATATACACGGGAACCGACATTCGAATAAGGACCAACGACACAGATATGAAATAAGTCTTATCTATCTATCGAGTGTCATAAAACGGTGTGAACAAATTGTATTGTATCTACAACGTGCTGGGCCTGTTCTGATGATCAAGTATGCCTATACAAGTACCGAAGCCGGGTTAGTGGAAAAGCCTCGAAGAGTTCCGAGCTATCTATGACGATTACAAGCCAGGCCAATCGTATAGATAATAAATGCACATATCTTCAATTCTGACGGTGCCCCTTGTGCGCAGATACTGTCAATCAAATACGCCCTCTCTCATACATTACAGCACTCCCCAGTCTTGTGATCAAGAGTGCCTGTCATGTCCTGACCAAGACGTGGCGTAGTTGAGTAATCCTAGGCGACAGTTCTAGCAAGTGGTTCATAGGATGGACCTCCCTAGATGAACTGTGTAGAAATGGTTCTGACACCTCACAGGAGTTTATATGCAGAAGGGGCACCACAGGGATTAATAGTCGGCTTCAAATAAAGACCTGACGCAGCATAATTCGGCATTTAACATTCTAATTGAGGGCGCCTAGAGACTCCAACCCTGAATATATGTAGACTCTAATGAAGGGGGGCATAGGGAAGATGCACGAAGGCAGGGGTCCTGAACCCACGTCGGCAACCTTATCTCTATTGATGGGTCAAAGTTTGGGGATTCGATGTTCTCTCGAATTTACTACAGCTATTTCACTACAGCTTTATCTTTCTTATAGATCACTGTCTGCACAGTGTTAGCTTGTTTGTAAGAAGGGGAGCAGCCTTGTAGGTGGCTTCTGTCGCTCGTATGGTAGGACATTTAGAGAAATTGCTTCAACACGTTTCTAGGACAGCGCAGTGCGCGATACTGTGAGCACCTGCCACCCCTCTGCGTCGTTCGTCATGATTTCATGCAGCCACCGCGTTTCTGAAGGAATCGCATACGCCGCTCAACAGATTGATGCCCTTCAGGCGATTTCAGGAGAGTCCAACTGCCGGTACCTGGCAGGCGGCCGCGACATAATGGAACGTCAGTGCATTTGTAGTTCGACACCAGGGTCATTGAATGTGCCATTGCCATAAGAGCTTGCTTGGTTATCACAGTTGTAGGACTCAGAAGAATGCTAGAAGGTCGGTCTATAAGATGTTTATGTATACAATCATCTAAATACGGGATGCAATCCCAATATACACACAAGAATAGAATAATAATCAAGAAGTTTGCAGCTCAGCTCTCACTGCCTCATCATACCGCCCCCGAACTGAACCCCGGACACAGCGGAGCATCACAAGGCCCCAAGTTGTCACCAGGTGATTTCAGCCTACGCGTAGCTTAGAGAGCCCGGGCAATGCGGCTTCTCTTGACACGGCGAGTGCAAGAGCTCTCCTCCTCCTCGGAGGCATCAGCCTCGCTGGTGGCGTTGCCGGCAGCAGCGCTGGCAGTAGCGCCCGAGCCGAAGATGGCGGGGCCGGGGAAGGGGTAGCTGGTGGCGCCCGAGTAGATGCTGTAGTTGGGGCTGAAGCCGGGGTCGGTGGTCTTGTAGCCGCCGGGGAACTTGATGGTGTCGGTGGGCTCCTGGCTGGCGCCGCTGTTGGTGACCTCGACGTGGGCGCAGTTGAAGTAGAACTCGGTGCGGCTGGGGCGGTGCAGCGCGTTGTGCTCAATGCGGACCAGGTACTGGCCCGCGGGCACGTTGGCGGGGATCTTGAAGTCGAGCGTGTTCTTGTTCCAGACGAGCCAGTTCTCGCCGGAGGCCTGCATGGGGAACGTGGCGCCGAGCTCGTGGATCTTGAACCAGTCGCCAGAACCGTCGTAGCTCTTGACGTCGCCGTTGGGAGCACGCGACATGTAGACCTGGATAGGTCCGGGGTGCTGGATCTTGCCGGCAAGGTTGGTGCCAAAGGCAAGAGAGTCGCCGGCCTTCACGGTGGCGACCTTGGTGTTGGCGGCGTTGGCTTGCGCGCCTGTGTTGCAGCGCAGCTCGTTGCTCGACAAGATGTCGAAGCCGGCGTGCGGCTGGTAGCCCTGAGTGGACCTGCGGACGTACTCAAACTCGGCCGACTTGACGCCGTTGACGATCAGGTGAGGGAAGAAGTAGTGGGCCGAGGCGAAGGAGGAGAAGAAGGCAGCAGTGGCCGCGAGGGTGGGGATAGCGTGAACCATTGTGATAGATGTTGTTATAAACGGCGTGTTGTGTAAGGCTATATCTCGACGAGAGTGAGAGCTGCGAAGAAACGAATGAATGACTGCTCGACTAGCGAGTGTGAATGAATGGAATGAATGAACGATGGTGTACCAGAATTGCCGAACTGCTATCATTGGGATTTCGACGTATGTTATATACATACTATACTTTACCTCGCTCCAGTGACATCCCTGCTGAGCCTCATAGCCGAAGCAGCATTAGCAATGGAGTGGACACAGCATGCGGTGGAGATGCTGACAAGAAGGTTAGCAACAACTCTATCGCGTGATTAAGGCCCATTCGTCTCAAGTATAAACCCTGGCCGATCTTCGCAAAACCCGTATAGGTAATTCGCGCCCGTTCGAGATTCGCCTGTTGGGCAAGCGCTAGCAGGGTATAGCAGAACCTCCTCTGTAAGCGGTAAGCCTACCCCATCCCCTGTCGAGATTGGCGGCTACCGATTGGTAGTCCTGAGCGGCCAAGGTAATTCATCCCATGTCGACGAACGACGGCCGAAACGACGCCACACCTTGGCACGGCGCCTGATCCTCAGATATATTGTGCCCGGGCAAGGAGGTGCATTCAGCTCATGGGGCGGCTCCTGGACAAACCCAGGAGCCTGGATAGCACCAACTGTGTCGCGGGAATCGTGCCGCCGCCCAGGCTCGAAGACGTTGGTGGCCCGTAAAAGGTCGCCGATTCTCCACAAATAGGGGCTCTGCAGTGGAAACATGGGGTTCTGTATCGTGTATGCCGCTATCCCTTCATCTAGGTACCCCACTAGAACGTTTTCGAAATTCCACCGTAGTCGCTACTTACATACGCGTATCCGTAGATCAACGGCAATTCGCTGGAGGTCGATAGGGCGGCTGTTTAAAGAGAAGCCTGAGACGACATCCTTGGAAGAGCGAGCACCCTGCCGCCTCACTGGCAGCCAAGGCAGTGGTGGCCAAGTGACGTTTGGATGTTGACCTGCACAATGAGGACCCTGGCTTGCATTATATCGTAATCAATTTGTTGGCTCCCTTGGCTTTTCAAGTGGGCCGTTTCCTCATCGGTGACGGCGTACAAGAGCCTCCCTCAACCCTTTACCCCGGCTCTTGGGCGGCCAAGTCTCCAAGATCCAGCCTTGGACGTTGGGAATTAATGAGCACCTGGAGCGTCGTTTCAGCAGTCTGAGTGGTCTACAGCCCAAGCGAGTCAGATTCAGTACGTGCGTGGAAGAACTTTTATCATCAGTAGAAGGCTGTGTGATGTGACATCAATCTGAGAGAGTCGAGGAAACATTCCGAGGATCATCAGAAACGCCTTATGCCATAGATGGGGTATATCAAAATGCTTTATCAGGAAAGAGGCGACGGAGAAAACAAACTAGGCCTCCGGTTCTGCTTTCTTCCAGACCAACCTCGATGACCGTCCAACTTACGCCGATACCATGCAGAAACAAATCTCCTCAAGCTTTCTTTCCTGCCGAGCTTTATGCAATCAATCGACCACTGTCTAACGCCCTGCAATTTTCTCCAGTTTTCCGTAGTACAGGCCAATGAAGTATGCGCAACGGTAATCGTTGCGCCTCGCGCCTCGCGCCAGCTTCATAGCGTTGGCAAATGGTGTGCCAACGAGCAAAGAGACACCCTGTAAATTCAAGCCAAGGGCTTGTTACGATTGTGAAGCCCAGGCTTCAACCTAGCGGAACTTGGCCATCTCCTCCAAGAGCTCGTTCAGGTCATCGTCACTGATTTTGTCCTGGAGGGACGGGATCAGGGTCTTGGCCTCTTCGGCATCAGCACAGCAGAGGTTGCCTGTCTGCCTGTTAGTCTTCTCGCCTGCCGCAGATTCACAGCGCGCTCAATGAGATGTAAGAGCATTGCACCATGGGACCAACATACCAAGCTGCGCTCGTTCGAACTTATGGAACTCCTTGTGCGCACCCAGCAGTCGCTCTACGGCCTCGACGTTCTCCTTCTTCTGGAATCGCGCAAAGTTATCGAGGTAGTCAACCGTCTTCGTGAGCATCCTATCCGGTGGGTGACCCGTTAGCTTCTAGTGTTCAAATGTCGGGGTGGCGCTCATGTCCAAAACGCGGATGAGCCCCATCTGCATGCGAGCAGGGACGGCTATTTGAAGTGAGACGTACTCGTTCTTCTCCACGTCCTTGCCCTCCACCCGGCGCTTGTGAACCAGCGCATTGATGACCAGCGAGGCCTCGGACAGGGTGAGGGTGGTCACGTCCTGGAACTCGCCGAGGTTCAGCACTGTCGAGGCCTCTTCGTTGCCCGGCGGTATCGGCTTGGCACGCGAGGTCATCGGGTTCGCGGCGCGACGGGCGCCGTTGCTCGGATTAGACATGGTCGGCTGAGGCGGGTGCTGATGCTGTGCTCGAGGGTGTTGGGCAGCGCCCGGCGACAGGAAACTCGGCGAGGCACGAGGGGAAACCGGCGTTGCTTCGACGCACCGGAGCAAGGCGCTTGCAGATGTGCACAAGACAAATGCGCGATGGGATGGGCGGAATGAGGGCGGCGACTGTCGCAAGACTCGGTTTCGCGCAGTGAGATGGATAAGATTGAACGTTCCCGTCGCCGACTCAGGTCGAATGCGGCTCTCATCTAGGCGACAGGGAAGCTATTGGCTAACTCTGCTTGTACCTAGGTACCTACCTCGCCTGCCTTTGATGTGGGGTCAACTGCCCAATAGTTAGTTACCTGTTGGTGGCCGAAGCTCCAGCACTCAAGCCATATCAGGAGCTCAGGCAGCGACTCTACATATCGTGAAGTATTACGTACTTTCTCTGTATTTCTCTTGCAGGGCTCACTTGTAACATGTTAGCGATGCGTGGCGACTGTAAGTGAGACACTGAACTTGGAGGTGAAGTGAATCTGGTTCTGCAGCCGCACTGTACGCTGTCCAGTTTCCTCAGCCCATCTGGACGCTATCTCTGGCTACTTCCCATGAATGATATCCATGCCACCAGCCATTTCACTTGGGGGCCATGGGTGGCTATCTAGGTACGAACGAACTTTCTATTGCTACACAAGAGGAATCAACATCACGGGAACTAGTCCGATGGCTCGAAGACGCAACCGCGCTGTCCAAAGTGTTATTGCCAAACCCTGTGTAGTGTTGGATGGGCCACAAACAGTTTGACTCTCTAGGAATCATTGTCCTCAAGACATGTTTTGATATCCTATACTCACAATTACATACTTGGGTATGTATGTAGACACTATAAACATTCATATGCAGTTCCTGTTTCATACCTCGTACATCCAGGTGTAGCCTTGCGCTAGGTTCAGCACTCACCCTGGGTAAACTTCGGATTACTGTCTGGTGAGACGCCTCACTGATCTCGCCTAGGGAACTCCACTGGAGATCGAGACTCCAGCCCAGCGTTGGACGATTGGAGCGTTGACCTGAGTTAGATGCCGAATGTGAGCAGCGCCGGCAGAACAAGCAAACACAAGAATGAGTAATTAGAGAACCGCACGATCGAAAACAAAACCCATCACGCATTCTCGCCGGGGATACCGCCAAACTGATCAGGCCAGGATGTAAGCTTTCGCAGTCCCAACCCAGATTCGGGGACAAGTATACTCACTGGCATCTCAGGGGTGTCCTGGCGCTCATCATCATCAACAAGGCCGGCGGTCTGATCTACAACCGCACCTTCGCCGAGGGGCTCAACCAGCTCAACACCAATGACTATCTCGTGCTAGCTGGTACATTTCACGGGTATGTCACATTGTAGGGTATTGGGGAAACAGGGCCTGGCCTGCAATGTCGCCGTTGCCCCCTTACCGTCCCTCCCCTCCCCCAAGGACGGACACGTTGTGGTAGATGCTGCGAACGCTGACACTCGGCCCGCAGAGTCCACGCCATCACAGCGCGGCTCAACCCGCTGAAGGCGCACCAGGGCGCGACGCCCCCGGGCACGCGGCCGGAGCCGCCGTCGGGGCTGGAGGTGCTGGAGACGGAGAACTTCCGGATGCAGTGCTTCAACACGCAGACGGGCATCAAGTTCCTGCTCTTCACCGACACGCTGCAGACGGGCGTCAACGAGGGCACCATGCGCCGCGTGTACGAGCTGTACGCCGACTACGTCATGAAGAACCCCTTCTACCAGCTGGAGATGCCGGTGCGGTGCGACATGTTCGACCGCAAGCTGAACTCGTACATCCGGGAGATTAACAATTCTCGGTGAGCGAAGGGGGAACTAGTGGAGAGCACAGCGGAAAGCCCAGTGGGACCCCTGAGTTTCCGGAGTAATGTGTTTGGTGTTCGGAGGTAGACCAAGTTAGAGAGGTCTTGCATGGCCACGGCGTTCGGCGTTCTAGTCGTTTGTGCTCAGTTCACAGCAAGGGGAGGTCAATTCAGAATGTCCTGTTAATGCATGATTGGTATTTCCCCACAAGGTCTCGCCGGATTCTCTGGTCTATTATGGTACACACGCAGCAAGCCCAAGCCCAACTCCGACCCCTGAGCCGTGATCATGACTAGTCCATTGTGAATGATGGATCAGAAGTCCATATCTATGAGGTGTCCATCGTGTCATCGTCCTTCTTGCTGTCCTTCTTGGACGACCCGCTTCCGCTGGGCTCGCCCTGGTCATTCAGCAGGGGCTGGTTCTCGCCCTCCTCTTGGATGCCCTCCAGGTTGGTCTTGTTGGATGATTCTTGTTCCGACTGTGCCTGCCGTGCCTGCCGTGCGTTCTCCTCCTCCATACTCATGCGCAGGGCCAGTGCCAGCTCGGGATCGGCACTCGGGTCAAAGTCGAAACCGCCAAAGTCGCCGCCTCCGCCACCACCCTCCATACCTTCGCCGCCGGCACCAGCGCCGGCGCCGGCATTCGCACCCATCATGATGGGGGAGGCTATCAGCTGGTCACTCAGCAGCTTGCCGCTGGGCGGTATGACGACCAGATGTGAGTTGTCGTTGCCCTTGACGACATTGTTGAATGCCTCGAGCTTCTTGTGGACTTCATCGTCGTCCAGGTCGCCGAATAGTACGAAGTCGATATCGATTGTGCTCTTCTTCATCTTCTTGGCAAGGGACACCAGCTTCTTCTCGTCGTCGGTCACGTCGGAGCAGACGAAGACGATGATTCGTTGACGTTGGGACTTGTTCTGTCGGTGCTTCAGGGCCAGCTGCGGACGGGGAAGAGTCAGCTCTCGTGCGGACAGGGTCAGGGAGGGACAGGGGAGCGTGGCAGATGAAGTAGCAAACTACACGAAGGCAGACGTACACTAGCGATCTGGATGCCGGTGGCAAGATGTGAGGTCCCCGAGATCTTCTTCTTGGTGCGGTGCAGGCCGTCTAGCAGCTTTCCGCGCTCCGTAGTCAGGGTCGACAGGACCTCCGGGCCCTTGCCGCCCATACTCATCAGGCCTACCGAGGATTCCGGGTTGCCCTGTGTGATGGAGTCGAAGAGGATGTTGATGGAGTCGGCCTGGGCGTCGAAGCGGGTGGGCTGGTAGTCGCCATTGCGGGAGCTCTCGCTGTTGTCAGCAATGATCATCACTGCTTCGAGAGGCATCTTGACGGCGGTTGCGGGATGTGCTGCGGCTTTCTGCGTCCTTATGGGAGGGAAGAGGTGGGAGGGTTGATGGGGGACGGGACAGCAGCTGACTGGGACTCGGGTATGGGGAAAGGCTGGAAGCTTCAAACGTAAGGCGATCGCAGCCTTGAACGCAGTTGGGTCCTCCGTCAGGTGTGCAGTACGTACCGTGCCGTACCTACTGCAACTTGGTCAACTTACCGAAGTCGATCTAGACGCAAAGTGCTAAGGAGCTCGGGCCACAGTTACATCAGATACGGTACAGACCTGCAAGTATCCGGACACTTCCATCTGTGACAAGAGCCTGCATCGGTTGCTCGCGAGACTCAGAACACAGAACATGTCCAGTGGAACTGCTTCTTTGTATAATTATACCAGCGGTACTCCTTTTTTTTTTGTCCCGTGTTATCCGCGTAGGTAGGCGTGCAGCATTGATCGGTCGTCATCCGGGGGTCTGGTGAGGTACACACCAACATCGCAACTCGATCCCTGCACAGGTACCGCCAAGCTTTTGGGGAAGGCCAGCCCGCCGCTAAAACCGCCGCGGCACTTTGTTTACTTTGGCCGTGTGCGAGAACGGGTTTGCATCCATCACCGACAGTTGCATCGTGTTACGCGTAGAAGCCCGGCAATTTGCCCCTTTGGACACAAACCTCAGCAGCTCTTCACCACTGCAAAACCATCGGACGCGCCTTTTCTCCCCCGTTCGGCATCATGGCGCCCACACGGCCACGGAAGCGCAAGTCGGACCAGTCCACGAGTTCCTTCGAGCAGAGGAGCCCCATCAAGAAGAGGAAGATGGGCCTGACCCTCCCCCAGAAGCAGGCTTTGATCGAGAACCTCCAGCTGGAAAGTAAGAAGCCTGTTCACCACAACGCGTTGCCAACGCCTCGATCAGCCCTGACTGACCACACTGGCACAGTAACGGAGCGCGCCCGAAGATTACGAGCCCAGTATAATGTACAGGCACAGCAGCTGCGGTCTCGCGTCGAGATGCGCGTCAACCGAATCCCGAGGGCCCTGAGGCGACTGAAGATGGCCGACCTGCTGGCAAAGCACTCAGAACCCGCCAAATCACGACCTGCTCGATCTCCGTACGTTGCCAGACCTCCACCTGTGCCCACCAAGGACGGCGCGTCACCAAAGCCTATCCCGCGGAAGCCTGTGTCAGCCGATGGCCACCAGCGTGGCTTCAAGCGCCTGAGGTATGATGGGAGCGGTATTTCTTATTATGCAGATACAGGGGCCTGTACGCGTTCTATTTGCTAACAGCATTGCAGTGATGGCGTAGTCGGGTTTGAAGACAAGGAAAACTCGGTCGAGCCTGTCGGCCAGCCTAAGAAGAAAGGCCGTGGCCCTTTTGCCGCTGTTGATGCTGCGCGGACACAGCCTAGCCAAGTGCTTTCACCGACCTCTACAAACCTGCGCGTCTTGCCGCGCGCAGTTGAGCGCCCAACCTCCCCAGCTAAGCATCAGACAGAACGTCCCGCTTCTTCGCCAACCAAATCTTTTGGAGCAAAGTCTACGTCAAATCTATTGTCCAATATGGTGGAAAAGGCGAAGTCGACCCGTGGGGGAACTACCGGCAGACATAAACTGGCGTCCTCTACAATCACAAACTCGAGCGCAACTTCGGGCACTACCAGAGGCAGGAAACCAGGTGTGCCCTCTTCAGCCACCACGGCGAACACGCGCGGCAAGAGGAAAAACAGCCAGGCCAGCGAATCAAGCGAAGCGAGTACAGGCACCGTCATCAAGAAGACCAAGGCGGCATCAAGGGCAGCCCCAGCAAAATCGGCTACCGCGCCCAAGCGCACAGTCATGGGCACTATCAAATCAGCCACCACGAAGAAGCCAGCGACCGCCAAACCGGCGGCAGCGCCAGCAGCCACTGGAAGGACCTTGAGGAAACGTCAGGCGTAAAGACACAGCCCCGTATATTGTATGAGAAGTAACGCATTGTTTTCGGTGTTGGTGGACGGCAGGAGTCAAGGAGTTTGGGCAAGTGTTTGTTTATAGGATAGGACGGCTTTTTTGGTCTTGCGGCTGCAATGAGAGACAGCCTGAGGGCCTTGTGTTTGGTTACGCAAAGCGCCACAGTACATGATTCCTCCAGCCCCCGCCCGATGAGTCTATACCTGCGCGTGTTGCTCGTAGATATTCCAATCCTAGTAATCCAGTGCTCATGCCAAGCGATCACGCGTACCCGGAGTGGCTGTCCATCTCGATCTCAGGCCCCTCTACGCGTGTCCTAGGCAGCAGCAGCTGCTGCTGCCTTCTTCAATTTCTTGTCGTCCACCAGCTCGATGTTGTCCTCGGGAATGTCCTTATACTTCTCCAGCAGGAACTCCTCGATCTCGTCGCTGACGTCGCCCTGGACGACGATCTCCTCGCCGCCGCTGGGGACCTTGGTGACGGAGGAGCCGGTGGCGAACTTCTTGCCGAACTCCTTGGCGACCTTCTTGAGGTCGAGACCGAAGGCCTCGAGCCCGCTGACGGCCGTGACGAACTTGCGCTTGTTGCGCTCGACGCGCTTGATGGTGACGACCGAGTTGGCCATGCGGTCCGCCTGCTTCTGCTCGGCCTTCTCGGCCTGCGCCGCCTTCTTCTGCGCGTCCTTGGCCGCCCGCTTCTGCGCCTCGACGCTCAGCGACGCCGTCGCCGCCTCCAGCGCCTCGGCCGACCAGATCACCTGGTACAGCGCCGGCTGCGCCCGCTGCAGCCACTCCTGGCACTTCTTGACCGTGCCGCCGTATTCGCAGTACTCGGGCGGGAGTGTGCAGACTAGATTGTTTCGCACGCGCGCGACGAGTTAGCCACCCAGGTCTCGACACGGAAGGGGGAGGGGGGCTACATCCCCCAGCATCGGTTGGAATGACGATGGAGGGGCAGCCACGCGAGGTGTTCCGTCGTCTGCCAGCCCTTGGGGATTCTGTGCCTCAAACTTACCACCGCAGTAGACCACATGGCGGCTCTGGGGCTCGCCGGGAGCTTCTGCCGTCTCCGTATCTGCCATTGACGAGCGACGGGGGTGGTTATTTTCGTCGTCGTGGGATGGGAGTTGCTAAAGTAGGTAACTCAGGTATGGAGGGGTGGAGGGGCTCTGCTGGGTTTGGAGCCGGCAGACCTGAGGTCAGCTCTCACGACTGCGGGGTTCCCCTTCGGTGCGGTAAACGACCGCCTATCTTTGGCGTAGGGGCGTACCAGGGGGATAACCTGGGTCGGGTGCGTGAGTGGCTTGATGGTGGGGAAGAATTCCCCAAGTCTGCTCAGTGGTCAGTGGTCAGTGGTCAGTGGGCCGTTGTGTTGCCTCTGAGTCCTGACACACGCCGGCTGGCCGTGTTTCGGGACTTTGTTGGCTGTTGGTTGGTTTGGCTTGACAAATAGGCAGACTCGTTCTGTAGATAGCCTTCCGATACAGTGTCTGCTCTCTTCAAACGGTACTAGAACACGGCGTTTCCCATGTAACGTTAGTTGTTAGCTCCTTGCTATAACGCGAGCGGCATCATGGGTGGAGGAAGGTAGTGAAGTAATTTGTCAAAGCCGAGCGCATAACTTTACATCCTTTATAAACCAGGACTCAATGAAAACGAGATATATAGCTCTCTAGGTGTTTTGCTATCGTGATGGCATGTCCCGAAATTCCATTTATATAGAATCTGCTTTTGTTCAGAGTACGATGAATAGTTGACGTATGTCAACGTTTGCGGCTTCCCTTAATACGGCATATTGCACCCTATTAAAAATGCTTCAGAAAGTAGTGACATATCGAGCTATGAACTGGATGCCATCCACAGATACCTCTGCATCATATAAACGTACATTAGATCTACTGTTTTTGTTTTTAAAGAGAGTTAAAAACTAGTCACGTCCAAAAGCAAACCCCCATCTCGTTGGCTTGGCGCGCAGTACGCTCTTGAAGGGGTTTAAAAATGACGGATCCTGACGTTGCACGTGATGATCCCAATCTGAGTGCACCTTTCGCGTTCTTGGGATGGGATCTGGATGCGCACGTTTCAGTCTTTTCGACCCGGATTCTGGCACGTCCAACCCGCAGCGCCTACGGGGTACACACTGGCAACATCCATGGATGGAGAAAAAAGCATACAAGAGATCGGACTAGAAAGCCAGGCGTATTGTTGGCCCCCATTTGGTCCTTTGGTCCTTTGGACACTTGCAGATACGAGTGTAAGCCAACTGCAACTATTTGTTAATTTGTACATCGACTTGGATCTCGACTCTGGGGCCCGTATGTGAGTAAATTGTGATGCGACGAACTAAACCTTGGAACCAGGGCGCAACACCCGCGATTTGGGGCATTTCGGCGCGTCATTACATAAACCCGCTTGGTGCCGTCCAGGGGCAGTCTACCACAATACAGCCAAGCTCGGTGTTGACCGTGGGCCCATTCAATATACTTAGGTAGGCAGTTGGAGTAGCAACTTGAGCCCTCACTTAATTCGCTGCGGGCTCCGAGTTAGTCGGCAGCGGTCGAGACAAGAGTGCAGTGTTGATGCACTAGTGAACAAGTTATAACAATTGCATTGGATGTTGTCCCTGTTCCGCAAGATTGGACTCCAGGCGAATCGTCGAGCGCTTCTTGGGAGGCTACCTGCTTGGTAGGTACCTAGGTAGAGTCTGAAGTGCACCGGAGGGAGTTGTCCCCTGTCCTGCCCGCCCAGTTAACGTTGAGTTAAAGCACATCGGATACTCTCTGCCTTGCCAACCCAGCCCAAAGGTGACCTAATTCCAGTGTTGGACAGCGGGAGAGCTGACCTTGACCTGAACCCCCCGGGCCCTGGAAGCCCCTGGGTCCCCTCATTAGCGTGCCTCAACTCGGCAAGGAGCGAGCAGCCAGGCAGCCCGCGCCCCCCCTCTCCCCCTGGACCCGTCCAAGCCTCCGCTACACCCAACGACATCCCATCCCTTCCATCCCAACCCATCCCATCCTCGTGGGCTGCTCCTAGACTTGCGCGGGGCTCTAGTCGCTTCATGCCGTGCCGTGCCCAACTTACCCATCCACCATCGTCCAATTTCACCCCCCAGGCGCACAGCATACGGCGTGCCACCAGGAGAACACCTGCCGCCGCGCGCAACCTCGACTTGGACTTGGACTTGGACTTGGACTTCGACCTCGAGCCCGATCTTGGGCCTGCGGATACCTCACATCTCACATCCCACCTCCCACCTCCCACACTCGCATCGCATCGCATCGCACCGCACCGCTTGCTCGCCGGACCGGTCGCCCGCAGCGCAGCTTGTTAGCCGCCGCCTGAGGCTCAGCGTTCTTTACCCCCCTCCCTTGGACCAGCCAGCACAACCCGACCTCACCAGGACTCCATCGCAGAGATCCACCCGCCGCCCGCGTCCACCAACGGCACTCAGAGCCTGGCCTGCCGGTCGGTCACCACCACCACCACCACCGCCCACTCTCACTCCCACTCGACCTGACGCCTTACGCTTTAGAGGGGGTCGACCAACTTGCCCGCGACTCTCGCCCTCGCTGCCAGCCATCAGCCCAATCACTCGACACGCCGTCTATTTTTGTCATCTCTCACACTTACCCGCCCTCGCTGCACGACGCCGTCACTGCTCAATTTCGTGACGCCCGACCCATCGTTGCACGCGCCACCCGCCGCCCGTCCCCCCCTGGGAACATCCCAAGCCAGCTCGCCGCCCAATGCCCAGATCTGACGTGGGACAGCACGCAACCACCGTCCTGCCGTAGCCCAGACGCCAAATCTGTCTTCCGTCAATCCCACCGCCGACGCTGGATCAGGCCCATTGCAGAACACCCATTGTGGAATCCTCGAGGGCCCGAAATCCCTCTCCACGATGGGCCCAGATTACGGAGGCGGTCTGGGAGGGGACCCTGCCCACGGCCACTCCCTCCCCGGCTCCATCAACGACGGAGCATACCAGCTCGATCGCGACCGACCAAACATGACGCCCAGCCCGGCCTACCAGAACGGAGCCTATCCCCCGCCTGCTCGGCCGCCACAGCGAGAGGCTTCGCCCGCCCTGAGCACCAACAGCAACCCCCGGAAGAGCAGCGAACGGAACCGCTCGAGAGGGCGCGGGCGCACCGCCAGTGGCCAGCTCCGGACTTGTCACAAGTGCGGCGAGCCCTTGACCGGCCAGTTTGTGCGCGCTCTGGACGGCACTTTCCATCTCGACTGCTTCAAGTGCAAGGTGAGCCCTCCTGGTCCCGTCTTTCCCCTACTGATGCTGGCATTGCGCCGAGCTCACACGTATCTCTGCTTCGTAGGACTGCGGCTCTATAGTGGCATCCAAGTTCTTCCCCGCCGAGGATGAAGAGGGCGGAGGCCAGTACCCTCTCTGCGAGACCGACTACTTCAGACGACTGGGTCTTCTTTGCTACCAGTGCGGAGGCGCTCTGAGAGGGTCATACATCACCGCTCTCGACCGAAAATACCACGTTGACCATTTCACATGCTCGCTTTGCTCGACGGTTTTCGGGGCTCAAGATAGCTACTATGAGCACGATAGCCACGTCTACTGCCGCTACCATTACTCGACACAGTTTGCCCAGAGGTGCAACGGCTGCCACACGGCGATCCTCAAGCAGTTCGTCGAAATATTTCGCAATGGCCAGAACCAGCATTGGCACCCGGAGTGCTATATGATTCATAAATTCTGGAATGTCCGTCTCACGCAGTCAGAGGAAACCGAGGTTCCACCGGCCGAGCTGGATGAGGAAGGCCGGGAGCTCGTCAAGACGGCAGAGGAGAAGATGGAGGAAAAGGTCTACAGGATCTGGAGTGTTCTCTCGGCGTTTGAGGAGTCTTCCGCGGCCTGCATCTCAGACATGCTGTTGCACGTGAGCAACGGCGCCTTCATCGATGGGATCCTGACGGCCAAGAAGTTCATTCTGCATGTGGACATCCTTTTCCAGTCGGCAGACAAGCTGGACGATGCGTTGAGGCGCCTCGACATGAAGGGTATGTGGGCTCTCCCAGTGTCATTCGCAGTACTAACATTTTGAGTTCAGGTTTATCCTACGGCCGCGAATCTAAACTTCTCTGCAAAAAGATTGTCTCGTTCTTTTCCCTCCTCTCTAAAACGCAGGAGGGTGGCGTCAGACAATTGGGGGTAACCCAGGAATTGTTGTCATTGGTCACAGGTCTTGCCCACTACCTTAAGCTTCTCATCAGGATCTGCTTGCAAGGTGCGCTGAAAGCAGAAAAGGAGCACAACACCCAGGAGGAGCTCTACCAGTTCCTGGACGATCTCGGCGTCATCGAAACCGCTAAAACCGAGGATACCATGCTCCAGGTCACCGTGGGCATGTCGAGGCTCTCTGCTAACGACTCGGACCAGTGCACCTTGTGTCGCAAACCTATTGAAGATGGTTGTGCCTTGAATGAGGACAAGAGATGGCACACTGCATGTGTATCGTGCGTCCAGTGTGACAAACCACTTGGAGGAGACCTGAGCGAGGCACAACTGCAGCGCGATCTCAGGATTTTCTGTACATCCTGTGCGCGGCAGTATGGGCAGATGGGCAAGCCGTTCGAGCGCATCTCCAAGCTTCAACAGTATATATTCCTCCTCAAAGTTGCGCTAGCAAGACTCTTGAGTCAACTACAGAAGAACGGCGCCCTGGCTCAGTCACTGGGCGGTGATGCGAACGGTTACGAGTCCCAAGACGGAAATCAACTTGCACCCGGCAGGGGTGTTCCGATGTTGACGGCAGAATCTCGTTCAAAGTCGTACGCTGGTGAGCAGTCAGATAGGCATCAAAGAGAGTCGTCCTATGAGAGCACTCTCAACGATGTGCGCAGGTTAAGAAGCACCCGTCTAGACAAACATCTGTCTTCTAGCCTTAGGAAGGCTCGGTCGTCGAGGATAATGGACGGGCCCGACGCCCGTGGAGGTCGACCTGGTTCTATCGGGCCCGATAACGGCGGTCTCATGAGCCAGGACATGCAGATTGATGAGGATCGTGAGCCTGGTCTTGGAGGTTCCACGGAGCAGTATTTCGGGCACCAAGATGCTCTGACGCTTGATGACATCCCACGAATTGTTGCCGCTGAGCAGGCCAAGGAGAAACAGCCAGGCGCTTACAACAGACAATCCCGCCAGGAGCTGTTCCGGTCGCCGGCCACACATCCAGCGATTGGTGCAGGCCACCAGCGGTCACAATCTGATGGGCGGGCAGGCGACGATCTTAAGCTGCAGCAAGAAATGTCCCCTCAGAGGGTTGGGCGCAAATTCTTCTCGGAACTCTCCGGGCTTGAATACTTCATTGTCCGGCACGTTGCTGTTCTGACTATGCAACCGCTGTTGGAGTCCGACTTCACGATCGAAGAGCTACTCTCGTTAATCGAGGCACGAAAGCCGACATTCTGGAACAAATTTGGCAAAGCCTTTGGGGGGAAGGACAACCGCAAGAATATCAAGAAGAAGGGCGTCTTTGGTGTCCCATTGGAGGTCATCATTGAAAGAGACGGTGCAGATTCCACTGACGGAGTTGGCCCCGGCGCTTTACGGATACCTGCCATGATCGAAGACACAATCACTGCCCTGAAGAACAAGGATCTCTCGGTGGAAGGAGTCTTCCGGAAGAACGGCAACATCAAGAAGCTGACCGAACAAGTCGCGGCAGTGGACAGAGACGGCTGTGATGCTATCAGATGGAACGACGAAACGCCCCATCAGCTAGCGGCCCTCTTAAAACGATATCTACGAGAACTTCCGGACCCACTAATGACTCAGAAGCTCTACCGGCTCTGGATCGCGGCGACCAAGATCAAAGACAATGACAAGAGACGGCACTGCTTGCATCTGACCTGCTGTCTGCTTCCGAAGACTCAGCGTGATACACTGGAGGTACTGTTTAGTTTCTTGAAATGGGTGGCAACTTTCCACCAGGTGGACGAAGACACCGGCTCAAGGATGGACGTACATAACCTGGCTCGTGTCATGGCACCGAACATTCTATACTGCGCCCAGACCAGTCCCAGCTTCTCGGACGAACCCATGACTGCTGTGTCGTGTGTGGAAGAACTCATCCAGTTCAACGAGGAGATGTGTATGGTGAGTGCAACATACCCGACGACCCGCCCAAGCCCAACCATGCTTCATACTAACTAGCCTATAGGTGCCGGACGAGCTCATGGACATTGCAAGCGACACTTCCTTATTTACCGGTAGTGGGGAGATTACAACCAAGGAGATCTTGAAGCGTATTGGCGAACGCTCTGCTAGCGGCCCGAGGCAATACGATACCGAGTTCATCAATAGGCAGGATAACTCGCGGCCAATGGCGACCCGAGTGGACACGGATCCAGGGGCTTGGCACCAAGAGCGAAGTGTTCGTCCGGTTGGTGAGCCGGCGATGCCTTACCCAACAAACCCTGGAACACCTCCCCAAAAGTGGCGAAACCCTGACCATGGCCCATCCCCCTATAGCAACCAGCATGATGCAGAAAACGCACCTCAAACAGGGGAGAACGGCCAGCGCCGGGAGTGGCGAAATTCAGGCTGGGGCAGACAGAATAGCTCTGTTCCCACCGGGACTAGCTGAGCGCACTGTGTTTCTCTGGTATATACAGATTTTTTGTTCACGACTGGGCCGCTTCAACGGCGACGCCCCTTTGGAATACATTCGCGAGCATGGTGGATTCCCCGCCGAATTGAGGCACGATGGCTCATTTACGACATAGCATGAACTGGTGTAGACAGCATTTGCGGCCGGCGTTCCGAATTTACTTCCCTTCTTCAAAAGGATCGATGGTTTTTGCCAGGGGCACTCACGAAACTTCAATTGACGAAAATTCTTTCAGAGCGAGCCTCCGACACCGCCCAGTGTAACTCTTGTGCGTTCTTCGTTTCTAGCTCAGCGGCTTGATCATTCAGAGACACTGGTTTTTTTCACTTTCGTCTTCTTTTCCCTTTTCTCCTTCTTTGGTGTGCAAAGCTTGGAGTAGTGCGGATATACCCACCGCGTCCGTCCCCTTCGTGAAGCGTGTTTGGGGGGGATTCGGTACTTTCTTCCGAACCAGGACCCGATTGTTGGTAGGGGACATGACACCGCGTTCTTATTTACAGATTCTGGACTGAAAGACTGATCATGGATTCTTTCTCTGGTCATTTTGGTCATTTTGGCCATTTTGGGGTCGTTCGACACTTGGGGAATAGGGGCTGCACGACACCCCACAGAGGAAACTCAAGAAAAAGGGCGGAGATATAGAAAAAGGGAAAGGGTTGCTAGCACCATGGGTCAGGCTCGATGGCGTGCCTCTTCAATGATCAAAACAAGCTACAAGTGTCGATCGCGCCCCTGGCCATGTCCTCCTCTCGGTTCGCTGCTGCAACTTGTCTAGATGCCATCCTGAGCCAGAGCTAGGGCTTGAGCATGCAACCTCATAGGTGTAGGAAATAGAACACCTCATGTACATAGTGAGCAGAGCCCGCTATAGAGAGCAACTAAGACAAAGCCAGACAAATGCCTACGTAGGATGGCAGACAACGAAGACAACGAAGACGCCGTTCCTCTAGCTTGCCATGTGATCCCTCTTCCTGGCGCCATGAAGACTTGTGCGCCACTTGTCCCGTGCCTTAAAACGTAGAACAACAAATGCCATCTGTACCGCCCCAATGCGGCCATCATCTTGGGCACTCCTCTCAATCCGCATTGAAAAGATCGGACTGTAGCAAGCACCTCTTGACACTCGGGCGTTGTTGATTGGAGGCATCTCAAATTTCAATGTCGACTTCATCTCTCATTTGTATCTGCCATAATTGCAGAGAACTTTACATCGTTGGATCCATCCACCTCGGCTGTGGACTGACCGCGGCCTACGTTAGGTAGGAAGACGGGCATTATAATTACTTCAATACATATATACACATGAACCCAAAACCGAAGATGCCCCTTTTCCCCATGCAAATTGATGGCGGACAAGCTTCTTTGCCCATATCCCAATCCCTTCCACCCTTCTGTCTTCCTTTCTCCCTCATCTCTTCCCGAGCCTCTCGAGCATCTACTACTTCTTCTCCTCGGCCTTGCGGTCCAGCGTCCACTGCACGGCCCTCCGGACGCCCTCGGACAGGGTGATGAGGGGCACGTAGCCGAGGCGGCGGCGGGCCTTGGAGATGTCGTAGTAGCGTGTCATGCAGCTGTAGACGATGCGCTGGCGGGTGAAGGTCGGGGGCTTGCGCACGAGGCCGAAGGCGACCTCGCTCAGCCAGCCCAGCAGCATGCCGACCTCGCGCGGCATCTCCCAGACGTGGGCGGTGCCCTTGTCGCTGCCGGCGGCGCGCCAGATGGCGCGCGCAAAGTCCCAGAAGTAGATGGGCTGCCCGTTGGTGATGAGGAAGGCCTCGCCGTCGACGCGCTCGTGGTCCAGCGGCACCGTCGACGCCTGCGCCGTCAGCAGCAGCGCGCGCGCCGCCAGCAGGTGCGCGTGCGCCACGTTCTCCACGTACGTGAACTCGAAGATGTTGGTGTTGGGCCCCACCTGCACCCCCGTCCGCCCCTGCTCGTAGATGTTGACCAGGTGGTACACGGCCTGCACGTCGCCCTCGCCGAAGATGCCCGAGGGCCGGATCGAGGCCGTCAGGAGATTCGAGTCGCCCGTGCGGTTGGCGGCGAGCACTAGTTCTTCGGCGGCGGCCTGTACACGGAGGCGGGGAGCCGACTGGTTAGCCTATGCTTGCGATGTTTTATATATAGGGGAAATCGAGTGGGCAACTTTGTTTTAAGTCCCCCACCCCCCTACCCCTCTCTCTCTTGGTGCGCGTACCTTTGTCTCCGAGTAGTACTCGCTCTGGTTCTTCCCCCTGATGACGGGCCACGTCTCGTTGGCGTTGATGAGGTCGGTCTTGTTGTCGCTCATGATGCTGGCGCTGCTGGTGAAGACGAGAGCCTTGACGGCGCTCTGCTGGCAGGCGGTGACGACGGCGCGCGTGCCGTCGACGTTGACCTTGCGGAACAGCTCATTGCTCACGGCGCCGCTGCCCTGGGCCTGGGGGCTGGCGGTGTGGATGACGACGTCGGGGCGCAGGCGGCCGAGGACCTTGGTCAGGTTATCGGCGTCGGTGATGTCGGCCTCGACGTACTCGACGCCGTCGGACGCCGGGCGGCGGTTGCGCTGGCAGCGCAGGTCAATGACGGACACGGCCGTCGTGTCCCAGTGCTGCAGCACCAGGTTGACGACGTGGTGGCCCAGGAAGCCGCAGCCGCCGATGACGAGGACGCGGCCCAGGGAGGCCTTCTGGGGTTTCTCGGAGGCCATGGTAGGAGGAAGTCTGTGACGGGGGGGGCGCTCAATTGGACTTGTCGGGTGCCTCCTTTTCTTTTGCTTCCGGGACCGCAACGATAGAAGCCGGCCGTTCAACTGGTGTTGTACGTGTGCGGTCTGGGGGGTCACGGCGCCGGCCCAGGAGCTTCGGGAAAAGTGCCCATTTTTTTCTAGGCTCAATTACCCCCGGGATAGGGAGTAGGCTCTCTCGCCAACAGGGGTATCTCAGCTTATTGTTTAGCGTAGGGATCCGCTCCCGCCTGGGCCCAGGGGTGTCCGGGTGTTAGTTCGCGGTCTCGCGCGGTCCTGAGAGGCGGGGCATCTGTCAGTTATACTCGATACCTGCCTGGTAGTTATAGAGGGATAAGGCAAGTACCTGGCACATTTGCGAAAGCAGTACTGTCGCCGAACGCTCCAAAGGACACTCTACTCCGGTCGCCAGAAGATGGCCTGGACTGCCTGTGTCCATTCGCCAAGTTGGGATTGGTTCCCTGCGGAGGTGGCTTCTCGTGCAGGCTGCATACATAGTATGCTACTTATGCACGTCACCTCATGTAGAAAGCGCAGTCCCCGTACTGGGATTGCTGGGATCACTGGGATCAGGGACCAACGGCTGGACCTGAGGGTCGCTCTCAGAAGTGAACAAGACTCACCCATTGTACACAGTCGAGCAACGGGTTTTGCTGGGACAATCGGGCACCCAACTTTCGAGTCCTGTCTGCAGGGCTCGGGATGCCTCTCGACGACGGGGCGTCCAATCGGCAAGGCCGTCCGTTCGCTCACAAAGAATCCATCGTCATGCTGTGTCCAACTGAGGCACATGTCTGACTTGGGGACTTGGAATCTCACACCCCACTTCGCCCAGAAAGAGAGAGCGACCAGCCAGGACAAACGGCGTGCATATAGGGTCGTCGCAATACGTAACTCGACTGCCAACATCCACCTGGACCCCTCACCCGCTTCAGCTGTCAGGCCGCAAATAACCTTCAAGCCTCCCAGCAAGGACCGCTCCTGTCGCATCCTCTCCCAATCCCGACGGGTTCCAGCTCGTAATTCGACAAGTCCAGGTTTCCTGTCTCCTCTTCTTCTCCTTCATTCCCAAGATCGCGCAACCAAGGCTGGAAGAAACGTAGGCGATCCGTCTTGACCTGCAACCCCGCAGTCGCATCGCATCGCGTCACCTCAAGCTTAAAGTGAAGCTTCGGCCTCGCACCCCGCCGGCTTCGTTTCAAGACCGGCACCCAACCATTGGGCTCTGCGCTCGGGTTGACCATGGCGGACCAGAGCATCATCCGGATCACGAAAGAGATCAGCGATCTCCAGAGAAATTCGGACCTGTCGCTCGCCGTCGCCTTCAGGGATCGCGATGTCCGCAACGTCAGGGCCCTCATAATCGGCCCCCACGAGTCCCCCTACGAGTTTGGCTTCTTCGAGTTCGCCGTCAAGTTTAACAAAGACTACCCCCGGAAGAGCCCGTCCGTGACCGCCACCACGACGAATGGCGGCCGCTGCAGGTTCAACCCCAACATCTACGCCAACGGCAAGGTGTGCCTGTCCATCCTGGGCACGTGGCGCGGCGAGCGTGGGGAGGAGTGGTCGGCTGCCCAGGGCCTCGAGTCCATTCTCTTGTCGATACAGAGTCTCATGTCCGGCAACCCTTACGAGAACGAGCCTGGTTTTGAGGATGCCAACGAGCCTTCGGATAAGAAGAATATGAAGGATTATGTGGCCAAGGTGAGCAGGTCATGCTCGAGGAGCACGCAGTGGTTTCGGTCCCGTCCATGTATGAGTTCGCACTGACTCATTGCGCAAATAGATCCATCACGAGACTCTGCGCGTTTCTATAATTCAGCGGCTGGAGGAGTATCTAGGGATTACCAGCGGCATCCAGGCTCCGACGCGCACCGCCGCCGAGAGAGAGGAGTACGACCTGGATTTTGACGACGATGATATAGACGAGTCTTCTGTGCCTTGGGAGCCGTTCAAGGACCTCGTCAAGCAGCGGTTTCTTTGGTACTACGATTCCTATCTAGAGACTATACAAAAGGCCAAGGCGGATGTCAAGGACGGCCAGCCCTTCGCCCGCATGCCCTTTGAGGGTAGTAGCAATACCATGGAGGGCAAATTCAACTATACCGAGCTGGAGCGGAGACTGCACAAGATTAAGGCTGCGCTCGACGCTGAGGGAGAATCATGGGCAGCCGAGGGTCTGACGGCGAAGCACAAGGAGGGAACCGTGGCTGTCAATCTCGCCCGCCAATTCGAGCAGATCAGGGAGTCTTACAAGAGGAGCGATGTGTCTCACCACATTGAATTGGAGAACGGCAACCCCTTCGTCTGGAACCTCACCTACTTCGGGCGGCCCATGACGAACCTCGACGGTGGCCTATTCAGGATTACCCTCCGCTTCAGCCCACGGTTCCCTGAGGAGCAGCCACGGGTCAAGTTCCACACCCGCATCTTCCACCACAGGATCGCCGCCGACGGGTCGCCCTGCTACTTTCCCAATGCGAGCCGCCGAGATGACGTTAAGAAGCACATTGACGCCATCATCGACTCTCTGGAAGAGGAGCAGCCGCCTTACGACCCTAGAACTCTGACAAACCCAGAGGCACACAAGCTGTTCTGGGGCTCCGCGGACGATCGGAAGACTTACAATCGACGCCTCCGCCGATCCGTCCAGCAGAGCACGGAGGACTGCTAGGAATGATCCCAAGCCCGTGCGTGACACCCACCCCCTGAGCCCGCGGTCTGATTTCATGACAACTCGTGCGACTGAGCCAGTGTACGGTATGGCGTCTTACTTCCCCATTTGTTGTTTAATAGCGTATTTGCTTGTCTATTTTCCGCCTCCCGAGAGCCATGGAATCCTTCGTCCTTCTGTATTTCTCGGATGGCGAGACTTTGGCGTTTAGGTTCATTGTGGCATCCCAGGGCTGGCAGCATACAATCTCTAACCACGACCCTTCTCGTGGGTATGAGATAAGGCATGAGTGGCTTCGTGTTAGTAAAAAGGAACGCTGGTATCGCGTTGAGCCTGGAGTTTGGCTTTGCTTTAGATTTTTTTGTTCATGGTTTGATACCTCTTCCGCGATGTGTAGTTAGTCACTAGCAGTCTGCTGCAGGACCCTCAGTTTTACGAGATCACGCCATCATGCCTTCTATTTCTGTATGCGCAGAGCCTCGAAGTGATTTGTATGCACCATACACTGATGTGATTTCGTCCTTCTATCTAGCATTGCCTCCTCTTGGGTCTGCTGCGTACATATATAAACGACCAATTCCTGGTAGCCTAGGACGACCGGATCCATGGCATATAGGTCGTCGACACCCCTGCGTTCGCATATCACATCCCATACACTCGTGTCATTCATACAGTCGTCACTCCTTCCTCAACCCCCTCGTAAACCCGCGGAGAGCTCTTCCAGGCCCACAGCCTGAAAACCTCCAAAAAAAAAATCCTTTCATCCCTGGCGGTTCGTCGGCTTGGGTTTCCGCTTGTCTATCCTGTCCTTCAGCGGGCTGAAGGGCGCCGCGATACCGCGGACCTCCTCCTGGCGCCCGCTGCCCTGGAAAACGAACTGCCCGCCGGGCCCGACGGTCGCCGGGGTCCCCTGCGTCGGCCGCCGCACCTGCTCGCTGTGCAGCCGGTCCAGCGACTCGCCCACCACGGCGTACTGGCTCCAGTTGATGGGCGGCATGCGCACGATGTTCTGCGCCGCCGGCAGGCTGCTCCAGGGCTTGGGCTCCCGCCGCGTCGGCCCGCTATCCAGGCTCATAGGATCCGGCTCGCTCTTCACCGCCGCAGTGCCCTTCTTCTTCTTTTCCTTCTTGCCTTGTGCCTGGGTGTCGCCCGCGGTCCCGTGCTGATCTGCGCCGTCTTCCTCCTCGGACGAAGAGTCGTCATCGTCGTCGTCGTCCTCTTCGGCACCGCCCCCGAGCGCTACACCGCTGCCAGCGCCACCGCCCATCCTGACGTTGCCGCTTGCGAGATCCTCCAGGAAGGCCCGCGGGTCCTCGAGGGCCGCGTCCTTGGCCCGGCGCAGGCCGACCATGTCGCGCTTGGCCTTGGCGCTCTGCATCTGCAGCATCGAGATGGCCGACTTGAGCGCAATGACGTCCGGGTTGTCATCCCAGTCTATGGCCTCGGGCGGCGGGGGCTCCACGACGGGCGGCTGCGCCGGGTGGTGCTTGTGCGTGTAGGTCTTGCTCGTGCCGAAGCGCACGGGACCCAGCGGCGGCGTGATCGCTTCCACTTCCGGCGGAGGGGGAGGCGAGGCTGGAACCCGGGGTGGTGGAAGACTGGGTTTCTGGGCAGCATTGGAGACAGGTACTGGAGCAGGGATTGGGACCGGAACTGGAACCGGAGCTGCGGCGGGAGCTATGGGAGCAGGAACTGATGCGACAGTTGGGGCCGGGGCCGGAGCCGGAGCCGGAGCTGGAGATGGTGCCGGGGCTGGCGTCTCTATCGAGGGCCTCGCTATGGCAGGCGTCGGCACACTTGCTGGCGCCGGCGCTGGCTGGGACACTGGCTGGGGTGTTGAGGACAGTGCGACGCCAGGGCCCGGTGGTCTACCACTCCCGCCCGTCGCCGCTATCGGTGCGCTGCCTGTCCCTGATGCCGCATTGGGCGGAGGCGGCTGTGACTGTGACTGAGACTGAGACTGTGCTTGTGCCTGCGCTTGCGCCTGAAGCACGCTCGGGACGGGGACCGGAACCGGCGTCTGGGGCACGCCGGCGCCGTTGGTGAGCCCCGGCATGCTCGACTTCCCACGGCGAATCCTCCTTATAGCCTCCCTGGTGAGATGTCCTCAGCGCGCACAGTGAACTGCTCAAGTAATACTGCAGTATGCAAGTGCGCTCCGTTCTAGGAAATGTCCGCGAGAATGTGCAGCCGTAGAGGTTGGATGTGATGGCGGTTTCGCGATCAGATATTTGTGATGGCCAGATTCGGCGCAGGCTGCGTTGTACAGGTTGAGGTTCAAGATCAGGGATGTGGTTGGCCGACCGGAGTGAGATGAGCCTAAGGCGCACATCGGTGGCGGGGTTCGGGTTGTCAGTGGCCCAGATCTTCGGGAACTAGCGAAAAGGTGGGGTCTGTGGGACTGTGGAACCCCCAGCCGCCGCCAGGGATTGAGTCTGGCTATAATAAGCATACTCAGGGCCTTAAGCTCGTGCATGGCTTTATCTTCTGTTGCCAAAGCTTGATCGGTAGTGTGATACACGGATATTTATTCTCCCAGCTGCAGATGCGTCTATGATAGCGATGTTCCGGACGGCCTCGAACAATCAACGGGTTCCCAGGCGCTCTCAGGCAGTTCTCATAGCCGGTGGAAACTGCCCGATCCTAGCATTCTCTTCTTGTCTGGTGGACATTGAAGAGTAATTGACGGTCGGACCCCTTGGCACAAATTTGACGCCATCATAGGAAGAGTGGGCGGTCAGCTACTCTCGACTCTAACATCTCGTGCTTCGGAGGACGCATCATCAGTTATACCAATGCTTGCTCATATTTCCTTCCCATCTTACTCTATTCATTAGTCTATTAGACCTGATCATTGACGTGAATCCTGCGACTCTGATAAAAAAGACCTGAGAGTATTGTATTTCCCCTTCTAGAGAACCATTGATATCAGCGGCAAACAACAGAAGACCGCAAGCCGTGGTTCAGGTGAGACCTTCACGCAAAGGATCCACTCAGAAACCTGTCTGCAGCACATAGCCACTATTTTGGTTACCGTTCCTGGTGATGCCGTCCCCTATGTAGTTAAGACTACGTTGGCGTAGAAACTTTCACGTTTATTACTGATTCCAGAGATGATTTTCTCAGCCTATGGAGGGCGGTCGATCATTTGGTTGTTTCGTACGAAAGCTCAGGCTTCTTAACGGTTATGAATTTGCCGAGCTGAACACAGCTGAGAGAACTGTTGAGGAACGCATTGTGGCCGATGCTCCCGTCGAGAGTTTTCAGACTGAAGGTATCCAGTGCAACTCCTTCTTTCTATCAGTCAAAATTCACTGTTTACCAGATGCAAGCTGTTTGAAAGCGCCTTACCTTCGAGGTTGTAATGTTCAAAAGACACCAAGTACAGTGGGGGAACTTGCTGTTTGGAAGACGCATTAATCGCAGAAGGCGCGGAGGTCGTCGTTGTAGCTCACTTATAAAGGTATAATATAATGAAGTTAGTATTAATGATATGTTTGAATAGAGTAAGCAGTACGGGTGAAATCATGTGTTTACTCCTTTTTGAGTGCTCAATCTTGAAGCCGGTAATTGCATTCAACCACGACAGTTCGCAGCAAATACCTAACTCCTTGCAGCCGAACGCGAACAATCAGGCACGGCCAAGCTCCAGCCATGGTGGGCTACCTATCAGGACTTGAGCTGAGTTTTCATCTCACCTCCACGCAGCATCCCTTGAGACCTTCCAGAACGGCTAGAGTTGTCTTGAAAAGAGAAAAGTATGTGGCCGTAGATGCGTAGGTGAAAAACAACCCATAGAGGAGGGGGGGGAAATAGTCGGTAATAAAAGTTCAAGAAGCGATATATCCTTAGTGTATTTTGTTACCTCCAATGTTGCAGTTCTCTCCAGCAATGTACAGATTTACTGCCATGGCCATGGCAACCAAATGTCCTTGGCACTTAGCCAAGTACTCTTCCTGGGTCCACCCCAGGCCCAAACGAAATGGCGCGCCTAACATATCCACGTATAATACGCTGGGGTATGAGTAGGGCGTGAACATGTGATATGCGTACCAGAAAAGCGAACTCTGCGCCTGAGCTGCCAGGGCCGCAATCGGTATGTCGAGTGTGTCGAATGAGATAGTAGTTTCCCAATGAAGGACAAAAAAGGAGTCCTGTTTCATCAACACGGTCAGTTCAGTGATTCGCTATCTCCAGAGAACTGCAGAGCTCTCACAAACAGGAAAGTCCTAGAAAAGAGGAATGAAGTCTTACATGGTTGCCAGCAGCCCCATCACCCTTGATGGCTCGATTCATGGTCATCTTGGCAACTTGGTCCTCCGCCAGCGTTCGCATGTCGTCAGTCGAGGAGAAATCGCCGATTCTGGGGAACGAGTTACTGTGGTAGAAGCCCTTTGCAGGATCAGCCTCGCTAGTTGATACGCCTGGAATGCTTCGAGCAAGTGTCAACACACAGCCAACCCCGTCGCCGATGTAGTCATTCATAGTGATGCTGGTCAAATCGGGGTCAATGTCCGTATACCTCTTGCAAGGGTTTTCAATATTGTCGCGGAACTTCTTCCAGATCGGTGCCCACTGATCGGCCGTAAGACGTGGGTAATCCAATGATCCGGCGTCAGTGTCGTACCCGCAATCATTGTTCAGGTCCAGGATCACCAGCTCACCGGGGTGGTCGCGCATAAAGTGATTAACCATATCGATGGCCTCATCAACCTTGATACCATTGCCTCCTTGACTGACGCCAGCGACTGTGGAGTAGTGACACAAATGTTGCGCACCACCGTTGCCCAAGCAAGGTCGGACATCGAACCAACGAGACCCCTTCAACAGCTGTCCATAGATATCGAGCACCTGCGTTTGTGTGTTTGAAGCCGTGCCAGCGCCAGTATGTCCGTCAATCTTGCTCATCCCTGCATCATGAGAGCCTGGAATGCAGACGTGTTTCAGCATGCGGTCACCAATGATTGGCAGAATGGATTTCATCCAGGCTACAGGAGGGTTTGTCGAGGACCAGTAGCCGTACTGTTCGGAGCCTGTGAGCACCCACTGGTTTGTGAGGCCGCGGTCATAGTCGAGGCTTGGCCAGTCGAGATCGATTATGTTCCCCTTTGCCACGTTTTTGGTAGATAGACCATCATAAGCTATTCTATTGCGTACCATATCTTTGTCATCGACCCAGTCTGCGGTAACATGCCATGTCTTATCTGTCGTCGCAATGCGGTAGTAAGCCTCTCCAGCCGTGTCAGATGGTTTATCGCTCGGGGTCATAAATTCCATTTCTACAAGGAACTGCGCCGACTCACCAGCTGGAATAGTGATGAAGTCCTTGCTCCAATCATTTTCCAGCTGCCAATCATTGCCTCCTGTGAAAACGAAGTCGTAGGGGCAACCGTTCACAATCGTGAAGTAAACAAGCTGCTCCTCGTCCTCCATAATACGCAATGTGTCCCAATCTCCTTGTGGTATGTCTGGGTTAATCCATGTTTTGTCATCCACTTCTTGGCAGATACCAGGCGAAACCTGGCGTGCATCATAAGCGGCGATTTGGCTCCAGTATGGATGAAAGTCAACAGCCAGGTTATCCTTGGCTCTGATAAAAGAACCGTCTGATTCTATCATGTTAACGGATCCAATCGTGACCAGGTTGTGCAAAACGACGTTTCCAGTGTTTTTCCTAAATTGGATAAGACTATCCTGGCAGTCCATGGTATCAACGCAGGCTTGCGTATAAGTGGAGAACCACGAGTATAATCCAGCTCCATGAATGGTGACGCTACTACTCTCTAGAATCCTCAGGGCCCACGACGCATCACAGCCCACAGGGTTGGCTCCACTGCAGACATAATCGGGATCATTGTTAAAGACACCCACCGAATCTTTCACGGGAGCCGGTGGTGCTGGATTCGGCTGGTAGTAAGGCGATTCAGTCTGAATCATCGAGGCGTAGACATGGCGAGCTTTGCTGAACTGATATTGATATATAACAGCATGTTCGCTTGCTGTTCCGTAGAGCCAAACTGGGTTGGTGCTCTCCACGAGCAGACCACGACCGACGTAGACGGAACACTGTGTCATGAAGTTGTTGTCGTTGTCCCAGTCCGGATCATCAATATTGTGGTCAGCCACCCAAAGCCAAACGTTTTCAAAGTAGCCCGATGCCTGACTAGTGATATGCATCATCATGCTGCCAGCACTGCAACCTGTGTTGGTTCCCGATGTTTTGGCAGGGCAGTTTGATGATTCCAGGTCCGTACCCTTGGCGCCTCCCACGCGGACATGACAATCCCACATGCCTGCAGAACCGGCGGACTCAGCCCGGACGTTCCATTCAACGAAGGTCAGGCCCGGAGTATTGCCTTTGCTTGTGAAAATTAAGTCCTGCATCTCGACATTCCCGATTTCGCCAGGCTCGCCAACACGTAGCAAGGGTTTGGGCTTTTTAACATCCCCAAAGGCGGTTCCGAAGGCTGCGATTTGTGACCACGCCTCTCCGACAATATTGATATCTTTGGGAACGGAGATGGTGTCGCTGATCATGTACGTTCCAGCGTCTACATACACAACAGACGAGCCGGCAGAATTGAGTACTCTCTGAAAACATGCAGTGTCGTCCGACTTACCATCTCCCTTGCAAGCGCTTCGCATGTGAATAAAGGATCCCGAGCCTACGTTTAAATACTGCGGCTTTGCCTTCTCGAAGAATGGTGCTTTGGGTAGATTGTCTGGGTTACCGCCCGTAAGTGTCTTGTCGCGAGGCGTCGAGAATGGCACCGATAAGGCATTGTTCTGAGTAGTGCCAGAGTACACACGACCTTGTACCCAGGTGTCAATGGATGTTGTTGATCCTGCCAGATAGGACTTGGAACCATCCCAGACCCCATTAGTAACGCCATCAAACTTAACGTTATCAAGCGTAATGCCTGTAGTTGCGTCGCCTGTTGTACCGGTGTATGGGAACGTGAAGATGGCTGTCGTAACAGCCTTGATCGTGGAGTCCACCAGCATGAAAGAGCCCGTGTTGTGTACACCGTTTTCGCCCATCAGCCTAAACGCAGTGCCGCAGTTCTCAACACGGATGCTCTTCCAAACCTGTGTGTAGTTGTCAGCCTGGCCCTGACTACCTCAAGGTCATGATTCAAGGAGCCTAATGTGCCACGTACCCAGCCCCAGTCCCAAATAAGTTGAACTGCTGTCCTAAAATTGTTGAATCTCAATCTCTGACTGGTAAACTGCTGGTTTCCGCCGTCTAAAAACAAAAAGATCAGTGTGTAACCTGTTGAATGTAATGTTCAAATCAAGAGATAAATCGACTCACAGATACCAAAAGCACCTCCAGTGAAGGTGAGGTCACTCATAAACCCTCCGCTACCGTTCTCCGCATATATGGCTTGCTGTGTTGTTGTGGAGGATTGTGTGCAGATGAAATCAACGAATTGCAGACTCGTGGCTTGCGCTACTTGGTAATGTAGGGCAGCGACATATGCATTCTGGTCAACGGCCCGAATGTCGATGACAAAATTTCTGATCTGCCTATAGAAGTTTGCCTTGATGCCTCGTAAGTCGCAATGGCCAGGGATTGGGCTCGAGGAAATGAGCAAGCATCGGAAGAGAAAAAGAAAAAATTTCATTGCCGCCCTAGGAGAGCCTTTTTGCATGGCAGACATCCACATAACGAATAACAAGGTGACTGAAAATCCGTACCGTGTTGATATACCATTGCTTGGCATTCCCATCCGAACCAGTGCCTCCATTCTCGACATAATGATTAGTGCTAATGACACCCAAGCTGACAAAGGATGCTGAAGCCTTGATGATAGGTCGGTTGACAGCCTGAAAACAATTAAGTGACTAACTAACGTACAGCGTCCAAAACTAGCATAAGAAGAAGCATCTTGACGGTCTACTTACATCACCAACAAACTGAGTGCCATAATATGTCTCAATGGTGCTGCTGATCAAATATGTCCCGGGTGGGAAGTAGATGATAGCACCCTTAGTGGTGGAGCTATAGCAGCCCGGCCCACAGGCCTTGGCATCCTTGACGGCATTGATGATGGCTTGGGTATCATCCTAAAGACTTCTGAGTGGATTTTTCTGTTGCCTCCACTCTCGGAAGGCAGTGGAGGGGATTTGAACCGCTTACAGTCACACCATCACCTGCAGCACCATAGTCGGTTTTGACATTGCGGAACACCTTTGCAGAGAAGATCAGCCCCAATGACTAAGACTGAGTTTTATCCAAGAAAGAAAGAGCTCACCTTGAAGTTGCTTGGATTACTGCCCCATGGCCATCCACCAGAGTGTGCCAGGTTGCCCATCCACCAGTTCCCGGTGTTCTGGCGCTTGGCTTCGATAATCGTTTTATCTACAGCAGTACCGTTCTTCACGTCCTCATATGCATCAGCTTCAGCAACAAGCGCAGCAGCAGCACGAATAGCATCAGTGATGTTAAAGAGAGGCGCTACGTCTTCATTTTGACGTTTGCCGTGCTTGGTACTTGGATCAACCGTATACCGATTGCGCATAGGCTTAGCAAGCCTGGCCTTGTTATGTTCGGTTGCTTGTTTTATGGCTTCAGCCACAAGTGCACGCGCCTTGTCGATGTCTGAGATTGTGGCATTACCCAGTAGGGTTGGCTTGTCACCATCATCTGTTGAGTTGGTTTGGCGTTGAATTAAGATGAGCTCGGGGGCACCATCATCTCTGGCCGCAATCTGTTCAACGCTGAGCTTCGTTCCACGAACTGAATAGTGGGATGATTCGATATCTGGTCTTGCGGCTAAGGCAGAACATGCCGAAATAAGAACTAATAGGGTCAAGATTTTGAGGAACATGATGAGAAAATGTGATCCCGTTTCGCAGCAAAACTTCTGCATCGTCTTCAGGCTACAAGGCTCTGCCAGTGAATTGACATTACAGATCTTCAAACTGCCATATTTATTAATGAAGCCGAGACACCTCTCATTTTCCTCCACACAATACGCAAGGGGAAAGGAACCCAATTAGAACCAACCCGCGGGCAGAGTGAGTCGATTAATCTCACGAGGTTGCCGATAGGGGATATCGAAGCAGAACAACTGCAGCCAGCAACAATAGTATGCTCGATAAAGGAACTCTTCCGAACGCGCAGCACTTCAGCCTAAATGATCACCTGATTATATGCGCCACTGAAACGAAGTTGGCTTCGTTGAATTTATTTTGGGGCTCACCAGCCGATAAACTGAGGTCTGCCAAGTTTGCAAGGGTAACATATGGGTTGGAACCTCGGGGCCATTTTAGGATTGCACGACCGGATGATGGCCTTGGCATCTTGCTGCAAAAGACCACGCGTTACAACTTCTGACTCACGACAGTGCTACGAAATGTGAACGCATACTCCGGATAGTTGCTATTTGGATTTTCATTGAGCTCTAGTGGTGGAATCTCTTGAGTCCAAATTTGAATCCAATCTCAAATGATGAGTCGAGGATGCTATTGACCGAAGTGTACTATTTTAATTGCACCCGAAAATATGTTCTACCTTGTCGAATAGGTCCCTATATGAAGTTTACAATAATCAGGGGTCTTCTGGGCTACTGGAGGTCCCATATCAAGTGGCAAGCTCGTGTTATATTAGTATTGACCCCAGTTGTGGCACAGCACCTCGTTTGACTTGCTGTTACGGAGTACAGGGGTAAGTATTAGCTATCCCAAGCCAATCATTCCACCACGTGCTCTTCGCCGTCGCGTATGCGTATTATGACCAGTGTCCAAATATAGACATGAAGAGTCCCACAAAATAGAACCGTGCCGCAGGACTGCGAATTCTCAGAATCCTGTGTTTTGAGATTTCCTTTGAAGCATCTCTCCATGGCGCGTTCCCGGTTTCCCGCCCCATGGGCCATCGTACAGCTGGCTCTTCGGCTGATCTCGGTTGCGCTTGCTGTCGCTACAATCGTCGTCGCTATCTACGTGTCAGCGAGATATGGGTACGGGCGCGCCATGGCAGGCGCCTTCATCGCTGTATTTTCCCCTAATAAAATGATCAGAAAAGGCATTGTATTACTAACGTTGAAGACTGTAGGCTATCTGGGTCATCTTAGTTGATGTGCCGGATGTGACTGGGTTGGCAGATTCAAAGCGGCGGACGCGGCGCTGTACAGAGGGCTATTTGGCATTTCTCTCGCTCCTCACAATTCTTATTTGCGGCGCTGTGCCTATTGCCGTTATCCTGGCAGTTAATGGAGTCAGCCATGAGTGCGGAGGTAGGCCGCGTGGAGCCTGTGAAGAAGAAGAAAAGATGCGCAGTGCGGCCAGCCTAGGCGTCTTCTTGAGCTGGGTAATGCCTGTTATTATAGCGTGAGTTATCAATTTCTTGAAGTTGTGCCTGACCACCTCGGAGTTGGTCTTTTCAATATACGACTTCAGCTAACTCTTTCCAAAACAGGGCACTCCATTGCATTCTCCTGATATCTTCTTGCGTTGGCTACTGTAGAAAGAGATGAATCCACTAACACATACCTTGGACTTTTGTCGTAGGCGAGCTCGCGAACTGTCATGAAGTGTCCCTAACCTTCACTGTATCCTTCCTCTTCAACCTCGTGAATGCTTGTAACCTATTAGATGTATAATATCAAAAATAATGACGGGCTCAAACACTAACAAGACTTAATTATTAACACCGACTTAAAGATTACTAGGTGACTAACCGAGCAGGTAATATCTAATACGCAATTTAATTACACGAGTCTACCGGTTTAATTACATAACCGGAGAGTGCGGTCTTTAATGTTTTAGTGACTTGTGCACTTTAGCTTGGAATATCTGTTACTTTTCAATGTTCACCTGATATAACATCTATTACTAAGTAAGAATCAACTCTATTAGTGTTGATCTTGAGTTACCTTCCATCCCACTTCGTAAAGTCACTCCGGCAATTAGCTTGACATTGCACACATACTCTCTTCTCAATACACCCCTTCACTTATTATACTTTTAGGCCTTTATCACCGTAGCCTCTAGGCATTAATGCGGGCCTGAACACATGTGTTTTACTAAACAAATTACTTAGTTCAAGCCGCTGAAGCTTAAGTAATTCATAGGTAAATATCATTTGATCTGTTCTTACACATTGGTCTTCTAGCTACTTTGTGCTATACTATACACTGGCAGGCAATAGCTTATCTTATCTAGACGGGCTGCTATTGACTATGCAGAGGTGATGACAAGTGGAGTCTTTGCTGGTGGTTGGCTTGAGTGGGTGGTGGGGTATGAGGTCAAGGGTGGCCAGTGCATCATGCAAAATATTGGCGACTTCACAGGGAGAGGTACTTCGTACATACTCTTGTTTTTCTTATCTCTAGATTTTGCAATACTATAGAACTTTCAGCCGCGTCTACATTCTATCTGCGGTGCCCTTACAGTAAATAAGCAACGAGTACTTGCGGAGTATATGTTAGAGCATTGCATCTAGTGGCGAGGTACCCAACTTTTGAGCGGCACTTCATACCACTCACAAAGAGATATACGAGAGCAAGTCCTATCTGTAACTTCCCACAACCATGATGCTGTGGTAATACGGCCCCTGTTCGAAATTGTGATAACTTCCTTCCGATACGCTTCTGTCTCGACTCCCATGCAGTGTCGACGATTGGTCCGTAGAAATGAAACATTGCCACAAGTACAGCATAGCCAGCGATACAACGTCAAACGCCTACCTACTGGTTTCGCCTACTCACGTACTTACCTTGTGCCAAGGAAACGATTTGCGAAGGACTCAATGCAACAGAGCGAATTGCCCAGGCCTATCTTGAAACACTTGGGGGGTGGGCTTCCTTGAGCGTTTACCCAGTGTTCCTATTCTATTGGTCAATGCTGTCGAGCCTCTGGCCTTTGCGCCTGCCTTTTCCGGCATCTACTCCTATCTGGGAGGCAACATTACATTTTCCCTCAAAGTTTACTCGTGCATAGCCCACGCTGCTGAGGCGGTCTCGAGGTTTGAACCATAAGTTGTCACAGGTCACATTTTACGAATGTGTTGTTGAGGTGCAAAAGAAAGTTTGCAGTCATAGGCCTATTGACACAGCCGGATGGAGAGATGCAAGTCATAGGCCAGCCACAACGACGTGCTAACCTGATATATCTCTTGGCGAGATTTCGCTTCCCTTTACAGTCTCCAATTCGCAAAAGGCGCACCTGCGATTGGATTGCATGTTTCTGAAAGTAGGAACCCCTGGTTGGATCTGCTGGCAGGCCCCCGGCAGCCATATGCCCGCCCCACTGAAACTAGATTCATGCTGCCACCCCCAGACAGGCCATTTTGCCGAGTACTCTATGTAACCTGGCAGTTCGGGAATCTTCAGCACTCACATGCGGGGGGGCCTAGACGAGGTTTATATGAAAGGCGTCCCGTCTGAGGCGAGATAGATAGGACGACGTAAAAAGTGTTCGGCTTACTTCCCCAACTCGGACGGGCTGGGATTAAAATATCCTTAGCCAAGACTTTTCAATCAAGGGAAAAGCCGTGGTGTTGCAATATAGTCCCTGGAATGTCGTGCTGCCCCTTTGCGATAACTGGCAGACCCAACACAACCTTCACGCCTCACCATGGGATCGCCTAACATTAGACGCTGTCTTAGGACTCTCGTACTAACCATACTGGCTTCGCCGGCATTTGCCGATTGGCAAGTTGGTCAAACAGTCCAGACTTCGAGCGGGCCGGTCAACGGCCACGCTGCGAAGAACGCCAAAGGCGTCTCCGAGTATCTGGGTATCCCATACGCGGAACCGCCTGTCGACGACCTGCGGTGGGCGGAACCCGTCAACTACGATGGCACTGAAACCGTGAACGGCACGGCATTTGGATTCGCGTGCATGCAGCCCGGGTTTAGTATAGGCAGCACAGGGATCAGCACACGACAGATACTACCGAATCTCAACCTCACAGTACCAGGAATTGCACTGCTCGAGTCGTATGCGAGAACTGTACCACCACAGAGCGAGGACTGCTTGACTCTGAACGTCTGGACGAAGCCTCAGACAGGAGATGCTAAGAAAGCTGTCATGGTAGGCCTTCAAACGTGGCGATTCGTTACGCGATTCGAGGGCTGATGCAAGATAGGTTTGGATCCATGGAGGCGGATGGACCACAGGAAGTTCAGGTATTTCCTGGTATAACGGCCAGTTCTTCGCAGACGAAGAAGACGTCGTCATCGTGAGTATCAAGTGAGTTGTAATTTCACATGCTGTCTAGCAGCCACAGGACTGAGATCATCCAGTTACCGACTCAACATCTTTGGCTTCCCTGGAAACCCAGACGTGACACCCAACCTTGGTCTCCTGGACCAGAGGCTAGCCATAGAATGGGTTCGGAATAACATCGAAGCCTTTGGGGGTGACCCGGAACGCATTGTCCTGTTTGGCCAGAGTGTTGGGGGCGCGTCCGTCGATATGTACACGTACGCGTGGACATCTGATCCCATTGTGAAGGGAGTCATTGCCCAGAGCGGTGTCGCCTGGTCGTTTCCAATCCAGACTCAGGATACGGCCACAGATCAGTGGCAGGATGTGGCCAAAAGCCTCGGGTGCACTGGGGACCCATCTGAGACGCTGGATTGTATGCGAAAACTTTCAGCGCAGAAGCTTGTCAAGGCAGACCAGGTCGCCCAAAAGTTTGGCACCATCTCGGATGAGAAGCTCGTCTTCTCAGACTACCCGTCACGGAAGCCAGCAGCTATCCCGGTGGTCGTCGGCCATACGGACTTTGAGCCGGGCCTCAACCGGGCCCTCTCGACAGTCGAGCTTGCTGAAAGCGTGTGGGACAACCAACAGCACAATATCTGGCAATGCCCAACGGCACAGCGTACGGCATATAGTGTGAATAATGGAGTCCCGACGTGGCGGTATCGATGGTTTGGAGCCTTCCCCAACACGATCTTAAGCAATGATCCACCGAGCGGCGCCTACCATACATCAGAGGTGAGTATGATCTGTCCTATGGTCTATTTACCCGGGTCTGCTGCTGATGCGATATCTTTCCGCAGCTCCCTATCCTGTTCGGTACAGTTCTACAGACCGTGGTGGCCAGCACACCCGCAGAGAATGACATCTCCTCCTATATGCGTGGCGCTTGGGCGGCTTTCGCCAAGGATCCTGAGAAGGGGCTTCTATCCTACAGTGACGGATGGCCCCAATACACTGCCGATGGGGACACACTGGTCCAGCTTGCCTTCGACAGTAGCAAAGGCACAAACCTCGCGGACGGAGCCTCGTTCGATAGCGGCTGCAGCGTTCCAAGTAGCACAGGTACGCCATCCGGAACTGGAACTTCCACTCCGACGCCGACGCCTTCTAATCTGTCAGGCCATGATGTTGTTCCATCACCAGCGAAGGTTCTAGCTGCAGTACTCGCCTGCATACTTCTTGCGACTCTGTAGTTGATAGGGAAATAGACGGCCTCGGCTCGAGAACGGTGTCTTGCTTGAGACGTATATAGACTCGGTAGGAATACAAGACTGGTAAAATGATATACAATATTGAAGTTACTCTCTTGGGATGAACGAGCCTGTCTTTCGATAGTAATTTAGCATATTTTGGTTGGTGTACCAATGTGTGTATCGAGACATTTATAACGTATTGCAATATTCTGCAGATCAACATGCTAGAACTATTTGCCAGAAAGTGCAAGTGATATTCGTATTAGTGAACTGACAATGTCCCCTTCGTGGGTATTCTCATAGGTGATTGAGCTATCACCGGCAAGGTTAACGCCACAGGCTGGGTCAATGACGGCTGGCGCATGCAGCTACAATAATAGCCTGAAAGAGTTACCAAATTGGGCAATGGCCTTCGGGGTGTGAGCACCACATCCAAGACCTTCGTAAGCACGCTGAAATGGCTCTATATTTTGGGCGCGACTGGTACCAGATTGAGCGCGAATAGCTGACTCCGAGACCTGGAGCGTGAGAGCCTGGCGCGCCGTAGCAGTTGATGTAATCCATATCTTGGGATGAGGCAGTGCATGCAATACCACGGCTGTCTGACCACTGCCACTTACAGGCTGGGCGATCTTCCCAGACTGGTCATAGCAGGTACAACCTAGCCACGAGAGAGAGGCCGATACGCATAGACACGTGTATACTGCGGACAACCGCACGACGATGCATCGAAGACCGGCTACCCGGCTCCGACGGATGGGATTCAGAACTGGGCCAGGGATCATCTCTGAAAGCTGACGAAATCGATCCCGGATCTCGCAAATCAGATGCAGGTCCGACGTCGAGGACTTCCCGGAAAGGCATCGCCTTCTGCGCTTGACCAGAAGCGAAAACCTTGGAGGGGGGGTCCAAAACCTGATCGTAGGCTGAGGCGGGAGCACCTACTGCGCATACTCCCGAGTCATTCCCCGCAAAAAGCCATCCCTAGGAGGTCTAGCTTTCAATGGTGTCTGCTCATGTCTGACGTTCACGAGTGGTGTGCTCGGTGTCGCGGCATAGCCCAGACAACGAAGCCGAGGGCTACTGAGTAAGATCCAAGGAAACACTGCCGTTGTGTCCAGGGCTTGTCGAGAGTTGCTGATTCGCAGGTGCCCGCTTGGCGCCGAAAACCAGCTGCAGCCCAGCACGTCGCACCGCCGCTGTGGTCGGGCGATCATCACTTCCTTCCACGGCCTCCAGGGCTCGAACTCTCTGATCCGTCGAATGCAGGCTGTTGGACCTTGCATGCTGCAAAACCTCGACGTTTCCACCGCGAATCTGCCTCCCCAAGCATCTACCTTTTCCCTCCTGCGCAGGCACTGCGATTGACTTTTCAGTTGGGACACACTCCTAGGCGCGTCACATATTCGACATTTTCCTTGGTCACATCGGACTTGACCCAAGCAGCCCTGGCGCCCGGCCGCCGTCTCTAGACGTCATCTTTTTCGCAGAAATCCACAATACCCCGTAAACTCAGCTGGTTCAACCCATTGCATCCCGCCCGCCATGCCGATCCGGAACCCCTTCGCCAGGAGAGTCGGGAACGACGAGAACGTTCGCCCGGAGCTTCTGTCTGCCCAAGACGCTTCGCATCCCGGCTTCGAGAGGCAGGACACGGTCGGTTCCAAGGCCTCGTCCGCGCTCAGCATCCGCAGCGCCAAGAGCCAGGATAATGGCGATTACAAGATGAGCGGTATGTATGCACCTGCAAACCTACCAATGCGCCGGGAGTCTCGGAGTCGATGCGCTTCCCTTCGCAATTGTCTGCACAATGTGCCACTAACACTCTGTTGCTTATATAGTCGTCAATGACAGTGGTGTCTACCTGCCTGTACGTCTCACAAGGGTTTCCCTCGCCCGTTGCGCATCGCTCTGGCCGCTGACATGACCCAAGCCATCTCCTAGCGAAGAGAAGGGATTATGGCCCCGACGGCCCGCCGTTCCTTCGCGGACTTCTATGGACACCCGCAGCAGCATCGGTGATATTGAGCACTTCTCCATCTCAAGAGAGTCGTTCGACTCGTACCGCCGCTCCTTTGTATGTTCTCCGCCTGCGCCCGACAAATATATGAGATGACCGAGGCTAATCCGCCGACTCAATAGGACATTACTGCCAGGGCCCCAGTTCTGCATGAACTGCCTGCTCGGCAGAGTCTCGACTCCGCCCGGTTCCCCCGATTCCCGCGGACTTCAGTCAGGGACCCATCATTCGACCGGGCGCCACCCACCGCAGAGGAGGGCTTCGAGGATGTTGGCTTGCACGATGAGACCAAGCAGCCAGCCCAACAGCCGCCCAAGAAACGGGGCCTGTTTGCCCGGTTTGGCGACTCGCAAGAGCCCAGTGCCCACAATCAAGGCATGTCTCGCTTCATCCCCGGGCGCAAGAGAGCTCAAAGTGGGGGTCAAGGCGCAGAACTGGGCACCATGGAACGGCCCAAATCCTCGCTATCGGATGAAGGGGAGGAGATGCAATAGATAGACGCACGCACACATGGTATATAGCGACTGCTCGCAATATCAGGCACGCATGGTTTGAAGGCGTTTAGGCGTAGGGAATATTCTAGGCTTGAGTGTCCTGACGGATCGCTCGCCTTTTACGGGAATGCAGTTGGGATGATAGAATTTTTGGGTGGTCAGTCATTCGCTCAACCCGGTTTTCACGAGTCGTTGGTTTCCATGGGAGTGGGATCCGTGGCTTTGGAAAGCAACAGGAGAAGAGCCATAGAGTACATATTGCTGTCTGTTAATGAGTAATGACAAGTATACGGACCAACAGTTATGGTCTTGCAACACTACTGGGTGGTCCTGGGATACTACTTCGAGTCTCGATGACATGCAGTCGTGATATGTAGATGTACATGTCACCAATGGCCGATGGTCAGCCGTTGGGGGTAAGCGGCCTCCCCCCCCCCCCCCCCCCCCCCATGAAAGGCTTTGGTTGAAATGACCACTCACTGGGAAGTTGGTGGCGCATACCAGGCAAGAGAACTATTGTTCATCTGGCCGATGTGGAAACAGGTCTGGTAGCCAGGTACATGGGATGATCTGCTTTTGCAGTCTGTCCCTGCAGATTTTATAGCCCCACGTCCAGTGGTCGACCCCGCCAAACGCCAAGACCAAATATCTTATCGCCTCGTTATCGAGGTGGTTTCCCAGAATTATTTTTTCGACGTCAACTTTCTAGCTTCGGGCGGGCTGGCAGACTGGACACACCCACTCGAGCTCCAAGTCCGACTTCTCGACTGCCGGGAACCCCTCGTCAGGCAACACAACGCAACGCCACACACCGAATTTTGACACAATGGGGAAGACACGCCCCGACAAGAAGAACAAGAAGCGCGGTGCGCTGTCCCGTGCCGCTACGGGACCGGCTGAGGATGAGACCGCCAAGGCCGTCTCGCCGCTGCTGCTCGTCCAGATGGCGACGTTCCAGATCTCCGAGGGCAACGCCGAGGACGCCCTGGCGCTCGCAACCCAGGCACTCGACGCTTCACAGCCCGGCAGCGACGGCACCCTCGCTGCCCTCAATGTGCTCGGCCAGATCAATATCGAGCTCGGCGACTTCGATGCCGCCCGATCCTTCTTCCTGCGCGCGGTCGCCATCGATCAGGACGGTCGCAGAAGCGAGGATGTCGGCGGCGGGCCCGAGAAGTTCCTATGCCTGGCGCAGCTCAGCGAGGAAGGCGGGAACGACAGCGTGCGGTGGTTCGAGAAGGGCGCCGCAGCGCTGAAGGCGCAGATTCAGGACCTAGAGGAGGAGGCCGGCAGGCGGAGGACCGCGCGGGCCGAGGAGAAGCAGGAGAAGGAGATGCAGGTCGAGGAGCTGCGCCGCAAACACGCCATGACGCTGTGCTCCGTCGCCGAGATCTACATGACCGACCTGTCGTGGGAGGCCGACGCCGAACAGCGCTGCGAGGCCCTCGTCACCGAGGCCACCATGGTGGCGCCCGACTTTGCCGAGTCCTGGCAGACGCTGGCCAACGTGCGCATCTCGCAGACCCGGATCGAGGACGCCCGCGCCGCCCTGCGCCGGAGCATGGAGCTCTGGAAGGACCTCCCGTCCGCGGACCCGTCCGTGCCCGACTTCCCCAGCCGTGTCAGTCTGGCGCGCCTGCTCATGGAGGTCGAGATGGAGCAGGAGGCCCTCGAGGTGCTGGAGCGCCTGGTGGGCGAGGACGACCAGAGCGTCGAGGTCTGGTACCTCGGCGGCTGGGGCCTGTACGTCATGGGCGACAAGCAGAGGACGGAGAACAAGGGGCCCGAGGACGAGTGGCAGGCCTCCTGGATCTCGAGCCGTGTCTGGCTGAACCAGTGCCAGACCTTATACCAACAGCAGCAGTACGAGGACGACCGGCTCGGCGAGCACGCCAAGGAGCTCCTGGACGCTATTGCCAAGGTGTTGGGTGAAGCGCCAGAGATAGAAGAGGAAGACGACGACGATGACGAAGGCGACTGGGTTGAAGAGGGTAGCGACGAGGATGATGAGATGGAGGGTTAGGTGCCGAAATTTGCGGCAGGATAGAGAACGCCCCTGATCACGATCAGAGGTGTGTGCGGTGGCGATCGGCTTCTGGACTGGCATTGTAAGGCGTTTTACGGACTCAAAAGGTTGGGGGTCTTTCTTCGAGTTTGTTAGATAATCTGATGAGGTCACTTATAATCAAATCAGATCTTTCACTGGTTCTATCCCAATGTCTCCCGAACGCCCATGCAATGCTTCAATGGACCTCGTTCGAGCGCGTGCCTCACTCCAGACAACCGATCTCGGACCTACTGCTGTGAGATATGCAATGCAGGTCCTCAGTTGTGCGTGCTCGTGACACTGTCGTTGGATATAGCGTCCTCTTTTGTCGTTTGCTTTGGGGACTTGACGTCTCCCATCTCAAGCTGCAACCTTCAACGCCTCCACACCATCCGCCAGGCCACCAGCGCCGTCTTCTTCGTCACCCTCATCAACTTTGCCTACCATGCCGGACTCCCAGAGTTGTCTCCCGGTCAGGCGCTTCTCCTCCTTGACCCTGGCCTTCTTGAGGTCGGCCAGCCTCTCCTCCTCGAGCTTGGCACTCTCCTCCTCCATCTCCTTGACGAAGCCGTCGCGCCACTGGACAAAGGTCTCGGGAGTGACGGGCGTGCCGTGGAACTTCTTGTTCTCCTCACGCTCGGCGGCCAGGAGCACCTCCTCGCGCTGGCGCTCGGCGACGGCGCGGCGGTCGATGATCAGCTGCTCGGCGTTCTCCTTGAGCGTCGTGACGACAGTGAAGATCATGGCCATGCCCAGGTTCTCCTGGACCGTCTCGTCCAGCCCCGCCAGCAGCGCCTCCCGGTCCGCCGCCACCGAGAAGTGTGGGTGTACGGCCGCGTTCTGCGGCGGCGACAGGTCCAGGTGCGGCGCCTCGTCCGGGTACTCGTCCGGGTAGCGCACGTGCAGGATCAGTGTCGGCGGATCGGCCTTGTCTACTTCATCGGGCGGCAACTCGAGGAGGATCGATATGCGGTATTCTGTTTCTGATATATCTATTGGAGAGGGAAACGTTGATATTAGTATAGTGTTATGGGATGGGACCAAGGGGCTTTTTACCTGTGATCTCTTCCGGGAAGATGGAGTCCAAGACCTCGCGCTCTTCTACTTGCTCTTCTCGCCCCATTTTGATTTACTGTCGCCGATGGGCGAAACCTCTCCGGGGATGTGGCAGATTCGGCTGGTGTAATCGATCAAGTCTTCCGAGGGAGAGGCGGGGCACGCCGTTCAACACAATTCAGACAAGAACGTCAGAAGCGACCTCGCACAGCTGCTCAATTGGCGCGACGTGTTGACGGGAAATCCAACTGCGGAATAAAAGCTAAGTGAAATCAGTTCAAGTCGTGACCTTGCACCTCAAAATGAGCAGAGAGTCGTTCAGTAATTAGCCCACGGTCTGTCGAAGATCGATCCCGGTATAGACACAGCTGGAGGGCTTCGGGGGACTGGACCTCACTATTCTCCAGCATCCATGGTGGGGTCGACGATAACGGCTTAGCCCCCCTTCACCGCCCGGCAGTTCTCTAAAAATTTCAAGATTCCGACCAACTTTTTAGGTGACCAGAGGCAGCGCTGCGCTCTGGGCCGCCAGTTGCATACTCGCAACCAGAGGACCTTTTCACCGTCCCTGCAACCCACGACGCCCACCATGGCTCCCCGAGACGCCGTCGCCGGCAGCAAGCGCAAGCTGAACGACAAGAGCAAGGAGAAGTTCTCCAAGAAGCAAAAGTTCGAGAAGCGCCCGCCGCAGGACGAGCCGCAGTCTGACAGTATAAGTGACGAGAACGGCTTCGAGGACTTCTCCGACGATCAGGATGACGGCGGCGCGCCCTTGAAGGCCCCCAAGTTCCAGAAGGGCGGGAAGCAGTCCAATGGGCCCAAGCCCAACGGCGATGCACCAGGCGGCAAGGTGTTCGAGAAAGGTAAGCACTCTCTTCTTCCATCTGTTGCTGTTCCCACGTCCAACCTTACTCACTGGTCACCTGCAGGCAACAATTCTCGCGAGTCCCATCTGAAGCAGAAGCAGCTTGCTCTTGAGCGTAAGAACAGCAAGCCCCTTGCCGACGAGTCGCACAGAGCCAAGAAGCTATGGGAGAGGCTGCGAAGGAAGTCACACGTGCCCAAGGAGGAGAGGCACCAGCTGGTGGAGGAACTCTTCTCCATCGCCACCGGCCGCATCAAGGAATTTGCCCTCAAGCACGACACCGTCCGAGTTGTACAGACCGCCATCAAATACTCCAACGTCGAGCGCCGGAAGATGATTGCCAACGAGCTCAAGGGCACCTATGCTCAATTGGCCGAGAGCAAGTACGCCAAGTTCTTGATTGGCAAGATCATGGCCGAAGGAGACAAGGAGATCCGAGACCTGATCGTGCCCGAGTTCTACGGCAAGGTCCGCAAGATGATCAACCACCCCGAGGCGTCATGGATCCTGGACGATATCTACAGAGGCGCCGCCACCCCCGACCAGAAGGCCATCCTGCTCAGAGAGTGGTACGGACCCGAATTCGCCATTTTCAGGAGCGAGGCCGGCGACACCACGGCTGAGCTGTCCAAGATTATCGAGGCAAACCCTGCCAAGAGGATACCCATCATCAAATACCTGCTAGATATGACGAACCAGCTGATCCAGAAGAAGATGACTGGTTTCACCATGCTCCACGACGCCATGTTGCAATATTTCCTGAACGTCCAACCCGGCGGCGAGGAGGCCAAGGAGTACATCGAGATGGTCAAGGAGGACGAGAACGGCGATCTGCTCAAGAACATGGCCTTCACCAAGTCCGGTTCTCGGCTTGTTTGCCTGCTGTTGGCCTATGGAACCGCCAAGGATCGAAAGCACCTCCTGAAGACCTATAAAGATACCTTCCCACTCATGTCGACCGACCCCTATGGCCACAACATCATTCTTGCCGCCTACGATCTAATCGACGATACAGTCCTGACTTCCAAGTCCATCTTCCCCGAATTATTAGGGAAGAACGACGGGAACGAAGGCGAGAACCTTGTGGTCTTTGCCAACGACCCCAACGCGCGTCTTACTATCCGGTACTTGTTCGAGGGCAAGTCCAAGTCACTTTTCGATGCCAGCCATGCCTATGATCTGCAAATACTGGACGAGATCCACGAGATTCGAAAGACGACAAGTAAGAAGGACGCTGACGCTCGAAGGAAAGAGCTCATTGCTGCTATGTCCCCGGCCTTGCTTGCTGGTGTTGCAGCAGCCCCCTTCGATCTTGTTTCGACGTCGTTTGGTTGCCAGATGGTGTCTGAAATCCTTCTGTCTGCCGTTGGTGAGAAGGCTGAGGCACTCCAGGCCATCGCGAGCACTGCGGAAGGTGACCCGGAGGCAGAAGGCGGGGAAGCTGAGGCTGAGGCGGAAGGCGAAGGCGAGGGAGATGATGAGGCACAGATGCCCCCTGGCATCCACATCTCCAGGACAGCACATGGTGGCCGCATGTTCAAGACGCTTATCGCTGGTGGCCACTTCGACAAGGCGACTCGCAAGGTGATACCGATCGACCCACCCTTGAAATTTGCCGACATCTTGTATCCAGTCATCAAAGATCACGCTGTATCGTGGGCCACCGGCCCTAGCTCCTTCGTGATTGTTGCTCTGCTGGAGTCTCAGGATTTCTCCCACGGGGACGAGTTGAAGAAAATTCTCAAGAAGGAGAAGAAGACTTTGGAGAAGGCTGCCAAGGAAGAGACTGCCGAGCAGAAGGCCGCCAGGGAAGCAGCGGATGTCAAGGGCGATGCAGAGAAGCCAGCTAAAAAGGGGAAGAAGGCAGCCCCCAAAAAGGAGAGGTCTGTCGGCAATGCTGGAGCGAGGCTTTTACTAGAGAAATTGTAGAATATGGGTCATTTACGGTTCGCGAGCGTCCAAATATCAATTTTTTGTACCGCTCACTAGAAGCAAGTATGTCAACATAGATGACTATCTGTGATTATCCTAGTTGTGCGGCAGGTTCATGATCATTATACTTCCGACGGTCACGTTTCAGGGGTTGTAGTGGTACAGTACCGCGACGAGTGCGCGGTTAGTTACAGGACACAATGGCTTGGCCGATGATGAGAGGACCTTCAGCCATGCAGCTCTCCGTGACGTTTGAGAACCCACGACCTGTTGATGCTTGAGGAAAGCCGAACGGCCCTGACATTCATGATAACCTAATGAACCGGTCAATAGTACCAAAAACAAAGAGAAACCACTCGCTTGTGATCATGGACAATGTGGGATCTATTTTGAAGAGTGGGAAGCCATATCGGTACCCTCAAGTACTACATCTAGCGGGCAAACAAAGGCGTTCGACGCCGAGTTGTCATGGTGAATCAGACGTATCACAACGTGACAGAGTCGGGCAGATGATATGCCAGACCACCATTCTGCAAGCGGGGACTAGGTCTCGTCGATAGTCGCATGTGACCAATTTCGTGGGCTCCCCGTTCCGCCTCTTTCATGACCTTGTAGTGGTTCATTTCATGGCTTTGGGGGGCGCGCGGATATCGCACCCTCGATGGCGTTCTGGTTGCACGATTCCCTGGTAAACGGGATTCCATTGCCAAACACGCATCACCTGGGCCAACTGCGTTCATCCAAAGTCGCAGCGTGTGGGAGCCGGCCTACTGAATAAATCAATCAACCAGTCGACTGCCCCTCCGCGACTTCCTCACCACAACGCTCTCACATCGTCGCGCATCTCCATTTCGTTTTGGCTGGACGAAGTCAGTTTCCAATGAGGATCGGAGTTCTAGGAGTGCCCTGGGAGATCTCAGATCAACGTGTCTCCTAGATCTCCTTACAGTTCCTGTTCCAGATGGTGATTTCCTACGGCGCTTGATCGGCGACAGCATTATCTTCATCTACACCTCTACATTCATTCGCACCTGTTTACTTTTTCTTTTCCTTCATCGTCGTGCGCAAGCATCCCATCATCGCGGTCACACCGATCTCGAAGGGCTGCCACCCGTTCTACCCTTCTTCGCCGAGCCCGTTCTGGGAGATCCATCGCATCCATCCTAGCAAACCTCTGTCAACGCCAACGCCAGCAATCATGCATTACGACCTTTTCCAGATACGACAAGACTGTCCCCGTGGGAGCATATTCTACTCCTGCGGGCCACCTTCGTTCTTCAGAGGTTGTTGTTCTGAAGATGCCTGCACTAATGGTGGCTGCTCGACCGACGCAGCCATCAACATCCCGGCAGATTTGATCAGCTCCGAGGATGCGACATCGACGACAACAACAGCCCCCAAGATGGCATCCGGCGTAGGGGCGCCAGTCACCTCTCAAGTCCCAACCCCGGCTTCCCCGTCTACCCCATACCCTACTGTCGATACCATCGGCACTGACCTGTCTAACACCGGAGTGGTTCCTCCTGCGGCGACTGCCGCTTCACCGTTTGCTACGAGCAGCACAAATCCTCACGATGAGGAGACCACCGGAATTTTGCCACAGACCGCGATCGCAGGAATCAGCGTTGGTGCAACGATAGGCTTGGTGGGAGTCATTCTAATCATCTTCCTGCTCGTCCGCCGCCGCAAGCAGTCGAGGCGCGTGCCGTCGTCACACGATAGTTTGAGAGATGCGTACGGCACAAAGATGGAGCACAACAACCACTCAGTAACACGGCCTTCCGAAGGGCATGACAACGAGGACGTGTTTGCGGCTTTCGGAGGTGAGTTCACTTCACCACTACTGGGTCACGCAGCCTCACGGGCCTGGATCCCTATCCACACCAACTTTCTAAGACTCACAAGCTGACTTGACTGTCCAGGTCGCGTGAACTCTTCCGAATCGTCGCAGCAAATCAAGTCGCCGGCTCCCTCCGTGTTGCCGTCTGCCAGAAGTCAGCCAGATGGGAGCTATCCTCGCTCGCCGGCCCACAGCTATATCGTCAGTCCTGTTTCACCTCAAAGCACAGGTGCGGTCTCACACCAGGCCTCGGTCAAAGGCAGAGACGGGACGGAGAAAAAGAAAGCCAGTGCGCCGGCGGCCTTCGATTCCAATCAGTTCTTCTTTGAACTAGATTCTGCCGATACTGAGCGACCGGCTGTAGCGGAGCTACCTATGGACAGCACCGCAGTGGTCGCTCCGCGTCCCAAGTCTGAGGCGAACCAGACGGCTTCGGCGCATGGAGCACATCTTATGCCGGGATCATGCGTCGATACTGTAGTCGCGGAGGCGAGGAACCGAATGCCTGGGTCATTCCCCGATACTGTAGTCCAAGACGCAAAGAAGCAAAGCTTGACTAGAGTTCGGGTTGGCGAGGCTTCGGTCGTGTCCGTTGGCAATCATGCGCAGCAGGCCAGGCCGGGCTCGTACGATGGCGCATACGAACGAGCACCTCGCCTGAGGGCCACGATGAACGCCACAGACGATGACGTCCAGAGGAATCGTCACGTTAACAGCTGGACGCATCTTTGAGTTGCTAGCAGGCTATGTCTTGAGATTTGAGCTGGAACACGGTGGAGAGTGACAAGGGCATTAGTAGCTTAAACCGGGGAGATACCGGCTCTGAGCAGCAGGACGAATATTCAGTGAGCAGGTAGATTGAGATCATTCCTTGCTGTTCATCGTTGATATGCGGCATTCTCATGGCGCACGAGCTTGTGGTTGAGGACAAATTCAATCCGTCTTCCACCAAAATCATGGGTTTCCCCTGGTAAATTGATAGCGGCCAGCGCAATTACGCCTGTATTTTGATTCCAAGTAAACTGACAAAGAGGCGCTAATCTGAAGCATATATTCATGCATGTAGGGGATTGGTCGGTCATTGGCTGAATCGACTTGTAATGTGTATACGTATATCGGCCTCGTTACGAGGTTCGTGCTAACATACACAGCACATAACTCTGCTGTTCGATTGACGTTCTCTCGAGAAGCAACGGAGATGACCTCGGAATGATGTTCTCCCTCATTCGGGTGAGAAACTGAAAATTTGGAAATTCTGACTTACGCTCTCGTTCAAAAATCCAAAGTCAATTGAGGAAGCCCCTTGGCACATGATATTTACAGGCAGCTGGAGGGCGTTTATTGACGTTGGAGCTTGGCTGGCAAGCCCCACTAAAATGCAGCGCCCCCCGTCAACAAGCTGCCCCAGGCCCCAGGCCCCAGGCTTGGGCTGAGCTGAGCTTTCTCCAATGACGGCCAACTGCGGGCGACGTCAGCCAACTACTCTCTACTTAAGTGACTTGAACGCAACCGACCCTGGGAACCAACGAGCCAGGAGTTCCGCCGACGACTGCTTCCTCGCGCATGACCCTCGAAGCTCCCTCGTCATCCGCCTAGCCTCAGCTTCTATCCCATCCATCCTGCCACGCTCCGGGCGGCAACCACCACCCCCAAGCAGCTGAGGCACACTCGCAACCCGCATCCCGCATCCCGCATCATGTCGCTCGACCCGCCCCCGTACCTGGGTTCGCTGCAGAACAACATCCGCCAGCGGCCCATCCCCTGGGACGGCGCCGTCCGTGCCAACACCCTCAACGAGGGGCAGCTGGCCAAGATCAGGGCCGTCGACAAGGTCAGGAAGGACCAGAGGAAGCAGGTCGTCGAGGCCGACCTGGACGGCTACCGGATACTGTTTGTCGGCCAGGACGGCACCCCCAGCGTCCTCGAGTCGGCAAGCAAGCGATCCGATGTTGTGCAGTACATACTCGTCCTCCTGAGCGACCTTCTTGAACGTAAGTCCTACTCCGCCCACTGTTCCTGCCAGCTCCCCCGCCTCGTGGCTCGCAGCTGCCTCGCCGCCATGCCGCATGCGCTAATACTTGTCGCTCCAGATGTCCCTGCGTTGGCAACGGCCCTTTTCAAGAACGCGGACCCCTACAAGCATTTCCTACCGCTGCTGCACTCGACCAATCCTGAAGACCCCATCCCGCTGCTCACCTCGACCGTGCTCTCGACCCTGATGGCCAAGTCCCGCGACGAGTCCGCGTCCACCGAGCGCTCCTTGCCCCTGATCCTCAGCTACCTGTGCGGCCTGGCCAAGAACTCGAACGATGCTGGCCTGCAGGATATCGCCGTCATGCAGTACTCGTCTCTGCTGTACGGCACATCCTCGCGCCAGCTCTTCTGGAAGCAACGGAGCGAGACTGTTGCACCGCTTATCGACATCCTCAGGAAAGCCGGCGGCATCGGAGCCGACTCCTCGGCCAGCCTGTGGAGTGGAAACACCACGGCCAGGCCTGGAGGCTTTGAGGGCTCTATTGGCGGCGGCGTCGGCCTACAGCTTCTGTACCATGTGCTCTTGGTCATGTGGCAGCTCAGCTTCGAGGCCGAAGATATTGGCGACGACATGGACGAGTGAGTTCCCCCTATGTGGCATGAATCAAACAGGGGCTAATGCTTCTTCTAGCGAATACGACATAATACTCCTATATACACAGCTGCTCCGCTTGTCACCAAAGGAGAAGACCACGCGCCTCATCTTGTCGACGCTTTATAACCTTTTGAGCACGAACCAGAGCTCTCTTCTGCCTACAGCAGTGCTGGCTAGGCTACCTGCTCTGCTGCAAAACGTCGGTGGCCGTCACCTGACGGACCCAGACCTCCAGGAGGACCTGGAGAATCTCAAGGAGATGCTGGAGGAGTACACCAAGACAAAGACGACTTTCGACGAGTATGTGGCCGAGGTGCGGTCCGGGCATCTACGATGGTCGCCGCCCCACCGGAATGCCACCTTCTGGGCCGAGAACTCGCGCAAGATCCTCGAGTTCGAGACGGGCGAGATCCCGCGCAAGCTGGCCGAGATCATGAAGAAGCCGTGGGAGAACGACAAGGCCGTGCTCGCCATTGCCTGCAACGACGTGGGCGCCCTGGTCAAGGAGGTCCCGGAGAAGAGGCAGCAGCTCGAGAAGCTGGGTCTCAAGACGCGCATCATGGAGCTGATGCAGGACTCGGACGAGAACGTGCGGTGGGAGAGCTTGAAGGCGCTGGGCGGTTGGCTCAAGTACAGCTTTGAGAGCAACTGATTGTATACAGTCTTGTAGAACGGCACTGTTTTGTTCCTTTTTTTTTCATGTCGTTTGATTTTTCTCCAATCGAAGAAATCCAGGCGGTTATATCCAAAGCATGCGAATCACGGGTAGGATAGAGGATGCATGGCTAACAGAGTAGCTAAAACGAAACATCTGGTTAACCTGTCTCTCGGCTTTGCTGCCATGTTGTAATTGTGTAAAGCCTACGCTGCTAGTGAGCGAGGGTTCGTGATCCGAAGATTTTATCTTATCGAAGCAATGGAAGTTAAGTGTCCTGTCACGGTCTCGCAATCCACAAAAGGCAGGGCTCATCTATAGGGTGCACAATTGATGTAATTACAAGCTAAAGATCTAATACAAACGGGCATGAGATCCGCGCTTTTGCATATCCTATTAAAAGCGGAGCATTCTGCCACCACACTCACTAGTGCCAATATTCACCTGACGGTAAGCCATCATATGTCCTCCATCGATTACATTTGTTACTTAATATAACAAGCATTTTTTAAAAGATGAAGAATATTTTAAATATCATCTTAAACCTCGAAAAGGACATCGAGTCTTTAATAATGGCTAAAGAGGCGTTTTTCTTAAGACTAGTGATGCGTTAATGTAAACTGTGCGCAGAGACCTTATATTTTCAGCTTTTCCTCATCATGTTTACGTTTGTAAGAGACGCACCATACAGGAATCAGCATCAAGTGGCATGGGCAATTGTTCCGAAATGGGAGTCATACAATGTGATTCTGATGGGTGTGACGCAGCTCCCAAGTGACTAGTGCACGCAAATCTTACCTATCCTCTTGGTATAGTTATCGCTTTCACGTGGCCTATGACTACTTAGCTGATGCTGAAAAGTCACGACGGCTCACTTTAGCATCTTTCTATTAGACGTAGGAGTAGTCCATGCACCACGCCATATTTCCCTGCCGGTTCAATGGTGAGAATCACGTCTTCATCGGTAGACGTGGATCTTTCTGTTCATAGGGAGCCTTTCTATTTCTTAAGGAGGGGATACGAGAAGCTTTCGTTCGTAGTGGCCACTCCTTCAATTGCTGTAAGAGTCCTTGAGAACACACTCCCCTCAGTTTATAAAGGCCCAACAATACTAGGAGCGGCCGTCCTTTTTCACAAGGGGCCATAGAATTGGTACCGTACCACCCCCGCCATGACCGCCTCCATCGCAATCCTCCTCTCTTCGTCCATCTCACGCTTGATGTCAAGGGTTTCGCCGACACCCATGGGCCACTCTCCTACGTAATTGGCAATGTTGGACACTATCTCCCGGGGCATCCGATACGCTGCCCAATCGATCCTTCCGGGCCCTGCCTCGTACCACCATTCATGCTGCTGCGGAGGGACATTGGCGGTGCTGATCAGGCGATAATGCGGATCCACGAGATGCATCTCCAGGTAGCGCACGTGGCCTGCGCTCGCCCCCGGGGCCAGCTCGAAGGCATCCCACCGGTGCTGCAAGGTATTGGGGTACGCAATCATGCGGCCTCGGACAATCTTGACCTGGCCCAGCTCCTGGATGGCCTCGCCGTCCTCCAACTGTTCGTACTCGAATCCGTACATGGCCGCGATTTCTTCAAAGTTGTACCCTTCATACTGGTGTTCCGAATCGTCAAGATCTGCCTCTACTCGGAAGGACATGGAGGTCTGGGTGACGTTTTGGATGTCAAAGAAGATTAATGAGGTCGCCACAATATGCTCGTTCAGAAAGCCGTTGACTTTCCATTCAGTCCCTGGGTGGTTCCGAGTTTGCTGGTCCAGATCGATGCTGGCAATCCGCACGACAACCTGCAGGCCGTTGTCTCTGAACTGATCCCGAAGACTGATGTTATAAAAGTCATGGTCGGGATAATCAAATCGGGGCGTGAACCTGGTTTTCTCCGGTGGGAGTTCGGAGAGTGGTCTGCGTTCACATCCGCCTATAATGGGTCTTCCTGACTGGCCCTTTCTCCACTCATCGTAGGTGAAGCTGTCGCCCGGTTCGGGGTGTTTCCAATAGGACTGCGGAAAGCTCATACTTGACACCCGTGTGTAGAGGCTTTGTCGTTGGTGCTCATCGAGCTGAAGCATCTCACTGGTTTCCCCGTACCTGGGCAGCCTGGAATACTCCTCGATAAGCCCAAGCACCCTTTGATATTCTGTGTTGGACTTTTTCTCGTCCTGCGTCATCTTGTCGAGGCGCTTCAGAAGATCCTCATGCGCCCACCAAGGATTCTCGGGCCACCATTCTACACCGTAGGTTCGTATGCGTGGTGGTGTCCGGGGTCTGCCCGTATATGCGAGCACCTCGTTCCAGGGCTCTATACTCAGGGATATGGCCTCCTCGATAGCTCGGTAGAGGGAATGGTGGTGTCCTGGGTGGAGGTTGTTGATATACGATAGGATCTCCACACCATTGCGGCCCTCGTCGGTGAACTGCACATCACAGGGCAGCCACTGAAATCGCTCAGAACCGCGGTAAAACCGAGCCTTGGTGGCATCGTCCTTCAGGCGCCCGGCCATGTCGCTCAGATACGTCTCGCGCAGTTCATCGGACCCGCGGCCGGCTGGTCTCATGACCAACAGGGGCTCTGTCACCTGTCCGCGACCAATAAAGGCCGTGCTCTCACGCAGGGGGACTTGAGTGCCGTCCAAGAGAACGCGGGTGAGGCCGTGGACTAATGGGAACAATGAGGGGTCTACGAGATCGGACGGCGAGTCGTGGGTCCTGCGGTTGGTGCATGCTGGGCTTTGCAGCGTTGGCGCAGCCGACTGCAGCGCGGCCAGGAGCTGGGGTGGCACCAGGATGTCGGACTTGCAGATGCGCGAAGAGCTGTCGAACACGGTGATGAACTTTGTCTGCCGGTAGCGTGCAGCCAGATCGTGCAGCTCCCGGCGGCACCAATCCCACGTCTTGGCGTTGATGAGGTCGGTCTTCAGGGCCGTGTCCTGCCGCGCATCCAGAAAGGGTGGCACGCTCCAGTCGTGTATATCGGTCAACTCATTCAGGGCGCGGAGCATCTGGACTTCGCGCAGCGTCAGGCACGGCTGCGACCAATCGGAAGCGCCGTGGGCAAAACGGTCGGCAGCCGGCTTCTCTACGTAAACGGGGCAGCCGAAGAAGCCGGGCACATACAACGGAGGCTGTGGTGCATCCGGGTCACCGGTAGTCCTGTTCCTGAAGGGAGTGGCTGGAGGCTTTGGGAGCCAGCCAATCCGATCGAGCCATGCCGAATCGATTCGATGAGTCCGATCAAATGCAGCAGTCATCACGGGAAGCCGCGTGCAGAAGTACCACGGGCTCAAGGCCAGGGGCGATCACCCAGTTGGATTGGCAACGTCGTCGTCGCTGATCTGGCAGGAGGTTGATCGAGGAGCGCAAAGGGGGCGGTTGGCTTTCTTATACATACCTGCGGCAAGCACATGGCCAAGTTACACTGCAGTAGTTAAGATGGTCTTATAACTTATTGACTTAGTACCTAAACTAGTTCGCAGATCCTCTAATGTGGGGGGCGGTCTACTCCGTACACAGTGCCGATATGGTTCAACGGGAGACAAGCAGTCTCACGCTTGACAACCCACGAGGCGGACACGTACATAGGCGTTTGAAGTGTACAATCGAGGCTCATGAGGACGTAGTTCAACGCATGAGGAGTTCCGCGCATTGTATGGATATTGGGCATGTATCGAGCAAACCGCAATGCGACTGCCAGACTAAGAATGAACTTGCACTAAAGACACTAGAGAACCAATAATAAACACCCCAACACCCCCCTTCTTCCCAGAGAAGAGCGACCAGGAGCAAGACACACTCGTCTTGCGGTGGTGCTTCCCTCTACCCGCGCCGCCTCCTGCGTGTGCGTCTCCCCAAGATCAAGTGGTGGGGAAGCTGCAGCCAATTTTGGCGGCGTCGGCCAAGGTGTTCTTGGCGGTGGAAATAGCCACCATCGGCGCCTTGTGCCTCCCTCCCGCCGTCTTCTTATTATTGAAGTAGACTTTCTGATTGGCGATGAGTTTCTTCATCTCGCTGTCGAATTGCCCTGATGAGATCCCGGGTCTCCATTTGCGGATAGCGGCCGCATAGTCGGGCCTGTCGTAGGACCTTCCCGACATGCTGGTCGGCGCTGGGGTCACAGCGGTCATGTCGAAGTTGAATTGTGCTTTCCATGTGGCCGCCGCATCCCTGAAGAAGCCATTGAATTGGTCGGCGTTGCGCTCCGAGAGGATACCCTGCAGACCGCTGTCGATATCTGCCAGAAGCGCGTTCACCATGTTGGTGTCTATCCCGTTGCCTCGAACAGCCTGGACTGCATTCATGACCTTGTATATGACCTGCCTGTACGTAGGATTGCCGGTGAGACCCGCCAGGTTTCCGGCATTGTAATGAGCGTTCAACATATTCCCAGTCGTCGCCAGCTCCCGGTAAGCGTCCTGGATAGTGTCCTTTTCGATATCCACGGTAGGATGAGGTCCATAGACGTGATCAATAAACTCGTTGATATCACAGGGTTCGTTGATTCTCGCCGAGATACACCCAGGAGCAATCACTGTGGTACCTGTCCCTCCGTGCCCATACCATTCGGCAAGATACGATTTGAAAAAGGTCAAGGCTTCGAATGGGGCTGCGAATTGAGAGGCCACAGAGCCGCTGGCATAACAGAGCCACAGAAAGGATAGCAGCAACATGATGTTGGTGGGAGGCCGGAGGCCAGGGAAAGGCTTGGTGAGTACTTGAGGAACGAGCGCCGCTGCGAGTATTCAATATATAATGTGCTACCAAAAGAATGACATTAGAAATCGTGAGAATGGAACATGGTGGCCCAACGAGAGGGACGGCGACTGGCGAGCGACACAGGCCGCTCCGACTAGACTACTAGATAGAGAATATATATATATGACCGCCTATCAGTGTTATCGTGTCCCGGCAGGCGAGCACTCTAGCGTCTTATTGCTGATAACATTGCGTTCTCGCTCTGTGGTTGTTGGATCAGATCACAGTCGCACTTTACACTGTGCTACAGTCGGATCGATACCTGGTTCGCGCATCAGATCATCAGGGGTGTATAATTTCAGGGTTCTGCCCGGCGTAATCCAGCACCAGGCCGTTATGGCCAGCATCTCGGGAAGCGGTGGATCCTCAAAGGGGGTTGCCTTCGGCTCTGCTTCTCCTTCCAGCGACGTGGATGATCTGACAGCGGAGTCGATCTTAAACTGCATCGCTTCATAAGCATGATGGTTAAGTTTGAATAGGATCGCCAAGCCAATATCCCTCGGCCGCTACCAGCAACTATAGTGGCTCCGAAACACTTTACTAATTAGGCCACACTCATCAGCTACTTTACCATTTCGCCCATTTGTCCGACCGGAACGCGACGAGTGGGTTGACTGGATGTCGAGACTCATCACGAATGCCAAGCCAATAATTGTATTCTCTCATCGCCGTTGGTGGAGTCACTCCGTTCCAGGACGGTGCCTGGAAGCCCGGGAGATACGAACTAGAACACCCATAATCTGGTAATTTGTACAGGCTGTCAGGCTTCGCTTGCTGTTGTTTCGCAATTCCCCCAAAAGCGAGCAACTCGAATTGGTCTGTCATCCCGCAACGGGTCGTTTATAAAGCTTGACCGCACAGACCAGATAGATTCCATCGATGCGTGTCAGAGACAAATGAACAGATCACTATAGGCCGGTCAGGTTGATCTGTTCCTTGACTTTCAAATCCGGCCGTCAGTATAGAGATGCCCAGCCTACCAAGCATTGCTATAAGCTTTCCTCGGCAGTACTCAAGCTTTGGCTTGCGCGGCCAAATTATTGAGACAACGGGGCGCAAACTCTTGGCATAGTGGAGTTGTCGTCCCTGGTCTGACGATGCCTCGGTTCAGAGTAGTGACGCTACCTGAAAAGTCCCTTACATAAGTCCACTGCCTTAGTCAAGTATGCTCCTAGCTCAAATGGGATGGAGGTCTGGGCTTCATTCAGGCTTTCATTACCCATTACCCACTTACATCGGGGCATGAGAAGGAGAAAAAGGGTATGCAAAAGTCAGCCTTGCCAGGCTTGCTCATATTGATTGCGGCACGGAAACTCTAAACGGTCCAAATTCTTGGACCCCATGGCAGCTCTGGGTGGACTCTGACTCTGCGTCGTGGCACTTCACGGTGATGGATGCCAAATGCGATGCTGTCTGTCCAGTACACCGCGAGATTAATTTCGGAGTTTGCGAGCAGTGCCCCCGTCGAAATGGCAATGTTGCAAGTCATCCAGCCTCTGGGCATCATATCGCTGCACTGTGCGTGTCTAAGTGTACGGCGCAGTCAATCGCGTGAGCGAGGCCAGTCGCAGAGGTGCAAACCCGTCTCTGAATGTAATCATGGGGATGAAAGCCCGAAAGTGGGACTGGGCATCAGGTATAACAGCAACCTTGCCCCGTGGCATCATGGACTTGCTCAAACCTCGTGGCCATCGCGGAGTTGTGAATCGCATGCTTGGCGGGGCAGATTCGTTTCGACAGCACCTCTCTCAGTCATTCGTTCCCATCAGGAGAGATGTTCCAGAAACTTATACAGGCGGCCTTCTGGCTGACCTTTCTCACTCTTTGTGCCCAATCCAGCGCTATTCCCTTTGATAAATTGTCTCCCACTCACGCTTCATCATCAGAATTGCACACTCATTTGGTTCGGTCCGAGTCAAGCTCTAATGAGTCGACTCCTCTCCTCAAGTCCGCCAGCTCGTCCGATATCGAGCAGGCCCGTCAGATTGTCAAGGATGCAATCGCCCAGGCATCCGTCCTGAACAAGGCTCGCCTAGACAATCCAGTAAAGACACCGTGAGCAGAATATACCCCGTGACTATGAGACCCAGGGCAAATCTAACACGTTGGGCAACAGGCACGGTCGTGGAGCTTCTCTCAAGGTCAGACGTGACGAGATACCGCACCTCCTGAATGTGACAGACGATATCGCTGCTGCCGCGGCCCTTGTGGCCGAAGCGGATGCCGAGCTCCAAGCCAATACTACTAAGCGAGCGGTCCACGCCCGCGGTACTTATTGGATGGGCGACATTGCTCGCAAGGGCAGTGTCCCTTGGGGCAGTGATTCTAGCTACAAGGTTTGTCCCGCCAGCTTGACGCTGACTTGATATTTCATGTGATATTAATGTACGACTACATAGGTCTTCCGCAACGTCCAGGACTACGGTGCCAAAGGTGACGGTGTGACCGACGACACGAAAGCCATCATGAGCGCCATGACTGATGGCAAGAGATGTGGCGAGAAATGCAACGGGTCCACCACTAAGAACGCCATTGTCTATTTCCCCCCGGGCACTTACCTTGTCTCTGGTTCCATCGACGTGTACTATGGCACTCAGGTCATTGGTGATGCCGAGGACCGTCCTGTCATCAAAGCTGCAGCTAGCTTTGTCGGTCTTGGTGTCTTTTCGACGGATAAGTAAGTCTCTTTAGATTTCTGTTGCTTTGGGAAAGTAGTAGTTTGTCTAACCACTCCTAGGTATGTTGGTGGTGTTGGAACTGATGGTAAGGACAACGAGTGGTATGTCAACACTGCGAGTTTCTATCGCCAAATTCGCAACTTGATCATCGACATCACTTCGACAGACGCCAACGCCTATGTGTGCGCACTGCATTACCAAGTCGCCCAGGCCACTAGCATCCAAAACCTGCTTCTGATCGCAAAGACCGGCACGACTCAGCAAGGAATCTGTCAGTACTATACTAAACCTTTTTAGTTTGAGTGACACGTACTGACTTGTGCCGAAGATGCCGAGAACGGCAGTGGTGGCCACATGTCCGACATCATAGTCAGTGGAGGCAACTTTGGATTTTGTGAGTATTAGGATGGCTACCCGGGTGCCTTATTGCTGACGCTATAAAGATGGCGGCGCTCAGCAGTTCACCGCTCAGCGAATGACATTCCAAGGATGCACCACTGCCGTGCAGATGATTTGGGACTGGGGCTGGGTAAGTATCCTACATCAGATACCCTCTTGAACAACGTTCAACGTGACTAATGGATGATACTCTATCATCAGCTTTGGAAGGAGACTGTCATTCACAATTCCGATGTCGGCTTCCGCCTACTGGGCGAGGGAGGCTCTGGTAACATCGGATCAGTCAGCATCATGGACTCTTCTTTCTTTGACGTCGGCACGGGTGTCATTATCGCCCCGGTGTCGGAGGAACCTGGTACAGGTGCTACTGGTATTGCTCTGGATAACATTCTTTGGTCTGGCTCTGGCGACGTTGTCAAAGACTCCGCAGGCACGACGCTCCTTAGCGCAGGCGATGTGGACAGCTGGTATCTGGGTCCCAACTACGGCGCCGGCTACAGAGTATGGGACCATGGTGAGGTCGACTCGTGGGACAGACCAGATGCGCTGCTTAGCGATACAAACGATGGCTTGCACAATACGCCCTTCTTTGAGAAGGAAAGACCCTCCTATTTGGGGTATTCTGCCAGCGACTTTGTCCATCTCAAGGATTATGCAACCGGTAAGTCTGCGCAGTTGTCGCTCGTCCACCTCGAGTGTCGGCTAACGAGAATCCAGGCGACGGTGCCACGGACGATACCTCGGGCGTTCAGGCCGCCATCAACAACAACGTTGGCAAAGTCATCTTTGCTGACGCCGGAACGTACATATTGACGGACACTGTTTACATCCCCGCTGGAACCAGAATCGTGGGTGAGACTTGGACGCAGTTTGCCGCGTATGGAGACAACTTCTCCGATATGATGTAAGTGCCTACCAGGCACGACAAACGTGGGATGAAAGTTGACAAAAAGACCAGGAACCCTAGAGTCATGTTGAAGGTCGGCGAGGAAGAGGAAGAAGGTGTCGTCGAGTTACAGGATCTCATGTTTACCACCAAGGGCGCAACACCAGGTGCAATCTTGGTCGAGTGGAACATCAAAGGCACAGAAAAGGGCGACGCCGGAATGTGGGGTGAGTTGACTCTGATCATGTTCTTACGTATCAGCACATCTCTGACTCGACGTAGATTGCCACGCACGCATTGGCGGTGCTACGGGAACAGAGCTCACTCCTACAGAGTGCCCAGCACTGACGACTGGCGAGGTTAGGGAGGAATGTATCGCCGCAACCATGATTATGCACATTACAACAACGGGATCTGGCTACTTCGAAAACGTTTGGCTCTGGGTGGCAGACCATATGGTAGAGTACGTTGTGGCACCTCTGCACGCCGCATGCCGATGCTGACAGCTACAGTGATCCGGATCTGAGCAGCGATACCAACGAGATGGTAAGTTATTAATACAGACTGCCCCAAAGAGTGCTGTCTTTGCTAAGCAACATACGTGTGCATCAGACCCAGATCTCAGTCTATGTAGCCCGAGGATTGTTGATCGAAAGTACAGACCCCGTGTGGCTGTATGGCACAGCATCCGAACACTCGACTCTCTACCAATACAGCTTCCAGTCCGCCGAGAACGTCCTTGCAGGCCTCGTACAAACAGAATCCCCCTACTACCAACCGACCCCTAAAGCCCCTGCTCCTTTCACGGATACGCTCGGAATATTCCTTGGCGATCCAGACTTTGACTGCGGTTCCATAGAGTTCGACGGCTGCGACTCGTCTTGGGGATTGGTCTTGAGCGACTCGAAAGACATCTACATCGCGGCTGCGGGCATCTACTCCTGGTATGTGTGCCCTGTCTCTACAGCTCCACATCTGCAACGCCTCTTGTAGTCACGAATTACAAATTTTGGGCAGAAGCGTCAGCTGACAATGAACCCAAACAGGTTTAGTACGTATTCTCAGGACTGTATCGACCTCCACGAGTGTCAGAAAGCATTGGTGCTAGTAACAGACAACGACTCTGGAGTTCGGCTCCAGAACCTGATCACCATTGGCGCCGAGTATTCAGCCGCATATAACAAGGATGATGGATCCTACGAAGGCATACTTGCTACCACGAACCTGGGGGTTTCTACACATCCTGAATGGTCACAACTCACTATATTTGACGCCCAAGCCTATGTGACCGACGATGAATACGATCCAGCGGACGACTGCGTGGACGGGGACTTGTATACCTCCCTAGATGCCATCCAGGCAGCTGTTGGCACGATCCCCACCTACTGTATACCAGTTTACACCATTCCGATTCTGGACAGCATGCTTTATCAAGCTATGGACGACTATAATGACGTTAACAACGGCTACGACGACGTGTTTGGATACTACGAGACATATGTCAAGGACCTTGTCCAGCCACAGCTCGACAGTTTCATGTCCATCGAGGGCGGTGATGGCAACAAATACTTTACTTGCACCTATCAGGAAGGTAACCAGGCCTCGAAAACTGGCGCTTGCCCCATCCTGGTACGCTGGGATGATGCCGACTACTACACCTTGACTTACACGTTAGTCGACGAAGAGGGGTTCTACACCCAGCTTGAGGATGACTTTGGCATTCAGAGAGACTGGGTCACCTTCGGCGAACGTGAGGATAAGAACACGTGTGTCGGGGCCGGCAGCCACAGCGATTGCGTACGCTACGACCGAGTGCGACACGGCTACCCGACAAGAAACGACAGCATGGAAGTTACCAATCCCAAGGACATCATCACCAAGGCACAGAGCGGCCTCGACGACCTCCACGACACCATGGTCATCAGCCAGCTCGAATGGATTGGCCTCAGCTGGAACGGAAGTGGCAGTGACATGATGGAGGTTCTATCAGTCCCGGTGAGCATGCTGGAACAGGCAATTGATTCCATGCAACGAGCCAAGGACATTGGAGAGCAGGAGGAGACGGCTGAGAAGAACAAGCTCATTGTGGAAATTATCAGTGCTGTCCTTATGGTCATCCCGTTCGCCGGTTCCGCCCTCGGCGCAACCACCGGCGTCCTCCTGAAGACACTCGGTCGCATCCTGCTGGTGGTCGGCGACGTCGGGACGGTCGCCCTGGCCCTGAAGGACATTGTGGAGAACCCGGACTTGGCGCCGCTGGCCATCATGGAGATGCTCGTAGGCTTCGGCGGGGGCGGCAGCAAGGGCATTGCGCGATCCGAAGAGGATTTCTCTACAATGGCCAAGATCAAGAAGGCGATGAGCGACGGTGATATTTCCAACGCCGGGGCCATCTTCAAGAAGAACGACGACAACATAAAGGCACTGTCCGCAGCCTGTGGCAAGAAATAGAGGATTCAGGAGGGGAGCATCTGCAATCGCAGACACAGGGGGATCGGCAATCACACGATGCTAGTTGTCTGCTTATTTAATGTACAAATGCTTATTGATAGGCCAAGGCTGTCTTAAACTTTTTTTTTCTTATGTATACAGCGAATGCGAATCGTGTGAATATTCCTTTAGTGCTGTACTATTAACGGATTTCATGGCGGACATGTGGGTTGAACTCGTGGGAAGCCAAGTCTTCAGCATCTGGATCCAACTTGGCCACCATACTGAAGGCACAAAGTTGTATCGATCCTGTCGTAATTCAGTGTATTCCTTCAAATTCTCGGCCCAAGAAGTGTGGCGCAGCTCCGCCGAGCCGTTGAAATATTCGTCGTCAGAATATCCAAAGCATACGAATCACAGGTAAGATAGAGGATGCATGGCGAACAGAGTAATTAAAACGAAACATCTGGTCAACTTGTAACTGTGCAAAGCCTACGCTGCCGGTAGGCGAGGGTTCAAGATCCGAACATTTCATGCCATCGAAGCAGCAGAAGTCAGGTGTCCTCGATCGATTGGCTCCATTGCCTACGCAATATTTCTACGATGGTGATTGTCCACCCCAGGCGACAGACATGTATAAGAGGCGTAACTGTTATAGTACGCTGTAATCACGAGATTGGCTTGCATCTAGGAGATCTTATGGCGACCGTTCTTATTCTTCGTAGACTGTTAGCGGCAAGGAGGCAATGCGTTTTGTCGTGTTCAAGAGACAGGTGCTTCTCTGCACGATACGAAGACTGCTAGTCAGGAGCTGCGTAGACTTGCCCCATACAGAGATGTGACGCTTGTGTCCACATGGGGCCGGTTGGCGTTGCGAGCCCAGACCATAACGATGTCAGTGCCACTTATGTAAGGTATCTGTATGGCCTTATCTATGGATCCATCCGGCATTATCCAGTACCTAAGGTACCTAGGTATTATAGTGCAGAGAGGGGCTTCCACGGTACGGTCGTATAGCCAGAGACTTTATATACCAAACTTCTCAGACTTCTTCTTGGCCACTCGACTACCAACAACAGTGATCTGGAGGGCTCCTACTCGGCGGCGACAATCCGACCGGAAAAGATATCCATCAATGCGAGCTCACAGAGACAGAGCCGCTACGACACTCGGTTGTTCCTAGCGCATCCCCGGCTAACGGCGGAGTTCAGCGACGCTTTACCCCACACCAGCAACGCCCCCAGTCCCCTATTTAACCAACCGATAGCGGTGCCCACGAGGGTCCCCGGGGAATTGGAACATAGCAACAACCTCGGGGGCTGGTGAGACTCGAAGCTTTTGGTGACCGCCGGGGACCGCTCCAGTCCAGATCGCACCCAATTAGCCAGAAAACCACGCCTGTCTATTCTTCCCCTTCCCGCTCCCGCTCCCGCCCTCGCAATGCATCGTTCACTTACACGAGGCATCACCGCGAGCGCCGGCCGCAGCGTATCTCGACTCTCCGCAGCATCACCCCCCAGAATGGCATCCCGGGCCACCGCCGCTAGGCGCATCGCCGCCACCACCCAGCACCTGCGCCCCTACGGCGCCCTGGCCTCCACGGCCACCAGCTTCCCCCAGACGCACGAGAAGATCGCGAAGCCCGAGGACACGCCGTGGTTCGTCGACAACGAGTTCAAGGCCTCGGACGCCGACAAGTGGATCGACTTATACGACCCGGCCACCAACAACCTGGTCACCCGCGTGCCCCAGTCCACCGACGCCGAGCTCCAGGCCGCCGTCGACAGCGCCCAGAAGGCCTTCCCGGCATGGCGGGCCACGAGCGTCCTGGCGCGCCAGCAGATCATGTTCAAGTTCGTGAACCTCGTCCGCGAGAACTGGGACCGCCTCGCCGCCAGCATCACCCTCGAGCAGGGCAAGACCTTTGCCGACGCCCGCGGCGACGTCCTGAGAGGACTCCAGGTCGCCGAGGCCGCCTGTGGCGCGCCCGAGCTCCTCAAGGGCGAGGTGCTGGAGGTGGCCAAGGATATGGAGACGAGGACTTACAGGGAACCGCTGGGAGTCACGGCTGCTATCTGCCCATTCAGTGAGTGCCACCCCACCCCCCCTCGACAGTGATACGATATCGAGATCAATTGGCTAACCACGGAGCTTGGATAGACTTCCCGGCCATGATTCCTCTCTGGTGCATTCCCATTGCCACAGTCACTGGTAACACCCTCGTGCTCAAGCCGTCTGAGAGAGACCCAGGCGCCGCCATAATCCTGGCCGAACTGGCCCAGAAGGCCGGCTTCCCTCCTGGTGTCATCAACATTGTCCACGGTGCTCACCGGACAGTGGACTTCATCCTCGATGCCCCTGAGATCAAGGCCATCAGCTTTGTGGGTGGCAACAAGGCCGGCGAGTACATCTTCACCCGCGGCTCGGCCAACGGCAAGCGCGTGCAGGCCAATCTGGGCGCCAAGAACCACGCCGCTGTCCTGCCCGACTGCAACAAGAACCACTTTCTCAACTCCGTCGTTGGTGCTGCCTTTGGTGCTGCCGGTCAGAGATGCATGGCCCTCAGCACCCTTGTCATGGTTGGCGAGACGAAGGAGTGGCTGCCAGAACTGGCAGAGCGTGCCAAGGCTCTGCAGGTCAACGGTGGTTTTGAGGAGGGCGCTGACCTAGGCCCCGTGATTTCTCCCCAGAGCAAGGAGAGGATCGAGAGCCTCATCGCCAGCGCCGAGGAGGAGGGCGCCACCATCCTGCTCGATGGCCGCGGCTTCAAGCCTGAGAAGTACCCCAACGGTAACTGGGTGGGCCCAACCATCATCACCAACGTCACACCGGATATGAAGTGCTATACTGAGGAAATCTTCGGTCCGGTGCTAGTCTGCTTGAACGTCGAGACTCTTGATGACGCCATCGAGCTGATCAACAAGAACGAGTATGGCAACGGCACTGCCATCTTCACCAAGTCCGGCGCAACCGCTGAGACCTTCCGGAAGCACATCGAGGCCGGCCAGGTCGGTATCAACGTGCCGATTCCCGTCCCTCTGCCCATGTTCTCCTTCACGGGCAACAAGAAGAGTATCGCCGGTGGCGGCGCCAACACTTTCTACGGACGCCCCGGCATCAACTTTTACACCCAGTACAAGACTGTTACAGCCATGTGGGCGGGCTCCGATGCTATCTCTCAGAAGGCTGATGTCGCCATGCCGACGCATAGCTAAAGAGGCTGGGTGTCAAGTGGTATGAGGGGGAGAATGAAGTCTGGCTTATCATGGGCGCAATGTATATAAGTTGCTGCATTATGAGGTTAACTAGGCGTCAAGCGTTCATTACCAAAATCCAAGACAAATTCCCAGTAGATTTGATTGCCCGGTGGAGAATTAGGTACGTGATACGCCTTATTGTTGATCTACAGTGTGAGGCACGCGCTGCTGCGGCTGCATATAGTCAGCACGGCAATTACAACGATGACGTCGTTGCCGTGTAAGTGTCTTCTTGCTGTTATCATGTAGAAAACAAACGACAACCATTATATGTGACTTCATCCAAGTATCATTCAGGTGTGTGCCCAAGTTAGGTAATATAACGCTTGGGTTCATGACACGTGGGCCTATTGACCCCACAAGGTTGCTGATTACCTAGGCGGGTGGACTCGGTATGCGAAGACTAAGTTGCCGAGGCAGTATTGATTTTCCAGAGTGCAGCAACGTGGGCCTGAGATGTGTGCTTATTGAATTGACCAGTTCGATTTTTAAGGCTGCAAGATTCGAGGCTGATCTCTGGAACCAACATGACGCTCCTGCTACCGGTAGGTCAAATGCAGCAGGCAGGCCTATGATGATTCAGCATAGGCTGGTGCCCTCCGTATCTCGGCAACGACACGGCCACAGCACCCAACTTTCCTCTGCCTTTTGGAACCAGCACACGAAGGATGCGCATCAACGACGACTCCGGACCCGAACAGACTGCAATCCAAGAACTCGATGACGGCTCTACAAGCCTCTCGGGGAAGCTCGTCTACCTCCCAAACGACGTGTTCCTTCTCGTCATCTCCTACTTGTCCCCGGAGGACAGCATCGTCTGCCGCGGCGTGAACCGAGCCTGGCTCAAGACCTTCTCCTCGGAAGATGTCTCCTGGAACCTCCTGAGATGGCACTTCCCGCGCTGCCGGGAGATGCGCGCGCCATCGGCGGCCGCCGCCGCATCGTCCCCGAAGCGGCCGGACTGGACGGCGCTCTACGCCAGGGTCGCGCGTCGTTACCACTTCCTCCGGGCCGCCCGGCCCCGGCTCGTGGAGAAAGTCGACGTCGTCCAGGAGGCCAAGCAGGACCACCCGCTGCTGTTCCGCGGCGTCGAGCCCTGGCGGCGCTTCCTGCGCTTCAATGACAACACGGCCTCGTTTGCGTACCGCGACGCCGCGTGGTCCATGGACGACGGCCTGCTCGTCTACCAGGACGCCGAGGGCCGCTGCGTCGCCTACGACCTGGAGACGCGGCACCGGTTCGCCGTGCCGTTCGGCGTGGCCGGCAAGATCGTCCGCCGCATCCGCCTGCGGTGCGGCGTCCTGGTCGTCGAGTGGTGCGAGCGCGAGGCGTACCACCAGCTCAACGACCGGGAGTCGGTGCACCGGCACTTCGCCACGGCGTTCGACGTGCTGCGGTGCTCGCCGCGCTCGTCGTCGCGGTCGCCCCGATTCTCCGTCGTGCGGTCCGTCTCGGGCGCGTCCGGCTGGACCATCACGTTCCGCTCCGAGTGGAAGATCCATTTCCTGGGCCTGCCGCTGAACCGCCACGATCGCTTCTTCTCGGCCCACACGGCCACCCACTACGCCCTGTACTTGTGGCAGCCGAACCGCTCGCCCTGGGGCGAGGAGGACCCGCTCGAGCAGCTCACGGTTTGGGACATCTCGTTCCCGTCGCAGTACCGCCCTTCGCAGGATCCCTCCGGCGCTCACAAGCCGGATGCCGACTTGGGGCCTCATGTTATCCAGCGCCTGACCTGGCGGGACTTGGACTTCCTGGGTCTTCGCCAACGGCACACGCCTTCCTTCCGCGAGATCTTACTGGACGACCAAAACGTCTACATCCACGAAGAGGAGCACCGTTGGCTGGCGGGCCCGCAATCCTCGCTTATACCGCCTCGTCATCACCATGTCCGCTGTACTGGTATACCCATGACCGGGATGGGCCCTCGGTGGTACGACGAGTGCTGTGCCGACGGCAATGTTCATCTCTCCTTCTGTCCCCGCTCGGGCTCCGCGGCCCGGCTGAACAATGCCACTTCGACATCTACAAGTCACAGCAACGTATGGCCTGGCTTGGCGCCGTGCTGGCGCCACGAGGAATTCCCGTACCTGACCATGAGCGAACTGGTCGATGCCGAGGCAGGGGTTAGGATCGTCGCCAGGCAATGCTTCATGGTCGAGGCCCTATCCGTGTTCGTGCTCCCCCGGATCAGCATCAAGGAGGAAGACGGCGATGGCCACGAGACGGACGAGGTCAGATTCGGGGACGAGATGTGGGGAGAACTGGTGGGCAAGGGCCGGATCTGTGGTGATGAGAGGTTTGTTGTCGGTGAGGACATGGAGGGTAAAGTCACAGTGATTTGGTTTTAACGGCAATAGTGGCTGTAGTAGCTATAGTCAAGCCTTGGCAGGACTGTATAGATGTAGCCCCATCATGGGTCTCCATCTATATCACCTTATCAAATATTTTTTAGCATTCAACTACGGGCTGAGATCCTATTATCGACAATTCACTACGAACGCAAGCATTGCTAGACCTCATCCCCAACAGCTAACAAAGAACGAGATTTCAACTTGGAAGACACATGGTTTATGTGGAGAGTTTTCTCCGGACGCATCTGTGTCATGAACAACTTACAATATAGCGACAGGATTCCAAATTTGTCAGCCTTGGGCGGGAAGCACGTCGCCCATCAATATGCCCACTTACAAGGTGGGCCTCTCATTATTAGCGGCGACTGACAGTAAACAGGGGGCCCTGATCCTTGGCGTTTGCTCCGTGATGGAACAAAGATATAAGTCACTTATCAGTTTGTTCGGGCCCTGGCGTAACTACTCGGCATGGAGGACGAAAGACGGGTTTGTCAACTCCTATCAAGACGTTACCACCGGCCTTAGGAGACCTCCGGAAATGCTCGAGTCGCTTCGTGAACACCCAGGTCGAGGGCAGCCTCTGACATGCATGTCGTCCCCACCATAGCTCGCGACGCTAACGCCAAGACGGGAGCTTCTTCCTCGAGTGGGCTGCTATAAACCCCCGGCCCTTGGCTTCTCATTGGGCACACGGAAATAGTGCCGCCCTATCTCGTGCTTAAGTCTGCCCGAGCTCCACCGACTTCCGCAGTCGCCCGCCTCCGACCAAATTCGCAGCCGGGGTCTGGCGGCTCAGTCACTCAGTGGCCGGCAACGGCTGTACCTATGTGTAGTGCGAATGCAACAGGATGGGCGGGGTTCAAGTCAGAGCAGCATGGGAGATGCAGACGAGATTTTCTGCTGACCCTCCATTGCCGATTGGGGTTTGGCTTCCATGTGGGTTATCTTTAGTCTTCTTTCGACGGAAGCTGGCTACAAGAGTAGACCCTTCTGCCTTTTCACTTTATCTGCCCTATAATTACCCATCCACACTGCTCCTAGACCCGGAATCTACTCCAGTCGATAGGGTAGCTGCAGCTCTTACAATATGGCAATGAAGCTCACTCTTCTGGCCCTGGCAGCCCTGCCGGCCGTGACTGCTGAGACTATACTCGGCGTCTACATCTTCCATCGCCATGGAGACCGTACGCCAAAGGCGCTCGCGCCCGCGAATCTGACTTCGCTCGGCCAGGAGCAGGTGTACCAGTCCGGCGCCTACTACCGCAGCCGGTATGTCGCATCTGATGCCTCGTCGCCCATCTACAGGCTCAGCAGCGACGTCGCCGTCGCCAACCAGATGACCGTCACCTCGCAGACGGACACGGTGCTCCAGAACTCGGCGCAGGCGTTCATGCAGGGCGTGTACCCTCCGGTGGGAACTGTGTCTGTCGAGAAATTGGCCAACGGCTCCTCCATCGAGGGCTCCCTGAATGGCTACCAGTACATCCCCATCAATGCCGTCGCGTCTGCCTCGTCATCCTCCAACGCGGAGAACAACGAGTGGCTCCAGGGCGGCTCTGGCTGCGGCAACGCCGTCGTGAGCTCCAACAACTACTTCTCCTCGAGCGAGTACCTGTCGACTCTCAAGGGCACCCAGGATTTCTACCAGGGACTCTTGCCCGTGATCAACAGTACTTTCACCTCGAGCCAGGCCAGCTTCAAGAACGGCTACACCAGTAAGCAGCAAATTACTTGGCCCAGCTACACCCGCCAGCTTTGCATGACTAACACGGCAGATAGTCTACGACTACATCAACGTGGCCACCATCCACAACTTGACCATCCCGTCTGAGGACCTGCTCACCAACGAGACTCTGCACGAGCTCTTCTGGCTGGCCAACGCCCACGAGTGGGGGCTGGCCTACAACGAGACGGACCCGATCCGGGCCGTCGCGGGCGCCACGCTCGCGGGCCAGATCGTCACGCAGCTCAACGCGACGCTGACGGGCAAGTCCAAGCAGCCGCTGGGCGTGCAGTTCGGCGCCTACGCGTCGTTCCTGTCCTTCTTCGGCCTGGCGCAGCTGCCGGCCGTGTCGGATAACTTCCGCGGCATCGTCGACTACGCCTCGTCCATGGCCTTCGAGCTGGTGGACACCTCGGACGCCGCCGTGACCGCCTCCTCGTACCCGGCCGCCGCCGACGTCTCGGTGCGCTTCCTGTTCGCCAACGGGTCCGCCGCCGCCCACGCCCCGGTCGCCTACCCGCTCTTCGGCCAGAGCGAGACCCTGCTCCCCTGGACGACCTTCGTCGCTGAGATGGGCAAGTTCGCCATCGCTGACACGGCCGCCTGGTGCACCGCCTGCGGCAACTCGACCGGCGTCTGCGCCCAGTTCGCCTCGGGCTCGGACTCCGGGAGCGGCAGCGCGTCGGCCACCTCGACCTCGGGCAACGGCATCTCGCTGCCGGTCGCTGGTGTTATTGGCGCGCTGGTGACGCTCGTCGTCATCCTGGGCGTCGAGGCTTTGGTGTACTTCGTTGCTGGCTTGAAGCTGGTCAAGAAGTCGGCTCTGGCCGCCAGCTCTGGGCCCACCTCTGAGCTAAAGGCCTAAGGGTGTGGTTGAAGGAAGACTGAGTGTATTGGGGACGGGAGGTTGGCTGAGGAGTTGCACGTAACGCTTAATACCACGCTTGGAAGCTAACGACATGTCACGACTCTAACTTGAACGATACCAATCTAGTAAAATAATACCGTTTCATTCGGGACTGCTGATATGCGAAATTCACTGTGAAAATTGTGTGATGCATGTATGCATGACTACCAAATCACCCCTCACTCGGAGCGATATGATACAAGATAACCAACATGAATTTTCGTGCTCGTTTTTCTGACTAATTACTATCGACATGATTAAGGTGAGTGCATTAAGTTGGGTATATTAAGTCCTCCAAACTTTCGAAATTATCCGACGTAAACTGGCTATACGCAAACCCCTGTTCACCGCAAGCCAGTCAACTCAAGCAGGTCATGGCGATAGAAGAAACTGCGGTTCCGCTTGCCGAACACATCTTGGGACTATGATTAGCAATGGCTCAGCATGATAAGGACAGGTAGGGAGAAACCTACACATGGGAATACTCAGCAGGCATATCACCACCTGAACTGACGCGAGAGCAATAAAAGTCTCCTTAATGCCCCCCACAATAAGCCACTGGTAAGCCTTGTACGTGAGGCCAAAACTGAACATGTTTTTGAAGATTATTAAGCATGTGAAGCCCTCAACAGCCAGGTCCCCTGTGAACCACAGTATTAGCATTGTATAGAAGCAAATACCACGGGAGGCATGCAGGACTTACGGTATGCATCTACAATGTAGAGCGAGCTGGCGACAGCTCCAATGACCATGCCGCAGACCTCGAATCCAAAAAACATGATAGGGACGGTCCAGTGGTATTCCTTCGCCAGAGTGCCCACACTGGTAATAGCGAACCCATAGAGGCCCATGCATCCGAAGATAAGTTGAGGTATTACAAGCAGGATGCGGAATTCTGGCTCGTACACGCCACCATTGAGTTTGGTTAGATATTTGGCGCTCCAGTCTGAGAGGCCACCAGCGATAGCGAAGCCAAGAATGGCACCCAGGAATGGTCCCACGTACGCATAACCTGTTGACACTTCGTTCCAGAACAGTGGTGGCCCCAGAAAGATGGCAGCCAGGACGACACCGATGAAAACTGTCCAGCCGATCATTGTCCCTTGAATCAAGCAAGCCCAAAGGAAGGCGGGCTGGGCGAATAGAGGGAACGGTCGAAGCAGTAGCTTGAAGAAGTTCTCATCGGTCTTGCGGCCGTCGAATAAAGCCAGGGACTGTGCGTATGCCTTCTTCGGGCGGCTAGGTCCGGATGTCATCCGGACTGGCTGTGACTGTGCCTCGGATTCTTTCAAAGTCTGCTCGTCGGAGCCGTCGAATGCTCCGATATCCGTATTGAGGGCCGCATCCCGGCGGAAGGCAGTCTCCGGACAGAAGAAGATAATTGCCACAAGACAGACGGCACAGAAGATGGCGACCAGGTAGAAGGTCCACCACCAATGGATCGTGTGCGTGATCTTTCCCACGACGATGGGAGTGAAGAACGCGCCGCCAAATACAGCCAGGTTCGTAAAGGCCATGCGCTTTCCCCGTTCCTGAACAAAGAGTTTAGAACGTCGCCCGGCAAGTCGGAGGAAGTACTTACATGTACGAAATACAGATCTCCAACGGCTGCATTGACCAAGGATTCGAACGGTGCTGTTCCCACTCCCTGGATAATTCTCGCCCAGAGCAGGCTGGTATAATTCGTACCCACGGCCCCAGCCCACGCACTCGACGCTATAAGAAGGCATGTGCCAAAAATGAACGCATGTCTCTTGCCCAGGATCCTGCTAGATGGGACGAAGAAGAACCCTGCGAAACCCACGCCCAGCAGGAAGTAGCCCGTCAATAGCGCGATGTAGGTGAAGTCCATGGTGAACCACAGCGAGAGCGTCAGGGTGTTGGCGGCCAGGATGGGGCCCAGGGCCGTCGCGAAGATGGCGGTGATTGAGAGGATGAAGGTGATCAGATCGCGTCGCCATAGCGGCCAGTTCAGGGGATCGTTCGGGTCGTCGGATGGCTGAGGGTGCTGCGCAGGAACAGGGTTAGGTTTGCGAGCCAAGAGGACAATGCTGCTGTCCTATAGCACTATAAGGACTCACAAGTATAATCGGAACAGGACCACTCCTGTCACACTTCAACCCTCGCGCATTCACCGTCTCCGCGGTCTGTGGCCTGTCCGGATCGTCAAAGTACCGTGTCGTGCCTGTCGCATCTTCGTTAGCTAGACGTGAGGGGCCTCGGCAGGAGGACATGTGAAGCCATACCGGGGACGTGGTCGAGGACCGTGTCTTCGAGGATACCGAGCCCCATGACTGAGGAGAGCAAACGTTGTCGCCGGTGGGAGTCTTCACATATCACCGATCCTGTCGTCTCTGTGAGCTGAAGTTGCCGCAACAGCTGGTCTTTTGGCGTTGGAGGCCGGAGTCGAGCTGGGACTGGTGGCGTCCGCGCGTTCCCGATTGCAGTTGGAGAAGAGGGGCCAACGCGGCGCCTGTGATCGACGTTTGTTTGATTCGGCACTCGCCCCTGCCAGCTCACAAATGCCGATGCATCCATTCTATTCTGAAAGTTTATATAGACCATTATACTTTACAGGTCATATTACCAAATGTTGTCAATCAAAGGCCAGTGTTGGGTATGAGACTCGTGTAAGTCGTTAGACCCGTCCACAACCATACACACGCAGGGCCTGCAAGTACTCCCTCAAGCCGATGAAGTGAACTTTTAGGCTCGTATTCCCACCCGACACTGCGTTGGGGGCAGATTGCTCCAAGAAACAGAGTTGCCAAGCCAGGGCACAATCGTCCCTCACTCGTTCGTACAAGGCTGTTACGCAACTCTATACAGCCCATAATCTGGTTGATGTTCCACAATTGTGCATCGTCAGACCCTTAAATTGCGGGCCGAAGGAGCTGTCATCCTGGCAGCGTACCCAGTTCTGCCTCCACTCTGACAAGCTTATTGCCAAGTCATTTCGAAGCTGGAAGCTGCTTTCCTCCGCCAGAGAAGCAATATGCTGGATTCGCGTCGTGAAAACTGACGTGGATACGTTGGAGGCAATCTCATGCCAAATGAGAAGGCACACAGGGGGCACAATTGCAGAAAGTCAGGTGTCGATGATCCCCAGGGGGGAGGGGAGACGGGCGCCACCCAGACCCAGCTAGGGGTCTTCATTTCCCCAGATCGAAAGTATGCACATGCTTATTGGCTGAACGACATCACCGAGGCAGCTGCCATCGAGTTGGAGAACGGGAACCAACATTGCCTCCGCTTCTCAGCCAGTTGCAGCGGCTGGTAAACATCTTCTCCATTCAATGCTCCCTGAGCTGTAACTCCCACCTACTAAAGACACGTCGAACCCACGATATCCTACGTCTGCGAACCGAACACCCCTCGCATTGCCTTCGCGAAAACACACATCCACACATCCACCACCATGAAGATCACACTAGTAGCCCTCGCTGGCGTCAGTTTGGTGGCAGCCCAGTTTGATGGCTTACCTCAGTGCGCGGTACGAACGAACTCCTGAGCTGTCTGGAGGATACTTCATCACAACCATCAATTGGTTGGTGCTACTATAGTCGTCAGAAGCTGACATAAACACGCATAACAGCAAGGATGCGTAACCAAATTCACTTCCGGAAGCAACATCGGCGGCTGCCCCCAGATCGACGCCAAATGCATTTGCTCTCAGCAGACGTTTCTGAGCGACATCGCATGCTGCTTGGCCTCGGTCTGCAACGCTGCTGACCAGCAGGCCGCAGTAGACTTCGCCATCAAGTTCTGCAGCACACAAGGCGTCCAGGTCCCTACCGCCGTCAGCTGTTCGACAACGGCCACCAGCACCGCCACCGGCTCCGGCACCGGCGCTTCTACAGTTCCTGCCATTACTGCTGGCGGCAACAGCACCGCGACCACTTCCTCCGCAGCATCATCCTCATCATCAACGACGTCAGCTAGCCCGAACGCCGGCAATGCCGGTGCAGTGGGAACGGCGGGTGTATTCGGCGGACTCCTTGCGGCTCTTGCACTCATCTAGGTCTCTTTCAGGAGATGCAGCAAACGGTTTCTCAACTTAGTTTGTGCTTTCCTACATGGTACCATGGTGCGAAGGATGCGGGAGAATATATTAATCACGACAAAATCATTCCACAGAATGAACTCCTGAGTCATGTAAATACATACCGTAGATGGATGTAGGGCCCTAACCATCACTACCCATATCAACTATCGGAACCTTGTCGTGTCTTGGCTGCTTGGCGTATCGATTCGAAGCTGTAAAGACTACGTGCTTGGGTCAAGAGTACTCTGTTGACATCGTGGATATGTACACCGAACTGGAGAATGCTTGCTCGTTTGTGTCCAGGTTCCGCAGTTGTTGACACGAACGATAAGCCGTGATCTAGAGTTTGATGGGCGCTCATGACCTATCCGAAAGTGATAAGTCAATCACGAAACTACGCATCGGAAGCATCACTTCCGCAGACTACACTTGTTTGGTGATAGCTAAACTGCCCTCGAGGCACGTTGTGTGCCAAACAGCGGCTGGTGCTCGCAAACCAATCGAGTCGTGGTCAAGCTGGAAACCATAGCGGGCGTCACTGCAGGCTATATGCTTTCAAGAGCGCCGCGGGACTAGAGGCGCGATGCTCGTCACAGCCGGACGTCGTCCCCGAAGGGTTCAAGACGGGTTGCAGCCGGCGAGTGCTCGGTGGTGCTAGATGGCTCGATAGACTACTGCAGACGGGTGGACGGTAGAGCCCGAGCGTTGGCGGAACCCGGGAGCCGGATTCATCAACATGTCCGAATAGGAAACACTTGCTATGGTACATGCGTGGCCCATGTACGATGATGAACTAATCGGGGACCCCAGACCCCAAATGCGGTGGTGAAGCTTGGCTCGAATACCTCACGAGTACTCGGTACGAGTTATGGGGTTCCTCTACCTGCGGTACTGGTTTGTTTTCCTGGCTGCTGGGATAGGCCTGATGTTGACAAGATCGGACGAGCGCTCAGACGTCCGCGAAACCAACGGGGCCCATGGTGGCAGGGATGCTAAGGAAGTTACCTTTGCGCTCAGACGTTCGGGCACCGCGGAATACCTTGTCATCGCGATGATGCTAATTTCTGCTCCTGTACGATCTGTTTGCGCCGTCTGCAGGGCACGCAGGCAAGCAAACCAATCTATTGAAGATCGGGCCTCATCGATCTGGGCCGCCTGGCAGCGTTACATCCATCAACTGACCGGTCTGGCGGTTGACGTTGTCAAGGTTGTGTGAGTTCTGGACGGAAGCGGGTTGCAATACAGAGACGGATTAGCGTTCCGCTACTTGCTTCACTGCCGCTGTCGCAAGCAGAGCGTCAAAGAAGCTAACTGTAGTCAGTATCAAACCGTAGAAAGAAACTAGGAGTAGTCATCTTTTCGTCAGCATACAGCAAATTAACTTGAGTGCCTCGCGCCCGTTGGGCAGAGATCGTTGCCCCACATCGCACTTGTTGGCTTGTCTGAGCCTCGCTGAGGCTCTTCAGTATTATCCACCACACTGCAGTACATGTGTACATACCTATGGGACTATATCCATCTGCGGCTCTAGTCCCACGCTCAAGCCAAGCGGCTTCGTTTCGGTTTCGGCACTGTAGCAGCCTCCAATAAGGCTGACCACGGAAGAAATCTGTCCATAGGGATTTGTTCCGTGGACTACGGGCCAATGATTGGCCGCAGCACTGGGTGTATAAACACCGTATAGCCAGAGCTTCGCAGCAGGCAACTGGCTGATTGAGGTCATTGTGTCAAGCCAAGTCAGACCCGGGAATCTGCTCAGTCACTTTGATAGACAATCTGCATCCGTCAACAGGACTACCGACTGATCATGCCACATGTGGTATGTTACAAAGAGCGGTGTTGGTACCATGTACAATAAGGTTGCGCGCTCCGATATGTTGAGCCGAACCGTAGCGACAGTACGGGGTACTACCTCGGGATCATCTTGAAACTTTACTACCGTTGTGACCCAGCCCGCACGGCAGATGCAGCTCACCTCGAAGCATGCGCAACGGGGAATGTCCCGGGAGATGAGAATGGCTGCATCCTCGTCGATGTGGCGGCCGGTACTTCGACGGTTACCGCCATCCGCTCCCACTACCATGGTAGGTATCGTACGGCAACGATTCCGGCCCACTACGAGTGCGCAGACCTCCACTGCAAAGATAGCTACGTGCTAGCGTCAGTTAACAAACCCCGTTGGGGGCAAGGACAAACAACTGAGCTGTTGCGAGAGTCTTGGTTCAGCTGGCCTTGATGCACGATCTTACCATGCATTGATGAATGATCTTCAAAGCAGGCAAAGAGTCCTCATGTGACAATAGGCATCTGGACGGGCGTTTGGTCTATGTATGCCAAGCCTTCCGTCCGGAGGAAATGCAGAATATGTCACATTCGATCAAACGTCGAGGCTCAACCTGGAACCTGCAGCAAGCGCGGTTGCAGCTGGCCAACCAATCTGATGCACAGATCCCGATCGGGGCAAGTAATAGATGGGACATGCTTGATGGGATCGTGCTGTCAGACGGGATGCGCCAGCAGCTGCGGAAGCAGTGACACCTACTACTAGGTACTTGCTGTACGATGTAGTTCCCAGCCAAACATACGTTTCGAGCCCGCCCACCTCAAGATCCCAAGGTGTACCATGTCAACAGAGAAGAAATATCTCGCCCATGACGTGCAGCGCAGCGCGGAACTATCTTCATCCCTAGATGAAAACACCAACGATGGCCTATATGAAACTAAGGCCGATAGTGTTAAGCGGGGTAATGAGCTGGTCGGCTTTGTGTTGAACCTGTTTCCGCGGGCTATAGCATATTACCTAACTTAGGATGGGCAAAGATCCATTTTGTACAGTACTGGCTGTCTCTATCAAGAGTGCCGCATGTATGTACTGCAGTACATAGTAGCTTGGCAAGCTTCCCGCGTTGAAGAGATCCGCAGCGGCAGAGAGTGGTTCTGATTGGATGTGTGGTCGGGTTCCCATGATTCGCCTGAGGTAACGAGACTTTTCTGTTGCGCAGATCTGGATAGTGTTCGTTGGTAGCGAGTAGCCCTGTCCCTGGAACGTCCAACGCCTTTGAGCTGCAGAGCGGGAAGACCGTGGGGGTGCTCATCTCATCAAGCTGCTTTCGCGGGATGGAGGCCTGGCTGCGAGTACGATGCGACATGGTATCGCAATCAACTCAGATCCTCGTGTTCGTCTCCCTCAAACCTGACAGGTATGTATCAATCGGCCGAGTGTTCCGGAGGAGGAGGAGGAGATATCGAACGGTGGTTCGACGACGCCATCGCTTGCGCGTTGTCATCTGGGTTGTGCAGCTCGGTCACAAGCGTGGATGGACGAACGGGAGCTAGCCGCCTTTTTCACATCTGCGCTGCTGGAGTTTTGTGCCCATTGTGACCACTTCCAGACATTAACACAGCTCTTATCAGCGAGAGAAACGCATTGATGATCTGGGCCTGCGCAACCCGAGGGTTGTGACAGATCTCGCAGCAACAGCGCTGGGTTCCCCTCACGGACCTCTAATGCGTGTATGTACTCTCGCCTGCGCGTTGATGATGAACAGCTGTCGGGTACTACTATGGTACTATGCATGGTGCTCCGTCCAGCGTGGTGGGTTTTAGTTCCGTCTTCAGTTCCGAGTTCAGTTCCGTAACCCTGGTTAGACAGGCATCCGAGCGGGAGTTTCTCTATTCCACATGGGAATTAAACTTCCAGCAATTCGTCCATCTCAATTTTCCTTTTGCGAGGCCCGTGAGGTCGAGTAAAAGCTTAACCCTAAAGGCATTGCGCCCCGAAATCTCCTACCAGCTGCCCAACCTGCCAGGTGAGCCAATGGCTTGAGCTATGACTGCAGGCAAGCTTGTATAGCAGAACCGAATTTAGCACATGAGAGGAGGAAGCTACCCTTGTTGTTTTCCGCCCCCTCCACACTTATCATGCTGCTTGGGCCTCAGGCAGATCTCGTCAAGGAAACCTACATGCGTGTGTAACTCCGCCGCTCGCTGCTGGAGAGAAGCACCGGGGCAGCATACGGCGATACATCCGTCCTGTGATAAGTTTCGCTATATTAATACCAGACCCCTCCCGCGAAAGGCGGAGCACATGATATGCCTCGCACCTCAATCGCACCATTCGGGCTATTTACAAAATCATGCGATGATTTCGCCAACGGTCTCCCACCAGCAAACGATCTCTGGGACTCTCCACAAAACCCGCTACGTTCCTGGGGGGCTGCTCCCCCCCAGCACTGGAGGCTGCCGAGACCATCCCTAAAATTGAAAAGAGACTCGGCCCCACCCAGCCCTTGTCCGCCGAATCAACCGATCTGCCCTGTAGTTAAGTATCACGCGCCCAAAACGTTCAAGTTTTTGAGATATAGCCATCGCGTTATGAATAATAAGATGCTCGTTAAGACTGGAATGTGCCGTGTAAGCGCCCTTCGCTGACGTACTATGCCTGAACGAGCGTATGCTGTGTCTATGTTTATCTCGAGTCTCTAGGCAAAGACCAGGCACCCTGGAACATATAGATGACCTCCGCTGGTGACGACGATACGTTGTTTATCTTAATATTTGATTGCATTTTGGGCACCCATTGAGATGAGCAGTTCGGCTGGCTGGCTCGCTTATACGTGTTTAGAAAGGATTACGCGACTCCGGAGTAACTCTCGAGCCCCAGGCCCATGGGATGATACTTTTGCTTGTGCTCTGAGAGCGCTATCGACTGCTGCTGATTGCTCGACCGTCCGAGGGGTCTGAGTGTGGAAAAGGTGGGCGGGCAGGGTTTGAGCCACCATGACATACCTAAAATTTGGATTTGGGCGACACAGACTGGGTCGGCACGAGTTGCTGGGGGCTTCTCATATTCCCCATTCGTTCTAATTACCGGAGCAGACTTGTCGCTACTGTTCTCCTTTCATACCAACGGCGGACGCTTCTCCCACATCACGACAATGGAACGCATGCATCCGAGTCCTCCGCATCTTGGTTGCCAGGCCTGATGAAAATATACCCATGGGACCACGTTGCAGTGGACGGAGAGTCAACTATTGTGCAGATACTGTGTGGGCTGGTTACTGAAGCAAACGGCACACCAACTAACCTGACTAGGCGGCTCGGGAATGGGGCTCGCTTCAGGCTCCATGGGGTGACAACCGAGGGAAAGCCTCGCAGACAAGCGTGGTCTCACCTCAGTGGGACCCCGTTCTGGCCTTCTACGAAGTCGATACACGGCGAACCGACGTTGCGGGCAGAGCCTGGAAAAGACAACCCTAAACACTCGCCAAGCCCGAGCAGGGGCGCATCGACCATAGATTTACCTTGCATGGCGCCTTGACAGGAAGACGTCTCCAGGAACGGGGGGGTTGTTCCCCTCCCAACATTCATCCGTCGCGAACCTTGAGGGCCCACGTTGCTGAATAACCAAGCAATGTACCTGCCTGGTACTATACCTACCCGTTTCGCGCTGTTGCTTTTCCAACCCACCCACCCCTGGACTATGACAATTGGCGTGCTGGCCCCAGAGACCAAAGACCTAGTTTACTGCTCTGTCCCTTGTTTGTAGTCTGTACTCGACGCAGGCCGGGCTCCGTCTGCTGTCAAATACTACCGACGCTTGGCCCCGTCCCACGCTGGCTGTGCTCGCGCTTGCCCCTCTTCAACCCCCAATGCCACCCTGGACCTACACAGAGACAAGGATCGACTTTTCATGGCGCACCATCTCTGACTCGTCTGCGAGAGCCCGGTCCCTGCCTGCCTGCCTTGCCCATTGATCGTCTGATGGAGCCCCGAAGAAAATATGAAGCCCCGTTGTCACACGTTGAAGACCAGGCGCACAGCTCATTGACCGTCATGACGGACTCTCGGACATGGGTCAGGCTTGGACAGGCCCGCCCATGCTCCCTGTCTCCAGACCCAGACCCTGGGCTGCAAGTGATATACCCATGTCCACTCCGCGATACATGGCAATCCAGTAGTTTAGGTATGTAGACTGGTGGGTGTTGAGCTTGCTCTCAATATGCCTAAATTGCAACTCACGCCCGCCAGGGACCAGCCTGACCCATACCTCACCTTTCTTATTATTGCTCCCCGGCCAGGGTAGCTTGCTGTCGTCTTTGCCTTTCACCAGAGCTTCACCACCCAGCCTGCCTCCAGCTATATAAACATGATTAGCTGCCTGGTGACAAGTGCTTCCCAGCCCACTTCGTAGTTGCCATATCCACATACACATCACCGCCCGGACCTGGGCAGCACTCTCAAGACTTTTGTCACCACCGCTCGTGGCAGGTACACCGAGTGAGTCCGTCTCGCCGCCGAGGTTCCATATGTGACTGACGCTAACCTGGGCAGAATCTCCGCGGGAAACAGCTTTGTCAACATGTGTGACTTCACCAAAAACTACTACATCTACACATCCTGTGTCGACCCTGGGACACATTTCTTCAGGACTTCCGTGGACGGTAGCCGGAAGCATTCATGTCCGAAAGGGCCACACGAGCGATACATTGTACTGCCGGGCCAATGTCCACTCTGCGGATGACGCATCATGATTCTGGTACTCGACGGCAGATCTCCATTCCAAACCTGGCAGCCCCCTTTGGCCACCGAGGTCAAAATCAGGCGCAACGGAACGTACGCCGGAGTCTTCGCCAGAAACTACCACATTCCCGCGTAATCGGCTCGAGGACTTAATTCCAAATGTATGGTCAGGCTCATAGCGAGATCCGAGCTGTCGGATTCGGACATTCATTTGGAGATCGCTTAATCTGAGTGAGGGTGTGCTACTTCAAGCAAAGGAGGCTTTTTCTTTCTTTCTCCATGAGCACACGCAGGTCACTGGTCTCAAGGGCTCGGGAACTCTTGCAGGAAAGGCGGCGGCAAAGCAGCAAGCGGGCACGCCCGACGTCTCTGATACGGAGCAGGATCGGGATTAGTCCCGCACGCCAGGGAAGAAGCACATGGCTCGACAGGCACCCATGCGGACGACAGCTCATTCATTGGTTCAGACGTGATGGCATATTTAGCGGCATCGGATGTATGGCGTAAGGGATCTGGTTTTTGAAAGGTCACTTCATCTATGGAATTCGCAACCACAGGCATAGCACGGGTTTCTTTGGGGGTCACGGGATATGCACAATAATCTTGTGGTGTACCGAAATGGGAAAAACAGTTTGCCACAGCTGCTGTCAGGCGTTTTGGGATGGATGGACCACTCAGGTCCATGGTTCACTTTGCTAGCGACATCATGGATATTGAATACCTTGCATGATATACCATACTTCGCTCAAGGCAGCTTGATTTGTACGATATGTCGTTGTCATCAACCCAAAATAGGTCGACCAACGGGTACAGTTGGCAGTACATCGTGCGTCAGCAAACATCACCCTTGTGTTTTGCCTAAGTCGGCAGGCCGAGACGACCAGAAAGCCACCATGCTCCTGCCTGTCACCCATTCCACACGCGGTGTCTTCTTAGATGAGGTTGGTGGAGCAGCTTTTCCGACCCTGAAGCCACTCCGCCGTCGCCCTCCACACAAAGTGTGTGTATAACACATCCTTGATATAGGTCTTCGACGTCCCCTCCTACCGCCCAACAGTGCCGGGTTTGATATTTACTGATCAGGTTCTCCCGAGCCAGTAGAGCCTCAAGCACGAGGACTATTTCGAGGTCAAACCAGAATGCTCTACTAGTTACGTATCTTTCACCTGAATGTAGCGGACGATCTACAGCACTTTGGAACACGCACGGAAACGCGGGAGGCGTCATGACCTTTCTGTGTCACGAGCTTGCTGCTCCACCCGGGCCTCAGGGCGGTCTCCTTCGTCTTTAAGCGCAAAGATCCTTGACTATATCAAAGAATTTCCGTCTGATAGGCCGCCTAGCCTTCATAACCCCGGGTCGAGGAGGATATGCAGCCCCAGGCTACCCACTCTTCCGCCGAGATGGGGGGAATGTGTGGCACAGACGATCGCGCCGGCTTGCTGTCCCTTTCGACTCAGCTGCATATCGGTTTCCCTGCCATCCAACCAAAGCAGGGCAGATTCCTAATATACTGGGCCTGGCACATGGGCCGCCACCTCCATCACAACCAAGCCGTTTGACTTCATCGTGCCATCGATCTCAGGACGGCATCCTGTAGAGCACGGGGAAACGTCGACGTGCATCCGCCACGTTGCTCATACAACCTGGAGTTGCACTGCGGGTCAGGGCCATGCGGCATGACAGAAACAACACATCTAAACACGGCCCCGGTTCGGTGAAGGGTCGTTGGCTGGTTGGCAAGCGCCTCTCGAAAGTGTTTGATAAGAGATTCCCCCAAGACGAGGGTGCAAGAATAGCCCGTGGCACTGCGCCGACCAGCCCAATTGATGTGCATGAAATGGTGGCTAGCATCACATCCTCCCGCTCCCAACGATCGGACGAAGACCGAAAAGTTGGAAGACCGGTCTGAGAGAAACTTAAAATTTACGATTCTCAGATGTACAGGTCCACGTAAGAGCACGTAGATGCGGGGAAGGTGGTTTCTGCAGACCCTGATTCAATGCAGAATTCTGGATGTAGCTCGATCGTTGAATCTGAGATGAGATACATGCCCTGGCATAGCATGGTCATGCAGTATACACGACATGCCCAGTCTTCCTATGCATTGGACGGACTCGCCGCATCATGCCACTGCATTTGCTGCAATGTTCCAAAACTAATATCCATGGAGCAAGACCATAATGAGCCTCGCTTTCTTTGCGTTCCGCGCGGCAACAAGGCGACCTCATACGCAATTTTGCAGAGTGCATATAGCCACAGGGCTATAATGGCCCCATCGTGGCTTGCGGCGTCGTTTCCCCTTCTAAGCGAGAGCCTCAGCTTGACGCGGTCCCGCTGCAGATGCACCGTTTCATTATGCAGCATAATCTTGTCTGAAGATCTATCATCTGACTTTGGACAGGGAGGTAGCTTGGATCTATGGAGGAGGAGGCGTTCGCTACCCGTCTTCGTCGAGAGACAGAGATAATCTTCCCCCAACCCAGCTACTGGAAGCGTCTCCTGCGCCGAATTCCGAGGTCGAGGGATGGGCTCGTCGTGAACATTGAAGTTGCTAAGAAATGCTCGGGCTTGAAACCCCTGAGGTCGATTCAGAGTTGTATCAGAAACCGGGACTTTGACCCTCAGGCATATCTCCGTGTGCAAGATCGACCGGTAAACCCATTGCGGCAAGAACCCCCCGAGAGGGCCGAGGGTCCGTGCTCTCCGACGCACGTATAGACGTTGTTATCCACCCATGCACGGTGGCATGCGCTGTAGCACTGAGCCACTGGACCCCTGAGAGGCCGTCTCCCTCTTATTTCCAGGATCCTCTGTGCATTACACGACGATCCTCCGCCCGGTTATCCCGGCCACTACGACCATCAGACCAAGAAAAAGCAAGGATCGCGACCGGCTCTATACTCACTGCCTAGAAGACGGGATACCCGGCTATAGCGTCAGCCTCGGGTCGCGCCGGGCCAGACCCCCGGTCCAGCTCCTAATCCCGGGGCTTGGCCTGTCGTAACTAGTGCGCGATGCGTCTGATGCCCCATCAAAGAGTGGGAATACTTCCTTGGAACTCGGCAAAGTGGACAGTGCTTCGTTCGGGGCTTCTTGTTTGTGCCATGGTACGTGGATGTAGAATCCACAGTCCAAGGACACAATCTTCGACTTCATCGCCGGAAAAGCCTCGGTCTCCGGCACGCACCAGCTTTGACATCTGGTTCTTCCTGCATACGAGCCTGTAGTATACATAACCGCCATCCCAACATGGAAACACGCATATCCAGAGAGCGCTAACGAGCCAGCTGCCCTGGTACGGCGCTTCGCTTGTGATATGGTCTCGTATTGCATGACTCTGCAAATTATTTGATTACCACGAGGTTTACTCTTCTGGTAGGAGTCTGCATTGGCAGTGTTATGTACACCTCCGTCAACCAATCACTGGACTTGGTTAACCGTATATGATGTGACAAGAAACGAAGTGAGCTCAGGTAACCCATCAGGACTCCAATGTTTACGTTGCCATGACATACCTGGTCCATACTATGCAAGCTCCAATGGAATTCGCGATCATGCCTTCCAGTCAATTTCAGTAGTTCGATTGACGAGTCGGAGTACCGCCCAGGCGGCTGTTGGCGCTGCTCCAAACGAAAGCTCCCTACGTACGGGGATATGAAAATCCCTGCGCTAGATGCCGTGATTTAAATATAGCCGTCGATAAATAAAAAACACCCAAGTAGCTGAAGGGTCTTTATACGCGTGGGCAAAGATGTCTGCTGAAAAGTGTAGAGTACGAGATGCGTTCTACCTTTGTATTGGAAGCGCTTCCTCCTACTATTCAAAGAAAAATGCTCGCTAAGCACACTTTTTGGCAACCATGCCCATACTCTATAAAGTAATGCACCATGCTGCTCTCCTCAATCAACGCCGTTACACTATGCAAAGCGTGTATCTTGGTAACGTGGCGGACCTAAAAAATTTCCGATCATCAAATCAAAATGACATGTGGATACCACCTTGCTCCGGTCGTATGGACTTCCTCCCATGGCCATTGACTACTGGGCTTCGTCAGGGTAAATGCTCTGCACCACCTTCCAGCACCACGACGCTGCAGCGTCGAAATCCTTCAAGTCTCGTATCCAGTCGATGTACAGGCGAACAGTCTCCCGGGCATTGAACTCGAACTCGCTATCAAGCAACTCAGCCCTGATCCGTATCAAGATTGGGACATGTCGAGATAGGTGCAATATGAGTAGTATGCCGAGAAAATTCTGGCTCCACAACGCCAGGAAAGGCACGAGGCGCTTCTTGTTACGAGTGGGAGACATTGTAATGGGCCACAACAATGAGCTCTTAAGGCACACGGCAACCCCCTCAGCGTCTTCATGGGTGACCATTTCCGGATGGTGAGTTGCCTTATAGATAAACGGACGGTAGATTAGATGTTTGACGTGATAGTAGCGCGTCCTCAGAATGGCTGCTTGAATATCTGCAGCATATGGGTAATCGACCATAGCATTGTTGAAATCCGTGGTAAAGTTTATATTCGAATGCCCATCCGGAAGTTGCTGCGGAAACACTGATTGATTGTAGATGCCTTGGCTTCCACTAGAGAAGCCATCGTAATGGGAGTCCGCCCAGTTGAGATAGGGCGGTAGAAGACCACGCCATTGATCTAATTGGGAAGCCAGCTGTTTTATGGTAGCTACAGCAGATTGGCTCATCGATCCCGAACTTGAGGAGGAATCACCGCTGGTAGGAACGAAAGCTGGACCTTTTTAGTTGCGGTACTAGAAAGGACCTAAACATTGGAATCTGAGGGGCAAGAGGACTCAATCCAATTTCTATCTCATATGAAGGCAGAGGATATGCTTACCGTTTGTAAGAGCTTTGTGAAATTCGACCGAGAGCCGTCGAAGCACAATCTGCGACGCGAAATGCTCTTGAAAATGCGACGCTTGGTTGCTGATATAGTCTTCTTCGGAAAAGGCGCCGGCACTGAAGTCAGGAAGTCCAACTATTTCTTCCAGGTGGTGCAGCCCCGTAAGAGGCATGTTGAACTCCAAATTGAGACATCTGGAAATGTAAGCAGGATAACTCTATGCCAAGTCACCGAGGCGGTTGCTTACGTTTCTGTGATCAGACAGTGCCAGAACAGTCTCCTGATTAAGTCGGCGCGGATGGACACCAGCTCCCCAGGGTTGCTACTTGCTTGTTAGCTTGTCTAGGTGGCAAATCTCATTCAGAAGCCCGACCTTGTCAATAAGGCCTGGCAAGCCAATGAGGCTGATGTGGTCATTCTCCAGAACTCCTATAATCATGCACTGTCAGCCATTCGGCTGTTAGAGAGGGAAACCTAATGAAGAAGAGCATACCGTGTGAAGGCAGCAGGTTCCATAGTAAAGACTGGTATTCATTGGTCAGTAGATAGTCCCGATCGGCTGGTGATGATAACTTACGCGGCCAATGCAAATATTTGCACATTCTCAAGGCTGCACTCTGTGAGATTGAATCCCATGCGCTTCCTCGCCTCGTTGAAGAACAACACACCAGGGTGGGTTTCCAGGGAAACGCCCTTGATGCCCCCTGGGCGACCCTTGTGTATCATCAAGGGATCACCCTGAACGCTGGCAATAGCAACTTCGCCTAGAGCTAGTATCAGGCAAATCAGCGTCGAATTTATATCATTGCCCAAGCCTCGTGTTGCTAGTGGAGGAAGCACTTGGGTCTGAAAGAAGTGTCGGTCCACGATCGGATACAACAAATTGAAGCTGTCAAAATACGCCTTACTCAGACTTTGCATAGTCTCCCATTGCAGGTCCAAGGAAGTCATATGTGTCCCATCGGGTAGAGCCGACAATGATGAGCCTGGAGGCGGCTTAGATTTCTGACTCTGTGAAGTTTGCGGCCCTAGAGCTATAGGTATACTTTGTAGTTGCAACCCCGACAATATAGATGCACCGTCCTTCTGCAGCAAGGTCAAGTTGATGGACGAAGACTCAAGTGCTGACGATTCAAGTATTTGCCGCACGTAGGGCCATGAGAGCATCTTGTAAGCACCCGAGACATATACGTAGTGGGTCGCTTCCGGCGAAGTAGGTGTGATGGAGACGGTGAAGTTTGCGTTGGCCGTTTGCCAGGACCCAGACTTCCCGCCTCCAAGAGCGGATGCGGCCCGGCCTTGATCTGAGACTTCACTCTGCTGGCCTGTGAATGATCCATATAATGATAGGTTGTCGACTTTCCCTTCCAGGCTTTTCAGACGCTCCAAGATCTCAACCAGAGTTTTGTCTTTCCTGGGTCAAATCAGCCTTCAAGCCCGAACAGCTAGAGTTGTTTGCTGGACAACCTACTTGGTCGGTTGAGGCTCTCGATACTTGCATTCAAGCTATACCGAATTTTTAGTGAAACCCGCAAAGCTGAACTTGTCGGTGTAGCCAAACCTTCATTCGTACGCAGCTCGCACACTTCGGCCTTTCTTCTGAGCATCGCTGCTTTCTCTGAATTAAATAACGCAGTCAGCACCCACCTGAGAAAGGTGATCAGAGAGGCATGACGACTGGAAGTCGCCACCGGCGTTGTCGAGATGTAGCATAGCGATTTATGACCGAAAGACTCTCTCCGGCGGAGGGGGAACAAAAGTTTTCTTCCACTGACCTGGCGACAGCTCTCGCACTGGTTGACAGAGGTTAGTTTCGGTTGACTGATGGGTGTATTGAATCAGGAGATCATGTCTGAAGCATAAACTTCAATGCCAGAAGTGACGGTTCGGTCATAAGAGGTATACGTACAGCTTGGGCCGCAATAGCCCCCCTTTCTTTTCTGCTAGCAGTCGATAGCCCTGGGACTGCCGAGCTTGCGCTATTTGGGGGGGTTCCGGCATCCATTCTGAACGAACCGAAACCTTGATCAAGACCGAGGCATCGACGTGTCCGAGGAGTGCAGGTTGACGCAAGGCTTTGAGATACAAGGCAACCCTTCTTTGTCGACGCGCATCATCAGTGTTAGCTGGGTGGACTGGGACCAGGAACTAGATTCAAATCTTATAGCAAGGTATAGGACAAGAGCCTCTGGGTCGGCAGGGCAAGCTATCGGATTGGCCGATCGTACGGCCGGGAAGGTCCGCTGTGGTCTTGGTTTCGAGGGTCGCCACCACTGATGAGTTGTTTCGCACATATGGCCTGCATCTGGTGGTGCCGTCTCCTGCCAACTGCTTGGTGAGCAGTGCACGATAGTGGTGGGATGTTGCGGTCGCTAAAGTGTCGGCGTCGTACCCGATGAATCTCGGGCTGGCATCATGATCGGAGGGCCAGAATGGAGCATTTTCAAGCGACCCAGCCATGCGAAGTCAAAAGCCGAAGGTACTGATGACGCCGTAGTGTGGGTTTTGCAACGGAGCAAGCTCCGACTCCCCTCTCCTCTCCCCACCGACCGCAAACCAGCAAGGACACGAGTCCCCAAGAGAAAGGCTGTCACCAACCCGACAGCCAGACAGCCACGCATCGCGAAATGTCGCCAATTGAACTACGAAGATCCTTCAGGAGCCTGAAGAAAACACATGCTGTTTCTGGAGAGCACCGAATCCCATTCGTCGTCATGAAAACAAACAGGCATCACTTCTGTAGTTCAATCGTCGCTGCTGCGACAGCAAACTTCACTCAAGTCAGCCAGTGCGTTCCAGTCAATATGCATTGACCTCGCGAACATACATGAAGATTGTCCTCGGCCACAAGTCTGCGGTGATGTGTAGATTTCCTTCCTAGAGCGAGGCATCGCGTTGGCATGTTAGCCTGCACCTGTTGAATGGTAGCTCGCCATTGTCACAGGGTCATCCGTGGCCTAAGAGAGTTAAATAACTCGAGGATATTCTGTACGGGGAAATGGAATGGAAGAAAACGGCCCACGAGACGATGAAATATATCGAACTCAAATCTGTTGATTAATAATACTCGAGTCGGAAAGTCGGAATTGCTGGGCAGGCCACAGCAGCCATTGATGTCGAACTGACGTGGTTGTGGAGGCGAATGCCAGCGGTCTGCCTTTCGGGTAGTGGCCCGGTTACGAGGATGAGATATGGCCATTGTTTCTGAACATCTTCACCGACAGTGATTGAAGTCGCACTCAGATCTTGAACACGGCCGCAAACTACTCCCGTATTTGTGCTCGATGACGCAAGAGACTTCGGATGTAGCCCAACACGTCGGAGTTCGGCCGAAGTAGCTGTCGCTCCCGACATTACGACCGCCGCCCTTCTCTTGCGAGGCCTTGACCTTTTGCTGAATCGTCGTGGTACAAAACCGATCGGCCTGATTGTGCCGCGGCGGGGTGTGGCCCATGCTTGCCGCGTCAAGTTCGCAACGCGAGAGATATAGCTGTACTTTGGCCACGCATGCGTGTATCTTTGATGTTTTGTCAAAGAATCGTTCTTTTCACCTAAGGTCTTCGGTTGTGCCCAGTCGCTGCTAAAGTGTGACTCGATTTCTCTCGAGACACTCTGCACGTTCTCGGCAACTATACGCGAACAAGCTTCCTGCCACATGTTTACTTTCATTTATCAAGAGCATCTCCCACATTGGGAACCATTGAAATTGTATGAGAAGCTGTACGATGAGTCTTTTCGCTGCACATGGTTCTGACCCAATAATGCACGTCCCAAAGCTTCAATCTGAGAGGATCGAGTATGGTTCGTTGGCCAAAGACCTTTGCCCCGGAAACTCCCTACGAAACTGGCGACATCTGCTTCATCGTGGGGACTATATCTTGCTGGGCTCTGCCCCTATACTTAGAAAGACTCCGCGTGAAGACTGTATCAATTGGCCCAGCTTCTTCGATGTGGGATCACGGCCGTCACCGAGTAGATAAATCGATATCCTTGGTGATGCGGTCTGTCACACAATTGGAATGCTTGCTCTGTTGGCTAAGGCACGATATACATCTGATTCGGTGATGTTGTAAGTCTAGCTACCATGCCTCGAAGCTCCACTCGACAGCTATCCAAGACATAGCATATTCTCTACAAGTGAGTATCTAGTCGGACATGAAATGGTTTCAAGACTTTACTGTTTCCGGGCCAGAGCAATGCAGCTGAAGCGAAGGTCCTTGCCGCCATCATCCTGTTCTAGTTTGATGATTCGTTTCAGTCCCAGTTCCAGTGCCTTTGGACTCAAGACATCGTCCTCTTCGGTTAGTGGCCCACGGTCAAGCGGACCTTTGCGTGATCCCTCGAGCTCCCAAAGTCTGCCGTCCGCCTTGACATACGCCACAAAATGTTGACCAATGTGCTCCGCGGCCGGTTGGGCAGGAGTGTCGCCCACCTGTTCCAGCGACTTGTGCGCCGCCTCAAATGCAGCGTTGTGGTACAGCATGCTCGCCCGGTCCGTCATCTTGAGCGGAATTGCTGCGTTTCTTATTCTTTCGAGGTCCGAACCAGGCTGGATGTAGTCAACAGCTGGGCCATTGATTGCGCAGTGCAGCAGGCCAATGGAGCCGCATGCATTTCCGATCGTCTGCTTGAACCATACTACAGGTTCCTGGGGGCCGCTGCCAGCGTAGTCCTCCTTTCCAGCGTCCTCAGCTTCACGGTCTTTGTCCCAAGAGGCTGTGAGAGGAACGATGACCAAGAGGGCGAGCGCAGGTCGGGGGATGTGAGCCAGCAGATCCGGTTCATCCAGGGAATAGACGTCGTAGAATCCCAGCTCGCGTCCAAGGCCTAATTTTGCCGCCAATTGGTCCATCACCTCGGGGTTGTTTTCTACGGCTCCGTCAGCCTGCTCATGCTAAGTGAGCTGATTTGAAGCACGCTTACCCAACATCACCCACCGCTTCTTTCCTTCCATGGCTAGTGGCTTGACGGGAGTCCTTCGGTAGATGCTGCTGAAAAGGGTATGCTGTCAGACAAATGCTACATCGGAATGCGCTGGTAGCTAAGCGCAACGTGACGCTGGCTTACATATAGTGGTAGAAAGCAGCAGCCTCGGGCAGAGAAATGGCGTTTCTCTAGACCGCGAGTAGTCTCCTGCTGTGCTGCGCTGGACTTGACGACCAGCGTTAGAGACGGCGTCCGGTGGCCCTTTCATGAAGTTACCTATGTCTCTGCCCGCTTTAGCAAGTTCAGGCAGCCTGTCCACGTCACACGCGGAGAGTTCAGCCCTACGAATGTCAGGCTGCGGTCAGTGTGGGGACCCTCCCTGCACATCTGGGGTAAGCAGGGTGCCCTTTGCACGTCAAGCTTCGAGGTCCCTGCATGGAATACCCACGCCCTTGATTGGGGCGTAGCACTGGGACTCCCTTGAGATTCCCGGGGTAGTCCCTTGTCGGATCCCTCACGTCGGATATCTAGCCTACTTCAAATGCACTACTGCGTGGGGAACCGATGTACGGTTAGGTATCATCCGTCTCTGTAGGTACGTGCCCTCTAACGGACACATCAGACCCGAAAGTCACAAACAAACTCGGGCGAAGAAATAAGACTCAAGCACCTGGTGTTGAGAGAGTCGGCCTCTGTCCTTCCTCATCGCGTTATAGCGACCCTCTCGGGCCCCTGGAGACTTATACCGAGATTCGGACAAACCGTCTACTCATCCTGCATTTATTTTACCAATCAAAATGACTTGTATGCCTACATTCAGTAGCCTTAGGCTTCAGCTGAAGGATGTCCTTATCTGCGAGTGCTATAGCGTATCGGAGAGTAAGATATCATAAGCACGCTGACAACACACAAGAGGCTAGCCACCTTGACAGCCAAACACAGCCCATCTGTCTTAACCAATGCATTCGGCGATGCCTACGCAGTTTTCCGAGAGCTCGGCCTGTGAAACATATGATAAACTGCCGTGATAGGCTGTACTGCCATCCCTTGCTCGAGCGGCCGAGTTGGATTAGGCCCAAAACCACTCAAACCATTCCATAGTCCGAGCATCCCCTCTTCTTTGGGCTGTGATCCTTCATTGGAAGGGAGGTGTGTGAGAGCTAGAGGCCATGCCGTGAAACTTCCAAACAGGCTCGCCTGAGTTGGTGATACACGACGAGGATATTCTAACAGAGCCTCTTTGACCTTCCAGTAATATCCTCAGCTCTCCAAGGGGTCAGACAAGAATAGACCATCTGACAGTCGGCATGAGTTCCGCCTGAGAAGCCACGATGATGTGTCGGCGGCCGTGAGCTGCAGAACGGAAACGCCCTCACCGAGCTGAGTAGGTCTGCGCAACCAGCTCCAGCCGTGGCGTGATCCTGTAGGTCTTTCGAGATGCGAGCTTCCAGGACTTTCAGAAGTGGCCTGCTGCGGAGCCTTGCAGGGCAGATCATCACGCCTCCCATCACTTGGTGTATATAAGTTGCCTCAACCCCGTCATTGAAAGAGAACCCCATCACTCATCAAAACAAGAACATCACAGCCTACTCATCAACTACTCACCGCACAACTCAGTCCAATCCTTGTTTAAAATCTTCAAAATGCAGTTCACCACCCTCTTCGCTACTGCCATTCTGGCTGCCGCTGGCCTGGCTGCTCCCTCCAACGAGGCCCGCCCGACCGAGGTCCACCTGCAATGGCAGGGCGCTGCCGGCGTGAAGGTCGACCAAAAAGTTCTGGCTGATGGCCAGACATTCAACGTCAACACTGAAATCAGTGTCTCCCACATCCAGGCCTTCGGACCTGAAAGCCTCGTCTGCCACGCCAATGGCATTGACGGCAGCAAGACCGATGTCTTTGGTTTCAATACTGTCGATGTTGGCCCTCCACAGGTTCAGAGCAATGTCACTTGTACTGTATAAACGTCTGCTTGACTACCGCTCACCATTTTTCTCACACCGGCAACGAGCGGAAGATATGTGATGGTTGGTGAGGGAGTCCGTGGTGATGGAGACACATTCCTTTGTTCATGTTCTCAGGGGCCCCGAACATGATTTACCTACTTAACAGCAATGGATACTCAAAAGTTAGATCTGTGATCCAATGTTAGTAGCTTAGCTAGTATTGAATACACACCATCGAAAGCACTACTTGATGTGCTATGAGGAGTTTGGATTACACCTTTGGTGTTTGAGACCACTGTGATAAGCAGCAAGCTTGAAGGACTTGTTGAATAACTACGGGAAACTGCGAATGAGTTTCTGACGCGGAAACGATATCTTGTTCTTCCACACTGTTACCAGTCTAAGGCTGACTCTACGGCACGGGAAACAACTGATGACCACAACGAAAGGGAAGTCTCGGAACAAAAGCAACACTTGCTCCTTTGTTTGTGATTCCGGCTCCCTAAGGGAGAAACCTGAGAAAATTTGGGAAAGATGACCAGATGACCACTTACCACTCAGCCTCAGCGTAACGGGGAGATTGGGCTGGCGACGGGAGCTGCACAGCCTCCTGTCGGCCCTGAACCTTAGAATGCGGGACAAGTCCTCATCTCCCTCAGCGGCATCAAGCCGATTGAACCACTCATCAGCAGTGGGCTCCTCCGGGCCGCGAGCAGTTCCGCTGCGCTGCATCTCCTCGCAAGAAGCCATCCACTTCTTCGCCTTCCGAATCGCGCCCGCCCGCTCCAGCGTACACGTGGAAGCCGCCGCGGTGCTGTGGGCAGAAGAACGCTGCTCTCGAGGATAGAATTTGTCGGCCTGTCGCGGAGGAGCAGTCGCAGCCCACTGGGCGTAGAAATTGTTCGTGGCGTTTGACTCGAATGAGTATTTCTTGCCTTGGGCGCAAGCAACGGGGGAACAACCACACTCGAGGAGCGGAGCTGACCCATCATGAGCCAAGCTCTTGCCATTGTCAACCAGAACGGCATGTGCGTCCCTTTCCTGCTGGGTTGCGTCATCACGGCGCCGAACAAGGCGGCGCCAGAGGTTGTTGATCTTGGTGAACATTGTTTGATGTATCAAAGACTCGTCCGAGATCCTGCGGTCAAGAATGGATTAGCGTGATCGGGAGAGGCTTAGAATTTATAGACTAATCTTGATTCTCTCTTGTCTATATTGTTCCGTGGCAAGTATTAGAACAAGAAAGACGTCTCCGGGATAAAGAAAGGGCTTATTAGTACACACTAGCATTGTCAACCGTGTCAAAGTTAAACCGAGCTTGCCTGTTCATCTCTTAGGGGTATAGCTGTTCGTTCTGTGAAGGATTTTTAAGGTAGTATAGAACAGAGAACAAGGCATTGAAGACAACGACAAGGACGTTCATCCGCAACAACAATGGCAAGAGAATCCATACTTAAGAAAGCCCCTGTCTGTCAGTTTCAGGACCTACAGCTCTCGAGTCACAGACAAGATCAGGTCGGATCCAATAGCTACACCTTGGCAGCTCAAGACTGCCGTGCGGCGTTTCTAGGTAAGAAGTTCTTCGGTCTATCACACGCAGGCACCGTGATTAGATAGGGCGATCTTTCCGAGGAAGAGTCATGTGTGGGGATCTTAAAATTACGTATGGGTGCGGACACTGGGAGAGTCAATTCACTGAGTGCCCGGCGTTCCGCAAGAAGCGGTCATCATTCATGGCGAAGCTATTCGGTAGGTCGGGGGCCAAGGACTGCGGTAAGGTCCGGAGGGAGAGGTCGACGTCAACGCGGCCCTGCGATCAGTGTGCCATCACAGGTGATGGCCTGAGCAGCCAGAGAGTTGGGAATGGCGCTAGAATCGTTCACCGTCAGTATGTTGACGAGAGCTTCCGTAATGAGCGGCAGGACGCCGCTAGGAGCGCTCTCAAGTCGGGCAAGAAGCCTCGTTCTTCAAAGAGCCGCAAGCATCACGAAGTCATCTCCAGTAAGAATAGTGTATGGTGTCCTGAGTATTATCACCACCCCGAGACTGTGGCAGCAGCGAGATACGGCCGGCCAAGCGCTCCGGCACCACCAGTGGCACCACCTCGGGCTCCGGAGAAATCCACGAAACCACACAGTACTTCCCATCGTTCATCCTCGCGCAAGACGTCGAGTAAGTCGACCGGGCAGGACCGCCGCTTGGGACATCCAATCCAGAGCAGGGAGGAGGCCAAGGGTTACTACCCAGCTTTCAGTCCTCTGCAGCCACTCCGTAGACCAGCCGAGCCGAAGCCGGCGCTGGCATCTCGTAAAATCCGCGGCCAAGGTATAGACGGACCGCCACCGTCCCCGTACCAGCCATACGCGCACGAAGAAATCGGATACGCCCACACGTGCGACTACAAGCACTATCTCCCCATGGCAGGAGCGCGACCGGCAGCCGGTGCCGCGCCTCCGCTGAAGGCAAGGCCACAGCCCATACCAGCCCCCAAGCCCTACCACCAGGTGTATTCTGGTGAGCTCAAGCAGGCCGAGAGGCTGTCCCGGGGACAATCGTCGCGCGTGCCTGCCCCCGCACCGCAGCAGCAGAAGATCTCCCGACCTCAGCCGCCCCCGCGCAAGACCAAGCCAGCGGCTGGCTCCTCGGTCCTGCAGAGCTTCGGCCGCGCAATCGGGATCGAGGGCGAAAGCTCCGATGACACCAACTCCGATATCTCGTTCGCCTGTGCCGGGGCCAGGCTGGTGGAGTCTCGTGCTCCCCAGCCGGCTCCGAGACGGCGGTGAAGAGAAATCCAGGGGTAGACAGAGTGGTCTTGTGTTTGAAAGGTGAGTCCCCGTTTTCTTCGTTCGAATTCGACTGTAATAGATCAGCCCTTTGGGCCGTTGGCGTTCTTCATTCGTGGGAAGACTTGATTGGCACAAAGGCGAGCTCGGTTAGGTAAGCGTTGTTTATAATCTCTAGAATTTGATAATTATCAATCAAGTCCCATCTCCCCACTGTCTGCTGCTCATCTCAGGGTCTAAGTATCTCAGATACTACCTCAATATATGGTCTGAACTCAGCTCGTCTATTTATTAACACCGTACTCCATCGCACCGTAGTTGATGAAATTGAAGGGTATCAACGGTAGCTAAAACACTTCAAGTAATTCTTCTCACCTGCGAACTCTACGCGCTGCGCCTGGTCGGGCCTCCCCATGCCGCGTGGCCCTGAGGCCTGCCGGCCCGGAGCTTGCGCGTAGTTCGCCCGCTTCCATGTTCGTAGCCCCAGGATTGTAAAGTCTTGGCTCAGAGGTTGGAAATCTGGATGTCCTTGCCAACGCGTTCCCAAACGAGTTGGCGCTGATTGTGCGGTTACGGATCATTGTGCCTTTCCATTCTTTGAAGCATCCTTTGCCTTTTGTGCCCGGAACTTGGCAATCTCGATTTGCACGGCCTTCTCGACCCGGCTTTGCAGTTCCCGTCGGTATCCGAACTTGAAGAGGAGTTCAAGCCAGACGAACAGCGGTGCAAGAAAGATGGCCTGAACCAGATTGTCGAGCAGCGCCGGGGCACGGCCTTCGAACGCGCCGTGGCCCAGAAACTGGAGCAGCCAGCAGGCGATGTGTGTTGCAATGGCGATCTGGTTCGTCTGGGTCGGGTTCTCGATCAAAGCCTTGTTGGAGGCGGCGGCGGCTGCGAGGCAGATTGCACCCAGGGCCGTGCCTGCGACTGGTTCAAGCAGTATGTATAGTACGGCATATGCTATGGCGGCGATGGTGCCGAGGTTGAGGTCGAGGTACGGGACGGACAAGGCCTCGGGAAGCGGGATAAGGGTGCCCGTGTTCGCAGCCTGTGCGCAGGGGCGCGTTGATAAGCGTCGGGCCAGGAGGATTCGAGCGTAGCGGCTACTGGGAAGAGAGACATACCATGCAGAAGCCCGAGAAGAGGATCAGGGGCACACATGTCATGTGAATGGCGATGTTGACCGCGTTGTGGTGGTAGGCGCCATACTACAAGCCGGATTAGCTGCCGCCGTAAGCGAGCCTGAAGACAGGGTAAGAATCGAGATGACCTACGAAGGTGAGCTGCTTCTCGAGGTTGAGCGACATGTTGGGCCAGGGATTCGCGGCGGTCGACTGTTCGGGATCCGGTCTGTCGTTGAAGGGAGGGACGGGGGTCGCGGGATAGCGGGATAGACAGGATACTTAGTCTCTCCGGGGCGTGGTGGTGCGCGCAGCGGCCAGCGGTCACTAAACTTTTTGGATAACTGGTCTGGTGGGGAATGGGCCGACGATGACCTCTAGTTTATCACGTCAACAATTGAGACCCGGGGGGGCCTTTGTCTCTCGCCTGTGCAGTAAGCAGCAGATCACATCAGAGCGTGGCAGGTTTGCCTGTAAGCTCTCATGCAGCCGAGGGCGCAACAAAGTGCCGACACGCGACGTAGTAAGGTTGGGCGTCTATGGGACTTGGAGAGCCTGTTCCATCCCCATGTGCAGTGCGTATTCCTGCTGCTCCGTGTGAGCCGTGAGCGGGGCCGATCCCAGAGAGCACGGCTCTGCGATATTTTCTAGACTGGTGATCCTGAATGAAGGACGAGATGTTCTTCTTGTTCGAGGGTTTCCTGCAGGCCGCCGGGATCGCTCACACCTGCATATGCGCCCGAGACCATCAACACGTGCCTCACGTTTCTCAAGTGTTGTGCCGTCTATCGCATTGCCATGGCCTCGCTGGTATAACTTGGGCGTGAGAGACACATTCAAGACTATCTATGTGCCTAGAAGTTGCCTATAGGGCAATTGTGTGTGTCTACCATCCAATGAGACGAGCTACCTGCAGATACTTGACACTACCGAGACTCGACTGACTCGTTCGAGTTGACGAGAAATAGTTCCTGGTGTAAGCAATCATGTCCACTCGGACTTATGAGCTGGGCGACTGAGGACTCGATGCGACCGAGCGCACCAGCTGGTCGGTGGTGCGGAGGCCCAGCGACGGCCCGGCAGCACGGCGTCGGGGTGCTGAGGTGCATACTGGCTGGAATGGAACCTGAGGCACATGGAAGGCTCGCAGTGGGGGCCTGGGGGGCTTTGGGGGCCACCCTGCCACCGGCGCTGCGGGTGGGCGCCTGCGCTTTGACCAGACCTAAGGAACAGGATGAGGCTCCCGCACCTTTTTTGCCTGCCAGGGGAGGAAGGCTGAACATTCCAGAGCCCCGACCGCATAAGTCAAGTCACATACGTTCACATCGCCGACCGCGATCGTTGCCTCGCCTCACCTCAACTCCACCTCGCCCGTCGCCGCGCTTCTCACTCACATCTGCCGGTGTCCTCTCCCCCAGCGAGCGGCCTGCGTCAGACGCCAATCCTCGCTTTCGTTCGTCGCGCGTCGCACAATTTTTCCAATCATCGCTTCTGCGCCGATTCACTTCCCCGGCGATTCTCTTTCCGGCACGAGTGCGTCCCTCCAGCTCGACCATACTCCATGATACCCACGCCTTTTTGATTCTATGCGCCGACTTTTGACTTCCGCGGTCGACTTTGTTCATTGGAGAAACGAAACAACGCGCTTCACTCCGTCGCTGATCCAACACGCGGCCGCCTGAATCTTGCCCACCGTCGACATCGAACACGCCACGCCCTTGAATCAGTGGCATCCAGTGACACAGGCTGCCTGCGACGCGGCGGTGCGGTGCGGTGCGGTGCGGTCAACTGCAGTGCGCTTTGGCCTCTTCAATTGGCCTTGGACCATTTGTTGTCTGCCCTTTCTTGATCAGATTATTGTAGCTTCGGGTAGTAGGCACACGCCGTCTCGACGCCATGTTCTTCGTCTACACTCTTGAGCGTCGTGTGACGCTCCACCCGTCTTTCTTCGGCAAGAACATGCACGAGCTCGTCACTCGGAAACTGCTGGACGATGTCGAGGGGACCTGTACCGGCAGCTACTACATCATCACCATCATGGACAGCTTCTTGATCTCCGAAGGCAAGATCCTACCTGGAAGTGGCCTGGCCGAATTCACAGTGGAGTACAAGGCCGTCATATGGAGGCCCTTCAAGGGCGAGACGGTAGGCATGCAGTAGAGCTCCGTCGGCAACCGGTTACTGATCAGCTCCAGATCGATGCTGTCGTGGCCTCAGCCAACCAGCACGGTTTCTTCGCCGAGGCGGGACCGCTGAGAATCTTTGTATCCGGTCACGTATGTGCATGACACGTCTATCAGAGTGTGCCCCCGATTAACCGTCGTGACATAGTTGATTCCTAGCGAGGTCAAGTGGGATCCCAATGCCACGCCTCCTGAATGGACTGATGGCGACGACACGCACATCAAGGCTGGTACTCACGTCCGGACCAAAATCATTGGTACCCGAGCCGACATCGGTGAGCTGTGGGCTATTGGCAGCATCAAGGAAGACTATCTTGGGTAAGTCCCTCTCCCCCCTTTCCCCTTTCTGGTCCTGCCTTGGGCCCTCTCCGCCTGGATCAACTTGTTGACAACGGCATTCAAAGACCTCTCGAGTAAGATGCGGGGGACGCATCATGATATCTCCGGATGATTCAGGCTGGAGGCTTGACGTCACGCTTTTCCCTCAGAGCAACCGCGTCTTGCAAACATTCAATAGTTTTGCGAGGAAATTATCCGATGGGAAGAACAAGCATCGACGCAACCCGCTTTGCTCTCTCCTTGTCGCAAGGTAATAGCCACATTTGTCTGCAGGTAACGCTCGCAATCGTACATGAGCAAACATTCAGAAAGTTGAGTTTGAGTGGCTATACAATTTGATGCATCAAACTCCGTTCGTGCCACACTCGGCAACTGCCAAGGCCGTCGCACCGGCATGTTCATCGGTCTATCTTTGAGTCCTCTGAAGACGAAGGCAGCAACCCGACCAACATCTTCACCTCGCATATAACAGCCTCCGGGCCATACACCGCTCTGCCTGGTTCCTGCTAGGGATAGACCCAGAGATAGGCTTCACTGGCCAAAATGATGCCAAGAGGTACCTAGCTACGTAAGAAAGAAAAATTCCAACAAGACTGCGTGATTTTCGCAGCCCTCATGTTCCGTCCTTTCTGTTGTCGGTGAAGATGTTGGTTCAGATCCTTTCAGACATATGCTCCCCCATGGCCAAACAAACCATGCATGGAACGCTAGATCATGCCGACTGCCAGCTATGATTCAGTGGTGGCCTTGTCGGCTTGAACGACGTTTGCCACGACTTGGCTATGCATTTCATGGGCAAAGAGACTTGTGAAGAGTGGCAGCAAGGATATGGACATCCGGCAACGCTACTCGACCAGTTACGGGCCCTTGACCGCTGTCTATGGATGTCGCCTATGTCAGAATGATATGACCCTGCAGCCAACATGACATTTCTCCTACAGAAGTACCCATTGACTCGTCACTCAATCTTGAGTTGGCATGGGTTGTCGTCGTGCCGCGCCCAGAAAGGGCAGCTGCGCCTCTCGGCACCGACTTGCTGTCACCTTGAAGCGCGGCTGAACCGCTTGAAATGGAATTACTCGCCAGTTGGCTCCATTTCGCGCGGCTGTGATCGCCAAATTATATTGGAAACCAACAGGCGCGCTTAGCCCCGTAAACCCAGAAAATGCAACCAGACGATCCCTGGACCCGAATGCTCAAGGGCGAGCCCCCAAACTACAACCTCGGGTTGGAGAGCAAGGTCAGAACAGCATATACGAACCGAGATGAGCAAGAAAGTCAGACAGGCTGCCGGGTCTACAGGACACTCACCGGTCGGGCCTATGCAATCCTCTCCCAAGCCGCGCTCCTATCCCGGCTCCAGCATCTCCAGACTAGCGGCTAAGGGAACTGGACCCATTGCGTCGAAGAGGGGTAGGCGAGACCGGGAGACATGTTGGTCACATCTGCGCAATATGTGCATAGCGGCTCGTCGACGGCACCAATCGGGTAAAGATGTCGTTTGCTCTGGGTTGAATAGTGAAGATGCCTGCAAGTTGAGCCCCGTTGCTCAACCCACGCCATCTGCCACCACGGCTGCGATCGCCGGATTTGCCATGCTCTGGTTCTGTCGCCCGTTTTAGGCAAGGGCATGCAGTGGCTACGGCTCTGGGCTCCCCATCAAACACCGGGATAAGTCGCTTGCGGGAGAAGTACATCCAGCTGCTGTTACGTTTCCTCTTGTGGTGTGTACGATGTGCCGCGCGCATGAAGAATACACAACCTTGGTGATGATGTTCCTGACCTATTTGCATACCTCGCTATTTAACGAACAATGAGGATGATGGATGACTACTGGGCGGCCCGCGCCGTTCGTAAAACCGCGGTTCTTCAGCGGGTGGTCCTACAGAACTCCAAACTCCACAACAAAGAGTATCGCAGGCGTTGCTGTCGAACGCTAGAGTCTTTAGCACCCTGGCGGGAGCTCTCCGCGGATGCTTGCTGCAAACTACCAAAAATCCCTTGCATGGACAAGATTGACTTCGACTAGCCCATAGACTGCGGTGGGGGGGGCTTGCCTTCATCACCACCCCTGGGTGGATATTTGTGTCAACGATCCCGACTTCTTGGGAGAAATGTGTGCACCAACCAGCGACCCAAGTTGGTGGCCAAGGTCTGCCGCCTGCTATTCATGACCTAGGGTTGCATGCAGGAGTTATGTTGCCTAACCCAAACTTTCACTGGTTTGCTGCATCCACATGCAACATACAGGGCTCTCCCAAGTCGCTGGGTTCCACCTCATTTGCCCAGGCAAGTTAATGCCTGTTATACTGGCCCCCATTCACTTCACAGCAAGTAGGCAGATCCAAGACCACTGGGCCTTGAACGCATACATGCAGTGCCATGAGCTCAGAATTGAGTGTCCTGACATTGTGTGCACCTAACGGGTGGATCATCGCCTATGCGGTTAGACATCAAGCAAGCTAACTAACATATGGGGCATGATGGTTCAGAATGGCGATCCAGACAACCACAGAATCACCAAGAAGTTGGCGGTGATGGCATCCAGAAAAAAATCATGGTCGCAAGGTACGGCTTGATGATTCGCCAGTATACGCGCGTTGGAAGTTGGTTGTTTCCTCCCGCTGGCCCGGTACACTGGGTTGAATTTCTCTCGAGTGCTTAGCGACCATCAAAAATGGATGCGACCGCATATTCAAACAAGACGGTCCAAAGTTAAACCATTGCGTTGGAACCCAATGATATCGAATGGCCGATCGCTTGTCGGGTACAGTAACCCTTCATGTCGAGTACGTTGTTTGCGAGCATCATCAAAATGACTAGAATTTTCCATTTTGTTCCCATGGGGCCGGAAATGAAATGTCCTCCGTATCATGCTCACCGAAGGAAGGATCTATCACGTTGGTGACTCGTTTGTTTCGTATCTCCTGGGCGTGGAGATGTATGTTTGTTTCTTTTTTTCTAATGCTATCACAGACGACCACATTGCAAACATACTCGTGTGATATCTGGATCATGATTCGTCCTGCTCAGCACGTAATATACATAATGAACAGGGATATAGGACCAGTGGTCTTCTTGGAGAACCGTTGCCTGCCCTCGAAATACAATCCTAGCTCCACGTAGTTGCCGCTAGAGTCCGTCAATTGCCCTAAGGCTGCTGCGGGTTTATCGCTTTCCTAACACATGCAGGGTTGGCGATTCGAACAAGGGTCGCCCCCGTCCAGTGGCCAGCCTATACTATACAAAGTAACATGGAGCGATTCTGCATGTGAGCGGAGCACCTAGCAGAGTGGAAAGAACCCGTGCCGTCACTGCTAAGCCTGGGCAACAACTAACTAACGACCTCTTGGGTGCCCCGGAGATGTCATCAATATGTGGCAATAGTGAGCTGCAATGTTATTCCCATCCTAGCAGCCAACATGTCGACGATCTCGATTGTGTTCCTCAAGGCAGCGAGAGGCACGATGATGCACAATCTGGCTTGGCAACCCAACAAGCCATCCAGTCCACCGGATCAGAGGCCGTCAAGTCATGTGCAATCCGCTTCCTGTGTGACGATGCAGACTGCATACGCCTACGACAAGGGTCGGCAGTTGGCCCTACGGGGCTCCGCTCAAGGTACAAGTGGGTGACAGGTAACTACAACCACTAGACGCTTGCCCGCGGCATCTCGCTGGGTCCTCTTTCCGGAGGCACGAACCAGGAGATTTCAAACGGTATTCCGCCACCGCCCATGTTGGTTGTTGTGTCTTGGGACTTTTGGCTCTAACAACTATAAAGGCGCAGAGCCTTGAAGGGTGGCCGCAAAACAGGCCAACCTCGAGCTTTGTGTGACTCAGAAACCTCACGCTTGTTTGTTTGTTTGATTGTTTGACTGTCTCCTTGGAGTGTTAAGCTCGGTTGGATCGTGAAATTACATTTCGAGTAGACAGTTTACCCACTTCCCGAGATTCGCCCTGCTATATAACCCTCGAATCGCAACACCAAAGAAACACGGCCTTAGTTCGCCTTCACAGGTAGTCACTCCTTCGAACTAAGTGAGCTTGACCTTGTACTGAGCCAGTCAGAGTCCCTGCCGAATTTCTAATAGCGTCACCACACTCTCGCCTGTACACCCTACCGAAACTTTAGTTTGGGTTGCATACATAGAAAGGTAACGTTCTAATTCCTTCGCATGACCCCCCTCTTCCTTCGGGGTTTGCAAGTCACATCATGTTGGTGTTGTGCTGATGCATCGATGCCTTCCTTTAGGCTTCCCCGAGCAGCCTCATATCAGTATAGGGCCCCCAAACCTCGAGGGCTGCTGTACACATCGCCATAAGAGAGTAAGCCGTGTGATCCACTCCTGCCGAGCAATGAGCATCACAGTAACATGATATGGCCTATCATATGATGCTGACCGTACATGAAGGTTGTTGCTGAAGATTGCACAGATCGATTGAGCTAGGACTTTGAGGCTGCTGCATCGGTCCCGAACCTCGCGCTGAAGATATAAGACTCAAATAGACGTCACAAAGCCAGCGGCTATTGAAAGACAACACTTCATTGTTGTGTCAAGGCTACTTCTGATCTTGTAAGTCGTTTGACGGAAACAAACCGACTTGGTGGTCAGATGCTGACAGCCAGAAATTGTTTTAGTGCATCCGAAGTCAAGTGCTCTCTAAAGCTTAACATGGCGGCTCGACTGTCAGCACCTTTTCGGCTCCATGCTCGCAGACAATGCGCCGTGGCAGCCAGAACTATCAACGCTGGAAACAGATGCTCTTCTAGACGATCCATCCAAACCACTACCAATTCTGAGCCTGTGTCCAGATTAGATTTGGACCGGCATGCCCCAAACTCACGGGTTCGCAGACTATCGACCAGCTCCAGATGGCTTGCTCAAGAAACAGCAATGCCGAGCGTATCGATGGCCGAGCCCATCGTACCCAACTATCCCCAAGAGGCGCTTGGCCGGGACGAATTCTGGCGTCAAATCCCAATGTGGAAGGATGTCTCGACACAGCAATTCCTCTCTTGGGATTGGAGTGTAAGCCCACTTTGCACACAACCGTGAACCCACATGCTGATGGAATACTCAGAGGAAAAATGTCATCGAATTTCACAAAAGAACAAACCCGGATTCGTTCAGAACACTACTCGCAGGATTACTCCCTGACTCCGTACCGCTGGACAGGAAGACCGGGATGATCCAGAGCCGCGATGAGTTTATCGAGGATGTGTTTGCCGGGCTGACCACTTCTACAATGTCTTTGCGTATAATGTAGGTGCCCAACCCTTGCTTGTCGTTGATTATATCGCGCGCACCAGAGAGCAATGATAATTGACATCCAGCTAGGCCTTATGTCTTCAGCAGGATCAACTGGAAAGATCCTCGACACGACCCAATCTTCCGCCAATTCATACCTCTTGGCTCCCAGATGCTTCCAGATCATCCAGAAGTCAAACTAGATTCGCTTCACGAGGAATCGGACTCCCCGGTCAATGGCTTAGTGCATCGTTACCCGGACAAGGTCCTCTTCTTGGGTAAGTCCAAAGCCAACTAGGTGGTGGCTCTGCCGGCGCTGGATCAACTTACTAACGAGCCCTGCAGCAACCTCGGTTTGCCCAACTTACTGCTCGTTTTGCACTCGATCCTATGCAGTCGGGGCTGACACGGAGGAGCTCGAGAAAAAGGGACTCCTGAAGATGACCCGAAAGCGCTGGGACGAGTGTCTTGCCTACATCGCCAGCACCCCTGAGGTCCAAGACGTTGTCATCTCGGGCGGCGACTCCTACTATCTCGCCGCCAACCACATCGTGGAGATTGGCTACCGCCTGCTGGCGATGCCAAACGTCAAGAAGATCCGGTTTGCGTCCAAAGGGCTCGCTGTTTCTCCGACGCGAATACTCGACCCCAACGACGAGTGGACCACTGCCATCATTGCCGTAAGCCGACAGGCAGAAAGGGTTGGCAAGAGAATGGCCCTACATACCCACTTCAATCATCCAAATGAGATCTCATGGGTTACGGAGATGGCCAGCCGCAGACTGCGGGACGCGGGCGTGACGGTCAGGAACCAGAGCGTCCTACTCCGCGGCGTCAACGACAATGTCGAGACCATGTCCAAGCTCGTCCGGACATTGTCTGATACTCTGCGAATTGCTCCGGTATGTTGAGAAGTATCACCCGACCTACACTGCCTGAAGAACGAGACTAACACGTGTGCAGTACTATGTCTACCAGTGTGACATGGTGCCCAAGGCAGAACACTTCCGGACGCCACTACAGACGATACTCGATATCGAAGAGCAAATGAGGGGGTCAATTGCCGGGTTCGACATGCCGACCTTTGTTGTCGATCTCCCAGAAGGCGGCGGCAAGCGCCTTGCCCAAAGCCGGAAGTCATATGATCGTGCCACCGGTGTGTCAACATTCACCGCGCCGGCTGTCAAGGGCGATACGAAGGAAAATAAAGTGTACCGTTACTTTGATCCACTGAACTCTCTGATCAAGTAAGAGTGGCTTCCCGGAACGCTCATCTAGATAAGGAAGGCTTGGGTTACCATCTTACAGCACGTCACTCGTCACTATGAAAACCTAGATGCCTCGAATTGGTATGCTGGATCGAACCTGGTTATACAATGGGGTCAAAGGATTCGCGTATATGTTTCTTTGCTCCCCATAAAGTAGCGTAGAATGAAGTATGTCAGGGCGGGAGTGGGAGGACGGTAGTAGAGTGGACAGATCATACGCACACAGCGCCTTTGGCCCGTGTGCGAACTTTCATTTCAGGTACATTGCTTCAGATACATAGTTGACTCGAATTGGCATCGGGACATGCCAGGAGATGAATTGAAAAATGTGGACCAAGAAGCTTCCATGCATCGATCTTCTATGAGATCACCGTGGGCCCGGCGGCCTGTGGCTGCCACGAGAAGGAGATTGCGGCCTTTAGAGTTGCAGCTATGTTTCTGCAGTAACCTAAGTTACCAGTGCCATGTGTGACTTTCAGGTAAGACTCGTGGCACGTGTGGGGACCAAATCAAGATGCTACATTTCATGGATGATCTAGAAAAACCTTAAGCTCGTCCCTGGCTTTGCCTGGAACCCGAACATCTGGTCAACTGGTCGGTCGGTCGTGTTCCAAGCCGTGCGGATACGCAAATCATGGCGCATGGTGGAAATGAAGACCTGTCACCCCTGCCACCATGGGAAGAGCTCCTAAGATTAGCCACGCGCCAAAACAACGACAACTCGGAATCCGGGACAACTTGTCTTTACTTCAGGACAACCCAGGTTTGGACTATTGGCCCAAGTCAGCATCGTCATCGAAGCATTAGGGGGTGTTCGAGGCAGAGCATGCATGACATTGCATGCAGGGCCGGACAACTTGGGCGAACAAGCCGAACCCGGAAATGAACCGCTACTTATGTGCATGCTTGAGCACAGCATTAAAGCGACAACTATAAGTATAAATACGAATTGATCATACCCAACGGGCCTCAGTTGATGATGTACGGACATAACACAGACGGGAACGCGCAGAAGGGGCCCCCTCCCAAAAGACGTCGGGATGTCGTGCATTGATCGGCACGCTATTTCGATAGCAATGACAGATTCTACGGCGATATCGGTTGTCGTTCCCATGCTAGTATCTGGGAACGTAGGCACGTCGCGTGATTTGAAAGGAAAGATGATCTTCACAGGTCCCTCGGTGTTTGACTTCCATCGTGTGCGACCGTCCACTGCCCAGGCTCCACTAGAGACTTACCGCAACTGGCATCGACGATGATCACTGCCGCATGTAGAGCCTCCAAATCCCTTGCCCCTGGCCTTAGCCCACGCAAAAGGGGAATCGGCAGCTCCAGTGGACTGGGGTGGCCTGGGGGCAATGAGCTTTGAGCGTCCTGTGCGAACTCCCTTTCAGGCTATCGAGCCCAACAACCGCCCGTTGACATATGCTAGCCGGTGGGCCGCTGGCAGTCCCTGGAGGCCGTGCCCGGTGGCCATTGGCTCGTTGCTGGCACGTTCCGGGCACGCTCCATCACTATCAGGCCATGCACCCGCACCTGGACGAGGTTCAACGGTGACTGGGAGAGTTCCTCTCTGTACGGACCAATGCGGTGACCCGACCGCTGGAACCTTGTCACAGTGGTCCCCTGGGAGCAGCTGGTAGGCTCCAGATCCCAGCAATAGTTGACATTTGCCCCAGAAAGGTTGACGGTGCCAGGCCCGAATGAGAGAGACCCCGGGCGCTTCGATGAACCCTGTATTTACTCGAGCATGGGCAGACTCGAATAATTATTCGGGGACCTTGAAAGAAAGACACAGGCCGCGCCGTGTCATTCCTCTCTCTCTCTCTCGAAATCTCACGAATTTACAGCGTTCTCTGATCACCATGTTCTCGACCATCGAAAGCCATTGAAAGCCTGTGTGGACGACGGCTGCCTTGATACTCAGGGTCCAAGTGCGAGCTTGTACCAAGACTCGACGACCCCTTGCATATCCGCCAAAGGAAAACCTGGGAACTGTTTTATCCAAATGGCTCGGTCCGCCGCCAATCCTGATCCGTCGCTCAAGGCGCGTTCCAAATGTATCAATAACAGCTCGACAGCGGTATATCATGACAGCCTACGAGATCAGAACCGGAAGCATGGACTAGACTACGACGCACGAGACCAGGAGCTGCGCGACACGTCGGCGCCAAAGAGCACACGACGCTGGATGCCGAGGCCGAAGACGAGCGGAGCTACGGCTCAGGGGACGAGGAGGACCGACATAACGAACAGAGATATAATGAATCCGCAATTCTCCCGCCAGGAACTGGAGGAATTCGAAACCTTACCAATTGCAATACGGCGCAAGGTTAGTGTGAAAACTCTCTTCTCATTTATCTGTCCTGGCAGCGATTCTCCTCGTCCCCCCCCCCCCCCCCCCCCCCCCCCCCCTGTTTTTTCACCATGATACTCGCAAGTGGTAGCAATGCAGCACGTATTGATATGTTGTACGACGCTCCGCTTGCTATGACTGGACTTCGGGTCTGCAGCAGTACTATATGACGCATGGAACGTGCAGTGCACAAGCGGATTATAGAAAAACCTACAAAAGCAATGGTTGTTCTCTTCGGCTCCACAGCGGCACTGGCTGGCGTCAGGCGGACCGTTTTTCTGGGTAGCTTGGGCATGCCTCGGGACGCGCTAAGCTGCTACTTGGAAACCATTGACAGACAGCTTGGGAATGATATGCGTTGCTCATTTCAATACCGGGTGGGCTGCTAGTGGCGGCGATGGCATGCAAGAAGGGTGAGGGTCCTCGCCGCTCGCCCGGGGAGCGCAGTGCTGCCTTCCCTGACCGGCCACCTGTCGCATTCTGCCTCTATGCAATGTGTATAGAAACAGAACTGCATGTATGCAGTCCGAAAAGAGCGCAGCAGCCGCCGTGTTTCCACCAGCTTGACGTTGTCAACTAAAACGTGGTAGCGCCCATGGTAGGCACCATGGTAGCTTGGCCGACCTGCATACTCACCCCTTAGTGTGATGCGGGCAGTCTACGCTATGGGCATCGAATATGCAGGTGGGCCCACGCCGTCTGCTCCTCCCTGTCTCATCCGTTCTTCAGTAGCCAAAGCGCTCGGTATTCTGGTGTCCGGGTCTCTTTGTTACATCCCTGGCTTTCAACTCTTGGAACACTTTTCCTATCTCATTCATGGTGGCTTGTGCTAAAACTCTCTCCCTTTCCCTAGTATTTCTCCACGTTGGAGCGGTTACGTATCGCCCAAACTTCAGGTGCTTTAGATGATAGCTCCAGTCCTGCCTACTTGAGCTCGTCCCCGAGAAGCTTCTCTTTCTCGAATGACAAGGCGTCAGAGAGGCATGTTGCTCAGGAACCGGGGAGCTTTGCGCCTCGAAGACTGAATAACCCCCCGCAACCCTCGCCCGTCTATCAGTCGCGCTTTGGTTCTACGGACTGTCTCGCCTCAAGTCGACTGCCGCCAAAGCCTGACCAGGTTCAACTGACGAGGGAAGCGCAAGTGGTTCTGGCCCGGAAACTCAGAGAGAGCGTGATTTTGGATGCAGCAGACGAAGCTATATACAAGATTGGGCGCCGTTCAAGCAGGCACTTGAGCCCTACAGACTATAGCGCTGTCATTGCGTCAACTCGACCCAGTATGGAGAGCCAGAGAGGCGGCGAGAAGCCGATGGCCAGGGCCAGGAAGACGGAGAATGTCGACGAAGCTTTCCTGGAGACCTTCAAATGGATGGATGAAGAGGAAGATCTAGACCTCCGTCTTCACCTCGACGACTACCACGCCAATCTGCGAGATACCGTGCCGGTCCAAACCAAAGATCACCGTCCATCCTTTCGTCGCCATCTTTCAATAAACAAGATACCCTTTGGGCGCGCTTCAGTTTCATCGAGTCGACCTACAGTCAGCAGTACGACATCCACCCCAACTTCCCCAACGTCAACCCTGGTGACGAATACACCGCACGCCAGACGGAAATCCCGAGCGCTTTCCCTGATACAGCCGCGGCACATACCCCAGGAGTCTACGGGCTCGGCAGCATCTTTCGATCCTGCAGCGGCACATTACCAGGATCCCGAAGCCCGGCTGAAACTCCGTGTCTATCTTGCTTCGCCTCAGAAATTTGACGAAGCCGTCCAATTCGGCTTTCCCTCAAACGATGTTCTCTCGGCCCGGCCGGCTCAAACGTCTGAGAACTTGAAGAGGAACAACTCCCGCCGCGTACTTTCGGAAGACACGTCTCAATGCAGAACTTTTTTTTCAGACGACCAATCGTCAACCTATAGCGAGGACATCTCGCTACCTGATCCAGAATCGCCGAGGACTCCGCACAGTCCTGAGAAGCAAACCGCCAAACCCCAGCAGCTGGCACCTGAAATCGACACCAATTACTCGAGAAAAATCTCAGAAAGCTACGCTCAAGCTCCCGCGGCGTCGAGAGAGATGACGCTACGAATGACGCTTACCCGGCCTGACCTGCGTGCCTGCGAAGACCAAATCTATGGATGGCAGAGTGAGACAACTACACAGGCAGGCGGATCGTCCCTCGCCCGTGAGGAATTGCCGCCGCGGGTAAACAATGCAGATAGCAGACCAAAGGAGAGCTTTGAGCGATTTTTCGCCAGCCTCGATGAGGAGGAGTCGCCAGCTACGAACGGAGGCGTTGTGAAGCGCATGTGGAATAAAATGCGGCGGTCTTAGAGTGCACACCAGGAAGAGGGATATACATTACACAACCACCGGCGCGCTCACGCAATTGCCGGACGACACGGCCGATTACTTGACGACACAAAATTCATGTTCATTGTCTACATCTACCATATCCAACCGGCACTGTATTGCCTACAGCGACATTTTTTCCCTTCTCCCACTACAGTACAGCACGCACGACGAGCTTCCGCATCCGGTTGCGGAGAGTTCATCAGAAATTAGCGGCATAATCGTGGGGTTTTCATTCATTGCGCGGAGTTGGCGCTGAGGTGCAAAGGGGAAGGCAGAACCCCCCGAAAATGCGCCATGATTCTTCTTCTTTCATGGCCAAATCTGCTTAAGCATTTGTGTACGAAGTGGGTGGGACGAGGGTCCCAGAATTACGAGTAATACAACCACTGTATTCTGTCAAAGCTGAAACTACCGCAATGCATGTGCTACTAGCCCACGGCTATGCTGAGGGAGGCGTGTTTGCTTTCCCAAACGGCCTTCCAGCCTATCGATTCTCGGTAGATTGTGAGAAGCCAGCCAAGGGCGAAGATCTTGTGATTATTCAGGAGGCTATAAGTGCGTGCCCATATAAGTGCGCTATGACACGACTAACCCCCCTCCTCGATAAGTCCCAATGGTGTTACCTACCTAGCCTGCCAGACACCAAGCTTTACCGGGAGGAACACTGACCACAATACTACCGTGACCGGCGCTCCGATCTGGATCACATCTGAAGCCACGATTGCGAATAGTACTGTACCAGCCAAGCGTGAAGGATGGGAAGCCCCGGTTTTTCTTTCCGTCCTCGCGTGACGAGCTGGGATGCCATTCCCACGTGCACGGGGGCCCTGCGCATAAGCTTAACGTTCAGACCTTTTTGCTTCCTTTCTTTTTCAGCCGCCTCTAGGTGCAAGCTAGAGAAACTGGAGTGCGGAGCAAGGCTCTTCCTTGCGCGTAGCCGGACGCTTGGGAACCACATGTCGGGCTCCGCTTCTTGCAGTGATGGTTGAGTTGAAACACCGAACTAGTCAGTCGTTTCTACTATGAGGAAAGTCCCTGTCTACAGAAATGCCAACTGCATATACCCCAACCAATGGACCCCCATACTGTCTTAGATGCTGGCTGCTGGCTGCTATATCCATATCATCCTATCTTTTATGCCCTCTCCCCCCACAAAGGGTCGTCCGATGTAAGACCGACCGACCGAACTCACGACGGGGGCTCAAGAGTCGGGGTATGATTTCTGTCAAAAGTGACAAGACTCAGCTCCGTTCCTGCAGATAGGTACACCACACGTTGGCGTGCCGAGCTAGCTGGCCGCGTTGCATTGCATACATAGTTGGGTATTACGCGAGCAGGACCCCCCCTTTCGAGAAGAACGCTGCCCGCAGACCACATGGCTGGCTTGGCTGGCCGACATCAATCTGGTTTGCCCTATCACTCGTCCCCCAGCCCGGGCCACTCATCAACACGCACATCCAATAGAATACATATAACCGACGGCACATATGGACTATGAGGCCAATCTTCTCAAGAACAGACTCAGCCAACAAACAGGGTCCCGTTTCTCTCTCTCTCACACACACACACATACACACACATACTCTCCCTGACTTGGGCATCCCGTTCGCTTACCGGATAGATAAGCACCAGGACCCAGATTGACGTGACAGCGCCACCCAACGTAACTTAGGTATGTATAGCCGCTGATCCAAACACACGCGACTGTAACAACATGCACTGCACTTACTCCGTACTATATGGGCCCTGGCGCCGTCCCCTGGCCCTGCAGGCACCTCGCTTGACCAGTATACCCCAGCGCTGGCTGATCCTGTTGGTCGGCTTACGCCCGTTGGGGCGTTGCTTGGCATCGACCGGCTGTGGTGAGTATCCATCGGGGGAGGGAGGGACCCCTCAACCACAAAAGGCGCCTCTGTGGGCGAGACGAAGCAGCATCGCGGAGCAAAGAGGCGGAACTCGTCGCAGCTTTCCATGCCGTAGCGTGCATGCTGCGCTGCTCGCCCGCTAATGCCGTCGCCGCACTTGTGCATGTTTCAGGACAGAGAGGGGAGCCCGGCAGCGCGGCGGCGGGGTCCCCTCCCTTCTGTTCAATACATAGGCCGGCGCCCGGGTTTTGGGTCCCGCACGGCCACGAGGACGAAGAAAAAGGAACGAGTCTTGCAGAAGTGGCGTGCGTGCGTGTGAGCCCACCCAGGTTCCAATGCATTGGAGACTTGCATTCCCAGGTTCTCTGCATCCGTGATGCGTGGCTGTATATAGACACGCAGATAGCTGCATGTTGGCGATTATCGTCTGATGCGGCGGACAACACACCAAAGCCTATGCCTGCCTACCTGCTGGGCAGCCCGGACGCCTGGGACTTCCGGCCTAAGCTTGAGGTGGTAGTGACACATGTCATGACATGTCATATCATGTCGCCGACGGGCGCAGCAAGCAGTGCTGCTAAATCCAGCGTGTGTTTTTAGAACGCACTGGGGTTTTGAGTGGACTGTGCCGTGATAACCTTTGCCCCCGATGCCAGGTTAACTCCTCCCTGATAGCGGTGTCGGTGAGGATGCCCAGTCAGATGCTTGATAATCCTTCTCGGACCCGAAGGTGGTGTTTTGCTCACGCTCGACTGTGCAGTTGAATATTTTGCCTGTACATTTAGTTGGCGTATGTTAGACAAGGTATACAAAAAGCGTATGTACACAGGCGGACTTCAAGCTCACCCGAAGCCTAGCAAGGAATACGCAATTGACAACATGCACGTGGCTCAACGATGTGCATGCAACCTCGGCAATTATCCCCCTGTAGGCCCTATGCTTATTCTCCTTTTCAGCCAAAGCACTCAAATGCCTTCTGTTAGATGCCATCTCTTCATCGTCACCATTGTTCAAGTCGAACGTGCTTGTTGATGTGAACAAGTAGATTGATACATATGATCCTGGCGCCGCAAGATCTAGTTTGCACCAACAAGGATAACACCGTCCAGGGACCCTTTTCTCTTCAAGCCTATAATGAATCACAAATGCCTACATCCTACACCGCTAATCTAACGTGCATACTCATCGGGAATAATGAGGATGGTCTATACAAGAGAAACCCGTTGTCCTCCGCTGAAGTGACCCTTCTTATACCTCTTCGTCGCTGTCCTCTCCCAGCAGCTCCCCTTCGTCCTCGTCCACAATAGCGTAGTCGGCTCTCCCACGCGCAAAGCTGTCCCGTGTCGTAAACCTCCTGGGCCCGCTGCCGCCCAACCAGCTGTACTCGGCGCCGCCCCTGCCAGTGAACCTCTCGAACAACGAGGAGCCGGCTCGCCAGATGCTCGAGGCGACGAGAGGGAGCGTAGCAACTACAGCCACGACGGCCGAGACGGCCACTACAGGGTACTTGACCAGCGGCGAGTCGCTGTCGAACGTGCTCCCCTGGTCGCCGAGCCGGATTTGGCCGAACTTGCCAGTCCAGTTGCGCCAGACCCACCAGCCTATCGCACCCGCGATGCCGATGGGGATGATGATGGCAAAGAAGATGGCAACACCAGAGACGCCGTGAGCCCTCTCGAATTCTTCCTCTTTACCAGGACACGGGTGAACAGTCAGCATCTTGTCCATTTCCTTGTCACCTCCAGAACAGGTGGTGAGCGGAATACGGCGGTAGCCAGATGGCTCGTAAAACTCAATGGCATCAGGGTTCTCTTTGCAGTACTGCTCTAGAGATACAGGCTGGTAACCTTCCACCAGCTTGCATTGACCATGCTCGTCCATTTCGTAGTTAAAGTCGCTGGAGGAAGAAAATCAGTATGCACTCTTCAAATTGGATTATGACTTGAGGCTTACCATTCGTAGTCCTGGCGTGTACAAGTGCAGTTATCGAAGCCCCAGAGGTGCTGCAATTTCTGCGCATTAAAGCACTTTCTATCCGTCTTCTTGCGTAGGTACTGAGCCTGGTGACCGAAGAGGCACCCATCTGGTTGCTTCGGATGACGTGGGGTCCACAGGTTATAGTCCGACTTGGACAAGTCGTCCTTGTCGAATTTGCATTCCTGGTTAGTCAGGCCAGTGAAGTCGATATTGATAGTGAACAGCTTGTCGCCCTCATGGCCCCAAAGCAGGAAATTGCGTGAAGCACCGGAGCGGAGGGTCGTAATGTCGGTGATCACAACATCCGAGTCCGAAAAGGTGTAGTCCTGCCAGCTTTCACCTTCATCCACCGTGTACTTGATGGACTTGGTCTTGCTTTCCCGCTGAGCCAGTATAATGATGGAGCCTTGATCGCCGAAAGACCAGGTCCACTTGCCCTTCTGTGCCAACTTCCAGCTGAGTCCGGCGTCGGTGGTCATGAAGGTGTCGGCGTCTTTGATATCTCCTAGGATTGCGCCAACGTTGCCCCAGCCGAACATGATGCCGACCGCACTCTCCGAGGAGTATGTCTTCCCGCGATCCACGCGCTCAGTGTATCCGTGGATATGCAGAGCACAATTTTCATCGCCTTGGGTGCTGTAGCAACCGAAGTCGTTCTTGCCGTCCTTCTTTGGAGTTGGCAAAAAGGCCCACTCAGCACCGTCATTGTGTGTGATTCGAGTCTGCAATTTCTTGGGTTCAGAATCACTGTTCGGGTTCTCAACACTGTTGACAACGGCAACCCCCTGAATGCCCAGCATTCTCTCAAAGTCCACATAACCCTGCTTATCAACATTCACGTTGGGAACGCTAAGCACATAAGATGTGCCGTTAGAGTTGCTCTTCAGGATGGATCCGTAGCCGCGCATGTTGTCGACCTCGACAAATAGATTGACAGCATGCGTTGAGCTGTCGAGAACTGTATACAGTGTCTCTTTGCCAACTTCAAACTTGTGGGGCCAGTGTGCAGCCGCATACTTCTGACCATCAACACTGGCCCATGCGTGAAGGGTCTGTGCCGTTTGGTTTTCCGTTGCAACCACGATGAACTCTGCCATTGTTGCGAAGTCTTTGACGTTTGTGTGGACGAGCTTCATGTTGCCCTTGTCTTCGATAAAATCGTCCGTGTAAACCAGCTCGTATGGGTTGTCTTGTTTGTCATCTTCCCGCGCCTTTCTGAGACAAGTGACCTGCTTCTCAGGTCTCCCATAACCTTTGTAGGCTTGCGAGCCAGTGAACTCACACCGAGCAACAAAACGAGCCAATGTCTCCCAGTTGTCTCCACGGTCTCTGGAAACTGAAGCTACGTCGTAACAAGCGCCACCATCAGAGCACCGTTTGCCGTGCCAGATCAACCAATCTTTTCTGTCGGGATGGAAGGACCAAGGCGAACCCAGGCGCTCGAGGTTCGGAGGGTCTGGTGCAGTGAACGAGAAAAAGTTCTGGCCTCTGTCAATACTGTAGATAATTTTGCCCTTTTTGGTGATAAAGAACACCCTGTCCTTGGAGTATTGGTGAGAGTTCATGTAAAGGATATCCGCATCCGCGAGTGTCTTGGGAGTATCCCAACTTTTGCCGTGGTCTTGTGAGACCATGATATCTCCTTGCCGGTAGGGCGAGAGTGTATACGGTCGCATGATGATAGTTTCGTCATCACCAAGATTGGTATCACCTCGCTCCAGGTAGTGCTTCTCGAAAAGGCTGAAGTCACCCTTGATTGGGTTTTGCTTGTGGGAAATCTTGCCGCTGGCTTCCCCTCCGCCGGGTGCGCTTGCCGCATCCTTACATTTCCATTCTTTCAAGGCGTCCTTCTGCTCGCTGTCCTTGCCGGTTCGCTTGCAGTCATCGCCAGGGATAAGTCGCCAGCCACTGGACCCCATGAAAGTCTCCTCGGGATCGCCCTTCTTGCAAGCACCCTCGGGCGGGATTACTGGTCCCACCTTCTCGCATTTGCCGTCCTTCTTGACGAAGTTGAAATCGCACTCAAAGTCATCGGCAGAACAGTCGCAAGGCACGGAGATCGGAACAGGGTCCTTGAAGACTTGGTTGACAAAACATTTGGCCTCCTTCTTGCGACGGTGGTATGTTTGAGTGTGTCCCATGAGGCAGCTTGCCTTATTCTTGTCGTCGACGCGCGCAATCCAATCCTCCATATCGCTTTCCTTGCAAGTGGCCTCATGAAGACCGTCGAAGTCGATCGAGATCACGTGATATTTCGACTTCGATTCTGCAGTGAGGATAAATTTCAGGCTGGTCGAGTCTTGGGTGGTGGTCAGAACCCAAGGGCGGACCTTGAGGCTGTCTGGCAGCTCCAAAGGGTCCCACGACTTCCCGTGGTTCAACGAGTACTTCAATTCCGTGACCTCAGGAGACTTCACATCCCTGACCGCCAGCAAAATGGAACCTTGGTCACCAAACTCGAATTTATGGGGGCCGTCCGGACCTTTGGCCCAAGTCCGGCCAGCATCGTCGGACACGTAGAGGTTAGCGTCGTCATATGCCTCCAAGTAATCACCAGTGTTGCCGTTGCCCATGACAAGACCCGGGGCAGGACTCGAAAACACCCGCCCAACGTTATTGAGCTCGGTGACGGAGTGGAGGTGGATCGTCTTATCGTCCGAGTGCACCTTTTCAAAGGTTCTACCGTCGTCAAAAGTAATCTTCGTCTTGAGCTTTTTCTTGGCCTTGGAGTCCTGTTGGACGTCCTCCCAGTTATCAACTTGGTTTATCAGAAAAATTCCTTGCACACCTGTGATCTTCTCGAAATCAACGTGGCCCATCATGTTCCGATTCGTGTGCTCGACGTTCTTGGTAAAGTAAGTACCGTTGGAGTTGCTAGTAAGCATGACACCCATGGGGTTGGAAGGGCGTGCGTTCATGACATCGATCTGGATGCTGTAGTTGGTGCCCTCCAAGACAGTGTAGGCCGCCTCGTTGATGCGGTGGTCGCTGGGGAAGACGGCCCGGTGCCATTTCAGGGTGTCGTCCGTGACGTACAATGCCATCTCGTCCGTGTTCTTCGAGGCCGTAGCGATCAACATGTACTTCTTCACCACGGCCAGGTTGACAACTCCTTGGACAGGTCCAATGCCGTTGAGGTTTGGCTCAAACTCTTGCACGACGCCATCCGCACCCTTTGCGCTGAAAAAGTTGTCCGAGATCAACAGCCGGTTGTCCTCCTTCAGGGGGGAGAAGTTGCCTTTGACAATGCACAGAACCCTGTTGTTGTCGAGCTCGTCGTCGCCAGTAGCAAACAGTGGTGATGACTTGGCCCACCAACAGCTGTCGGTCATGCCCCGGAGGAACTCGGCTTCCGACTCGAAGCCGTCCTTTGTGTACATGACGACCTCGTCGCAGAAGATGCTCTCACAGTCAATGCCGTAGAACAGGATGTGGTCGGGGTTCGTGGCATGGAAGACCATCCAGTCGTTGCGGAAAATGTTCAGCTCGGCATCGGTGAAGAAGGTCTCCCACGTCTCGCCGCGGTTGTGTGTCCTCCAATGGTGCATGCCCTTGGTCAGGACGTAGGCCCGGTTCTGGTCGTACTCGTGCATGACCAAGGCAGCCGCCTTGCCGTCGGGGATCTGGTCCACCTTCTTCCATGTCGCTCCGGCGTCGGCGGATCGGTATATGGTGCCGGCACTCTGGTCCTGGAAGAGGACGATGTCGGAGTCGGGGAAGTAGTTGAGGTTCACGGGAAACCGGTCGAAGTCGGTGACGGTGATGGTGGGCTTGTCCTTCTTGGCCTCGACGGTGGTGGCCATCAAGACCTGCCAAAGCAGGACGGCCACGAGCAACGTGGTCCGCCATGAGAAGGCTCGCGGCCCTGGCAGGGCATCTCTGGCCGGCCTCATGGTTCCGTGGTGGAGTGTTGAGCCCGACGGATCATGTCAAGGTCGAGCTATCGGAGCTTGCTGGATTCGCGCAGCTGACGACGCAAGTCAATACTACCCTGAACAAATTGCCGGGTGGGCGAGCAGAGGGGAAAAGCAAGCAGCGAGCGGTGATGGGAAAGTGCCTGATACAATGGAAGGAAAAGGGATGGTGTTTGATGAGGGATGTTTCAACAGAGAGCTGTGGTCGTTGCGCAGTGCCACGGGAAAGCAACGCAGTTCCTACTAGGCTGCTACGCACGCACTTATCGGGGACGTGTTGGAAGCGCAACAAGTGTCATGAAGGCGAGTCTCAGCTTTGCGGCCCCCCAGTCAACCAGTGCCCCCAGAGGCATACGTAAGAGCGGGTAAGACTGCTAGTGGCATCTGCTTCAGGTTGCACCCAGGAGCCATTCATAGCTCCCGACGCAGCTTCATGCAGCCAAGCGTCCAATCACTTCATGCGTAGCGTCCTTCTTTAGCACCGTGAGCCCGCCGGGAGTGACGGCCTTGACGGGGGCTCCTTTGCCACCCATAGGCTCATAGCACCACTCTGCCGCAGCCCTGCTGGGTTCAGGCCTGCTGGGGGCCAAAGGGGCAGGGTGCCGTCGTTACCGGGTCACAGAGGAAGCCTTCAAAGCCCACGTTACTTGATTTATCACACGCACGAATATCAAGGACGACTTCCTCTGAGCCAATAGACGGCAGGGCACCACCGATTGGCGATGAGGCCTGGGACAAGGTATGTCGTACTTTGAATGGACTACGCAAAGCCAACCTGAGCCCGTAACAGGCTTCGGAGAATAAGTGAGTACGTGCATGTGGTGTAACCTAATCTATGAACAACCCACTGCCATATCTTGCACACACCTTGTTCAACATGCACCTAGCAATCACTACTATCGATTTGAACAAGTTACTGTAAGTTTAAGGATCTGTCATACTGCCATAGGCGTATCCGAGGCTTGCTCAAATTAAAGAGTGTCATCAACAGCGGCTTCTCCAGTCGAATCAAGGCTATACATCAGATAATGATCATGGTTTCGTGTGCTGTCGTGACTGTCTTTAAGTCTTGCTATTCAGGAACATCACCCCGTGTAAATGAGCCAAAGCCTCACAAATCATAGGCATCCACCGCATACGGCTTCGAGACGACACCAATCCATCTCACCGCTATCCGAACCACGGGCCTCCATCCCTCGCATCCCCCAGGACCTGAGCCTGCAGGATGCCAATGTCCCTGACGGCCTCGTGGACACCGAGCCACATACAAAGGTTCGTGCCGGCGTCCAGCGCTCTGCGGAGGGTCTCATCGCCGTTCAGCATCCACTCGTCGCCGTCGCCCAGGGCCACGGTCTCGGCCCAGCCGAGCAGGCGCGCCATGCTGTCGACGGCCAGGCGCTCGACGTTGAGCACGACGAGCCGGTCGCGCTGCGAGCCCGCCCACAGCATGTTGCAGATGCCGCTGATGTTCTTGAGGAGCGAGTTGCTCACGGCGGGGATGAGGCACGGCTGGCCCGGGGGTGTGTGCTCTTGCTGGCGCTCCTGGTGAGACGACACCGGCGCCGGCTGGCTGGCGGGGGAGGTCGGGAACTCGTGTTGGTGGTTGAACACGTCGCTCTTGTTCTCATCCCCATCGTCCTCTTCTTTCTTGCTCACAGCCTCTGGATACTCGGCTGATATGCTGGCACGCGCCTGACGGTTGGCGTGGTGCGACGAGATGTACCACTTGGTGGCCTCAAGGCAAATGTCTTGAATTCTGCCGATGGCCGTACTAAGACGGTGGATCTGCTCAGAGTTGCTGCTGTGAATGCTGATTGTCCGACTGATGATACTATCCGGCATAGACGGGGTGTTGGACTCCCGCTTGCCTGTGCCCCGGTCACGGTGGATATCCTGCTCAGGAAGGTGGTCCTCCTCTTGGAGGTGATGATGCCCATAAGGAAACGCACTGGCTGAAGAAGTTCGTGCGAGCCCTTCGGCTCCGGGGGTGGTTGTAGGATAGAACGGAAGACTGAAGCCCTCAGCTTCGATGGGCGAAGCCATGGGTCTAAGAGGTCGACCAGGGGCTACCTGTGGTACTGATGTTCCACCGCTTGAGTGCCACGACGCCCAATGACGATCGTGACCGCCCGCCAGATGATCCTGCATATGAAGATGGCCTCTGTCACTCCCGTTCAGTGATGTGTTTTGCGTGAACAAGCCGGAGGTCAAACTACATGGCTTGTGGTAGATGAACCCACTCGGTGATGCGGAAGACGACATGGCTGCTCAGTGCCTGATCGTAGCGCGCAAATGCTCAGCTACGGACTAGCTGCAGAGGGATTTTAATAAATTATTATAGGGACAGAAGGGCGAACATTGGTTTCAATATATTTAAGGAGAGCCACGAAGTACTGGAAGCGACATGGCATCTCGGCAGTATAGGGCAGCAGGACACAAGGCGCTCAGGAAGATAGTCATGCTGACTGGACAAATATGTCTTGATTTGTTGTATGGAATCTACCTGCATAGCCTACACGTTCCAGATGACTACTCTTCCATCAACACCGCTGGCTAGAATGGTGGGTCAGTCGATGAAACACTCTAAAACCTCAGGACTAAGGACGAGACTTACTGCTGAACTGGGACACGGAGCTGCCATCGGACGAGTAGACGCGGAGGGTCGAGATGGTGTTCTGGTGGACTGTCTTGAGCTGGGTGTCGTCTTTGACCTTGCCCTTCAGGTCCATCTGCTTGAACATGTTCAAGGCAGACTCTTCTCGGGCATCTCCCAGGCCGGGCCTTCCCTTTGATTCCAAGGTACCGCTGAGTTCCCAGCCGGAGGCGCTTCCCTTGAACCTGAAAGCCTCACAATCGTAGCCAGCTGCGATGATCTCGCTCTCACCGTTCCAGATCAGGCTCATAAAGGGCAGGAGCTGGGTGTTGATGCTGATGACAGCCTTGGGAGGCTGTTCGGGTGCGGTCGGGTAGACCACGGTAATGCTGCTGTCGTGGGCAGCAAAGGCCAAGGCATCGCCGCTCGGGGAGAAGGCGACCGAGTGGACCCAGCCGGCCGAGTTGTTCAGGAACTCGCCGCAGACCGTGTTGAAAGGCAGACGCTCGCCCCACACGCTTGGCTCGGGGCGGGCATCGACGCCCTTGATGAAGCCGGAAAAGACTCGGGCATGTGCGTCGGTCGAACCAGCGGCCAGCAGGACGGAGTTGGGGTGCCAGGCGACGCTGGTGATGGTGCTCCGGATGGGCTTCTTCAAGTGCTTGGACACCCACCAGTCGTTCTCCTCCTCGAAGTAGCAGATGGCGATGACTCGGTCGCCGGAGCCGACGGCAAACTTGGTCTCAGAAGGCGACCATCGCACGCAGGTGGCGGCACGGGCTATACGCAGCAGGACGAGGGTGGGCTTGTAGCCAGTCGGAGAGGGTTCCCACACCAAGGCATTTCGGTCTGGGGGGACAGGTCAGGCATCTGGTCACGGGTCGTACGTGCTCGATGGACTCACCTTGGGAGCAGGTAACAATCCGGCCGCTGTTAGGGGCAATGTCAATGCCAGTGATGGTCTTGTCGTGTCCCTTGAGCTCGTCCTTCAGCTTGAAGGCGCCGCCGACCTTGCCGTAAAGCTCGAGGGCCGTGTCTTTGGCGACAGCCAGGATCTTGCGATCGGCGGAAAAGGAGTGGTCGGCAATGGGCCGGTGGAAGAGATGGTGGACTTCAGGAGAGGCCATTTTGGGCGTGTGATAGGAGTAGCTCTCTACTACCACTTGGAATGGGGTTGGAAGGGTGGAAAGGAGGCTGCAACTAATAGCCAGAGGGGAGAATAGAGTGAAGTCGCTACTGTCACGCAAGGCACGAGAGCAACAGCTAGTAATGAGGGCGGGTGCCAGGTGGTGGGGTTGGGTTCAGAAGGTGCTACGCTGGGCCCCCGGCGGGGCATGCCGTCACTGCCCCCTGGCCCCCTGCCCCCATGCCGATACAGGGTACCGTGCTGGAGTTGGTGGGCGCCAATGCCCATGCCCGCTCTCCAATTTTCCCTTCTGCTGTCGGCCGTTGTGATTGGCCACGGCGCTGGGCCAGGCTGAGGGTACCTAGTACGGGTAATATGTAACTACAGTACTGTGAAAATCGCCAGAGCTTCAATTGCGGCGCAACGACGAACGCGTAAAGCTGTGAATCCGGGTCGCACCACCCCGACAACGCAGACGAACACCCCGAGCTTAGGAACATATCGCCTGTACCTCTCCATCTGCGACCACCAGTCTCCGTCGCTGAGCATATTGCCAAGCAGTCCTCATCATGGCAGCGCGACCGCCGCCTGGGAAGCCTCCAGTAGGGAAGCAGCCTCCCATCCCGCCCAACCAGACGTGAGTCGCCGTCCGCCGTCTCTCTCGTCTTCGTAATGGCTGAGCTGGACCGAGCTGACTGTTTGCAGACTATACGTCACCAATCTCCTCTCCTCTAAGATCCAGAAGGATGACTTAAAAACGGCCCTGTACATGTTGTTCTCTACCTACGGTCCTGTTCTCGATGTCGTCGTCCTGAAGACGGTCAAGATGCGTGGCCAGGCCCACGTCGTCTTCCGCGACATCCAAGCCGCTACCCAGGCCCTGCGCTCGCTCGAGGGCTACGACTTCCTCGGCAAGCAGCTGGTGAGTTCTGCCACATCATGTCCATGTCCCCGCCGGACCAATAGCTAACCTCGATCCCCTCCAGAGAATACAGTACGCCAAATCCAAGTCCGACGTCGTCGCCAAGCTTGACGGGACCTACAAGATGCCCGGAACCTCGGGCGCGAATGCCAATGTGGAGATGACCGAGACTCAGCACAATATCTTCAATGCCCCTGCCCCTGGCACCACATCTACTGCCGCCCCTGCGCCGGCGCGCGGCCTCCCTGCGAAACCCCCGAGCAGCGGGTCGCCTGCCCCAGCCGCCGATGGTCGCGGTCAGAAGCGGACGAGAGACGAGGAGGACGAGGACGAAAGTGACGAGGACGTCGCCATGGAAGAGGATAGTGATGACGAGTAAAGCGTCCATGTCCCCGGAGCTCGGCCCGCACCGCACTCTGTACAGCTCTTCGTTGAGCTGCTGGGCCCATCAGCCGGAACTGTTGAGGGCCATTTCTTTGGGCACCCAGAGCCCTACACACCCGCCCACCAGTCCTAGCCATACCATCAGGTAATCCTCCTTGGAGCAGTCGAATTCTGCCATGGCGTCCCCTAGGAAGCACGGATGGACGAAGAACGAAGGCACCCCCGTCACGGGGTGGTGCTATGAGGTCACGTTAGCGCCGAGGTAGAGCCAAATATACTTCTGCATGCGAGAATGCATTGTTGACTCTTGTACAGCTTCGTCTCTGACAGGGGAAATCACTCACGTCTGCGGAAATTCCACCTATGGGGCCCACCCCTCGAAGGATGCTCTTGAACTGATCTGGCACCAGCCGCCGAAAGACGGTATCTATGTCAAATGACGCTTCGCCCGCAGGCAGGTCGTGCAGACTGAACCAGAGGCAGGGTGCCCGGTATGTGGGGTGCAGATGAATCTCATATCTGACATGCCCGAAGCTGGGTTGAGGCGGTCTTTTAATATGCTCTTCCTAGTACAGATGAGCCCGGTGGACCACATATCTCCACGGTGTTCCAGCCACTTACCGGATCGGTTACTATTTCCATAGCCATGTCGATGCCCTGTGCAACATCGTTGCTGTCTCCCATGGAGAAGTTGTCGAAACATGATTCCAACTCATCCAAGTCCGCATCCTCTTCAAGTGGTCTTGTAATCTGAACGAAAGTCGTGTGCTCAGAATCTCCGCCAAAGAGCATATCTAGTGCCGTGTGAACCCGTAGTTTCCATTGCTTCCGGACTGGGCCGAGTGTAGCTTGGCAGTACCTATTATCCAGTTGGTGGCATATCTCTGCAAACTCGTCCTTGTTCAGAAAGGGGTAGTGGTCATAGTCTGACCGATTGCGATGTGAGCTGTTCATCATACGCCTCCTTTTCTAGGTCCGTCCTCTCCAAGGTCTGTCTCCAGTCGCCTTTGAATGCGGCTTGAATTGCTGTCCGGCTTGTCTAAGCAAGGCTGGATTGTAACGATGGTCAGGGGTCCCGGCTCGGGAACAGAAATTGGATGTTTTCCAGTGACACGGGCCCAGGTTCTACACACATGCATATGTCTGAGCCACTATGATGCCGGACAAAAGATGCTCTAGCAACACGAGTAAGACTTGAGGTCGAAGGTATAGGAATCAGCTCGTCTTATAGCGGGCAAGCTCACACCAGTTAGGGAAGATACATACATGGAGGGGCAAGGCGTGAGAGGTACTTACTATCCTTGCAATTTACAACCACAAGCAAGCCCGGCAACGCAAAGTTACAGAAGACCTTGTGAAGTTATATGTCCGTTCTTTTGGGCATCCTGGCGCAGAGAGAAGTCAAATTTGAAAATCTTGCTCGAGTAGCTCAGCATACTCTTCATGTCAAAAGACTTGAGATCAAACAGCGGTGCCAGGTACCTCTTGTCAAGGGCCCCGCGGGCACAATGTAGTTCGGAGGGTGCACGCCGTGATTGCCGACGCAGATCCACCGCCAAGAAAAGCGACCTACTAAATTCCAACTGTCCTTTACGTGGGCCGCCCCGCGACAAGTGCTAACAGCATAGCGTGTAAGTCGAGAGAGATCGACGGCCAGCTATTTTGGCCCCAGGTTGGCGCTCCCAACGTCGCGGAATACGATGTCACGATAGCAGGGGAGGAAGTTGTCTCATTTCATGTGCCATTTGCCCCTTCGACGTGTGTTCAAACCGCTGGAGACTGCCTCGATTGATTGATTCGCTTCTGCTACCGACTCCCTCGTATCCTCGATCTTGCACGTATACAACGATTACCCTACGAGAACGACGACGAAGACAACAGCCCTCCCGCCCATCCCCCCTGTACTATACACCCGTGCAACAGCCTTGGGCGTCTTTCGAGTGCCATCCCAATGGTCATTCGAGACCCGTTCAACATCCATAACAAGAACTCAGCTGTGTCGATTCTTCGGACGACTGCCACGCGAGCAGCGATTGGGATCACCGAGAAGGCCGTCGAGGCCGGCATAAATGTGATTGAGAAGGGAAAGCAGACAGCCGAGGACATGGCTTTCCAGATGCCCAAGAACGTGCCCTCTTTCTCCAACCCTCAGAGGGCACTAGAGGACCAGTCCTGGGGTTCAGGGGTGACCTCACGCTTTGGACGTGGTTCGCAAGCCCTGCCCATGTACAAGGACAAACCCTACGCGTATCCGCCGTCGCAGCGGTCGCGGCCCGCGTGGCGGCGCAAACGTGTCGTCGGCGTCTTCCTGCTGGTGCTGTCGCTGCTCTACTACCTCGGCGTCTTCTCCTCGGGGCGCCATGCTGCGACTGAGAAGCCATCCTGGAGCTGGCTGAAGAACTCGGAGTCGGAGAAGAAGGCGGACTGGAGCAAGAGGCGGGAACGGGTGGTTGATGCCTTCAAGCTGAGCTGGGATGCGTATGAGCGATACGCTTGGGGTAAGAGCCAAACTCCGTTGTGCGCCCTCTGCACGAGACGTCGCAACTTGCTAACATTTCGTGTCATCGCCCAGGCTATGACGAGTTCCACCCCGAGTCGAAGAAGGGCAAGCAGATGGCACCCAAAGGCATGGGCTGGATTATCGTCGACGCCCTGGATACAATGATGCTGATGAACCTCACCTCCCGGGTCAGCCACGCGAGAGAGTGGATTTCGACCTCTTTGACATATGACCAAGATCAGGACGTCAATACATTTGAGACGACTATCCGAATGATTGGAGGGCTACTGTCAGCCCACTACCTCTCAAACGAGTTCCCACTTTTGGCTCCCCAGACAGATGATGACGTTGGCGCCCCTGGTGAGGATTTGTACCTGGAGAAGGCGAAGGACCTGGCCGATCGTGTGATCTCGGCTTTTGACTCGGACTCTGGGGTTCCCTACGCGAGCGTTAACCTGGCCAAGTTCGAAGGTATCCCGGCCCATGATATGGGAGGGGCTTCGTCCACCGCCGAGGCCACAACACTTCAACTCGAGTTCAAGTATCTTGCCAAGTTGACGGGCGAGAAGTATTTCTGGGACAAGTCGGAGAAGGTCATGGAAGTCCTCGACAACAACGGTGCCAAGGATGGCTTGGTTCCGATCTACATCAACGCCAACACTGGCAAGTTCAGCGGTGACAACATCCGACTCGGAAGCCGTGGTGACTCGTATTACGAGTATCTCATCAAGCAGTACCTCCAGACAGAGAAGCAGGAGCCCGTCTACCGGGACATGTGGGACGAGACCCTGAAGGGTGTCCGTAAGCATCTCATCACTTACACACCCTCGGGATTCACTGTCCTTGGTGAAAGGCCGAATGGATTGAAGGGGACGCTCTCACCCAAGATGGATCATCTGGTTTGCTTCATGCCCGGCACCATTGCTCTCGCTGCCACTGGCGGCTTGCCCGAAGCCGAAGCGAAGAAGCTGTCAACGTGGACGAAGCAGAACGAGGCGGATATGCAGCTTGCCCGGGAGCTGATGCATACCTGCTGGGGCATGTACAAATGGATGGCGACAGGCCTGGCTGCCGAGATCACATACTTCAACATTGCCGACCCGCCGCCTGCTGAATCTGATCCTCACAAGGCACCGGCAGAATTCGACCCTGACCCCCATGCTGCTTGGCGCAAGGACTTCGACGTCCACGCCATGGATAGACACAACCTACAAAGACCCGAGACGGTCGAGTCTCTCTTCTACATGTGGAGAATCACGGGCGAAACCAAGTACCGCGACTGGGGCTGGGATATGTTCAAGTCGTTCATGAATTACACCGCCGTCGAGGACGGGGGCGGTTTCACGAGTCTGTCAAACGCGCACGTCATTCCGCCCGTGACTCGGGATAACATGGAAAGCTTCTGGCTGGTAAGTCATCATATGAAAATAACCTCACTCCCACCCACTAGCACATGGCTAACCTTCCCGATCTTCAGGCCGAGACACTCAAATACTTCTATCTCTTGTTCTCGCCTAACGACCTACTTCCTCTTGACAAGGTGGTCATCAACACCGAGGCGCATCCGTTCCCGCGTTTCCAGATGGGGCAATTGTTCTCGACTGGGTGGAAGAGGAAGCCGAGGGATGAGGATGGGAAGATCATTAAGTGATCTTTCCTCCATTGGATTATGAGTAATGATCATCAGATGGATCTGTGCATTTGGCTGGGCGTATCTGGGGTCCTCAAAATACAAATTACCTATATGCTGCTTGTATATGAGCATTTATTGTGAATACCCTCTGCAGTGTCATACACAAAATCAGATATCTAGTTCGATTTGGAGTACACAAGCCGACTAAGACTGGAAGTTGCATGAACACTGCTCAGCCTGCTCGCAGGCACCATGTCGTCGCGACGCCGGCACGTGTTAGAATAAGTCGCTTAGCAACAACCAGCTCTTCCCGCGTCCACGGCCTGCAGCGCTGCCTCGACTCGACCGATGAGGTCGTCCTCCATGCCGACGCTGATTCTAACAAGGTGCTCCACAACCCCATACTTGGCAGCCCAGTCCAGCTCGCCGTAGTGTCCAAGGAGCGTATAGGGGCATGCCAGGGTGAAGTTGGTGCCCAAGGATGGACCCTTTGCAACGTCCAGGTTGTCAAAGAAGACAGTAGCATACTGCGGTTGGTTGAACTCGATGGTTACCAAGTACCCATACCCCCGTCCCGGCCGCCGGAATGTGTCGTACATCGCCCTCGAGCGCCCCATCGAAGGATAGTACACCTGCTTCACCAGATCGTTGCGTGATGAGAGCAGCGATGCGAGTGCCTCGGCGTTCGCGTTTATGGCATCGATGCGGACGTCAAAGTCTGCGCAGTTCTGTGCCATTACCAAGGCATCCTCAGGATAGTAGCTGTCCACTAAAAGAGCGCCCAGCTTCTCGGTCAGAAGTTCATGGTGCCGAGACATAGGGTTGACCACAACACTTGAACTTGGTTAGCCGTAATATATTTTGGATGAGGATTGCGTCAAACTTACCTGCCGCCCATTACATTACAGGCTCCGCTGAATAGTTTCGTGAGGCTCGTCACAAGAACATCCACGTAGCTCAAGATGTCTACATTGACGGAGGTGCCGACTGTGTCGTCGCACACAACAACAAAGCCATATTGATCTGCAAGTCTTCGGATACGGCGGAGATCAACGCACGTAAGGAGCGGGTTTGTAGGGAACTCCGTGAATAGGGCACAGATACGCTTGCCGGCCTCAAGATCGCTTTTCAGCTGGTCCAGTTCCTCAGGAGTGCCGTGGCCATAGAGCAAAGTCTGGTTGCAACTAAATCGCGACATGATCTTGAACGTATCCACATAGAGAAACCTACTCCTGAGTGAGACACGAAGACCTGATAATGGGGAACCCAGAATTACCCGTAAGCAACCATGGTTGGAGTTTCCGACTCTTCCATATACTGCATCCCCAGAACTGCTCGAAAGGTATCATAAATGGCTTTCATACCAGACGCATAGAGGAATATGTCTCGCTCGCTACGAACACCGGCGGAAGGGCTAAGATAGCTGGCCAATTGGGCCCGCACAAACCGCTTTGCTTCATAGGCCGAGCTATGCAGAGTTGTTATCTCCTTCTTGATACCACAGTTGCTTCCGTATTTAGAGATTCAAGGTTCCTTAGGCACGCCAGGGCTCGTCGGCTTGAGATACCTTCCCCCGTGTGCTGCCAGAAAGCTTTGGCCAACGAGTAATGTTGGGGGCTGACCCAGACTAGATGCACATCCACCCAGACTGAGTGATCCGAATGACCTGTATCGTCAAGAGGTCTCTTTGACGTCATGGAGAAAGCTCCAGCTTGTTCGGGTCCAACTTGTCCAGCTATCCAGCGGCAGCAATCTGCGGCTGCTACCGCCGTCGAAAATGGTAAACATGTCACGCCTGGAGGACCGAGCCTCTTCGCATGATCCGCCAGCTCTTGGACCAGGGAATGAACAAAAAATCTGGGGTAGCCGCTCCTCATTCGGGCCAAGATATTCTGGCTCTTGCGAGCCCACTGTAGATTGGATTTCCAGGTTGGTAATGAGACACTAACGGCCTGAGGATCTCGTCAGAGCAGCTCAAAGGAAACTTTCCACAATTTCGACTCCACGGCCGTCCTTCGAGTGACTTACATGTACGTCATTTGGAGGTATCGTTTCACACAAGTTGTGCATATGCTTTTTTGTCTCCATATTTGAGGGTTTTTCGAGATACGTCGATCAGTTTAGCCTTTGATGGCGCCGTCAGAAAAATACCCTGGGTGCTCCTCTACTGTACTACTCTTCCCAAGGTATAGTAACAACTACAATCATAAGAAGAAAGCCGTGGGGACGAACCGACTTATGTGTGAGATGAATACTGACACCTGTTTGTCTCACCTCCTTCAGAAACGGGTCTAAGGGAAGTGTGAATACGAGGTGCAAACTACTATGTCTCGCTTTTCGCTTGCCCGGTATATGTTCCACGTTGTCCACATTTGTCAATAAGTAGGTTGTTCGGAGGGCCTAGGAGTAAGCTTGGAGGTTTCAAGGGGATGTCGTACTTCATCAGGGGAAGGTAAATATTAGCATGACATTTATAAAGAGCTCCAGAGATTCGGACCATTGACATATACCGTTGCTGTCTGGCATGAAAACTTGGCAAATTCTGACTATGAGATCCAATCAACCTCCGTGACATTGGCTAGCTTGGAGCCGTAGCATTGTGTTGTATGGATATAAGTGTCATCGTGCGATCTGGGTGCTGAAAACACAGTCCAAGCTAGTTCTGCTGTGAGCAATCCCGTCGCAGGTATCCAATTACACCTGCAGATTAAAAGCTAGTCAGATGACTGATCATATATGCCGGCAGTCAAACCATCTTTGACTGCTGGAAAGATCGACTCTCGTCCGAACTATTCCCATGTTTGTGACGTAAGCAGGCTATCAGCATGATTGGTTTACAGTTGCCGGGCTATCGAATCAAGTGAATGTTAGCAAACATAGGAATGATATTGCGAATGTAACCATGGTTGACACAGTACTTCTTTCTTGATTTCGAGAGTGCCGACTTGTGTCCTGGACACCCTAGCCTTTGGGATCTCATTCATCGACACGTCCGATGAGTACCACCTAGGCCAATACAATGGATCTGGTCTACGCGTTTCCCAATGACTTCATTTTCCAGAGTATCTTTGCAGTTGGCAGAGTCAAAAACGACCGAGTTGTAATACACGATCACAGCACAGGCCAATCGGCAACTGTTCCTCAACTGTTACGGGATGTCGGGAAGGTTAAGCAACAACTAGCCCAGCAACTCGCTGCGCATACACTACATGAGATGCAGAATGGTGCCGAAACATGGTTTGGTCTGTTAATTCCACCTGGATATAACTTTGTCGTCGGCTTATTAGCTGTCCTTGCACTTGGTGCCGGGGTTGTCCCTCTTTCTACAGACATACTGCCGGAGGAAGCAGTTTACTTCGCACGGACAGCCAATTTCAGAACAATCCTCTACGGCTCCAGTTTACAAGGTCTTGTGGAGGATACAGCTAGTAACTATCGCCATAAGCATGGAAAGTCGATTGATACCCTGGCAATCGATTCACTCGATCCAGGCAACTCACTTGCTGATGCTTGCATCCTAGACAAGGACGTCTACCTGGATCCCAGCTTTTGTCCTGACGAAGCATCGTCTGGGTATCTCACATTCACATCCGGCACCACCGGCCTCCCAAAGGGCGTCGTCCATACGAGAAAGTTTTTCCGGACTCAAGTCTTGCTGGGCGCTCATGGTGACCTCACCGAACTTAGCATCATGCCACTACACTGGGCAGCGGGAATGATAGCCCTGGCGTCCAACATCACCAGGGGTGTCCGCATCGAGTTCTGCCGCTCTGTATACTCACCTGACTGGCTTTTGAACCGGATAAAGGAGCCCGGCCGTTATCGATTGCTTGGTGCTCCGGCTGTTTGGGCCGCTCTGGAGCAAGCTCTTCTCAAACATGTAGAAGTCTCGTCATTATGTGACATCAATCCCGGCGGGAAGGCCGAGAGTGAGCTGAGGGAGAGAATGCAGTACCTTTCCGCCGCAGGCAGTGGGGGATCGCCGGTTCCATCTGGTGTTTTCCAATTCTTTGCGCGGATCCTTACTGGATGCGAGTTGACGGATTTCTATGGCTCAACCGAAATTGGCCACATCTTTGCTTATGCCACGTTCAAAGAAAAACTGGTTCATGGTGACGTCTGCATATCCCCTCCTATACATTTGTTGGTTGTTTACGAGCCTTTAACGCTTTATCAGCATTTCCTCGGTACGCTGCCTGATCATGTCGCTGCAAAAGTGAGTCATGAAGGGGAATTATACGTCAAGTCAGATCCAATGTTTAAGGAGTAAGTCATTGAATATCAGTGTTCGCGTCTCAAATCTGATGGTCGTAGATACCTCTCAGACCCTGGGAGAACCCGTGCTGCAGTGGATGACGACGGTTATTTCAAGACTGGTGATTCGGGCTACTTGAAGGGCAGGGAATTCTACGTCGAGGGGCGGTTTGGTTTTGACGGTAAGCCTCAGTGTTCAACTTTCCAGTGATATCTCACCAACTTATTCTAACCGATTTGCAAGTTATACGCTTCGACGGCTGGAAGATCCTTGCACGTGAGGTTGAGGATGAACTTCTCCGACTGCCACATGTCAAAGAATGCCTCGTTCTCCCGGTTGCTGACAAGCTGTGTGGCCAACGAGTCGGCGCTATTATCCACATTCCAGTATCAGAGGACAGTGCTCGAGTAGGTTACTCGCTTCCAGATGTGCGGTCTACAATGGCAGACAATCTAGCAATATACAAGCTCCCCACCGTGCTTGCAACTACGATCTGGCCGCTCCCTCGAACGGCTTCTGGAAAGATGGCTAAGCAGAAGGCGCAAGAAGAGTTCTTCCCAAAGGGGTGTCTTGATGGCCAACACCCAGAATTACAGGTCTGGGATCTGGAACATGGGCAACAGCCCAGGGACAGACGCGCGTGGGACTGGGCGGGCATCAATGCTGGATGAAAGGCCAGAAAGATTATGAGAACACTATTGACAGTAATTTACTGGAGCTTTCCTATAGTTCGAGGCACGAGCGTGATGACCTGTTCTCAGCCATGCTCGAAACTTTGTTCAACTTTCATGTTGCGATACATATCCGAAGGGTTTAATCAATCACTAACAAGCTGCAGCACAACTGACCTATCACCATCTCCAGCCCAGCAACGACAGGTTAGATAGAAGAAAGGTTAAAAATCAAAACCCAACTCGTGATTTGTCCGTTTACCAAACCAGAAGCATTCACTACCCTTGGTCACAGATAGCAAGCGTCTCATCATCTGCTTAAGAGCTCCCCTCTCTCCTCCCTCCTAGGCGGCCTCATAATCACATCAACCTTTCGCCAAGCCGGTGTAGCCTTCATCACCGACTTACCCTTCAGCGAGCTTCCACAGGCAGACTCATCCGCAAAGTCTACATAGGTATCAATACGATCCCCTGGCACCGGCAAACGCCACCCTACAAGGTAACAACAACGAGCACAACAACCCACTGGAAATTCATTTTCTCGTCTTGCGTCTGACTTTTCTCTAGTACGCTATTACATCTACCGCCATACGCAGATATGGAGGGGCCCAGCTCGGGAAAGCGAAGGCCTGGGCGTCCGAGAACTCGTCCCATACCAGACCCTAACACCCCAAAACGGCCTCGTGGCCGTCCTACACGAGAAGAGTCCCTAAGTGAGTAGGCGGTGAACTGAATCACAAGACATCCCCCAAGATGAGAACCGTCTGTTGTACTTCGAGGGCATTCCCCATCGATTAGCCCAATCTTCCTCGGCCGACCATTCGGACCCAAGCTAGTGACGACTCCACAGGACGCAAGCAGGAGCAGCAGACCGAGTCCATGCGCATGGATGCACCTCTTGAGCCACCGCCGCGGCTGTCACGTGTGGAGCCAAGGTCGAAGGCAAACTGGAAACGAAAACGATCTGGCACACAGGACGACGAAAGCTCAGCCAACGACTCGACCGACAGCGATGTTGAGTCTAACAGTGACCTCCAGGGCAGCGGTACGGCGCTTCTGCACAAGAAACAGAAGATAGACAGAAGATCCAAAGTACGAAAGCGGGTAACGGTCTTCCCACGGGTGCCTAGACGTCAGCCGTTCCCTTCGGACCCCCTTGATCTTATCCAGCAGCCTATCTCTCAATACTTGAGTTGGTGTGAGGAGATCGATGAGGTCCTTGGGCCTGGCGCGATGGTACTTACCGAGAGAAGGGTGGGAGACCCCCATGAACCATTGTCTGACCTCTGGAAGCTGATGCTTCACGTCTTCCGATAGACACCATGTGACCTCTTCTCCTGGGGGTTACGATACAGTAGACCAATTGACACTGATCTTCAGATGAGCATACTCCGAGGACTTTGCGAGCTCATTGTTCATCCGCTCTGGGAGAGAAGTGTGGAGAACCTCAGATATATCCTCCAGTGGGCAGTCTGCCTCCGGGTACGTGACCATATGAAGCCCGTAGGACCATTCCAGTCGGAGCTCGCCAGGTCCTTGGTCGAGAAGAAAAAGGACCTCATCCGTCTAGGTCTCACAGATGGGAGTTCGGAAATTCACCTGGCGAGGCAGGCTTTCGAGGACTTGCAAAATCGACGACTAGAGACGTCACGCCCGGTCTATGCCGCGTTGATTCACTGCCTGCGGCAGAGAATTACTCATCAGCAGCCGGCGGCGTTTGACGGCGCGGATACATTGTTCTATCTGGAACTAGCTGACGTTTCTGCCGTACGTAATGCTCTTGATGGCCTCCAACGCAAGAACTGGTTTCCATTCACAGTTGGTGCCTATTACAAAGGGTGCCTCGTAACATTCGAGGAGCACTGGGAACAGTTCCCCTCTACAGACGACAGCCAGCTCTGAGTCCTGCTGGCGACGTCAGTTCTTAACGAAAAGGGGAACAGGAAGTTGGGCCGCATGGACATTGCAACGGCTGACCAAGGATTCCTCCCATTTGTCTCTCACTGGCCGTCAGTTGATGGGTGCGATGAACGATTTCTGCGTGGTATCTCACTCAAGGATCAGGAGGAGCTTGCTTGGCTCTCGGTGGACGAAGATAGCGGAGATGATGGCCATGAGAATGCCAGCCACCAGCCTGAGAGTTCTCATGGGGCTGGCGACGAATATTTGTATGATTCCCGAGCCGAGCCTGGCAGACTTCCGTCCCAAGGGCTGGCGGAAGACGGCAGCTCTCACGCCGACAAGACCAGATGCCACAAGTCGAGTGAAGCCTCAGCCCATTCGGACGTTGACTATGACGCCTCTGCCATAGGTTCTCTGCTCATGCCTTTACGCTAGCTCTCCCCTGCACTTAACAACAGCGCAGAGCAACCACAAAGTGGCATCACAACCTCGAAACATCATGAGCCTGTGGCTCAGGACGTCTCGAGAGTCCCTGATGAAAACATCGACCGTGACGTCGCGAGGTTGTCGGAGCCCGAGAAACATGGACCTGGCCAGCAACAGAACGAATGGGAGCGGTACGCAAAGGAAGCCTGTACCATTGATATGCTCGTAGGTCTAGACATCGATGAGCAGCAACCGACCTCTGAGATCCATAACGTATTGCTCGGTGTCTTGGCAGCTAGTAAGCATGAGAGCTCCGCCAAGCACCTCAAGAACTTTCTAGATGCTGATGGTGGCGCGGGCTGGGTGTGTCTAAAAACCTTGAATGCGTGTGACCAGGCCATAAAGATAGAGGACAAGGCAAAATGCGTCTTCTGCTCACGAGGCGGTGCAAAAGAATGCCTGCAGATCGCTAGAGATCCGCCTGACAAGCCCAATATTCGGTTACACCAATACACCGCAGTCTAGCGACACCTACACCACCGCTCAACCCTGGCGGCCAGCTTCTCAGCCGTGGCCAAGGATCGCCTTCGGGAGCCGAAAAGATGGGGCTCAGGGTCACACACACATATACACACACACT